TTGGCTGCTGGGAGATAACAGTGTCTGGCGGTTCTATAGGCGACACAGATAACAGCAGCAGCAGCAGCATCGATACTGTTTCACTGGGGTCTACTGGGGAGGTGTTTTACAGCAGCACCATCCTTTTGACTGCTGATCGGATGTTTGGGCGGCACACACGGTGCTTTATAGCAACAGAGGTCAAGCCGACTGAAAGGAGTTGCATCAAGATGGAGGATTGCGACACCCTAATTAAGGATGCATGGCTAGAGTCTGTGGGGGTTGGAGGTGTGGATCCGCGCAATGAGGTTGCTCATCTGCACGACATCACCCAGACGCTGAAACATTATCAGGAGCTTGCAGGCACATACCCAGAACTCAAATGTGGCGGTCTAGTGCGCCTTCAGCAGGACAGCGACAACACATTTACTGAGGACACGACCCTCAGTATTCTTGGCGATCTTTTTTCCAATTTAGCAGTTGGCAACAAAAAAGAGCAGGAGCACAAGCCACAACTCCGTGTACACAGGCGTGTTGCCATGTCGCCAATTGGAAAGCCGCTTAATATGCTCAAGTCTGTGCCAGAACTCATCATTGTCGTTGCCGACGCCATGCGTGCTCACCGCGCTATTGTCGAGCATTGCCACATCCTGCACCGCGATGTTATGCCAGGGAACATCCTGTTCCGGCGCATGAATGATGGAACCGTCAAGGGTATGCTGGTTGACTTTGATCATGCGGTCAATTCTTTAAAGGGCCCTCATACTCCACATGATGAGCGCACAGGTACTCTCCCGTTTATGTGCATTCACGCCTTAGAGAGAAGCCAACTCCCACGCACCGAGCTCGACGACTGGGAGACGCTGATTTATGTCTTAATTTGGATTGGGACATATGGCTTTAAAGGCGCAAATGGCCGAGATGCTAAAATCAAGTATTGGGTTGGCGGCACAACATTGAGGACATTGCCAGTAATAAGCGCGACAATTTGGGCAGCAGTTCCAGTTTTAAATCTATCCTCAACCAGTTTGATAGTAGGGTGCATTGTATCAATGTTCTTGCAGGTTGTTGAGTATGATGCGCGATGCTCTAATCGACAATGCAGGATGCAGCGAGGATGGCAGGGGCGCAAATATGAAACAACCTTCTAACCATGGCAACTGCGAATCATCCGCCTCGAAAGTCACACCTGGTTCATTTCTCCATATCCAAATCCGCATTGCCGGTTGAATGCGAGAGTTATAACATTCCAATAATTGATCCGTTTGAAGTGCGTGCTGACATGGCACCAACTATTGCTAAGGAGCTGTTGGCCATTTTGGAGGATGTCGCTGATTTGTCGAGAATTGTTGATCAAGGCAGGAACTGGAGCAGCGAGTCAAACACAGATGCTTAGTCATTCTTATCATTTTATTATATTTTACATTATATTAGTCATTGTCATTTTGATTTTCATATAAATATCAACTATATTTCTATTAATTGTCAATTCATTAATAGTAAAATATATGTGCCTCAACTGTGACATATATCGTGTCCTTCAAGTTTAATTACCCCATTTGTGAGTCCGGGGCATTTACTGCTGGCTTGGGAGCTTTCAAACTGGGTTCTGCATCCGTTGATACCACAAAAATATTCCATCTTGTCTGTTGGGGGTGTCCCCGAAAATTTTGGCACGGGTTTTAGCACGGGTTTTGACAAGGATTCTGTGGATAATTGATTGCCAGTTACAATAAAAAACATTTTGAATATAAAAAATTATGGCTGAGTATAAAGTTGAATACCTGTGAATATTGGCTTTTTTCTCTATAACATGTTTAAATAATAAAAATACAAATGATGAGAGATAGAATAGTGACTCTTTTATTTCATTTTCGTGTAATTGCTTTTTATTTTAAATCACTTTTTTTCCCTTGCTTGGTCGTTGAGAATATGTAAACCTTTTTCAAATACAAAAACTAGGCCTAATACCAATAAAAAGTGACAATCAACGATCGAGCCATTGACTGTCCGCTTTCCAAGCAACAAATATGTTTCAGAAATATTTCTGATCAAATATTCCATGTGAATTTTACTCAATTATCAATCATTATTTTGGGTGGAAGTATTACAATGGAAATACGACTGCTCACAAGTTTCTGTCTTTAAAAAGTCTAATTTTGATAATTTAAATGGCAAATATTTACTTTTTAGCACCAAATTTTTTTAATCTATTATTAATCCAATATATTCCACGTGCAATTGTAATTTATTTATTTATTTTCCCAACCAGCATTTATAAAATATTCTAGATAACAAATATTTTTGGTTTACTGCTTAACAGCTTTAAGATGCGGTTTTATCAGCAAGCACAGCGCAAGACCCACTCATTAATTCAAATACAATACTGCTAAACCCATTTTTGGAACGTCCACAAATTCATAGACCTCACCTCCCCACACTATGAACATAATGTATAAGAAGCAAAAAGAAAAAACTTTGTGATGTTGGCAAAAAAGAGTGGTCACAACATTTCATGTTCGTTTTGAATGCGCGTGTGCTTTTTTTCTAACTCGTAGCAAAAATAAATCCTCAGGTGCTGTGGCTGCGGCTGCTGGCTGCCAAAACAGTACATTTTTATTCGAGATTTACAAGTAATGGTACGATTAGGGCCGATAAAGGAAATTTCATGTTGATTTTTGTCAATCGTACAAATAGGATTGTTGTGGAATGATGTGGAAATTAACCATACATTGTATATTTGTTTGAATTGACCTGTGGGAGAAAAAGACCAAAACAAATAATCCGACCCAAAAAGGAAGAGGCGCTTTGCGGGCCATGTTAAAAATAGTCTTTTTATTTTTATTTGTATTTACAGCAAATATTCGGTACGCTTCATATATCCACTGTATCACCTGACTTTTCTTTTTTTGGTTCCAAGATGCCACTACCTTCAATCTTTCAAAATCAGTCGTGGCATATCGTCGAGTCAATTATTAACTACTATCTGAACGACAACTCACACTGCCGCCAAATCAACAGACTGCTGGCAACGGCTATTATCCACAGCAGCCACAGCTGGCGCTCTGCTTTTGTGACAAGGACCTGCAACATGCTCCATCTGTCGTTTAATCTGTGCGATATCCCTTTTTATAAATGTCCCGGCTGGTCAAAATGCCTTGGACATCTAGGCTTTCCTACAAGCCATCTTGTGAAAACCGTTAAAGTCTAAGCCAACAACTGGGTACCCCTACGGAGAGCGCTGCGCTTGCCAGGCTTTTGGACTCTCCATTTGCCAATGCCAATTTTCCAGCTGCGCACACGCTTATAATCGACATTAACGACTTTATCTTTAGTGCCTTGAACTACAAAAATATTGAGCTAGCTGACTGCGTGCGAAATGTCTCTCGCCTTTTACTTAAAATCAGGCAGATGGTTCCAGATATTCAGAATATCAGCATTTCATGGCCCAATTTTGTCTTCCAGCAGACGGACAGGGGATTTGGCAGCTTATGAGCAACGTGACGGGAGGTGTATCATGGCCTAAAGAGAGTTTCATTTTTGGAGAGCGGGAGCACCAATCTTCCTACTGTTATCGACCCGCTCGGCTTTTCAGGCATAACCCACCTCACGTATAAACACAACACCGGGCACACGTGGGTAGTCGAATGCGTCCAGCGCAACGCAGCATCACTCAAGGCAGTGTCCCTTGCGTTCTTGGGCAAAAGAGTAGCGCTTGCTTTGTTGTGTAGCAACCAGGGAAATGCAGTCGTATATTCTGCTCTCGAGATTTTTGGCGTCGATATGCTGGGCAACAGAGATAGATCGGGCATACAGATGCCTCCAAATCCGGAACAGTCCAGGAGCCTTGTGGTCCACTTCCTAAGAAGCAGGTCAGTATTTACCCATGGCATTTATCCGCTTAAAGATGATGTTCTATTCAAGGGCCACAATGACACCAGTACCCTCGAGAAGATAAACATTTACACAAATGTAGAGTTTGTCAAGATGGCTGAAGAATAACGCTTTTTTGTACTCAATCGGTTTCCTCGTCTTCATTCTGTCGTCCTCTCATACAACAACCTCTATAACCGGGTCCGAGACCAAGAAAAGTAGCTTTGAACCGTTGCATTAGCCAGATTATCGAAGCGACCAACACGTCAACCACGATTCGCGTCTTCAAATCCGCTGGAGACTTATCCGCAAATGTGCTCCTTGATGGTATCAGTAGCCTGGCTATGTTTGCCAGCGTACAGACTATAGACATCGCCTGCTGCCATCTGGAGTTTGCAGATATCATCACGATTTTGCGATACGCGCCCTTTATCCGTAGCCTGCATTGCGCGGCGGCGATCTGTGTGCCCAAGATCAAAGGCATGCATCGCGACGAGCTCCAGAATACATGTGCATTACTGGAAAACAATTCGGCAAACATTTTGGCTTCCTGACAGTCATCGACAACAAACTCGGTCAAGCAGCGCATTTGGTAGAGACCATTGCCCTTGTTGTCATTGCCTTCTCTCAGCGTGTGAGATTCACTCTTATATGCAATGACATGTCTGGATTCAGCACCGGGACCAAGACCATCGTTGATAGCGAGCCATTTGCCAAGTAGTCAACCAGATCGAGGCGTTTACACGCCACAACTAGTCAACTAATACATATGAGAGTGACTGGATTTATTTAAAAAAGTAGACTTTTTTAATACTAAACGCATATTTAAATGTGGCCATATGCCAAGATAAAAATGAAGCTGAGGCGGCTAGTGAGAGCTGTAATAGCCGGATGCTGCTGGCCCAGGAGCAGCTCCAGCATGCATGGAGGAGGATCTCTGACTAGGGTACATGTTGTTAGCATTGCCTCCCATAGGCACGGTCTGGTATTGCTGCTGCTGTTGCAGGTTTTTGGCCTGGGTCGGAGATAGCGGCTGGTCACCATAGCTGCGCTGTGGCCCACCAGCCGGGTTGGAAGCAGACGGCGAAGGCTCGTATGGCCCCTGGGGGACACTATCCTGCTGCGGGCCAGTGGGATCAACAAACATTGCCTGGCCGTATTGGTGTGTTTGCGGTTGCGCCGGGTAGTATTGCGCATACACTGGCGTCGGAGCGCGCGGATCGACGGGCAGCTGCGGCATGGGCGCAGTGGTTGCGTAGCTCTGGTTCAGGGCTGCATAGCTATCGTAGTGCAGGGTCGACCGCATGCGATCCCTCGAGCGCGGCTGCTTGTGGCCAGGTGCACCGCGACCGTGGCTTGCTGCTGCTGCATCTGCGTCTGCTGCATCGGCGGCGGAACAAACGAGGACGTGGTGGGCGCAGAACCATAGTGTATTTTTTGCTGCGAGGCAGTCTTAATATCAGCAGCTGAAGCAGGGGGCGGCCGGTGAATTGGAGCATGAGTGCGGCTTGTACTGGGTTGTGGTTCAACCTTGGACGCCGACGAGCTGCGGTTCATGCGTGGGCGGGCTTTCAGGACGCTGGCACCAGTGGCCTTGAGGCCTCCTTGATGCCCACGTGTGGCTGGCGTGCATCCAAGGCGGCGGTATTGCTGGTGGACCGCAACTTGCCGCGCGCGGCTGTCAGCAGATCCTTGCCCTCGCTGCGCGGCGCCGCGCTCGTGCCGACAGGCTGCCGGGGGATAGCAGCAGCAGCAGCAACCGGTGTTGGGCACAGTTGGCCTGTGAACTGTGGTTGACTTCTGAGCATGAACTGGCTGCTGCACATACGGTGGCACGCGCAGGGCTGCTGGCTTAGCTGCCGGCGCAGGCACAGATGCATATATTGCTGCTGATGGTGCTGCTGCTGTCGCAAAGCTGTTGGAGCGAGACTTGATCTTCTCTGGTTGTGGCGCAGCCTCCCTGCGTTTGGAGCTGGGGCGGGAAACCGGCGTAGGAGCAACATGCTTGGCAGACTTGGGTTGTTCTTTGGCTGTGGGAATAGGTGTGGGCTCTTCGGAGCTACTGTCGATCTCAATGACCTCAACCTCGACAATATCATCATGGCTGTCCCTGCGAGCATCCGCCGTACTCTTCTTTGGCGACGCAGCGGGAACATGGCGATGCTCTGCGCTGTATCTCTTTTGCTGCTGCTGCTGCTGATATTGCTGCTGCTGTTGCTGCTGCTGCTGTTGCTGTTGCTGCTGCTGCTGCTGGCGTCTGCTTTGGCCTTCATCAATGTTCTTTTGCAGCGGCGCTTTGGCTGTGGCCTGTGGCACACCGTTGACCGTCACCTCCTTGCGCCCGTCGGGGTCAATGCGCGTTATGGTGATGTTGCCCTGGCCGTCATCCTCTTCAGTGGTCTGCATCTTGATGCCGTTGACCATCTGGATCGAAGTGCGCGTCGACGGCCCAGTCGGCCCGCGCAGCCCGCCGGCTCCGCCAATCGTCGACGACGACACAAAGCTAAACGAGCCCGTGGCCGGCGGCCCCGAGGCACCGAACGGCGACGAGAACATCATGGACGGGAACCCGGACCCAAATCCTGAACCAAAGCCCGACCCGAATCCCGATCCAAACCGCCGACAGTTACGCCAGCGCCCGCATACGGCCTTCTCTCCCTCTCCACTTCCTGTGTGCGCATGCCTGAGCTCCCCGCATGCTGCGAGAAAAACGGATCTCCAAAGGGATCACCCCCGAAGCCGCTCTGCGAGCTGAACATGGAGGCAAACGGATCACCTCCGCCGAAAAAGTCACGGAAAATATCGTCTGCCGACCGGAACTTGTACCCGAACCCGTCGTCACCGTGCCCTTCTCCTCCGGATGAATTGTGTGCTGACTGCCGGTTGCCGCCCTGGAACCCACGCCTGAGCCCGGCTTCGCCATGTCGGTCATATTGCATTCGCAGCTCAGAGTCGCTCAGCACAGAGTAAGCCTGTGCAAGGAGCTTGAACTGCTCGGATGCTTCCTCGCGGCGTGTGGGGTTTTTGTCTGGATGCCATTTGAGCGAGAGCCTACGATACGCCTTTTTTACTTCGTCTGCGGTCGCTGTCGTGGAAATTCCGAGCAGCTCGTAGTATTTTGTCTCTGCTGCCATTGCTGCTGCTATTATTTTTATTTAGAAATGCGTATGTGTTTGTGTTTGTGTGGTATGTGTATATGTGCTGTGCTGTGCGTTGAAATGAGAATAAATGAGTATGAGTAAGCAAATATTTAGCTGAGAAATTGAGGCAGACAAAAAATAAGTGGTAAAAAAACTAAACGAAATCGAGCAAGAGAAAGAAAAGTAATTTGCGAGTTTGAATGTTGACGGCCAGCAAGCTACAAATACCATGCTTCCACTCTGCCGCGTTCTGCGCTATTCTAAACAAAAAGTGACATCAAAGCCAATGAGAAAAATAAAAATAGTGGATTGGTGGATGACGTGCATAAATCTGTGCAATAGTGGAGACGAGCAAAACAAAAAAATAGAAATCTGCAAAGCGCACAAGGTACAACAATGCAAAAAAAGAGTGCTACAATTAACATTTAAGGTGTAACTGGCATTCACACACACACGCACGCACGTACGTACGCACGCAGAGTGATATGTTATATATGCGAGTAATCCATCTAATCCGGCCCAGATCACCAACCATTAAATGCAAGGATTGAGGAATATACCTAATTCAAGTTGTTTTTTACGCTTGTTCACCCACTCGCTCTTTCGCTTGTTTTTTTTGACCACTTCCCCGCGCCGCTTGACAAAACATTTTCCTCACCCTGTTTTGAAAAATAGTGTGGAAATAGTTGATCAAAGTTCCCCCCCCCCCCCAAAAAAAAAAAAAACCAGGGTTCCGAAAAGGGTAACATGCAACACACACAACCAAAGCGCACATACTGTATATTCGTTGGGGGGAGGAGAGAAAAAAGGCATCGGATTCTCAAAAGAACAGATTATAAAAAGTATACGCGTAAAAATTAAAAGCACTGCTCATATTTAACAGCGTCAGCTCAGCCCATACAAAAGCATTTCATTTGAGCAGATCGCTTTCTCTATTTTTTTGTGGTTCAGGATAAATTTACAAATCGGGACATCACATGAGCTCTGTCTGTCAAATTACCTGTATTTATATTTATTTAGTTTAGCGTAAACAAAAAGATTACGCCATTTGCAAGCAGCATTTTTCGTGTGTTTCCATTTGTAGGCTTTTTTTGGTCAGATAAGGCGGAATAAAGAGAGAAAATAGCCAAAAAAGAAAAACAAGTCACGTCCCCTTGTTATAATTCACTCGTGTAGCAAAATGTATTCGCGCGTGCTGAATCCAAACGTTATCAAGTCTTCGGATCGCAACTCAATATACCTCTGTGCGGAGACCTTATCTCCGTTTAAGAACGTCCCGTTAGTTGATGCCAAATCAATAAGGTATGGCCTACGTTTTTACACAACACAAAAAAATCAAAAAGAAAAGTGGGTTTAGTTCAGCATGTCCAGTAGAAACGACATACATTCGCTCTTGCTTTGTCTCTCTCTCTCTCTTCCCTCCCCAACAAATACTAGAAGTCCAAGTGTGCTTTTTTGCACTTACTTTATGGTGTTTGAGTCTGTCAGTCGATACTGGAGCACCGCGTGCTGTGACGAGCACGATGGGTGGTCTATCGGAACGTCCGCGACCTATGGTTAATTGAGAAGTGAGGGTGGGAAAATTCATCAAGGATATTTTAGTTTGCCAGAAAAAACATGCCCAAAAAGAAGGGACGAGTACAAATGGGGTTTGCTATTTTAAGCAGACGCTTTTTGTTGCGGAAGTAAGGCGGTGGCCAAATAAGGCAAAACAATATTTCTCAGGATTAGCAGCCCAAAAAGCAATTGCGAGGGGGGGCCTTTTTTCCTTATTCAAATCGCTCAATCAAGCCCTCTTTTTCTTTGGTTTCGCAGCACAACAACACACAAAACTACAGATCGAGGGGGAGACAGGAGACACAGCTCGGCAAAATAAAAAATTCAAGAATTAGCGTGAGAAATCATTAAGTTACCTTTCGATCCCGGCCAAACAAATATGCGCTGGCTGTGTCAACACGGTGCATGTCAATGTCCTTGCCGTCCTTGAACACGTAGATGCGCCAGTGGCCGCTGGGCTTCCTTGCCTCCGCAGGCTCGCTGTACTTGAGCACAACGCCATTGACAGTGTTGGTTTCTGCCGCCAGCTTTCCTGAAAGCCCAAAATTAGCTGAAGTTGCCACAGCATCGGTGTCTTCCTTGGGGGACTCTTCGCTCTTCGATTGGTCAGCGCCTTCGGCCTTTGCAGCGGCCGACGGCGGCGGCGGCGGCTTGGAGGGTGCACTGCGGTGGGCAGGTTTGGCGGCGTTTTTAAAAGTGGTTGAGGAGGCTGAGGATTTGGTCAACACCGGTGTCTCTGTCGCCGGCGAGCTTGCAGTGGCTGTGGCCAGAGCAGGGAAAGTGCGCGCAGATCCGGCCTCGTCGTCAGCCCTTGTCGCGCCATTGGCAGAGGCGGATGGTCGGCGGAGGCTGCGGTGGTCTGGGTGTTTGCGTCCGTGTCTCCGGACTGCGCCTCAATAGGTCGCGTGTCTGCGCTCGAGCTCTCGTGTCTTCTGAGCGATGGCGCGTGGTTGTGGTGGCGGCTCTCTCGTCTGGGCTCATCGCGCGCTTCATTGGCAGAATCCCTGATGGCGGAATGTAGCTCTCTGTGCGGCTCCTCCGGCGATGAGTGCGTGCGACGGCATCTCGGCGCTCCGACCGGCTTTCCTCCTCGCCTGAGCCGCGCGTATTGTCGGGCCGACGCTGCCGCTGCTGCTCGCTGGTGCCAACGGGGCTGACCGAATGCCGCCACACGGCCGTGCTGCGCCTCCTTTTTCTTTCGGTAGGTGACCGAGACATTGTTGTGTTTTTTTCTTAGGGTGGCGAAAGAGCTGAAAGAGAAAGGAGTATGGTTTTTTTGAATTTGAAAAAGGAATAAGAGTGCGCGGCCAATGCCAACACAAAGAACTAGCATTTGGACGCGCGCCAATGAAAATGGGATTTTCGATTTGAAATATGGTTTTCAATTCATCCGTTGTTTACTTTAATATTTTTGACTTTTTGCATGGTGCATTGACGCGTTCAAGCCGGCTGCGTACTTTGTAATTACGAGGTTGGCCATGGCGATTTAAGCGCGCTGATTTTTCTATTCTGTACTCCCTGCACAGTGTATAGTTTGGCGGCTGAGAGAGGGCCTGATCATGTGCATCCCCTTTTTGCGCCACATTCTTTTTTATTTTAGCCACGGATTATTGGGCCGCTGGCATCGACAAAACGGCCAAACGCGCCTGCTACTCAGAACACACTGAGACGCTGCAAAGTGAACACCAGGCAATTCCGCTACTTCTTTTTTTCGTTCAGTTTGCGGAGAAATCGGCATTCTAAAAAAAGCGCCTGTCATGTGAAAGTAACAACTAGCTGGCTATTTCATCGCACGACTTCCAATATTCTGCGAGGCGCTTTTTTATCCTTCTGCACTTTTGGTTTCACTGCCCCTCCCCACGTGCACATACGACAATTAGGAAATTAATTAATTTGCATTTATAGTTATAACCTTGCATGCCTGCCTTTATATTCCCACACTTCTGCCCCTCTGGTATGCACATGTGCGCACGCTACACCAGCCCGACGTAAAAAAAAGATGTGTGCATGTTGCTGGTTGTGCTTGTGATGATGATAGTGTTGTTATTGTTGCTGTTGCAGCAATTTCTTCTGGAAATGGCGACAATGCTTACAGTAAGGGAGTAGAGCAACAACACAGTTCTGATTACAACCAGCAGCAAACAAAAAAGAGAGAGAAAGAGAGGTGGCGGCCTTGTTGGGCTTCTTCGTTTGCACGTCTATTATTGTAGGCAATGATAGACGCTATTTTGTAAGCAACCATGACAGAATCCATGTTATTGCTGCCAGGCTATTTCGGGATTTGGGGAATAGTGGACGCGGAGATGTGCCGACCAGAGAAATAGAGCACATGGATAGCGAATGGCTCCTTTTTATTTTTACTCGGGACTAAAAGCGACTAGACTACACGTGCCTCCATGCTCTCATTTGACACACTTGCCATCATCCCTCTCCCCCAACATTTGTTTCTTTATGCGACCTCACAAAACACAGGTGTGGAAATCAGCAAGCATGCGCAGCGCAGTCTGCCTTTTTTTACGCTTGTGAGCTCGAATTCCTCGTCAGTCACAGTGTTTCGGGTTTTTCTACTCTCCTTCCATTTCGTTCGCCAGTTTTCTCCGCATATTCCCAGACATGTTTTTATTTTGCAGCACTGTACTGGGATTTAGCACCCCCCCTCCCCACCGACCAATCACCAAATCCCAAAAAAAAACTGGAATTAACTATTTTGGGGGTAAAAAGGGGGGAGTTCAGTGTACCTGGCTGTGTCAGATGCGCTTGTAGTAGCCAAAAAAAGAAGGGACGGGTTCAACAAGAGAAAAAATGATTTTTGCGTGTGTCCAATTAAGCCTTGCACATATTTCAAAAGGACAAGTCGCTATTAAACGACATGAGGTGTGGTGGGTGTATTATTTCTTTTTTCATTTTCTCTGCCATATTTTTTTTTGCTTTTTTCCTTTGCTTTATTTTTATTTTGCTCACACAATCACTTTTTTTTCCACATCCTCATCCCCCCACACGCCAAAATCCTCACCTAAATCCACACTGTATAAAGAAGTAACCCGGCAAACCTTGAAATAAATCTTTCTTGTTGCCAAACTACCCTCCAGTGAACTTTATTTTTCCGCGTGCAACCTCTTTCTTTTCTTTTTCAACTTTTTTCTCTAAAAAACAATTTCTACGTTATCAATCAGCATAGTAGTAGAGTACATAGCCGCACCCTCTTTTTTACACACACCCCTTCTTTATTTCCTAATTGTACATAATGGCTGGAAACGCCGCCACGGTCGTTACAGCGCCCGCCACTGTCGATGGTGCTTCTGCCGGTACTAACGCTGCATTAACGGCTACACAGGGGACGGACGCTGTTGCGCAGATACGGGCAAAGTCGGGCAACAGCTCTGATGTAGATTCAGAGGTGCAATCCAACAAACCCTTGTTTCTAAACTTTACTGCCGAGCTGGCCCCCTTTAACGCATCCAAGAAGCAGAAGAGGAAATCAAACGTCTATAAGGTCAGCGGTGTAAACATCCTCAACCGGTAAGTTTTTAAGTTCCTATATCCTAATTATTCTCCTCACTCACTCACTCTCACACACACTCGTTGCCGTTGCCCTCACTTAATTCCTTTATTTTTGGTTTGCTCAAAAATCCCTGTATGTAATTTTTGCTCTACGAATTATTATGCTTATTATTATTTCTTCGTCTTCTTGCCACTCTCTTTTAACAATTCTTCTAATTATTTTGGAGCCTTCTATTTCCAAAAAAAAATTGGCAGATGGTGGTCGACAGATAATAGTGGCGCCGTCAGACGAAATAATTGCTAAAAGACACAAAACCGCTGCCAAGCCACCATTCAAAGCAATGGATCGGAATGCAGAAAAATAAATCGAGCAAAATATATAGTTTGTCCTTTTGAACCCTTTTGCACCCTTTGAAACCAATTTTTATTCAGTCACATTGTACATATGAAAAAGTTCTAATTAACTATGTAAGAAATTGTCTACAAAGCATACTAATAATTAAAAAACTCTTTGCACGATTCCTTTTTATTTTATTCTTCTCGTGATGTTTATTGTAGAAACAGCGTGGACAGCAAAACAGCGCTCGAGAGACTGCAGAGGCGCCGCGAAAACCATAATTTTGTCGAAAGGCGGCGGCGCGACAACATCAACCACACTATCACCTCGCTATCGACTCTGATTCCGTATTGCACTGATGAGGGCACCAAGCTCAACAAGGGCAGCATTCTGCACATGGCTGTTGACTACATTCGCGACCTACAGGACATTAACCAGGCCCTTTCCGAAGAGAATATTCGCCTTGGCGGCAACGGCAACATCCAGCTGCCCGGGCGCCGCCACCACCGGGACTCTCTCAACAGCAGCGGCGTCGACACCACCGCCCCGCACTCGCAAGACGAAGAAGACTATGAGGATGAGGAAGACGAGGAGGAAGACGACTATGAGGAGCGCACGTTACCACAGAGCCTGGCCACGTCCCCCAACTTGAGTCAACCGCAAACTCCATTGCCAGCGCCATGGCTGCAGCGATAAACAAGGACGTGACGCCCAAAAGGCGCCGCAATACGCCTTTGGACAATCGAGCTCGTCATCATCCAGCAAAAACGGCAGTAAGAACAGCAGTAGCACCAGGGGAAGGAAGAAGCCGGCCATTGCGTCATCGCGAAACAGCTCTTTGGCACTCAACCAGCTGGCGGCGCACCATGGTCATTTGCCAGGCACCGACTCCCCATTCTTCAATACTGCCCCTCCCTCGATTGCGCAGTCGATGAATGTATCGCCTGTCGCACTTTCTGCATCTGCTGTGCCAGTCGGGCGCACGAGCAGCCGGTCGTTAATGCCGACAGCCCACCAGCCGCCCACATCGGCGCTGGCCCAGAGGCGGCCATCGTCAAACGCATTGCAGCACCAGACATCGCTGCCCCCGATTGGATTGGTTGCGCCAATTTCAGCAACTGTAGCTGGAAGCGGAGCCTCTGTCCCGCCAGGGCTTCATCACGCCTCGAGCATCTCTTATCACCAGCAACATATGGGTACAATGCCCATGGTGCACAACCAGGCTGTTGCCAATGGCGCGCGCCGTCAGCCTGCCCAGTCAATGCCCAGCTCGCCCATCTTCCGCGCGCACCACTCCACGAATATCACCACAGCGGCCGCTTCGGCGATCAGCCGCTTGGCCGCCAGATGCCCGTATTGAATAGCCACCCGTTCTTCAACAGCGATATTTCTTCAATCCGCCATCACTTGCAACCAGCAACAGCAACAGCATTTACCTTCGGTTCTGGAATCCTCCGCGTCACATTTTTCGGCCGCAACACACCGGCATTTAAACCCATCAGCAACAGCAGTATCAGCAGGGTGCCCTTGGTGAATCCTCAGCTCATATTCGGACGCAGGTTCAAATATGTATGTGGCCCAGTCGTTGCAAAATACACCATTGATGCGTCCAATTCGCGATTTTGCTTCTGGCAGTGATGCGTTTGAGTTGCCGCCTATTGCCCTTGGCGCTAATTCCAATTGCAGACCGCAAGCACAGCCGCAACCCATGTCTCAATACCAACAACAGCAACAGCAACAGCATCAGCCGGAGATGTAATTTGTTTTTATTATTCACTCCAATAAAAACATGTTTTCTCCGAGCCACATATTTTTTTTTGTTTTATTGTTAAAAAAAACTATACCATTTTTGTTTGCTGATTTTTTAATAATAAAAACTTGCTATCAGCTTCAACATTAATTAATTTCCTCGGGAATAACTTTACTAAACAAAGACTAAAAAAACTCATGGCATCTGACTCTTCAGCTCACGCAAAAGCAGCAGCAATTTGCTATGATATGTACCAGCAACACTAGTATTATAAATCTGTAGTTCATTCTCAACAGCAAGCATTGCAGGCACCCAGGGTTTCTCCTTTATCTCCTCGACATCCGTCAATTTAGCAAACAATACGTGCAGCTTTTCTAGTGTTTTTTGCCGCTTCATATACCCAACCCGATCGCCAACTATGGCCTTGAGCGAGGGCACTGTGGGTTGCAGCTCGGTGTTCTTATCGAATGCTGGACTGTTCGGATCATGGTTTAATGTGAGTTCCCTCCAGAATGGCGCGGGTTTGAGTGCTGTGGGCTTGATGGTCGGCCTTGAAGGTTCCGCAGTCGCTTGTTTGGCGGGTTCTGGCTTTGGCTCTGGATTTGGCTTTGGCTTTGGCTCTGGCCCTGGCTTTGGTTTCGCAATTTCAGGTATAATCGGGGTAGCTTGTACAGAGTTTTTACCTGATGGTGCCGCGATGTAACAGCTACTTGTTGCAGCGTTTTACTTTGCTGATGCTGTTCTTTCTGCTGGGGTGGTGGTGGTGGCGATGGCGTAAATAACTCGTCCTCCAGCCTGATCTCCTCGCTAATATCCATTGCATGATCGTCGTCCATGGTAAATTTGGAAGTTTCCATATTGGGAGGCCCCGATGCTGTCGGCTGTTTCGGGGGATTATTGGCTTTTGACTGCAGCTTGGGCGGTGTCTGTAGAGACACAGGGTACCGCGGTTAACTTTTCCCTGTGTGGACAATCAATTTTCGATAAAAGACCCAATGATGGAAACATTTAATAAAAAAAGTTTTAGAAAGTAATGAAATTGGTATAATCTATTAATATAAGCAATTATATTACGTATTTTATATTAATATTTGCCACCCATTGAAAAAATGGGAAGGAAAAAAAGTAAAAAGGACGGATGTAAACAATACACGCGATAATGGGAATGTATGTGTTTGTCTTGGCCTTATCTCAAACGGCATACACCCGGCTGTATCCAACAATGTTTCTGCGGCAACAAGGGCAGTGATCAAAACTGCGCGCGGCCAAAGCCACCCTACAATCATTGCACAAACAGAGGCACCTGCAAGGGCGCAGCATCACCGATCGTGTGTTTGCCCAGCATATAACGCACAGCATCGCATCGCCGGTCAAGCTGTCCCCCTGATCGGCATCGCTAGGCGCAGTCCCGCGCAGTTGACGTCTGTCTTGGATAAGCTGGGCCAGCGCCTCCACCTCGCCAGGATTAAACGGCAGATCGGGGTGCGGAGATAACTGGGTGCTGCCGCTGTGAATTCCAGACAGTATTCGGAGCAATGCATGTTGTTCAAGTCACTGGGTGCCGAGTCATTGGTGTTTGGGAATTGCCGTGCAAGCATGCCGCGCGTCATAACCGTTGAGTTGCCGCTTTTGCTGGCGAGCACTCCTGGTGAGATGTTGTCAAATATAGAGTGCGCTATGAAGGCCATCGCTGAGGCCAGTTGGCTACTGGGACTCGCGATGTCGTCCGAATTGTCGAGGATGTCACAGACCAAGTCCGCGGTCTCTTTGAACCTGCCCTGACTCCCGATATATCTCGTATCGTCGCTCTCGCTAAAATCGCTCTCGCTAAAATCGCTCTCGCTTTCGCTGTCGCTGTCGCTCATTGCCACAAAATCAAAATCAGCATCGTCGCCGCTGCTGTCCTCATATTTGGCATTGACCAAGTCAAGTTGACCATATGCGCACCCATTATCGCAGTCGTTATATCCATATCGCCGCCACTGCCTTTACATTTTCACGGCCTCGGTTACCCAGCGCAAGAATCCTGCCGTTGGCTGCTGTGGTTCCTCGCGAAACCGCCTTACGGTTCAGCACGCAGTATCCCAGCGCAACGCATAAGGACCAAACAGCAACAGAAAGCTTGCGAATCGAGTCGCGCGCGTGTCCCTAAATGCCACCACCATATCCATCGAGTTTGAGGGCATCTGCACCACGCACTGGGCTCGTCGTCGATAAACACGCCATGCCGCACATATCTCTCTGCCCCTGCAGTGTGCCGGCACCAGCTTGCTTCTTAGCTACTGATTTGTCCGCAGTATCCATGCGCACAACGGTCTTGTCGATGTACTCGTCAGCGCGGTGGTGCGCGGGATCCGCATGGCGCCGCACTCCCGCGAGAAGCCGGATGAGCGGATCTGGTTGCTGTACTGCTGCAAGCAGGTGCCGGCAAGATCAAGAATCTCAACGCTAAAGTCGCGGCGCAAGTCGGGGTACAGCGGCAGGCAGACACCCTGGGTTAGCTCGTACAGTGTCTCGTCCTCGTCCTCGCCTCGTCAGAGCCCGTGAGGATGCCCTGGAATGCGCCGTGCCGATCGTACAGCGCAGCAGCAGCGTGCGCTTCAGGCCCTCCACCATTGTCACCAGACGCAGCAGCTGACTGGCGGGTGCGCTGACGACGGATGACGCCCAGTCTGTCAATGGTGGCGGCCAGCCAACGGATAGACACAGTGGTCAGAACAATGAGGAACGAAATTCCCAGCAGTGACATCGACATAACCTGCACAAACGGGTACATGTTCTGGTGCCAGCGTAGTTGCACATGCTAAAGACAAAGTGGTGGAGCATTAGCAGATTGGCGGCGCCCGTTGGCAGTAGGCGCCACTGCCACCCGTTGGTGACCATCATGAGGGTGTGGCTGACCAGGAGCTTTTCAAAGACATTGAGCAGCGCCAGCTCTTGGATCCGCAGCGACCCGCCGTAAAAGTAATACAGTGATGTGTGCTCGACCAGCCCGCCAATGTACTCGTAGGGGGCGCACAGGCTGCCTTCGAGCCGGGCGACAAACACGTCAACGCAGTCAAAAAGACAGGTGGTAGCAAACGACAGCCACAGGGCATGCGCAGAGTCTCCGGCATTGTCGCCCTGCTCAGCCCACCCCTGCTCCTGCGCAAACCGAGACACATACTCTATAGGCCCCTGCATCCATGGCGTAGCGCCATGTGACGAGCGATCGCTGCGATCGAGAGTGACGCAAACAATAGAAAGCGTTCTGAGCAGAAGAAGGTGCGTTGGTAGATAAACCGCCACGCGCACCCACATGCCCAGCGGCCGCACGCGCTGTCTGTGCACGAGCACGTGGATCCTGCTTATTATAAAGCCGATAAATAGCGCTAGCAGAAATACCGAGACACAAAAAGCCCGAACAGCTGTATGCTCTCGGCTGCACGGACGCTGCTATTCCGCCGGAGGTGTATTGGGTTTTGATTGCCGCTGCCATTGTTGTCGCCGGTGCCAATGGTTCGAATGGCTGCTTGTTGGCGTGCTCTGGCTCCCATGCAGCCGGCAGCGCTACGAGGTAGTCCACAAGGCGGTTGAACGGATCGCCTATCCGAAAGTCGTATAGCTGCTGCCACACATCGGGTGCGCTCGTCGACGTCGCGTCACGGCGGCCGCTGCTGCGAATTTGACCGCTTCTGGAAGTATGTCCATAGTCTGGTTTTGTGTATGTATGTATATGTGTATGTGTGCAAATTGGTAATAGGAATGTGTGGGTGGTGAAAAGCATGCAATTCAGTTAGAGTTTGGGAGGTGTAAAGTACATGGTGTATACGTGTGTGTGTGGAAATAAAAAACGGAATAAATACAGAGTGGAGTCAACCAAGAGCAGTACTCGGAATATTATATTTAGCCCGCAAATGTTCAAAGATAGCAACGAAAAAGAGTAGTACGAAAAAAAGAGGTAGACCCGTGGCAAAAAAAAGAAGCAAGTAGTTCGTCGAGGAAATAAAAAAATCAGCGATAAATCTTGTTTTTATTCGCCACCCAAGCCAAATTTTGATGAACCACTGTTGAACAAAGAAATTCAATTCATCCAACACTATATGAAAAGAATGAAGCTAAAATATCCTGCAAACCGACATCCTTCCCCATAGTGTTTAAAACTACTGGCAATAGACCACTATGGTTGACGATATTAATCAGGTTGCTGCTTTTTTTAAAAAGAAGTAGGGGAAGATGGATTCTTGCGCACACGCTTGGCTTGGGCTTTGGCTTGAGCAGAGTCTAGGTGTCGCTGTGGCTGGCTTCAACCGACTCTGACGATGCCTTTTTGCGTGAAAGGCGGGGAGGATGATTGCCTGTAAGCAGGGCATTAATAATAATGCGAAAGTTCAACATGCAACCATGTCACAATCCCACTTCCGTTTGCCTGATGGCACTTTTTCGCCGTCCTTGATCTTTGTTCCGTCGGCCCTAAAGGTTTGCAAGCAGTTTTCCATTGTGCACTGGAGCAAGCCATGTCATAAAATTTGGCAAGTTTTTATACTGCTGGAGTTGTATTAACATCTGTTGCGGCCACCTGCTCCTGCTGGTGCTGACCATTCTGCTGCTGCTGCGCGGCCAACTCATCGCACATCCTGTCTGATTTTGTGCTCAATTTTGCCCCACGACCAGCCACTCAACCTGACAATGCATTGTGATTATAGGCGGGCTGGATATTAACGCAGTGCTTCCGATTCCGCTCAGCCGCCTCACCCCACAGCTGCTACTTCATCTTGCAGGAAATTCTGCTCTTAGACCAGCCCTTTTCTTCCCCTATTCACCGGATGATATTGGCAGACTGTGGACGAATAGGCATCCACTGGTTGAGACTGTTGTGCACTTTCTGTAATAGATGTGGCGTTGGTGGCAGTTTTAATTGCAACTGAAACAGCGGTGGCCATGGTCGCGACGAAGTCAGATGCTGCTGTTACCATTGCGACGTGGTACTTATGCTTGGGATTCTTCAGACGAAGATTATCAATTTTGTGAAATTTCTCCAGCCTACTCTCCACGCCGGCCAAAACGTTGAGGTGCAATACTCGTCGATCAAATAAACAGTGAATCCCTGAGCTATTAGCATTTTCCGCAGCCCCTTGCCACTAATTGGCTCATGGTGACGGTAATACCTGGGTCTAATTACCAAGAATAGGACCATATCTGGTTCAAATTTTTCGCGCAAAGTTTTTGCGAGTTGACGTCAGCGGCTTTCTGTTAACAAAGGAAAGATAGCGGAGCTTGCGGTGGAAAGGGTCAGTTGAGCTGCTGCCGTCATGTTTCCGACTCTTGCTGAGGGTCTGCATGTTGTGACAATGTTTGCCAAAATAAAACCCCTTTCCAGCACTCAAGGAGGTACTCGACATATAACTTGCAATCGACTGTGCTGGAGCCAGGGTGGTTGAGCGCGCGCTCGGAACCTCAACAACGTATACCAACCATTTGTTTCCGCCTTGGCAACTTTGCTGGGTCAAGCTGGAATACCTTTTTTTATTTTTGCAGATCTGTCGGAACACGCATTCATATCGTTTATTAGCCTCTGATTCTTGTATAGCGAAATATAACTCACACTTTGTGATACCGTCGTAGTGGTATGTTATATTGTCTGGGATATGACAGCGACTAAAAAGGGAACTGATTTGTCAAAATATCACGAATGTCATTTTTTGACAAATCATCAATGTATTCGGGAGAAGCATTATTATTCGGGGTACATCATTGCTGTGCTGTTGCTGTTGCTAGAATCGCCAGAACCTTTCTGAGACTGAAGTATCCTTAGCATTGACCCTCTCAGCCTTGATCCCCTTCTTCTGTGTGTTTCGGATGAGTCAAGTAATACGATTATTGCAACACCATCAGTACAAATAATCCCTCAGAACTTGTGTGGTTTTTTGTCCTTTTGAGTATCGAGCATGAACAGCCAACGTTATATCACAAAATAGGAACCAAATTTATTCTGGTGACTTGACTAAAGGCTTTGTCAGAGGCATAATTTCAGGGGCCTTGATATCCTGGTAAAGACTATCCTTGTGGAGTGCTTCAAGTCGGCTCGTTGTGACAGACAGAATACACCATGCAAGGATGGTCTTGTCAATTGTAGTAACCCGGTACAATAGACGTCCGCATTAGGAAGAGTGAAATTGTCTTCATTGCCTTGTTGAGATTTAAAACCCGGCAAATCTCAACAAAAGCCCCAATGTGGTTCACTGTATTGGCCACAGAGTCATACTGGAGCCCCCTATCGCCAAAACTGTGATCCTCAGGGTAGGTGCCAAAACTTTCTCAATTAGGTGCTCCATTCTGTCGCGAAGCACAGTATCTGAAGTTTGTTTGGTGTTGATCTGCTTCCTGGCCCTGCTATAATTCTGATATCATTACTAATGCACTGTTGTATTTGTTTTTTTCAGTATGGCCATCCTCACTCTTAATAATCTCGTACCGCTGTTTAGTCCTTTTCTTTACATCAAGTGCTATGTCAACCATATTTTTAACTGCCTGTTAAAGCGCTGAAATTTATGAGATTTATACGCCATCAGAATTGTCGGCCCTCATAATTAGCAATATAGGCCGCACCAGTGAGATTTGGGCACTCAAACTTGATTTCCTCAGCAAACGTGTGCCTGTGCTTGTTGACGAGTTTGCCATTTGCGTTGCTCAGGTTGCTGCTGCATGGTTTATTTCCGGCAGTGAGACAAAGGGCGATGAAATACTCTTTAAAAACCTTGATTTAAATAGTCAACAATATTAAACCCCTTGTTATCCAGCTCTTGTAAAAAGATACACTGTGCGAGCTCGTATGTGGCTGTTGTAGTACGGTGGATGGGGATAACATGTTTGCGCAGAACTGTCATAAAATAGGGACAATACATTTTGCAGAGCCCGAGGAGCGCCTCTATGCTAATGGGCATAATAAAAATAAAAATAAAAAGTTGAATGATGACTATTTTCCAAAAAATATAAATACATTTTCGTAAACTTAAAACTAACTAAATAAGTCTCATCAACTTCATTGCGTTCGCGAGGGATTATTATATCCAACGCACCCAAAACAATAACACACACCGGTACTGGCATTAGAACTAGCACTGTACTGGTTTAAGTGCCTAAAAAGCCTAAAGGCCAGCTAGCGCCCTGATTCCCTGCTATTTCCATTCCACAATGGTGCTGAAGAATAGGCGTGGGTACAGGGTGGGCTGAATACCAGCCATTTTATGGTATTTTCCAATAAATATAAACCGTAAAAACCCCAACCTAAAAAATTTGAACCTCGAAATTTTGTACGGAATCGCTCTACAGAATCACCCTATGGAAAATTCATTTTTAACTCATGGAATGACGAGAAACTTTATGTTTTAGGCGCTAAAACCAAATTGTTTATCCACTTCAAAAAAGAAATGTTTTATTTTAAGCAGGCAAAAAATGGAGAAATGAAGTATTTCTTCACCCCACATTTTCATACAATTGCATTTATAATTCAATTGTACCATTGATTAGAAAAAGCCATACAAAAACATCAACAATGCTGTCATAAAAGCTGGCGTTTTAATTTGCCATAACAAACATACTGAAGTGAATGAGTAAAACTATGCAAACAGACTGCGAATCCAGCGGGCAGGGCGTTTTAAGCGATCGTAGCTGAGTATCCATCTGCAAAAGCCTTTGTCTTTGTCTTTGTCTTTACCTCCGCCCCCGAGTTACTGTTTTCCCCTAGCATCACAGATTCAACCGCCGTCGACCCACTGCTGCTAGTAGTGCAAGCGCGCGCACTACGCACCGGCAGTGTCAAAAACCCAAGCCCCATGGGATCCGCAACTGGCGCAGGGGAGAAGCGCACGATCTCTCCGACAATCGTGGCGACTGCGCAAGCGAAATCGTCGACACCGGGCACAAACTCACAAGCGAATCGTAACGCGGATCAGCTCGCCACTGCGCATTTGCAAATTTAATGACATCCTCATCATCATCGATGCATTCCAAGGATGATTTTGAGTCAAACAGCGGGAAGGGCTCGGCTTCGCGCACGTATTGCTCAGCTAGTACCATTGCTATACTCATCATTTGGGTTTCGGCAAAGCCACTGTGGTTGCGCCGGGAATGTGTGCCTCTGCCAACAAGAGTGAATTCGTACTGTGTGCTTTCGATGATGTCTCGCGGAAGACACGGTAGGCATGGCCATACGTTGTCGGCAGGGCTGCTGTTTGCACAAAGCTTTTTGGTGACTCGCGCTGCGTATGCCCGCGATGGCGAGGTCTGCGAGTAGGAAGTGTGGAATAAGACATTGCTTTTTTTAAAACGAGTAAATAAATAAGAAGTTATTAAAATGTGAAAAATAAATAAATACTTAAAGTTGGTATATAGATTTTAGTGGAAGAAAAACGATTAAGAAAGACAAAACATGGGAAGCTTCAACTGTCATTTTATATTTGGCTGGCTTACTTGCCGATACACGCGCACAGGCGTGGAAACCATTTTTTGTATCTTTGTTTGGAGCACTTGACTCCAGCAAATTAAATTCGCTGGGTTTTTCTAGCCATGCCAACGGGTTTGTAGAAATATGACAAACGGGGGAATTGAGGGACTAAACAAATAACCCAAGCCAAAACAAAAGAGCTTGAGTAAAGGAAAAAATAAATGGGGATGCTGAGTAAAACAGCAGTTTCAATTCCATTTTATAAAAAAATTTGGTTTGAAACAACAAAGGTCCTCCCCACTTCAGGAATGCCGGAGAATGCAAAGTGATGCGTGTTACTTTCTTTGACTCGTTAAATATGCTGCTAATATGAAAGTCTCCCTATATATTTTGATACTTGTTCGGACTCCTTCACTGTCAATTGCTAATGTTTTTTTTGATAATATTGTTTTCCGCCACTTGTTTACATTTTAGCGTAAAATAAACAATAAATTGTTGAATTTTATCAAAACAATAAATGAAAACTAGTCTTTGTCCACACTGTTTTTGTCTTTGCACAATACTTTTGAATAATGAAAAGCATAAAAACATGCTATACTTTTCTACCTTGTGTTGGTTATAAATACAGCACAATGTAAATTAATAAAATCAAAAATGAAGTTAACTTCTCCAATATGAACTTGTTTCCAAAAAAGTTTCTTTTTCACATGTGCTGGCACAAAAGTGGAACGATCATCATCGGATGTTACACTAAAATAGTTGTTTTAAAGTTGTTTTTTAAATGCAGCTCCGATCAATGTGCCGTTTTGCTTCGTTCATTTTCAGACCATCTCGGGTGAGAATCCCTTTTCAAAATAAAGTGAGAGATGAGCTCGTTTGCCAGAAAAAATCAACGACTATGATCCTTTTATGTTGCCAGAATTTAAAATAACAACAAAAAATTTTGGCTTATATTTTCACAGCCTAGAATCCTTTGCCATAATGATATACATGGATGCGTGTATATCTGAATATTGCTGTCGTTGATTTCTTTTTCATTTTTCTCAACATTTTTTGTTCCACCCCTTTGCAAATGAGAAAGGCCAGGAATCAAACCATTTCTTTATTGGGTTTGCTTTTTTTGGCGGTCTGCCAAAAAAATGAAAATATGAAAGCAAAATAAAAACACCGAGTTGCAATAATGCTAAGACTATAAACACTGCATGCCAACAAATTATTTAGTCACCATTCTGTTGTACAGAATTTTCAATGTTGATATATACCCATCTGTATTGCATAGGGCTTCTATTCCATCTTTACACTTATTAATATCATTTATACATTATTTCCATTTCTATACAATACAATAAAATGCCTCCACAATTTCCCCCAGCACTGGGTTACAGTACAAATGCGTACGAAAGCACATTTTCCCTGGACTTTGAAGCCCCAAAAAACATTACGCTCCACGATGCAGAAACATTGTCGGCAATTGGCTCGCCATACATGGACTACAGCAAAACAAGCATTACCAACACTGACTACAGAGACACACCAGTAATCAGCTCCTACAACAGCTTCCCAAGCCATGACAAGGACAAGGTACTCCAACACGAGGTTATCCAAGAACCCACACAGCTGCTCTCCGGGCTCAAACTAGCCCTGGCTATCATTAGCCTGGACATCCTGATTTTCATTTCAGCACTGGACACAACAATCGTGGCCACAGTATACGTGCCCATTGGTAACACAATGAATGCCTTGGACAAGTCCGAATGGATTATCACCAGCTACCTTATCACAGTAACGGCATTCCAGCCGCTCTACGGCAAAATCAGCGACATCCTGGGCCGTGTCGAAACCATTGTCGTTGCAATTGTCATTTTCCTCATTGGCTCTATTCTCTGCGCCGTCTCGAAATCCATGGATATGCTTATTATCAGTCGTGCCATCCAGGGCATCGGTGGCGCTGGCCTGATGAGTCTTGCACTTATTGTTATTGCCGACATTATGAACGAGAGGCAGCGTGGCAAGTACGTTGGCGTGTTCAGTGGCACCTACGGCGTGGCATCGGCTATTGCTCCGATTATTGGCGGCAGCATTGTGCAGAACACAAAATGGCAGGTGGTATTTTGGATCAATATTCCGTTTTGCGTCATTGCCCTGGTCATGATAACTATGCTGCTGCGTATTCCGCGGCCTCGGGGCTCGCTCAAGGAGAAGCTAAGATGGTGGATATTGTTGGATCCCTCTTGTGCCTTGCTGGCGTCACCTTGTTGCTCATGGGCTGTCCTGGGGCGGGCGCGAGTACGAGTGGAAGTCAGCCCAGGTTTTGTGCATGCTGGTATTCGGAATCGTTATACTGGCTCTGTTTGCTGTATATGAAGCCATGGTTCCCAAGCACCTATTGTTCCATTAATCTGTTTAAGGTCCGCAACGTCTTTTTTGCCTCTGCTGCCAGCCTGTTTTTTGGCTTTGCAATTAATGGCACTATCATGTTTATTCCGCAATGGGCACTCATTGTCAAGCACGCCTCGGAGGTCACGGCCGGCGCCTACCTTATTCCGTGCTGTGTCGGCATGGTAATAACATCCGTTTTCAGCGGGATCATGGTAAACAGGACTGGCCGGTGCCGCGAAATAATCATCATCGGAGCTGGCACCCTGGTCATTGGCAACAGTCTGCTCATAATCCTAGGCAGCGACGGTAAACTGGGAAAAATCATTGGCTTTCTGCTTATCTCTGGGTTGGGTATCGGCACTTGCATCCAAACTATTAGTCTCCTTGGCCAAGCATCTGTTGATGGCAAGGATATGGCATCAACAACAACAACATTTATGTTTTTCCGGTCTCTGGGTATGGTCCTGGCAGTTTCGGTTCTGAGCAATGTCATTCAAAACGTTTTGCACAAGGATGTCGTTAAGTTTATGACCAAGTTCCCGCAGTATGCTGAGTTGGTTGGAAAAATTATGAAGGACCAGTCCCTTTTATACTCGGAGGGTGTTCCGTCTTTGCTACAGGAGGCAATTGTTCTGTCCTATGCCAAAGCGCTGAAGGACGGGTTTATTACTTTGGCAGTGTTTACGGGTATTTTCTTTGTCTTGACATTTGGATTTAAGCATATAGAGCTTAAAACTGTTTTAAAAAGAACTATTGATGCATAAGGCTATAATTTCTATTAATCTTTTTACTTTAAACCTCTGCATTTTCAAAAATAATAAATCATATATATATACAAGTATATGAGTGTCTAATGTTTAAAAATAAAAATATGGTAACCAGCTTATATTGGGAAAGTATTCAACAAGAAGCTTGGCTATATGTTGGCCAAAAATGGCGATTAATTGATCAATAGTAGAGGGTTTTTTTGCCAGCGCTGTTACTTCATAAAACTGAGTATTTGGCCTGCTAGCGTAGAATGTCAATTGCGGCCTATATATCTGCTATTTTTGTCTGCCGTTTTCATTTAATTCGGTTATAAATAACTTTGGCTGTTTTTCTGCGTGCGCTCTTTTTCGAAATTTGTTTGACTAGTGCTCTGTGCGAATACTCAATTTAATGATCTGAACTGTTTTCAATTCAAACATTCCAGCCAATTTTATTCAAATAAGATCAAATCAGATTTTCAGGATCTGTTCTGAGAGAGTAAAAGTCGATTATTTGTTACTCCTCCAGACGACTTATTCATCTCTGATATCTCATATCTCCCATATATGACCCTCTCTTTTTCTTTCTAGTATTCATTCTTTTTTGACTGAAATTCAATCGATTCGCTTTTTCAATCAGTGTTGGGTTTGGTCGCAAATGGACCGTTTCTTTTGGCAATGACAAGCTCTCAGCACCATTTGTCGTATATTCCGTATATATATATGTTTGTCGACTCCTGACCCAAAAAATTCGCGATTCTCACATGATTTTTCTTAGCCATTAACAATAATATATCGGAAGACCAAAATTAAACTCTGTCGCACCCTCATTTTCCTCATTTTCGCTCTCTCATCTTTAATTTTTATTATAAACACCAGCAAACAAATCATGGCAGCAAACCCTCGTATATCCAGATCACACATTCTGGCAATTCTGCTCAGTGCGCTGTACCTTGTAGCAATAGTCAACGAATGGCACAGCCTAAAGTACACCCTCAAGCCCACCGTCACGCTCCTCATCGCATACCCGACAAGCAAACCACCGATACCGCGCAAAATCTTTCACGGTCTTCTCTTCTCCACCCTCGGCGACATATTCCTCATGCTCCCCCTTGACCAAACCTTTATCCCCGGCCTTGTATCCTTTCTCATAGCGCATATCCTCTACATTCAAGCTTTCGGCAAACCCGTAGGGTGATTTGGTGGATGGCTGCTCCTTACGCGCTGTTTGCCGCTGTGATGCTGGGATTATTGTCTTCGGGGGTGGGTAAAGAGGGTTGGGTGGTGCAGGTTGGAGTGGTGGTTTATGTGGGAGTTATTTGCTTTATGGCGTTTTGCGCTTTGATGACTGGGAGGATTATTTTGGTCGTGGGTACAGTTTTGTTTTGCGTTTCGGATTCGGTCTTGGCGTGGAACAAGTTTTTGCAAGTATATGCATGGGGCGAGTTTGTCGTTATGCTGACTTATTACGCTGCGCAGCTGTGCATTGCGCTGGGACACTGCTGATCACGCTATTGTTAGACACATGGAGAATAATTGATGAGATACTTCTATGCATTTTGTGCTTTGCTTATGGTTAACAACAACAACAATAATAACAGTAGTAATAATATAATATAATAAAAATACAAAAAGGGAATAAATGGAAAAGGCATAAAAGCAGTAACGTCTAGATGGGTTATTAATGCCATGTGGGTTTACGTCGAGTTGGTTTTTTTTAGTTGTTATTGCAGTTCACTCTGCAATTGTCTCCGCCACAACATCAGACTGCAAAACCAAGGTTGGATCATGCCTGACGAGATTAAAATAATACTGCAACAGCTGCTCCTGCGTAGCGACCAAATGCCACCCAGTCATATGCAACAGTTCGACCTCCAAAGAATTCAACTCATGCATAGACACACCACCAACCTTGGCATAATGCGAATTAGTACAATACGCATCACACAATGACTTACAAGCAACTGTCGCCGCTGTTATGATAAACCGATGTACGGTGAGAGATGATATCGTGAATGTTGGATTGCGCTCGCAGATCCGGTCAACGTATATAAGTATAAGGAGAAGACAGGCTGGCTCGAGCATCGCGTATTTAGATATTCGCTGAAGATAATCGTCAATGTTGATTTTGGGCGGCGCGCGGGAGTGAAACCGGGTCGGTGTTTGCGTCACAGCCATTAGTCGGTCATTGTGCTTCACCACGCGAGAGAACATGTTGGCTATATAGGGAAATTGAAACGGAAAAAAGGGTGTGTGAGTGAATGTTTCAATTTCGTGTTCGTGTTGTGTGCAAGCAACAAGAGCTACCGGAAAAAAGACGGAGGGGAGTGCTTTGGTGAGCTTTAAATTTGAATCCAGGTTGTCAAAGAGCGATTGCTAAAAGTAAAGTTTACCTACTAGGCGCGTTAGCCGCACAATGTCGGCTTCAAAGTATGAATCGGGCATGACAAACACGGCTGTGCCTGTCGGGTTCTCCATGGTCGGGGGCTGGCGCTTTTGGTATCGTTGTAATAGGAAAAAAAGAAAAAAGTCGGTCTTTTAATATGAATCTACAGGGGAAGGGAAATGTAAATGGCGCAGGGAAGGAAAGGCGAAGAAGAAAAAGAAGAAAAATTGAATTCAGGGCTCAGAATTGAGGTGTATTTTTGTCTTCTGAATTAATGGGGGTGAATAGAAGGTTGAATTCGGAAGAAAAGTTGAAGAGGGAGAGGGCGCAATGCAGCAAAGTTACAAGGAGTCAGAAATCAGGGTGAAGGGGCAGGAGAAAAGAGAGAGGGCGGGCTTGAAGTATAAATTATTTTCAAAAGCAAAAGAAAGAAGAAAGAAGGGCTACTTTGGCGACGACGACGCCGAGCCCGGCGGCAATGGCGCGGCATTATGGCGAGCAGCAGCCCTGCCCTGCCGCACGAATTCCAAGGCCGCCGCTGCTCAGCCAGCACCTGGCGCTCAGCACTCAGGTGGTCGCGGCCAAGGCGGCAAGCATGTGCCTCAGGTCGCCCTCGCGATACCGCCCGAACGCAGCCAGGTCGCTTCCAGCACGCGGTCGACGCGCTCAGCACGCAGCTGCCTGTTATCGGCGTCGGCCTTGGCCTGCGCAAGCTCCGACACGGCATCCTGCGCATGCTCAGCGCTGATGTTAGTCGACGACCGCAGGACCGCCGCCGCCTGCTTCTTGCGGTCCAGCTGCCGCTGCGCAACCTGGTGCTCGGTGAATATCAGCTGGCGGCACTGCAGCGTGCGCTGCACATCGCCGCAGCTGGCGGCAGCCAGTCCCAGGACGGCCCAGCCGCGCGAGCCCTCGGCATTGGCCTGCGCCTGCGCATGCGGGCCTGCCAGCAAAAAGAGCTTGCCCAGCCGCTTGAGCGCGCGCGCCAGGTGCGCGTTGTGCTCGATGACGCCAGCCGAGACGAGCTTGGTACCGACATCGCGCAGATCAATGCCCAGCCGCGCCCGCGTCCGCGCCATCCGCCCATGCCACCGCCTCACCTCGGCGGCATTCCGCTGGAAAACGCCCAGGTTGGCTGCCGTCGTCTCCAGGTGCTGCTCAAAGGGCGTCGCGCCGCTGGTGATCCGCTGCGCCTGCCGGCTCTTGCCCCACGAGAAAAAGCCGCTTCCCGAGGAAGAGGGCGCGCTCGGCGCCATGGTCAGTGCCGGCGCGCTGCTCAGCGCCGGGTTGAACGCAAACGGCGCCTCGACAAACTGCCGCAGCTCGTAGTCCTGGCGCAAGATCGGATGCCACGCCACGCGGCTGAGCCATTGCTGCACAAGATGCACCACCAGCCGGTCGTTCTGGTACTCGGGCACATACTTGGACGACGTGGTTCCGGGTCCCAGCGTCGGCACGAGGCACTCCGGGTACGTTGCCTGCAGGTGCGTCTCGAGCCGCTCAAACTCGGTCTGGCTGCGCTCGACCCCCGTGTACTTGCGCGCCTTGAACCGCGCCATGTTCGTTATGACGTCGAACGTGTACACTGGCGTGCGCTTCGACCGGTCGACGAGGTGCCCGACTGTGAACGTAAGCATTGGCGCTGGGCCCTGCGCCTGTGATTGAGCTGGTTGTATCACCTTGTCGCCCTCGCTATCCTCGAATTCGCCTGCCCTGGTCGATTCAGCCTCGGACTCGCCGACTTGGCTGTCATTGCTCGCACTCCTCCGGGTCTCTCTCGAAAAAAGCCCGTGTTGTTGTCGTCGTCGTCATCGTCGGAAAATGGGTTTGCAAAATGCGCTGTTTCGCGATGAGGATCAATTTCGTCGTCGCTATACATATTAATATTGTTACAAAATGTCCGTCTCTTTTTTTCGTCTCTGCAAATTCACTCAAGTACAGGTACAGGTGTTGGTGGGTGGGTGAGTATAGAAAGTCAGGTAGGCAGCGGCAGTGGTAGGGGAGGAGAAGGAGGGTGGTTGTGGTTGTGCGTAGAAATGCAAAAGTAAAAGTAGAAAATAAATGAATAGGAATGGATGGAATTTAAATTGGACAAACGCAAAGCAAAAAATAAGCCAGGAAGCAAAGAAGGCAAAGAATGTAAAAAAAGATTTGGTCCCTGCAAAGTTCGATCAAAAAAATTCAAATCTCGGACAAAGAAAAAAGGGCACACTATTCGAGCTTGAGCAGCATGGCTTTGCATAGCCTCTGCTGGATGCCAGCAACACGTGCCTGTGCCGCAACCAAGTCGCTCACGCTATGGGCCCGCAAATCATTCGCAACAAAGCCCTCGATTTTGTCCAGCAGCGAGTCCAACGTCATCAGTGAGCAAGAAGAAGGTGATGGTGGAATTGCCAGCTTATCATCGGCTCTTCCTCCGTAGCAGACCGCTTCTCTTCAAACGGTCTCAGGAGCTCAGGAAGTTTCGCCAGCGGGTCCTGCTTCAAGGGCCCTGCAGCCGCCGAATTGTGTGCTGGCTCAGGCGACATGCGGCTGCTGTTGCTGCTGCTGCCATTGACCGAGGCGCCGCTGCTGCATGTGACCGCCGTCCACTTGCGCTTATTGCGCCTCTTCTTCTTGCGCCTGGGCGCCACCGCAGCCGCCGGGTGCGCATCCTCCTGCTCTGCACCATCCTGTAGTGCCTCTGCTGCGTCTGACCCCGGTTCTGAAATCGGCAACACCGCTGCAGCAGCAGCCTCTTCTTCCGAGTCCACATCCGTCATTGGTGTTTCTGCTGCTGGAATGGGGCCGGCGGTCTTTTCATGCTTGTCTGCAATGGACGCAACAGAAGCTGTAGCCACGGCCTGGCTACGCGTGAAAACCTTTGCAGCCGGCGTTGGCTTGGGATTGGTCTTTTCTGCCGGCTTGCTTGGCAAAGCGCAGCATTCACCGGCCGCCAAACTCACATCGATAGCCTCACTGCCGGGCTCGCTCTCCGCATCATCGCCGCAAAGCATAGTGTCAAGCGAGCGCTTCGCCGCTGCCGCCACCACCATTGGAAGCTTCTTCGAGTCCATTGGGCCCTTCGAATCCGCACTGCCCAGCACCTGCAATGCAGCGCTGCGAATGCGCACCAAATTGCCTGACGCCCAAACGCACGCGCCCTTCCTCGCATGAGAATCACCACCATTGGCATCCCAAGGGAGCCGCAGGTCGTCTGCAAATGGCCTACACAGCAGAGCAATATCATTGGAAGCAACAACATGCACGACCCAAACCAGAGCCCGCACCAAAACACGCATCCCATCAGCCTGCTCCTGATCAAGCGCGCTCAACCCACCAAGCACAATGTTCAGCACAACAAGACATTTGGCCACGCACTTGATTGCCCTACGTCCCTTATCATTCCCGGCTGACGCATTGGTTATGCTGCTGCTGTCCAACACGGAGCTGTGGAGACTGTTGAATTGCCATGGGATGGCCCCGTTGATCAGCAGCAGGATAAGCTCAACGCAGTGGTCCACCTCCACCTCATTGCTCAGAGTCGCTGGCAGATCACTGAGAAGCGTGGTAAGTGGCCCCAGGTTGCCGCCATTGACCGGTCTCAGCCGCCTATCTTGGATAAGTGCAGCCACAATGGTGTACGTATACGCCCAGAGTCCCTGTCCCTCAGCAACAGCAGTAGCAGCAGCACAACAACTGCACATTATGCTGGCAACTATCACCCGAGCCTCTGGCGGAATGCTGCAGCAAATACCCAGGAGCTCCCAGACCAGCAGGCGCGCTGTATTTGAATCCTCCAGCCTGACGTCTGCCGTGCGCACAGCAATCCGCCGCATGGTCATCACCAGGAGCGCCCGGATAGAACTGCTGCCGACTGAATCTTCCCAATGAATGCCGCGCTGCAGCCGAGACAAATATACGACAATCGCAATAACCGAATTGTAATGGCTGCGTGAAGAAGAGCCGCCGGGCGGATTGACAGGGAGCAGCTGATCTAGTGACTTTGCCATGCTGGCCTCTACCTCGTTGGTGATTATCTCGCTAATCATTTCGTCGCTCTTCTCGCTGGCAGACGCTTTGGCCAGCCGGTAGGCGTCGTCTGCCAGGGCCACAAGCGTCATCGCAAAGCCATAGCTCACCGGTGGCACCTGCTGCAACCCATTGTCAGTCACACTGGTCGGCGACAGGATCGCTTTACCAAACGATGGCGCCACAAAGCGCTCCTGCAGCAGCGCATTGCCTGTGACAACATGCGCGTCTAAACCCGGCTCAGATACGCACAGAGAGCTTGCAGAAGCAGGGCGCGCGGCTGCGAGCAGGTCTGCTGAGTGATATCGTCGAAACACGAGTATTCAAAGTAGAGATCCGCCAGAGCCAGCGTCTCCGGGCGCAGGCTGCCGTCTGCAGGTGACCCGGCCTGCGCCAACGCAGCGGCCACTGCAGCACACAATGCGCCGAATGCCGCAAACTCCGACGCATTATCTAAATCGCAGTCCCCACGCTCAATGGCAAAGTAGCTGGCGACAAACTTGATTGCAGCGTCGACCAGAACAGGCACCGTTGGGCTGGCAGTGTCCAGCCCAACCATGTACCGCATCAGATGCCCGTGTGGTCGCCGTTGTACACGGACTCTGACGAGAACGGGCCGTGCGTGTTGGACAGGCTCTTATCACCGTCTGCCGCCAAGTTCGTCGTGCCGATTATCATCTGCGGCAGCACAAATGCCGGAACCTTGCCCTCAGGCAATATGAAGCGGTTGAGCAGACTGGCCAGCACGCGACCGACGATCTCGCGTACCCGCCGGTTCGTGTCGTTGCTAACCAGCATGGGGACCTCGAGCACAGTGCTGATCAGGCTGCCGTTGTGCTCACCCAGCGCATACACCAGGGTGGCCCAGCAGCGCACGCACGCCAGCCGCACACTCTCGGTGATATCGGGCTGTCCGAGTATAGTGACTATCGGCCGAAGCACCAGCTTGACATCTTGCGATGGTGCAATTGCCTCTGCACATAGAACGCGTAGACCAGGCAACGCCACTGCATCAACGAGGCAACCAGCACATTAGGGTCCTTGGCGTTGAAGCACTGCTGATGATCTGCAACAGCCCACTGATATTCTGCAGAATGTGCTTGGCGCATATGGCGATCAGCATGCCCCAGACGCGCGCCACCAGCAGGTGCTCGCCCTGGCCAAGCAACCGATCGGCCGACGCCAGGATCCGCCCGAGGTGCTGGCTGACAAACTCCAACACGTGCTCGTCCACCTCGGCCCGCTGCACGTCGGCCGCACCCATGGGATGTTGTGCCGCACGATGTTGTCTGCCTTGGCCCGGATGCCTGGGATCGGGCTCATAATCGTCAGGAACACCGGGAACAGCCACACATGGTACACCTCGCGCGTGGCCGACGGCGACCGCCGCAACAGCGTCTCAATGGCCGACAAGCACTCAAACTGCGCCGATGTTGAGGTCTCAAACTTTGACAGCGTGTTGGCACACAGCGCAACCAAGTCAGACACAATGGGCCGCAGGCAGCTGGCTGGCGCCCGCAGCATGCTGATGCACCAGATGGCTGCCTGACACACAGCCTTGTCCGCGTCAAATTGCGCCCTGACGCGCCTCTGAACGGCCAAAATCAGGTCGCCAATCAGCTTGGGGCTCGCCGTAGTGCAGACCTTGTCTATGTGCAGCATGCACCCCGTGCACTTGATGGCCGCCAGCACTACGGGCCGCAACATCGCCGGGTTGGTGATATCGCGCAGCAAGCACTCGAGCAGCGCCACAGCTGGCTCACTGGTCTGTGGCTCGGCGAACTTGCCCGAGAACCGGGCAACCGTGCCACAAAGCTCGTTATAAATTCTGGCCACCAGTGCCATCGCCTGCTCGGTATCGAGCTCTATGCTCTTGAGTCTGTTCACAACCGTCGCAAACCTCACGTCAAACTCCATCATTAGTCTCTCCTCGCTACTGGCCGCTACTTGGGGGAACGCCGATGCGCCCCAAACAGCATCTGCGCCGCCAGGTCCTGTCCCAACACATCGCTGTCCAAGGCAAGCGATGATAGCCCGTCGCTGTCCGCATAGCTTCGCATCTGCTGCTGGTTGTCCTCTGATGCTGGTGCCGCTGTGCGTTTAAGAATGCTCCGCGACAATGGTCGCTGCTGAGCTTTGGTCGGTGACGACTGTGGCGTCATGTCTGTGTGGAACTCTTCGTTGTGTGGAGAAAAGTGTACACGTTTGAGTGAGCTACTCATCGACAGAGTGGGTCTGCGGTTCGGCGGTGTGGTCATTGCCTGCAGCTGATTTTGTTGTTGCTGCTGCTGCTGCTGATGCGCGAGCCTAGTTACCCTGGACCTGGCCACCGGCGCCAGGGCGTCTCTGTTGTTGTTTCGGCTGATGCTGATGCTGGTGCTTCTGTTTCTGCTGCCGGCGCATCAGAATGTAGTGTCATTGCGTGTGAAAAATGGTACCAAATGTGAGAATAAAAAATGAAAGAGGAGAGGAAATGAAAAATAAATTATCGTGCTAAAAAGAAAACAAAAGATTTTATTAAGACGATATTTTTTTTGTGAGGACGAATAAAATGGACGATTTCATCCTAAATGCGAAGCTTATTTCCCTTTCCACGACGCGCCCAATCGCAATGCTGCAGGAAACGTGGACCAGAAGTGGTTGAACCCGATTAAATGGGCTGCGTCAAACACTAATCAGAAAATACTTGATTAAACGCAAGCAGTTACCAGATTCAATATCCTAAAAATGAGGAGCCAAGATGGCGAACGAAACATAAAACAACGTGTGTATTTTCTCTCAGTTGTTTAAAATGAAAGGTATATATATATACAAAGGCAGCAAGGCATTCCTTTGCCCATTGCATTTATATCTAATTGCTACAAAGCTCACGTGTTTTTGACACGCCATCAGTTGATGGCACGAAGAAAGGAACGAAAAAATACCTACCAACTTGTTTTCCCAATTTTTTTTGCGACGCTTTCATTACTATATGTTGTCCAAAACATTTTTCATTATTTAACATTTTTAATGTCTGGTAGCAATATAGAAGAGAACTTTTATTTTTACAAATCGGGCCAGGCTTCAAAGAGCTTTAACAACCGCCTAAAGAGCCTCGGCAAGCATGGTATCGCGCACAGCACCCAAGTTCCAACATTACTAACAAAGTGCGAAAAGCGCATGCGCCATATGTGCAGTACACTGCGCTCGAAACTCAACTGGATGGAGCAGATGAATTGTCCAAAGGCGCTCGAACAGTGGAAAGGCGAGGCAGGCACATGTGGGCTGAGCAAAGCCGAAATTAAGCATGTATTCGACGAGCTCAAATGCCACAAAATAATGCATGTTCCTGGAAGCCACACACACATTAGCGCAGTCGACATGGTGTGGTACTCAGACACACGAGATGTCAATAATGCGAATAAAGACAATGTGGCCGATGCACTGCGGCAGTGTGCGGTGCGGTTGGAGAGCATCCTTAGCAGCCACAAAATAAAACATTGCATATGATTCAGAAAAGCAAGTGTTGTCGCTTGTTGACCCGTCGCTGTATGTGCTGGACTACGAGCGCTCGAGCATACTCCCTGAGCCCATCAAGTCGCCGGTTGACTCGCTGAAATACTGCGCATTGGGCCACTTTCCGCTTACGCTCGCTGGCTGGAAACAAACCATCGATTCAATGCCCAGAGTCAGCAGCACAGCGCCTGCATACACCGTTCCATCTCCAGAAATATGGTCTGCCTCAAAAAAGTTTAGCTGGCTGCCCTCAGAGTTCTATGTTGATACCGATGGCACGACCAGTATAAAGTCCTATATCAACAACTTACACCCGGTCAAACATGCCGAAATGTACCCAATAATTGCTAAAGCTTTTTCTAGATTTGTGCCGATATTCGAGCAGGTCATCACCGACGCAGTCTACCCGCAGCCATATCACATTGAAAACAACAGGGGCATGTGGTACAGTACCTCGACTAAATTTCCTTGCGACCACGGGGCTAAAGACTATAAAGAAAAGTACGAAAAATGGAAGGCCGCCGTTAATTTCAAGGATGCCACACCATGTACTCCTGTGGTATTCCACCGCCCAATTCCGCCGCAGAGCCTGCGCAACCGGCAGCTCCAAGTGGTAGTCAAAATGAGCAACATTATGCTGACTCCCGAATTACCCGAATACAATGGAGACAACTGGCATGTAGAGGCAATGTCCAATGAGCGCATAATTGCGACGGGCGTTTTTTATTATGACGTGCACAACACTACTAAGGGCACGATTTCATTCAGAGAGAGAGTCCAGAATACAATCGATGGCTTTGAAATGGACAAGCATGCATTTAATCTTGCCTACGGGATTTTCAAGGACCCAAGCAGCGACACTGAGACTCTGACGCAAGAGCTTGGCCAAATAAACATTAAAGATGGACTCTGCTTTGCGTTCCCCAACTCTTACCAGCACAAACTGTCCGGATTCAAATTAGATAATCCGTCCAAACCAGGTCACCACAAGATGCTGCAGTTTTACTTAATCGATCCCTCGACCAGAATACTATCGACTGAAATTGTCCCGCCGCAACAGAAAAGCTGGTGGGCTGAACAAGTACTTTCCACGAAACCAATCTGCTTATTGCCGCTTGTAGTCGCTGACATTATACTGGATAATATTGACTATCCGTTTTCTGCCAAGGACGCAAAGAGCACCCGCGACGAAACCACCAAAGAGCGCAGGAAAATAAACGAGCGCATGAATATGGCCTACTTTGTGCCCACGTTTGTTTTTGATGAAGACGATTACAGAAGCTAATAAATACCAACAATTAAACTGCATGTGTATTTATTTTGTGTTTACGCCAGAAATTCCCATTTTTCCGAGCGTTGATCTTCCTAGCGGCCGGATTTGTGCGCCAGGTGTGTGTGCCTCGGCGGCCGACCCCGATTCTGTGATCAAGGGCGGCTCAATCACATATGCTTCAAGGTACAGTGGCCGAACCAGTTCTGCCAGTTGCTGGTCAAACGCGAATTGAGGATAAGGCCACATATTGTCTAGAATGCGTTTCAGTCGGATTGCGCCCTGTCTCGACACTGCGTAAGCAAATGCGCACTGAGGCTGATAGGCTACAAACAGTTTTTCATGAAGCAGAGTCGGCCTGTGTGTTTTGGGTTCACTGCAATGGCCCAAGTACAGTATCTCCCACGAAACGGCAGTTCTGCCACAATTCCCGCATATACTGCTTAATATCACCTCCATGTCAATCCGATCACTCAATACGAGCGCTGATCCAAACTCCAACCGCACAATGTCGTTGATGACATTCATATGTGTGCGAAAGTCAGCAAGCAATTCTGTCGACTGCGTGTGGTTGTGCGGCACCTTCGCCCAGTGCTCCTCGCCAATCCAGGGCACATAGTCTTCTAAGTGCTCAATGTCATATTCGGTGAGAGCCGGAAAGAACCCAAAGGGAATGCCCTGGAATTGCAGCTGCTTGGCCATGACGCGTCGCCGCTGCTCGTTGCCTCTCTTGCTGAGCACGAATATGTGGTTGAACCCGAGTGTCAAGTAGTTTCGGTTTTTTGATAGCTCGTCAGTGTAGCTTGCAAACATGAGCACGCCGATGATGACTATTGCCGAGACTGCTGTTAGAAATACAAACACTTTTAAGCGCCGGTGTGCTTGTCGCGGTACGCGAGCCATTTTTTGTAAATAATAAAAAATTATATACCCAAAATAAAAGTGAACGAAAGAGCAAACGTGAAGATGAAAATCTTCAATTTGCATTTAGAAAAATATTAACGTGGGCACAATTATTTACTCTGTTCTCGAACCACGAGAAAAAAATCAAGCGAGCCGCGTGTCGTCATCAATATCGAACACTGTCTTCATTGTGACAAAAGTGGGCTGATTTTTATTATTATTGCCATAACCAAAACGCACAATGACTGCAGAAGCTGGCACCAGGTGCCAGAGGATCAGACCACACTGACATAAACTTTTTATATTTGCTCATCCATTATCTTCACCGTCATTCCCTCCTTCCCTAGTTTTCTATACTTTCCAATTTATTTACTTGCACAATGCCTCGCACACCCTCAAACAACACACTTGCTCCCTATTGAACAAGCTTTCGCAAAAGCTTGGCGAGCAACAGGCGAAAAACGAGCTCCGATGGATGGTCGACCACGTTCACGCTGCCATGGACGAGGCCCGCCAACAGCAGATAGCCCAGTCTGAAAGAGCTGCACACCGGGCAGCGCGGCTGTGGCGCAACCAGCCGGCACGATCGGCCGCTGAGATTGAGCGAGAGAGTATTCGATTCAGCTCTGTGCAGTGGGCGTGGTTGCGACAAGCAGTGTTTGACCGCACGGAGAGCCACAAGCCACTGCAGTACATTCTTGGAAACCAGCCGTTTGGCCAGGCAAATATCAGTGTTCGCCCGCCTGTTTTGATTCCGCGGTGGGAGACCGAAGAATGGATGCTGCGACTGGCGGGCATGCTCAATATCCACACTGGGACTTCTTCAGCCAAAGAGGTGGGCCAACGGCCGCTGAACATCCTGGATGCGTGCACGGGCTCTGGCTGCATTGCGCTCGGCCTAGCCTGTGGTTTAGCACCGGGCTTGGCCGCAATCACTGGTGTCGATATATCTAACGAAGCCATAGCGCTGGCCGAAGATAATCTGGCGCTCAACAGCATGCTGATCAAGAACAAAGTGGGCTTTTTCAATTTGGACTTACAAGCACCTGGTGCGGCGCTCCGGCTGCGGGATATTTCGTCATCGTGGGATATAATTGTATCCAACCCTCCATATGTAACACCGTCGGAGTATAGCGAATTGGATCCGGATGTCAAGGAGTGGGAGGACATTCGCGCGCTAGTTCCTTTGCCCGCCGACGCCGATCCTTGCAAGGTTCAGTTTAGAGAGCTGGACCCCTCGGGCGTGTCTTTCATTGTACAATTGGCAAAGCTGGCACAGGAACTGGACGTTGTTGACTCCCAGAATACATCTCTAACCGGAACTGCTCTACCGCGCCTGGTGGTGGAGATTGGCGGCGAGAAACAGGTTGAGCCAGTCTGCCAGGCAATGCACGACCACGGCTTCAACTCGACCGAGGTGTGGAAGGATATGGCCGGAATAGACCGTGTTGTGCTAGGTTACGTCAAAGTCTAACTTTAATTTCCAACTCACTTTGAATATGATCCAATACAACGTATATTATTTGCAAAATTATTATTCGTATTCGTATTTAAATGCCCTAATGCGCTCTCGGATTTTGGCGAACTGGAAATGCGTCTTCCGGTTTAAACGTCAGCTTGAGTGATAATGCGTTGCAGCGTACGTACTCAGAAAATCAAGTATTCCCGCTATTGTATTTGTACGTAACGTGTGTAATTTTGGGCATTTCGGCCAGTGCAGAGATGGCTGGCTGGATGGTGCGGCCACGCTCTGCAAACAAAATGCGCATCAAGCCTCGAAGCAGCTCCATAAAATGCAACTGAAGAAAACAGCAACGTTTTTTATTTGTCCTGAAACAGCTGCAAAAAAATTACCAGTGCAGGCTCGAGTGATTAATATCCAAGATCAATTGTGCTGTGCGCAGCAGCAGCAAAAACAGAGTGCATCACTAAATGACAAATTTTTGTCAATTTAAAATGTCCATATATACATCCCAATTTTATGCAATTGCTGTTTTTACAGATGAAAATACAGGTCGAAAGCAGTTTATGTGGTTTGCCGACGATCTTAACAAATGTGTCGGCATTGGTTAATTTCGCATTAACATGTAAAGAAGTATTATAAAACTGGACAAATTGCGTTTGTTTTTGTTTTCCAACTATAATTCAATATCTTTGCATTTCCGCAGCCAGGGCTTGGAAGAAAATGGTCTGTTTCAATCATATATATATTGCCCACTGTCTTTCACCCATCTCCATTTCTCCTTAGTTTCTGACTATTTTTTAACACCTATTCAATGTCTCATTTTAATTCGCCCAGTCCAAGCGTATCTGACGTTGAAGACAATTCCTCTTTTCAGAAGGCCTCACTTTTGACCAGATCATTCGCAAGGTCTACCCGCCCGGCCAATCTACAATACGCATTCTGAAAGCTCAACACCAAGTCCGAGCAGCGCATCCGCCACACCAGCGGTGCCCTCCGCTCCAAGCCTGACTGGATCACCAAGAGACTGACGCAACCATCCGCAGCCGCTGGGCTACTGAGGCGTATGCCCAGGGACTCACTAAAAGGAAGTTGACTACGTTTTTGCCGACTGGCATACTACGCCTCCCTCCACATGCCCGACTCTGGATATTCCTGAGTGCTGTTGAGCAAGTGTGGATTTCGGACACCTTGATTGACGATGAGACAGAGCAGGCGCTCAGAAGTGGGTTGCAGTTCTGGAGAGCGGGCCCGAGGACTGGCATCCCGGGAGTGAGGGCGTGGTGCGCAATCTCATTCATCCGTCGCTGTTTCCGCTGATATACGGGCGATCAGCTTTGTGGATAAGAAGATCGAGTCGCCTATAGCAGCGCTGCATGTAAAATCATTTGGCAGGTATCCAAAGGATCTTGAGCAGTGGGGAGTAGAGGTCAATCGTGCGTATAAGGAAAGTGCGTCGGATGATGAAGATGCTGAAGACACCTTTTACACGCCTCTTCCAAGCGTACATCGTGCTTCCAAAAAGTTCTGCTGGTTGCCTTCCGAGTTCCAGGTCCACCAGGACGGCCATGTCACCGTGGAATCCTACATCAACAACCTGCATCCGCTAAAGTACGCGCGTTTTACCCTGTTATTGGCAACATTTTCTCAAAGTTTGTTCCTGTTCTCGAACAAGTTGTCACCGACTGGCGCACCGCCGCGAGCAGCGCGTTGTTCCGGCTCCATACGCCTGGTTTGATGATTCCGATGAGCCCAAGGACTACGATGCAGAGGATTATGATGAGAAATACGATTTGTGGCAGGAGACCAGGCCTTTTATTGAGCCGCAGCCCGAGCCATTCCAGTGGCCTGATCGTCCTGCTGTGCCTTATATCTGAAAGGCAGGCGGCTTCAGGCTATCGTCAAGATGTCCAACATCATTCTGACTCCTGAGAACCCCGTCTACGAGGGCGGCGCGTGGCATGTTGAGGCACTGGCTAACGAGCGCATTATCGCTACGGTCTGTACTACTACGACGTGGACAACATTACCGAGAGCAATTTGGCGTTCCGCGAAATGGTTGACGAGGAGCTTGATTATGAACAAGGCGACGAGCGAGGACTTAACCTGGCCTATGGCATATATGAAAACGTTGATGATACCAGCGATGTCCCCTTGATTCAGGAAATCGGTCGCGTGGAGGCAAAGAGGGGCAGATGCGTGGTGTTTCCCAACATGTACCAGCATCGCGTCGAGGGATTCCAGCTCAAGGATCCCAAGAGAAGCGGGTGTCGCAAGATATTTGCTTTTTTCTTTATTGATCCGACCACAAGAATTCCTTCACCGAGATTGTCCCGCCGCAGCAGCAAGAGTGGTGGAAAGGGAGGTCATGAGCATTGGCCCTTTGCGCGGGTTGCCCTTGCTGGTTAAAAATGGAATACTGGAAAATGTGGATTTCCCCATTTCATTGGACGAAGCAAAGAACAGAGACTCGAGTTGATGGAAGAAAGAAGCTCCCACGATATTGGAATTGGTCATTTTTTCACGCCCGATTTCTATTTTTGCGAGCACTAATTTCTTTTTTTTTCACAATTTTTTTTAATTTGGACCATACTTTTTTTAAAATAATATATTATTTTATTTGAAGGCAGCTAGTAACAATAAATATATACAAAGTTAAAATATCATATATAAACTTTTGACTTTAAATGTGATTAGATTGCTGTAAATGTGGCCAAAGTGGGATACCAATAATAACTCACTGCGCAGCCACAGATAATACTGCTAAAAAAGGAATACATGTATACTAGAAAACAGCGGGTTTCCCGTCCTCACGACGGAAGCGCTTCAGTATATATCAGAAACAAAATATGCCATGTGTGCGGAATCTCCAACATCTTGATAATTGCTCATTGTCATCTAACGTGTTGCTCTTGAAAATGTAATAGTATCTCCTCTCTAATTGAAAAACCATATCACAATCTGCGCATTTATATAAAGGCGTTCAATAAGTCATTTGGAACAATAATTTATTTGTCACTTGCACAGAGCTACCCAACAAAAAAGAGCGGCGCAAATTTGCGAAAAAGTTAAACTCTGATATTTAAATTGTTTGGGTTGTAAATAATAAGTGTGCTTGAAACAAAAGGATTTGACTATATATCAACTGCACAGAAAATAACTATTTTTGGACAACAAATAAAACCAAGCAGACAAACATGACACGTCACACTTAATACAGTAATGACAACCACTTAAAAAAATTAAAAAGAATATTTATCTAACCAACGAAAGGAACTCCTCACGAGTCTTGGATCCGAGCGGAACCTGCCCAACATGAAACTTGTAATAGTCTTGCTTCCTGGTTTCTGCACACCCCTCATAACCATACATTGATGGCTGGCCTCCATAACAACGGCAACCCCCTGTGGCTGCAGAATCTCATTAAGCGCCACGGCAATCTGCTTCGTCAACCGCTCCTGAACCTGCAACCTACGGCTGAACATCTCTGCGATACGCGCTAGTTTGCTTAACCCAAGACTCGACGGTTGGGGATATACCCGATAGACACTTTGCCGCAGAATGGCACAAGGTGGTGTTCGCAGAGTGAGAATATATCAATGTCGCGAACAATGACCATTTCTTCGTGATCTACAAGAAATTAATTTTATATAAGGTTTTTTTTAGCTTTCGAGTATGTAAATATGTTTGCACATATACAATTTTTGTTAACAATTTTTTCTTTACCTTCGTCAAATAGCGCATCGTTAATTACGTCGTTCATGGACTCTTCGTATCCTTTTGTGAAAAACATCAGAGCCTTAGCATACCGCTGAGGAGTTTTCAGCAACCCTCGCGGTCAGGATCCTCACCATGCATTCGAGCAGAGTTCTCACGGCATCCGACATTTTCGTCAGCCGAGCTTCCTTTTCCTCGGCAGTCTCGCTGCGGCGCTCCTCGGTTCCAATGCCTATCAAGCATAAAAAAAATAGGTAGAATTAGTAAATGTATTTTTGATCAGGCGAATTAGCCGCAGCTCCGGTATCGTGCAAAAGTCTATATTTCTCATGCAGAGCTTTCAGAGATGCGGCAAGTAGTAACATATAATAACGATGCAAGTAGGATATAAATAGTAAAATGAGGCGTGCATGGAAAATGGAGGCATACGAAGCGGGAAAAAATACCGTTTCATTATGTCCCTGTGAGATCATGAAATAATCCGCACAAAAACACCACAACAAAAAGATGTGTCTATTGATTTTTGCAAAAACAAAAGAATTCAATACTTACTGGGCCAGCTGAATCCATTGAGGTCAATGGGATGCTGCTTCTTCAGGGGAACACTTGTTGCTGAAGCTGTGATTGTGACCAACGGTTGTATTGCCGGTGGAAATATCGAGGGAGTCTGGGGACGACTGGCATTGGGTGACTCGGTGGCTGTGTCTGTTCCAGTTGCTGAGAAAGTAGCGGGAGAGCCCAGGCCAAGCTGTTCTTAATATGGTCCGAGGCCTGGGCGCTTGTTGTCCTGGTGTTTATACGAGCATCCATGCTATTTTTCAACCGAAAAATAAAAGAGTGGTTATATACGTACGTGTGTGTGGGAAAAAATTAATCAAGTAGGGATAAAAAAAAGGCAAGAAAGCAAAGGAGAAAGTTTTTTTCCTTGCAATTAAATGGCAAAAGATAATAAAATAGTAGCATGTTTGCGAACGCATGCGTGATTAACGCGATCTGTGATTGTAATTTTATTATCTTTGTGTCAATCGTTTTTTTTCACTCCAGGCATTCGGGGAGTGGGATTTTGCTGACAAAATCACTTTGCTCACGCTTTTATCAATTCATTTATTCTGGTACCAGAGCCACCGCGGGTCCTTTTGTGTGAATTAAGGGGGAAAAATGAAATATGAAAAACCATTTATATTGTTTTTTGGATTATCACATGCAAAATACAAAAAATGACAAATGGCAGATTGTCTAGTTGCCCTTGGTCCGGTTATACACCGAAATCAGCTCCGGCGTGTAAGTCATCATAAGGGCAGTCAAAGCAAGCGTGATGGTGGATAAGCGACTGCCTCCACTGGACGATGCCGAAATGCGGTCGTTGAATATGGAGAGCATTGAGGCAAAAACAGCCACCCAGCCTATCCACTTGGCCTTGACAAACAATGCACCCATGGAGCTGGCAAAGGCTGTCATGTAGTATATGCCGCCGTCGGCGGAGCTGGAGGCAGGCGTGTAGGCGACGATGGCGGTGGGAAGACGCGGGTCTCCGGGAAACTCTTTGCGCGCCATATTTTTTTGCTTTGTTTGTTGAAGGGAGAAAAGGGTTGGATTTGAGGAAACAAAATAATTAAATTGGAAAGAAGGATGAGATGAGGTAATTGGCAATGCAAAGAAAAATAAAATAAGGAAAGTGAGAAATCGAGTTTAAAGTTTGCGCTTCTGTGTCTTGGGAAATAAAACAAAAAAGTGGACGAGCCACTGTCAGCTGAGCCGCACTTTCAAATTTCCCAGTGTGATGCATGATGTCTGACGACGAACGCTTATTCTTTTTTCACGCTCTTATTCTTCTATCCTCTCCCCTCTCCACAATTACTCTTTTTCCCTTCTTTTTCGTCACACGTAAATTCGCACTATTTCTCTTTACCTTTTATTTTATTTCCCCCAATTCACCCTTTCTTCAATTTTTTAAAGTTATAAATACACATTAGAGACCATGGTTGCAGTTTACAACTACAGCTATGTGGCCAAGCTTATAATTATTGGCGACATGGGTTGTGGCAAGAGTTCGTTGCTACGCCAATTCACAGAAGAGGCATTTGTAAGTATTTTAAAGTGCAGCAAGTGCAATTCTGCGCTACTAGCTTCTATACTGCTATTTTCCTTTTTCAAAAACAAAACTAAAATATCCTTTTTTTCTACTTTTTGTTGCGTGGTTATTTAGAGTGATAAAACTAATCACACTATTGGTGTCGAGTTTGGGACCAAGGTGGTCGAAGTGGATGGTGAGCGGGTAAAAATCCAAGCATGGGATACTGCGGACAGGGTAAGCGCACAGAACAAAAAATGCCAAATATCGTAAAAGGGCGAGCGGACAATTTTTTCTGTTATTAATGACGCAGGCCAAAAAAAACAATATGGCCACCTATTATATTCCACATCGCAATGGGCACCAGACATTAATTAACAATCACCCTTTTTTATTGTATTGATATAGAGAGGTTTCGGTCAGTCACCCGCAGCTACTACCGCGGATCCATCGGCACGCTCTTTGTCTACGACATAACCAACCGCGAAACATTCCTCAATCTCAGCAAATGGATGACCGACGCACGGCAACTCACCCCCCACACTCAATATTCGTCCTTGTCGGCAACAAGGCCGACCGCGAATTCCAACGCGCAGTCACTTACGAGGAAGCGGCCGAATACGCGCAGAAAAACAATATGATTTTGTCGAAGCCAGTGCCAAAACAGGAGAAAAAGTCGAGGCGACGTTTTTGGAACTTGCAAAGAGGATCATTGCGCTGGTTAAGGATGGCGTTGTGAGGCCTTCGGAGCCGGATTCGGGTGTGCAGAGTATGCGGCCGCAGGATATTGTTGCGGCGGCGGGTGGGTCGGCGAATCGGGCGCAGAAACCGGCTGGATCGAGAGCTGTGAGGGTCGGAGAGCACGGAAGGGCTGGGCAAATGGGCGGCGGGTGCTGCTAGTCGGTGCAAACCTGTACCCCCCCTATATATTTTTTATCCGTTTTCTTTCCCCCTTCCTATTTTATTCCTTTACATTTGAGCCCTTGTAACATATCACGTGCAACCACCACAAGCACTCGAAGGCGTGATCTTTTGTACACCAAACAGCCATTCGTCTCGGGGGCACAGACACAAGTAAGAAAAAAAAGTGAGCGTAGTGTTTGCCTTTCTATTTTATCGTGCATTTAATATTCTCTATATTCTCTATATTCCTTGATCTTTGGTATGAGCGCAGCAGACCCTGCAACGAGCAATGCAGCCGATGGCCCCCCGGCCCCCCCGGCGTCGCTGATCTACCCACCGGCGGACATCATGACAATCGTGGACAAAACAGCCGAGCACGTGGCCAAATCAGGGCCTGCATTCCAGCAGCTGATTCGGGACAAGTACCGCGACAACAGCAAATTCTCGTTTATCTACGCCACCGACCCCTACCACGCATACTACTCGCACAAGGTCGAGCACTACAAGGCCAACGCCAGCAGCAGCACAGCGCAGCAGCAGCAGCAGCAGCAGCAGGCGGACAATCCATCCGACCCCAGTCTTGTTATGCCGGAAGAGGACAAGGCTGCGGCAGATGGGCCGGAGAAACCAGCGGATGCGCAGTTCCTCTGCCCCTGCCAATGGTTTCCGCCCAAGACCTCGACGTGATCAAAACCACCGCGCAGTTTGTCGCTCGCAACGGACGCTCCTTCATGCAGACGCTTGCGCACCGCGAGTCCGCCAACTACCAGTTTGACTTCCTCAAGCCTTCACACACGCTCTTTGCGTATTTCCGGCGGCTCGTCGACCAGTACACGCTTGTGTTTTTCCCGCCGCCCTCGCTAACGGAGAGGCTGCAGAGCGATGTGCAGGATAAGGCCCGGGTGCTTAGGCGTGTGGAGCAGAGGATGCGGTGGGCGGCGGTGGAGGAGGAGGAGAAGCGAAAGAGGGAGGAGGAGCGGGGAAGGAGAAGGAGGGGTTTTTGAGCGTCGACTGGCATGATTTCACCGTCGTAGGAACTGTGGAATTTGTCGAGGAGGACGAGGAGATGGAGCTGCCTGCGCCGTTGAGTATGCGTGACTTGATGACAATGTCGCTGGAGGACAAGCACCGGTCGATGCTGCAGGACGTTGACTCGGCCGCTGCCGGTGCTGCCGGTGCTGCCGGTGCTGCCGGTGCTGGTGAGCAGATGGACGTTGATGAGACAGACGCGGACGAGCACCTGCAGGCCGACCGCATCCCACAACCGGCACCAGCCATTGCGCCGATGCGCATCCGCAAAGACTACGTGCCAACGCTGCGCCGCGGCATCCCTGCCGCCCCCGTCCTGCTCAAATGCCAGCTCTGCCAGCTAGACATCCCGGCGGCCGACTTTGAAGAACACATCCGCGTAGAGCTGATTGATCCCAAGTGGAAGGAGCAGAAGCGCGTGTATGAGCGCAAAATCAAAGACAGCAATTTGGTTCAGGAGGGCATGGACATTGCAAAATACCTTAGCCAGCTGGCCGCACATAGAGCAGAAGAGTCGGTAGAGACCCCTGCGATGGCTGCAGGTGTTAAGGGGCCGGTGGCCCCGTGGGACGGGTACTCGTCGACAAAGGGCAGTGCTGCGAGAAGGGCGCGCGAGAACATGACGAGGGAGGAGGCTGATGCCGCTAGGCTCTTGCGCCAGGGCATGCCTGATCCGAGAGACCCGGCACTGAAGATCGGCCCGCAGATGCCTCCGCCCACGCCACACCCCCCAGCACCCAAGCGCCAGAAAAACTAGACGGAAGGAGATGGGGTTGGTGTCAAAAAATGCAAAACCACAATTACACTGCTTAAAATATAAATAAATCATGACACGAAACACCTATGACAAAGCGAAAAAGGGAGAAAAAACATTGTTAAAGCCATGGCTGTTTTTAAGTATTGACAGTATATGAATTATAGTGCATTGTAGCTTAATCCAAACCTGTCTGTAATATATCTATTAATTCAATTGGTAAAAAAAAGGAATCGATTACTTCAGCTTATATCTATCCCGATGACGATGGATTTTGCTGAGCCTTTTGCATGGCCCAGCCAGCGCACCCTTCTGCGCCATGGCGCGCACGAGCTGGTAGACCATAGGAATAAAATTATGTTTTCTCAGCGAATTGTCAAACCGGTACCGCGCCCGTTTCCCATGCTCCAGCTCCACCAAATGCTCCAAATCAGCGCGCTCAACATTCAGCCTACCAATCTGCGACCGCAACCTAGCGACCTCCGCATCCTCCACAGCACCAGCGCCACCAGCAGGTGTAGAGGCAGAAGACGGAGAGATATTCATCGCCTCGAGCTTCTTAAGCAGCCTGCCAATACTCGCATCAATGGTGGAAACCCTCTCCCCGAGCATCTTGCGACGGTCGCCAATGACAGCCATCAGATTAAATCTAATCTCGCCTTCCGCGTACTCCGCCATCCGCCGCTGAATCACAGGGCCGACGGACTCCAGCCAGTCATCCGTCCGCCCATGATCCACCGGCGACTCCCGCAGCCCATCCAACTCATACAGCCTGCCGTTCACGGGCACGTAGCTGATAAAATGGAACAAGTCGTCATCCTCTGTTGCCGCACGCTTTGCAGACTCATCGGCCAGAAACGACTCTGGCCGTACAAACGAATTATGCACGTCGCGGATCTGGTCGCAGTTCGTCATCGCCAGCCCACGCATATCTGGCGGAAGGTCGGCTGAAAACGACCGAAAGTTCTCCAGCGTCTCGCCCAGTCCCAAAGCATCGCCCTGGTTCAACAGGATGCCTAGGATGGCTTGGGTTGCGCAGGCGTTGGGATGATTTGCTGTGCAAAGTATACTCCCGTGGTGTCACTTGGGGAATCAAGTGATGTGTGGTTGGTTGCTTGGCGCGTGTGGTGCTGTTGGCCCTGGTATTTGAACAGAAATATCAGCCCGTATACTGGTGCCATGTTGCGCAGCTCGGATGGGTCCAGGCTGTAGAGTTCTTCGACTTGCACGTCGGATACTCCCATGTTGTGGATGAGCTCCGTGAACACCCCAGGGTCGCTCTCAATTAGACACCAGTTTCCATTGTCACTGCCCATCTTAACCAAATTTTAAAAGTAAATTGAGCTGAGAGTGTGAGAAAAATAAATGAAAAGCAAAAGTGAATAATAAATAATAAAATGGCTGTGATGAAGAAGATGAAAATTAGGGATCGCTTGCCGTTTTGGCCCGTGTCTTTCAAAATAAAAAAATCGATTACGTGACAGTTCTTCATTTTTTATTGCGCGTAAAAAAAACCTCCCTTCACACTGTAATAAACTCCTGCCCTGACCTGTGGGAATGACCTTGGGAGGTTGCGTTTACGCGCTTTCCTTTATATATTTTGTTAAAGGTAGTGAGCTAACAGTGCGATACTCCTAGCATTTAGCGGCAGGATTACTCTTGGGTCTTTATTATTAGATATTTGTAGTTTCATTCATTTCTTCAGTATATCCAAAAAAACATGTACACTGCTAGAAATACCCGTCCACCAGCGTCCCCAGATGCGGCAACAGCAGCTTGAACACGCTCGTCAACGTAGCAATAACCACACTCGCAGTTTTGCAAACCTCTCTCTGATCGCACTCAATCGCATCCTGCTCGCGCTCCCACCCAGGCAAATTCGGCACCGCCACTGACGAAACCGGCGTATCCCGGGTAAAGCAAATCCGGCTCTCCCCAGTGCACTTCTATAATTGAAGCACCAAACAACGAGCCAAATAGACGCCGCGCTGACACTCACCGGGCTCTTCCCCTGCACAATCCCCATTTCATCCGCCCTCTCGTAAACCCTCGACGCCACCTCTGGAATCCACCCAGGCAGTCCCAAAACCGAACACCACCGCTCGACAAACGCCGCCGGCTTGGCCCGCTCATTCACAGTGTACTGTGGCGGGAGCACCTGGCTCATCAGCTTATAGTACATGCCAATCTCGCGCTTGCTCACTTTCGCCGCCACGCAGATTTCCGCGAATGTCCGGGGTACCCGTGGCTACGACACAGTATGAACATGATGGCTGCGAGAATCGCCGGCTTCATGCGCCGCGGCTGCCGGTTCTGCACCATTTCATCACTTTGACTTGGTCATAGAGCTCTTGCGCAAGGAGCCAGACGTCGCAGGGTACCTCTAGTGCAAGCCAATTGACCTCGGGCTGCGTCTCCATCTCGTCCACTAGTGTGCTGCTTGTGCTGGCCGCGCTGAGTGTTGGCGGAGGTGTTTTAGACTCAATGATGACTGTGGCTGGGTCTGTGTCTGTCTTTGTCCGTCGCAGCTTGCGCTTCTGCTGCTGCTGCGGCGAGCTTCTCAGCGCTCTTTTTGTAGGCAGCGATGCGGAGCGCACCAATGGAAACAGTGGCGACAAAACATCACTGCCGCTGCTGCTTCTTCTAGTTTGGTTAGTATTGGCTGATGCCGGTCCGTTCTCCTGATTGGTCGTCATTGAGCCAGCACACGACAATTCGTCATCATCATCATCCGAAAAATGATGACTCTCACCCACGTGTCCCCCTCCATCTTCCCTCAATCGCTTACAGCCGCCTTTGGACTTTGTTGACCCAAACAGCATCTCGTCGTCGTCGCACAACGGCCCGCTGCCGCATCTCATGAGCTGTGGGGGTCCGATCGACGCGCACACAACCACGATATCTGGTCGCCGCGGCAAATGACCCGGGCCCCACTGTCTCTCCCGCTTCCACTCCCATCGCTGCTGCCACCAGCACCGTTACTCCTGCCGCCGGCACCTGTAATATCCCGCAATGTGGCTTCGCAGATATACTCGCCCGACGTATCCATCATCATAGCGCCGTGCGCAAACAGAGGCTGCCTGGGCACGTAAATATGCGGCTGAATATCCCTGTCTTCCCTCTCACTGCCAGCTTCCCTCTGCGCCTGCAACATCAATGCTGTTGTTGGGGGATATCCCAGAACAGAATGCTGCTTGGAAACAGAGGCTGGTGCCTTAGCTGCTGATGCTGATGCTGATGGTGGTCCTAGTCCGGATTCTTGTCGCCAGAGCGCCATTTCAAAATCATCATTTTATTCACTATCACCTTCCTGTGCTTGTTGCCCTGGATAAACGGGCTGTAGTCGTTTATGTAGCATGTATTGCGGTGTCTTGATTGTGTTTCGGGCTCGGGATTTAGTAAGGAAAGAACATTGATGCGTCCGGTATGAAAACCAGTATCCATTTTTATTTTAATACTGGGAGTTGTTCTATATAAAAAAAGAAGAGGAAAATATATGCTGCTTGAGTTAATAAAAAAATTTACAAAATACAATACAAAAATACAAAACTTTAATCGTTAAAAAAGAAAGAGCAATAAAGGGGGGAGAGAAGAGAAAAGAGAAAAGAGAAGAGTAGAAAAAGGGGAGTGAAAAAGTGACGGATGGTGGATTTTTAAACAATTGGCATTGAATGACACGAACAGCACCGGGAAATCCAACAGGATAAACAATTATCCAGGGAAATAATTCAAACATGAAAAAAGGTCGACAGCACAATTGACTGTGGGAACAAAAAAGTTGTGATAATCTCTTCTGTATATCCGCCTCTTTATTTCCATCTGAATTTTTCTCTTCACATTTTTTTGTTCCAAAATTTTCAGTTTTTAAGCATGCAAAAATAAAGGGGATAATTCAAAGGCCTTAAATATGCACATATTAAAGTTTCGCCCAAAAACATAAAAAAAAACAAGTGTGAGAATGATTTTTATTGTTGTTTGCTGGGCTTACCTTTTAAAAAACAATGGAATGTCTTACAAATAAAATAAAATTAAACCAAAAAAAGAAATCGCCGCAGTTTTGTTATGCGACGATCGATCGACAATACTCTGTCTGTCTGTGTTCGAGAGAGAAAGAGAGAAAGAGAGAAAGAGAGAGAGAGAGAATGCGCGTATGTGTGGAATAAGCAAAACGTATATTTTTATTTATCCGCTAATTTGTATACAAAAGTAGAATAGAAAGCTACAGACATTGAGATGGATGGAATTTTGGCTCTTATTTATATCCACTTATTTTCTTTTTAGCAAAAAAAATTACCTCCAGTTGCTGCTCGCCACTCCAGTTTTTTCTTTACAATTTCAATTTATTTCAGTTTAAATCAGATCTTTCATCATTTTTCTTTTCTTTTCTGTATGAACATGACACACCCACACACCCAAAGCATGGGATTTTTATGCTTGATTGCCACTAGAAAATGTTTAATTAAAAATATTTACATACATATTTCTCCTTTTTCGCATTTTCAATTTGTTTCTCAACTACTCTCTTTCTTTTATGCATCATCGATTAAAAAATATGCTTATGAAAAAACGAAAGTGAAAAATAAATGTTCCATTGGGGCTTCCACAAGAAGTCTTGTTTTATTATTATTCCAGTCATCCATCCGCTGATTTAAGAAAATATATAGTGCAGTGGTCCAATAGTGAAATAAATATATCACGCAATTTTTCTTATAAATTCCTCACAATGCATATTATAAAGTATAAATGACGTAGTGTCTTTCGTTTATTTAATTCAGCAAAATTCAGAGGATGCAAATGCCAGGCATTTGCCATCGTTCTTGACGCTCAATGTGAGACGCTGGTTTGGTTGAGTCGATGGGTCAAAGTAAGCCCCTACAATAGAGGAATAACAAAACATGAATAAGGGGAATACAATTTGACAATTTAGCTACACAATAACTAAAATTGCATGGCTGTTGAGAATGTGCAGGAAATATGTTGTCGCCATTGTTCGGATACTTGTGCAAAAATAGTAAATAAATACACATGCTTTGGGGTGGATCACAAGAGCATGCCTTATGCGAAATGAAAATGAAAGGCCAAATGACAAAACAAAAGAGGGTAGCATGAATAATGCTTAATTAAAAATGTGCCGATTTGCCTCTCGTTATTTCAAATGATATCCACCCCATCCATGCTCATGCTCATCGATTTTGTTCATGTACAAATCTCGCTCAACAAAATTAAACTTACCTTCAATAGCTCCAGTTATACGATCCATGCATATGTAGTAGAACCCCTCGATGGTAAGCCCCGTTTCGCTCGGACCAACATTGATGAACGTGCTCTCTACATGAATCAATTTTAAGAAAAAGTTAGTTTAAATAAACTGGGATTAGCAACAACCATTCAATTGTTAAAACAGCTTACAGCAATGCACAGCACTTCTCTCTTGTCGTTTACCTTTCCAGCGCATAAATAGATAGTCCTCGAGGATCCGTGGCATCCGCTTGCCGCGCATAGACTCTGGCCACTTTTGCAAAAACCTATGGTGGAAAAATAGCAAAAAATGTTAGCAATAAGGACAATTCAAACTTCAATAAAGCAATCGCGTTTGTTTTGCACATTTCCAGCAAGAAACTTACGTTTGCGGAACCTGCTTGACCGGCTCAAACAGCGACCAGTGGTCAGTGTCCTCCCGGCCATTCGCCTTCCACTTGCAAGTCAGCGGCGTGTAGTTAACAAAATCGATTATCTCGCCGTCCCAGTGTGTCACCACAGTCTTGGCAGGTTGGGGACATTAATGGCCTTCATCAGCCCAGAAACCCGACCCCTGCTCATATCGACCGACTGAACAATCACACACACATCCCATTGTTCAATCTTGGGCAGTGACTGGCCATCGAAGGTCGGCAGCATCGAAACCGAGGCAAGGCCACCGGCGTAATCCGTTGCACGCCGCAAAACTCCATGCCAGGCCGGAGCAGGGCGCAGTCGAGGGCACGTGTATCGACAGTGCTTTTCATCAGCCAGCGCATCAGCTGCTGCTCGGAGCGGGCGTGTATGCGTCGCAAATGATGTTCTTCGCGAAAAGAGGCAATGGATAGGTCCGGGTTTTCTTCGCGCTGCGACGTTTCCTGATGTTGATGTTGCTCTCGTTGGATGGTATTGTTCATGGCAGCAGAGAGCCAGCTCGGCCTAGGTGTGAGATGCAAGTCCGAATTGCTTTCCGAGTTGCTGCCGAGTTGGTGGTGCGGTGGCCACGAATAACCTCAAGCATGGCCTGCCGTGACTCCTCGGGCACCGTTCTGCGTGAAATGAGAGGCAGATGGCCCAGTCGGCGCAGAGGCACTATGCTCCGGTGAGTGCGACTGGGGCACTGCCCTGCCGCTCGTCCTGCTCCTCTGCGGCTGGCACTGCGGCATCTGTATTGCAGCCGTTGCTTCTGCTGTTGCTGTTGCTGGCTCTGGCTGGTTGTACCAGTAGCTGTCCAAGTCGTTCGACGGGAAATGCCGGGCCGGCAAGGCCGGTGATGTCGCCGTGGATACGGTTGTCGAACGGTCGTCAGCGAATTTCCCAGCTGCAGACGTGAGAACGAGCCTGATGCTCTCCCGAAACAAGGTTGTGCATCCGCGGCCGCCCATCATCAGTAGGCTCGGCCAGAGCATTACGGGTCCGCCTGATATATCTGCGATGCTCGAATACTTCCGCCTCCAACTCCACCGCGGCCCAGCTGTTGGGGCGGTAATCAGCGAATTTCTCAGCGAATTTCTCAGCTGCCCGCGTGGGAACGAGTCGGATGATTCTTCCGAAATAAAGTTGTCCATCCACGGCTGTCTTTCCTCGACCAAATCCGATGTAGCCGCTAAGTTCCGCCTGATCTCCTGACGACGCGAAATAATATCTGCATCCAACGCCGCTGACCGCGCAAGAATCTCTGCGTCCAACGCCGCTGACGCGTGACAATATTTGTGTCCATCGCCGCCAACTGCGCGAGAACACTCGCGTTCGTCGCCACTGTCGACTGCAATACCGACTGATCCCTCAACTGCGCCCTCAACTGCTGATCGCGCAAAAACCTCTGCCGGCGCAACTCACCAAACCTCTCCAGCGTCTGCCTCGTCAGCCTCTGGTCCTCAATAAAATCATAGGTGCTCACTCCTAGCACATGCTCCCTATGCGGCGAAGATGAGATCCAGCTGGGCCTCGTCGGCAGTTCGGGCTCGGGCTCAGAATCAGAGTCCGTCGTTGGCGCAGGCGCCTGCCTCCTGCGCGGCGGCGTTGGCGGCAATCTTAACGCCTGGCTGTCAAAGTACTGGTCACTGTCACTGTCGCTTTCCTCAGGTGCAACCTGTGGGTTGGCTGGAGGGGCGAGGTTCGGGAATACCCTGCGGCGGCGCATGCCCGTGTTGGGGCTGTCAAATGACAGGTGATGACGTTCGGTCGGCCATACTTCTGCGTCATCCATGTTGAACGACTCGGTGTTTGATGTTGTTGCTGGTGCTCTACGGCCGATATTTGAATGCAAGATGCCGGTGCTAGCGACACTGCTGTGGTCTCTGATGTAGTTGTAGTTGCTGCTACTTCTGCTGCTGCCTCTGCTATTTCTTATGCGCATCAACAATTAAACAAGACAAGAGAAAACTGGGGATGTAAAAAAAGGTGCGTGTGTGTGTGCGAAAAAGAGATAGTAAAATACAGAAATAAATAAAAAAGAAGAGTAAAAATGGATAAAAAAATAAAAAGAGGAGAAATATGATGCGCGTTGAACAATAGAAAAAACGGCCTGTGTGTGCACAGAATTCGGTGCGTGTGAATAAATAAAATAAAATAAAATCTGCAAGTGTTGTGTGAATATATGCGTTTGTGGTGGTGAGTGTGTTTGTGTTTGTGTGTGTGGAGAAAGAGAGAAATAGAAAACGACCCGTCAAAATATCAAAATACACTAAACGGCGTGCGTGTATGCTACAGCTATGACAATATTATTTTGAAGTATAAATTGCACAAATTGAGAGAAATAAAGTACAGGAAAATTGAAAATAAGGTTTTACGCGGAAGAAAAAAGCGAGTATTTGTCCTTGGCCCATTTTTTGTATTTCCGGGCGGAGTGTTGATGGTGGCTGACACCGAGAACTGGGCGCTAGCACTCAGTATTTCTGGTCACCATTTGCGGCACATGATCATTATCAAGTATCGGCTCGCTTTTTAGATCGGCTCGTTTGACGGCTCAATGCAGGTGCACGGCTGAATCCTGTCAAAAAAAATTGGAAAGCAGTAAAATCAAATTTGTGGTTTCTCCACAATCGGGGCCACAAGACATTGAGAGATTGAGCTGGGTAAGCGGGGAGTCGGATAGCATTCTGTTTCTTTAAATATGTTGGCACTTCTTTCTGTGCACTATTACCTTTTTCATTCTTCATTTTTTCACTTATTACACGCTGCCATTCCGCTTTCCCGGGATACTCGTTGAAATGCAGGTGTTGAACCAATTTTTGGAACGGATATCAGCCGCCTACCTGGGCGGAATCCCAGTCGACCGCGTAGCAACAGTACTGGCCGTTCTCCTGTCGTACGCCCTGGCCCACCTATTCCGACTCATCCCCGCCAAGCAAACACAGTCTCGGCATCTTTTTTCCATTGTAGCTACCCTTTTTCTTTTTGGCATTGTTCAGGAGCAATTTGCCGGACTAGTGCATCTCTTTGCAGGTGCTTTGGGGCTCTACGCAGTCATTTGGGCTCTGCAAAACAACCGCGGATGCCCGTGGTGGTCTTTGTGCTGGCCATGGCGCACATGTCGTATAGCCAGATTCGCCGCCAGCTGTACGAACCGGCGGCATCACTGATTTGGACTACACCGGCGCGCAGATGGTCTTTGTCATTAAGGTTACATCGCTGGCCTTTTGCATCCGCGACGGGCGTGAAAAAGTCGAGCGGCTGAGCGCGTATCAGAAGAAGAACGCTATTCAGGGCGTGCCTGGCTTGTTAGAGTATATTGGCTACGTATTCTTTTTCCCGGGATTTGCCGTCGGTCCCGCCTTTGAGATGGCCACGTATCGCCAGATGGTCGTCTTTGACGGCATGTCGACGGAACGGAAAAAGCTAAACAGGCGCGCGTACGGCACATTGCTAGTAGGCCTGTTATGTCTGGCGGTGTTTGTCAAGTACAGCGCAGAGTACAACTACATCAATATGGCATTGCCCGCGTTCTCGCATCTGGGCATTGTCGGGCGGACCTTGCGCCTATTTGTGTCCGGCGTCGTCACTCGCGCGGCATACTACACAGCGTGGAAGATGAGCGAGGGCGCCTGCATATTGACCGGCCTGGGCTTTGACGGATATGCAGCGAAGACAGGCGAGGCGCTCTGGATGGACATCTCCAACGTGCATATCTTGGATGTCGAATTCGGGACCAGCATGAAGCAGCTCGTTGACGGATGGAATATCGGCACCAACACATGGCTGCGTCACCACGTCTACTTGCGAATTATCAAACCCGGAGGGGGATCCAGCACAATGGCCACATTGCTGACGTTTCTTGTGTCTGCCCTCTGGCATGGCTTCTACCCGGGCTACTACCTGACCTTTGTTCTTGCCGCCCTGGCAGCCAGTGCCGCGCGCACATTGCGGCGAAACCTTCACAGACCTGTGCTGAAGTATTCAACAGTGCATGGTCTTTATATAAAGAAACTGTATGACTGCGCTGGCTGGGCACTGTCAAAGTACACTTTGGACTTTGTAGCTACTCCCTTTATGGCCCTTACGTTGTCTTTGAGCTTGGACATTTGGCGCTATAATTATTTTTGCTGCCATTGGGCATTGCCTTTGTCCATGTCGCCTTTAACGTGCTGGGCGCTGGCCGCTTTCTCTCTGCATAGTGGAATGGGAGAAAGAGGAGGGTGAAAAGGGAGGGAAAGGAGGAAGGGAGGGGCAAGAAAGGATGGAAAGGAGCGAAAGGGGGAATTTTGGACCGAATACACAAATCCACCCCTGGCCTTTTTAAAAAACCGGATCACCTGAGCTGATTACCTCACTAAAACACTCACGGGGCCGCGGTTATTAAGTGCATACTCACAAGTAATAACCTTATATCTTAATATATTGCATTATTATGTTAAAAATTGACGCAGCATAAAAAACAACGCGCTGTTTATTTCTCCCTGCACGGAATAGTTAAATTGATGAATTGATGAATGGTTGCAATTTTGGGTGTATTTACGAAATAATTAAAAAAAATACTTTTTGGGTGTTCAATGCGATGCAATGCAATGCAATGACATGCACATAGAACGGGGCAACCTTGTGTTTCTATGTGATGTGATGTGGGTTATGCAATTTTAGACTAGTGTTAATCCATGATAACTGGTGGACGAGATGGTGCAGGGAAGTCCCTATAGCAATATTGTTCTTGGGAGTAGTGAGCCTCGTTGTGCATGGACTGGCTGTAGTCGTAGCTGTGGTTGTAGTCGTAGCTGTCCATTGCCTGGTAGTGCAATTTTTTTTCCGAGTGCAGCTTGCTTATAAAGGGCTGTGAGATTCACTGATTTGAGAAGAGGTGGGTGATTTACAAGTGTGAATACATGAACAAATGAATATGTAAGGAAAAAACGGGAAAAGATGAAGTAGTAGCGAAGCGGAGTGTATTTATAGTAGATATGAATGACTATGAGTAGGTGTGGTGGGAGTGAGAAATACATTTTTCTTGTCCAAGATAATGCAAATAAAAAATAAAAAAATAAAAAGGCTGTTTTCTTTATATTTCTTTTAAATAAACTAGAGACTTGGATATTTTTTCTGTGCGGAGAAAATAAAAAGGGAGACATTAAAGAGAGCGTAAAAATGGGGGTGGATTGGTGTAGGAGGGGAAGAAAAGAGGAGAGGGGGAGAAGAAATAAGAGAAAATTCGTAATTCGACGGAGAATAAAGTGGAGGACGTAGACTTGCCTCTGGACATTCTAATGTAAATAGCAGACCCAAATGGTTCCACTTTATTATTAGGTGTTGGGGGAGGGGGGTGAGAGGAGGAGGTTGCCAATGCTTAGCTTCTTCCGAATAGAAAACTCACAGCCCAAGGCAGATTATTCTATATATATTTTGCACATCACTGCGCAACCTATTCCATTTCAAAAAATATATATACAAAAAATATTTTTACCATGGATGCAAATCAATCGGTTGAACTAATAACTAATGCATTGATACGCACAAAAATTGGTGCAGTATGGCAGCAACACTGTCAAATTTTGTCAAACAATGAAATTAAATTAATATGCATGAATATTTGCGACCGGCTATATGTGAACCCGAGACTGCTTAATCACAGTCCCCATCACTCATGCGGACAGTCAGCAAAAAAGGAAACAGAAATAGAAGAAAGTGAGTAAAAGAGACAGGAAAAACAATTATCCACTTGTCTTTTTCCATTACCCCCAACTTTTTGTTCAACTGTAAAAGCGCCAAAGGGACCTCCCTTTGTTCCTTTGTTCCTTTGTTGCTCTTGAATGCGCAGTGATTGGGCCTTCTAACTTGATTTTGTTTTTAAATATTCTTTATACATGAATATATGTATGCGGGTTGATAAATCCTTTATTTCTCTGTTTGGTTCTGATGCTAGCTTTATGCAAATAAAAAATAAAAAAGGAATACAGAGACGATAGAGCAAAGAAGCTGGGCAAAACAGATTGCGTCGCACTTCAAGAAAGGACCACTATGAGCCCGGTTTTCTCAGATAGACAAACGATTTTGTACTTTAAAAAGAGATCCGACAATAATATTCATGGCAAGGGCCCATCTACACGCACAATGCAAACGAATATAGAAAACACTCGCTCGGATGAACATATAGCGCTTTATTTGTAAGAAACTCCAAAAAAGTATTGTACTCTAAATATCCACATATTTTGCAAATATTTACATGTATATATGTACGTGTACGTATGTGTGCGTGCGGGGGGAATTGCATGAGGGGAAATATGTTGAAATCCAAACAGACATAGGCATGTCAAGAGAGAATCCACCCAGCTAACCTGCGAACGTCACCACTGTCGTTATTACTAGTGTCGTCAACATCCTTTTTGCTTTAGAATCCCAGACTTTTCAAAAGACCCTCTGAGCACCTAGTGACTTGCTCAAAGTTGACCTCGAATCCCTTATTCCCGCCATAGTACGGATCTTCAATAATGCTGTTCGGCTTCAGCTCGTCGTAGGCGCCAAACAAGGAGACCACAGCCTTTGAGCCCTTAGGCCTCATATCCATGAGATCCTCCAGGTTGCTTTTATCCATGCACAGAATAAAGTCAAATTCCTCATAGTCGCCCGGGCACACTTGGCGCGCAAAGTGGTTAACCGGAACACCGTGTGCCTTACAGGTTGCAACTGACCTGCTGTCTGGTCTGTTGCCTACGTGGTATCCTGCGGTGCCGGCGCTGTCAATGTGGAAGAAATCTGCGAGCTGTCTTTCGTTGACCATGTGTGTGAATACTGCTTCAGCCATTGGCGAGCGGCAGATATTGCCCAGACAGACGAAGAGCACTTTTGTTGGCGATGAGATATCCATTTCTACTGCTTTTAATTTCGAGCGAAAATGACGGAACAAAATTCAATTTTTCCTCGATTGAAGAAGACGAGAGACAAAAATGTTTTTTCATTGTGGTGTGACCAAATCTCGTCTATTTCCCTTTTTTGGCAATCAATATTTCGTGTTTCTCTCTTTTATTGGGTTTTGCCAATTACGTTTTCAAATTGTAAATTCACATTCCATTACACTTTACTCGTCAATCCCTTCTTTCTTTTTTACTTTCTCTTTCATTTATTAATTCGCATATCCTTTTCTTCCCCCTTTTGTATTTTTGTTTTTTTACAATCCAGTACCATTTCAGACAGAAATGCCATCGCGGACACCGCCGCCAATGGTGCGCATTAACATTCCGACAGTCAATATCAGTGAGGCCTGGGCGCCCACGCCCCTGCGCAAGCAGCGTCTGGGCGTGCGGTTCATAAAACTGTACATGCCGTGTCTTTTGATAATCTCGCTAGTAATAAACATCTACTACTTTACCCGGCCCGAGCCCCTGTCCCTGCCCAGCGCGCTGGCCACGACCAAAACGCCCCTGCACCGCCAGCGAGAATACACAGAAGTAGACTACACGCAGCTGACAGACCTAGTGCTAGTGGTTGGCCACGGCGTGTACATGGGCGAGGGCTCGCCCTTGAATGAATCCAGCTGGTTCCTATTGAACGAGCAGCGCGGCGAAGTCGGTGCCTTTATGGCTCATATAGGTCAGGGCATAGAGCTAGCAATGGAACATGACAGAGTGCTTCTCTTGTTCAGCGGTGGCAAGACGCGGCTTGGCGCTGGCGCGCATAGCGAGGCGCAGGGATACTGGGCTGCGGCGGATAAGATGGGCTGGCTGAACAAAGATATCTATCGACGGGTGTTGACCGAAGAATTCGCACGCGACTCGTACGAAAACGTCCTCTTTTCTATAGCTCGCTTCCGCGAAATCACTGGGAATTACCCGGATCGCGTCACCGTGGTGGGGTTTGAATTCAAGCGCGATCGCTTCATGAACTTGCATCGACATGCGTTGAAGTACCCCAAGATCCGCTTTAACTATGTTGGTATTAATCCGCCTGGGGACGTGAATGGGATGGCCAAGGGTGAGCGTAAAAATGGATTCAGCCTATTTGAAAAGGACTTGTACGGGTGTAGCGATCAGCTGGCCAAGAAGAAGGTTGTGAGGAATCCATTTATGATGAGCCATGGCTACGCCAAGTCCTGTCCCGAGATTGCGGGCTTGTTCGATTACTGTCCAAGTAACCCGACTGCTGTCTACGAGGGAGACCTTCCTTGGCTGAGCTGAGCTGAGCTGAAAATATATATTTTATCATTTTAAAGCTGAAAATGGCAAATAATTGATATTGATATTGATATTGATATTGATATTGATATTGTATTGTACTTTATTGAAAAATAAAACCAAGAAGGCTTTTATAAATGCCCTTGCTGCTTTATTGAAAGCAGCGCAACACAAGTAAATGGGCTGAGGAAAGTGTGTTGTATGTGGCAGCATTGCTATATAAATAAATGCATTGTAGTAATTGCCAGGATAAATGAGTTCAATAAATCTGTAATAAAACCTAAAAACTGAGGAAACCTCCTGTTGAGCCTTCCCTGCTTCCATTTTATATGCAGCTATAAAATCCTGGCTGCTGTTCCATTAATGCCTGATCGGCATTGACCTGCAAGCTCTCGGCCCAGCCGAGCTTATGTGATGAGAATCACTACATGCATATTAAATCCACAAATTTCCCGCACCATTGCAAAATTTCCATATCTAATATTGTCATTAAGTTACGATATATTTACTATTAATGAATTGGTAATTGATAAAAAGAATAGTTGATATTTAGATGAAAATCAAAATGATAAATGACTAATATAATGTAAAATATAATAAAATGATAAGAATGACTAAGAATCTGTGTTTGACTTGCTGCTCCCAGTTCCTGCCTTGATCAACAATTCTCGACAACACTCAGCGACATCCTCCAAAATGGCCAACAGCTCCTTGGCAATAGTTGGTGCCATGTCAGCACGCACTTCAAACGGATCAATCATTGGAGTGTTCATAACCTCTTGCTGTTGAACCGGAAATGCGAATTTGGATAACGGAGAAAGTGAACCAGGTGTGACTTTTGAGGCGGATGATTCACATTTGCCATGGTCAAAAGGTTGTTTCATATTTGCGCCCCTGCCATCCTCGCTGCATCCTGCATTGTCGATTAGAGCATCGCGCATCATACTCAACAATTCTGCAAGAACATTGATACGATCCACACTACTATCAAATTCGCTGAGGATAGATTTAAATGTAGGACTATTGTCCAAATCGCCGCGCTTGTATTGACAATATCCTCAATGTTTGCCGTCAACCCAATACTTGATTTTAGCACTCGGCCATTTGCGCCTTTAAAGCCATATGTCCCAATCCAAATTAAGACATAAATCAGCGTCTCCCAGTCGTCGAGCTCGGTGCGTGGGAGTTGGCTTCTCTCTAAGGCGTGAATGCACATAAACGGGAGAGTACCTGTGCGCTCATCATGTGGAGTATGAGGGCCCTTTAAGAATTGACCGCTGATCAAAGTCAACCAGCATACCCTTGACGGTTCCATCATTCATGCGCCGGAACAGATGTTCCTGGCATAACATCGCGGTGCAGGATGTGGCAATGCTCGACAATAGCGCGGTGAGCACGCATGGCGTCGGCAACGACAATGATGAGTTCTGGCACAGACTTGAGCATATTAGCGGCTTTCCAATTGGCGACATGGCAACACGCCTGTGTACACGGAGTTGTGGCTTGTGCTCCTGCTCTTTTTTGTTGCCAACTGCTAAATTGGAAAAAAGATCGCCAAGAATACTGAGGGTCGTGTCCTCAGTAAATGTGTTGTCGCTGTCCTGCTGAAGGCGCACTAGACCGCCACGTTTGAGTTCTGGGTATGTGCCTGCAAGCTCCTGATAATGTTTCAGCGTCTGGGTGATGTCGTGCAGATGAGCAACCTCATTGCGCGGATCCACACCTCCAACCCCCACAGACTCTAGCCATGCATCCTTAATTAGGGTGTCGCAATCCTCCATCTTGATGCAACTCCTTTCAGTCGGCTTGACCTCTGTTGCTATAAAGCACCGTGTGTGCCGCCCAAACATCCGATCAGCAGTCAAAAGGATGGTGCTGCTGTAAAACACCTCCCCAGTAGACCCCAGTGAAACAGTTCGATGCTGCTGCTGCTGTTATCTGTGTCGCCTATAGAACCGCCAGCACTGTTATCTCCCAGCAGCCAAGGTTATTTAAATACCTCACTGAGAATCATATCCGAGCTGATCCTCGCTGCAGAAAGACCAGTTGACGATCAACCCAATGAATGCACCACGGCCTGCCTCTGTGTGTGCATCCATTTCTGGAGAGGTCACTACGAAATTTGGGCCGAAAAAATGAGCCTGCACAAAGCTGCCACAAATTGTCAGCCCCCAAGCAAAACGACGATTGTGCTGGGTGCGAAAAAGGTTGCGGGTGTAGCGGAATAATTGCTGTACAGCATCAACCTTGTCGCCTTTCGTGCTCCCCGCTTCACTTCGATAACTAAGAATAGTTTTGAGTACCATATTACTATGGCCTCATCGAGAGTGGCAACCTTTTCCTTCTGCCAACTGAAGGTGCGGCCAACAGATGCACTGCCTATGCTCTTCGTCTCCAAGCCAATGTCGATCCTTTCGTCCGACTGTGCATCCTCGCACATTTTGTCTGTCGAGTGACAAGGCAAAATCTTTCTGATGGTACTGGTCGTGCCTTCTCCCCAAGAGAGCAGGTATCCAGTGCGTGGCTGACCAACCCGACAAACACAAAAAAGGCGATAATTGGTGGATAGAATTGTCTTTCGGTGGACAACCTATCTGCCGAGTTGTGTGTGCTGGTCCACAATGAGAACTCATTGCTGGCCAAGCGCAGTTCAGATGCAAGGTTTTTGATAGCTGTTTTCTTTGAGCGTGTCGAGCGGCTGGAATGGATTGAGTCGGCCATGATAATCTGTTCAAGCATAGCTGCATCGTCGGCTAGTATGTGGTTGGAGCTGGACGCAAACACCTCGACGCCCTTGTGGATAACCTTTGAAACATTGGCCGCGCGCTCCCTGCGATCCGCAGCCTTGGGCTCAGCCAGCTCAAGCACGCCTGCTTGTGGTTTGCTGATGTAGTGTTCCCACTCGCGTGCGGCCTCGTCCTTTACCGAATCGCTATGCTCTTTGGGCGTTTGTATCCATGTGGAAATCGTGCATGCAGAAGCAACACTGGGCTGTATCAGCGTATTCGTGCGTGCTCTGCCAGTGGGGTGGGCTGCTCCCTCTGCTGAGTCTACATAACGCTCAACATTTTTATGTAATAATTTATAATTTTATTTGAGTGTAAATATATTGAGTAATTAAATATTATAAAATGAACTTTCAAAATTATTATTATAGTATTTGGTAAACTACTTACATGGCGATGCAGGTTTTACACTTTTCTTCTTTAGGCGATCTCGCATCTCTTTGTGACACCAGTGCAAGTTGGTGGTGACGATTTGGGCGTCCTCAGGAGGCCCAGTGGCCTTTCTCTTTCGTCTGGATTCAGGCATAACCAAAGGGGTGAAAAATGAAGTAGAGAACCAAATAAAAATATGGCAGTATAAAATATGAATAAACGGCTGAAGAAAATTGAGCAAATTGAAAACTTGTAAGCTGTGAACAGCTTCTCTTCGTAGCAAAATATGCTAATGTATAGTGTTAGACATTGTTTACATTGTACTTGTCATAAATAATAGACAAATTTACCAAGTTTCCGGATAAAAACAATGTGAATTATCGATATTCAAATTCAAACTTTTGTCTGTCATTGGTAATGTCAGGAGAGCGTGGTTGCCAGACAAATATAAAGAAAGCCGGATGCACAATGTGATAGAGTATGCGAGCTTTGTCCGCACTACTTGGTAAGTAATTTTGCATTGGCCGGTTGGCAACATTATTTGAAACCCATTTCAAATTAAGGCATAACAATTTCATGTATGTGCAGTTGGCTATAACTAGTTACAAATAATTAACAAACCCGTTTCAACACCATTATCAAGTAACCCTGGATATAAGATGTAATATTGTCTGTGAAGATAATGCCACAACATATGCATACACAAACTAAATCTACCCACGTCATATGTTAAAAGCAATATAATGTCCGTATATTTGCGTATAATGTAGTCGAAAATAATATTATTAAAATTCCTAATTATGTAGTGCCTGGGTGTTGATGTACTGAATAAGTTGAACTGTTGAATAGTGTAAAAATAAAAAGGGTTTGAGGGGGAATGTCTGGTGTGGAACTAAAAATCAACGCCGTGTGGTAGTGCTGTAAAGGTCTTTGTTATCATTTAATGTGAGCAAGAAATATCAGAAATAAACATTGCGGCAACTCTGCAGTATTGGCAATGTTGTCACATGAAAACGGCAAGCGAAATCCAAAATGTGACTTGGGCACCACAGATTATGTATCTAGTTATTCAAAACTGAAAACATGATGGATAACCACAAACTTCAACATTCATACAGCTGTAGCTATCATTTTCTCAAATATATAGCTTATTGCACTCACTATTAAATATGCTATGCTTCATATGCGCACGTTTCAATTTAGCATTAATATTTGAATGCAAACAATTTATAATTAATATGTAAAAAATATATTCCAAAATTAGCTTCCCTAAAAATAAATAAATGAACTAGTTCATTGTGTTTGTCTCGTTGCTTTCAGTTCCTGCCTTGTTCAACAATTCTTGGCAACACTCAGCAGCATCCTCCAACATGGCCAACAACTCTTTGGCAATAGTTGGTGCCATGTCAGCGCGCGCTTTAAACGGATCAATCATTGGACTGTTCATAGCATCTCGCCGTTGAACTGCCAATGCGAATTTGGATAATGGAGAAAGTGAACCAGGCGTAGCTTCAAAGCGGATAATTCACAGTTGCCATGGTTAAAAGGTGTTTCATATTTGCGCCCCTACCGTCTTCACTGCATCCTGCATTGTCGATTAGAATATTGCGCATCATACTCAACAACCCTGCAAGAACATTGGTATGATCCACCCTACTATCAAACTCGTTGAGGATAGATTTAAAACTGGAACTGTTGTCCAAATCGCCGCGCTTGTATCTGGCAATGTCCTTAATGTTGTGCGTCAACCCAATACTTGATTTTAACACCTGCAATCCTTCTGTGTTCACTTGCATCACTGTCATGTTTGGGTGTGCCATTGAGTCCAAATGTCCCAAGCCACACCAGGACATAAATCAGCGCCTCCCAGTCGTCGAGCTCGGTGCGCTTGTTGCTGTTGCCCTCGAGGTTGTTCACGCTCATGAAATTCAGTGTGCCGATATGCTCGTTTTTCGGCATCGCATCCAGATTCTCGCAGTTGATCGCATGGTCAAAATCAATCAACATGCCCTTGACAGTGCCATCCATCATACGCCGGAAAAGAAAGTTGCCTGCTGAGATATCACGGTGCAATATATTGCAGTGCTCGGCAATGGCGCGGTGGGCGCGCATAGCATCGGCAACAGCAATGATCAGCTCGGGAACGGACTGGAGCCTATCAAGTGGCATGCCAATCGGCGACGTGGCAATGCGCTTGTGTGCACAAAATGGCAGCTTCCGAATCTTCTCGCCGACTGTGACATTGTCAAATAGGTCCCCAAGATGCTGCGCGTCGTGTCCTCAGTAATGTATTGCTGCTGCAACTCTGAATTAATGCGACCGCCAGCTTGAGGACGGATATGTGCCCGCAAGCTCTGGATAGCGCTCGAGTGTCCAGGTGATCTTGCGCAGATGGGCAACCTCGTCGCGCACGTCATTGATACCACTTCCATCAGCCACCTCGGTCCAAGCGTCCTTGATAAAAACGGTGCAGTCCTTGCTTCTGATGCGACTGTCTCTGGTTGGCTTCTTATCCGTTGCTAAAAGCACCGCGTGAGCCGCCCAAACAAATGACTAGCCTCAGTTAATATGTGGCTACTGTAGAATGTGCGTTCAGTAGATCCAATAGATCCATAAAAACTGGCATTGCCACTGCTGCTGTCTGTGCTGTCAGCACTGTCCATGGTGGCTGTGCCAGGAACCGTAATCTCCCAACAGTCGAGGTCATGCAAGTGCTTAATGCTTGGGTCGAAACCCAGCCGGTGGTCCTCGCTAAAGGACAAATTAACAAACAGCTTGATGACCTCGCCGCGGCCCGCCTCGGTGCAAATGTCCATGGCTTCAGAGACCAGAACAAAGTTGCATCCAAACAAGTATGCCCGGACAGAGCTGCCGCAAATAGTCAGGCCCCACACAAAGCGCCGGTTGGGCTGCGCGCGATAAATGCGGCGACAGTGCTTAGACAGCTGCAACGCGGCATCGTCCACGTCACCCGACGACAAGCCTTGCCCGACCTCGATGGCGGCAAACAGACCGGCGTACCACTCGTCGTTGTTGTCGATTGCGTCTATATTGCCGTCCAACGTTGCCTCGGAGCTGTCGGTCGTAGCGACAGTGGCCAGCGTAGAGTCGATTCCCAAGCCAATCCGACCAGTGGTCTGGTGGGTGCACTCTTCCCCAGTATCTGTAGTGCTGACTGGCGCAGTGGACGGAATGAGCACCCGGCGTGGCTCGGGGCGTCCTTGCTCTCCTTTGGCATGCTGATGCAGCCCCTGAATAATACGAGATACAAACGAGGTAAATGACTCGGCACCCTTGCTTACGTCGCCACTGCTGCTGCTGCTTCCGTTGTGGTCGCTAGGTGTGTGTGCGCCTGTCCACCTGGAAAGCGCATCGTAGTCCTGCCTGAGCCTGCTCGCCAAATAATCAATGGCGGCGTAGTTCGAGCGAGCTAGCCTAACGGGCCAGACCGAGTCGGCGTTGATGAGCTCTTCCATAATAGCAAAGTCGCCACCCGGCGTGTGCTTGGAGCCAGATGAAAGCTGCTCCATGGCCCGGTAAACAATATCAGCAACCGTGGCCGCCCTCTGCTTGTATTCTGCAGCCACTGGTGCTGCCAGTTCGACGACGCTGGGATGTGGTCCGCTGAGGTGTCGCTTTAACTCGCGCATAGCCGGCTCCATACGCTCAAACATCTTTTGTCTTTCCGACGAGCTGGGCTTGGTATCAACGTGGCCGTTGCTGGGACAAGGGCCGGGTGCTGTGTCGGCCTGCTCGTCACCAGCTGGACTGCCTTCTTTTGTGTTGCTGCCTACAAAACAATTTCGGAATAATAAAATGCTGTTAGTATGTTGTGAGCGCACCAAAGCACCTTACGCTGGCCGCAAGGATATGTGTCGGCATACGCAACTGTCTGCAAATAAAACAAACAAACAAACACTTACTATCGGACGGCGTAATAGGCACAGGCTGGGCTTTGTTCTGGCGCGGGGCTGCTTTCTTCTTGTACACGCGTTTTCTGTTGTTTTGCAGCTGCGCGGCGTTGGCAGCAGTATCCGCGTTTTTCCTTGCTCTCTTGCCTGACGGTGCCTGCTTGGAGGCCGCGGCTGCCTTTCTCTTTGTGTTTGTTGGCTGAGAAGCGTTCATCTGTCGCTTCTGCCGCTTTGCGGTAACTGGCTGCGCACAGTCGTTTTGACGGACTCTCTTTGTCGGCATGTTTAGAATATAAGTGTGAATTAAACAAGGTGATGCTGGTTTGAAAAGCGTGTAACTATTGAAAATATATCAAAATAATTTGAACGGAGAAGAAAAAGGAAAAAAAGAGAAGCAGTTATGTGCGTGATGATTTGCAATAACAAAATACACACACAATCAATGGTAAATATTTTAATCTTTGCGTTCCGCAACACTAATTTAGGACAGCCGCCTCAACTACCGCGCAAGACACAATCCCTTACATTCGGAAACCACCACCACTGTCCCCTCGATAGTTATAAACACAGCTCCGCCGCCCATTGCAAGGGAATTATTGTGGATTACTCGTTTAATGTTTTATTGGGGTTTTATAATAAGAATCGCACCAAGGTACTGTGTCAAAAATGGTAAATATTTTGGTTTTTGTTTACATTTGGCAAACGAATATTCAGCGCTTGTCTTTTATTTACACCTATTATTCTTTTTGGATTTTGCAAGCAGTTGTATTGCAAGCAGCTTATTATATCTGCTGCGGCTGCTCCTTCTGCCTGTCGTACGAGTCAAAAACGCAGCGAGTTGCCGTGTAGATATATGGTCGCCAAAAACCTTCTGTGGTCGACTCTTCCTTTTCTATTCTTGTTTTATTTTTTTGCATTTCTGTCGCTGTTCTTGGCGTTAGAGGCGCACAAGTATTCCTTCAAATGGCCTTTTCTCTTCGCTTCTTGCTGTAATCTCATTTACCCCCTATTTTAGTGCTTGGGCTTTGTCCTTCACTCTGTCGCTCTTTCCTCTTTCTTTCAGTCATTCAACTTTTGCCCATTTGGCACTTTTATTTTCACTTTAGCACTTTTTGAATTTGTGCATTCGAATTTCGGTTTCTTTTTGTTTGTCTGTTTGCTGCTCCACTGCTGCCCTCGCCAAAGCGCTTGTGTGGAGATGCGCTTTCTCTGTCACGCTTGTGCGCACACTGCTGGTCTACCTTTGTCTCACTCTATCACCGCTCCCTCACACCCGCTTGCTCTGCCGCACTGATAGTCGTTTTGTCTCACTCCACATTGATGCCATTCTTGCGATCTTGCCTCTCATGGTCCCTCTGTCACTGTCTCTTTAGCCACGCACCAGTATCAGCAGCAGCAACATCACTACCAGCAGCAGCACACAACTGGCCGATCTTGAGTCTCTGTCCTGGGTCTCGTTTTGGCTTCTCTCTCATTTTGTTTTTGCTGTGCCAACATAACTGGAACCAGCGGCTCTCGATCAACCTCTGCCTTGTCATCTTGTCCACTCGCGTCTAGGCCTATCTCTTTCGCTCAGTGCTCACACTGAGCGTGCTTGTCTCACATCTGCTCTGCCTCTTTTTTACGGGCAGATCCTGATTGCTCTCTGCCACTGTTCTCATCGCCTGCTCCATTTGCACCCCGACCGTGCAAGTGGCAGACAATGTGGAGAACGCTTGTTGTTGTTTCTTGTCTGTTGTTTGCGCCTGCATGCCCATTCCGCACTTTGTGGCCTGTGCGCTTGGTTTTTGTCACTTTGTCGTCCTTTGGCCTCGTTGCTCATTGCTAGTGTGTCACTTTCGGTTTTCGTGATGTTGCTTGCCTATTGTAGTGTGCCCTTTGTCCCCTCCTCTATCTACTCCCACGTTGAGTCCATCTTGTGCTTTTTGGCACTGCGGCCCTGATTTGACTTTACTCTGCTTATGTCTGCTACTGTAGCCTGCTTTACCACCTGTGAAGCTGTGGCCCACGGCTGCCGCCTTTGTCAGCAATTGGGAGCGTCACGCTCTGCACATTTGTTCCTACCTGTCATGTCTCTCGCGTCTTTCTTTGTTTTTCTCACGCTTTTCTTTGTCTTTCTCGGCTTTGCTCTGTTTTTCTTGTTTGCCCGGCTGCCTCTTTTTGCACCTATATTTGTGCCTGGCTGACCCTTGCCCCTGTGAGTGTTTATCGCTGTGCTGCTTTGTTGGCACTTATAGAAGAGACACTTGGAGATTGATGACGGAGTCTGAGACCGAGTGGATATATTGTGGCTGACCGTCTATAAGCCACGGATAGCACCATTGCATGGTGTGCATGCCCTTTTTTCTTATACACAGACAGACACGCGCACGCATTTGTGTCATTTCGCTCTTGCCTTCATCGACATTGGATCCTGATCGACTCGCGACCTGTGAGCTGCCCTAATCTTGCTCAGACATCTCGTACTCTAGCACCACACGTTGCCATTGCTGCTCTTTCGTTTATTCGGCGACTGTTGTGCACTTCTGCCTTGGTTTGCAGTTGAAGACTGCTCACTCAGCAACATGTGTGTGCTTGCTTGTCTTGCCTTGCCTTGCCTACCTGCACGTTTCACTGACTATTGATACTCTTTCCACTTGCTCCCACAGTTATCAACAACCATTCATTTAGTGATAAATTCCTTGCGCTTTGTCTCAGCTGCATGTGCAACTGCTGTGCTGCTAAACTGTTGATGTCATAAAAGCTGGTAATGCGTCCTCACTCCACATTGTGCTGTATCAGATTCATATTTCTTAGTCATGATTAAACTATGCTTATCAACCCGAAAGCGTTAGCTATTTTCTTTATCGATTCACATTGTTTTTTGATTTATCGTATTTGCTATATAAATAAATGCATTTTAGTAATTGCCGTGATAGATGAGTCCAATAAATCTGTATTAAAACCTAAAAACTGAGGAAACCTCCTGCTGAGCCTTCCCTGCTGTCATTTTATAGGCAGGTATAAAATCCTGGCCGCTGCTGAATTAATGCCTGGTCAGCATTGTCTTAACTCGCAAGCTCTCGGCCCAGCTGAGCTTATGGTAAGAATCACCATATCGAGTTATAAGATGCGGATGCATGCTCGGGGTTCGTTCTCTTGACTAGCTTGCTCTTTTATGCCAAGGTTTTTAATTATTATCTTTAAAACAGTCTCGACTTTCTTCCGATGTAATATGCTTGATTGTGCACCCCTTCAATCCGCAGACGTAGTAGTTCTGTTTGCCTTGGGATTCAGTTGAGCTGAAAATTCTTGAAATGCTGATAGTAAAATCCGCCATTGTTAGGGCTGACTACAAATGTGTGTTTTTGCTGAAGAAAGATGAATGCTGAATATGCTGAATGTAAAGAGTAATGTTGAGAAAATGCAAATGGTGGAGCGACTGCACATGTTTTATAATGTAAGGGTAGCTTGCAAAAAATTATAAATGATATAATAATGCAAATTTTCAAAACAAAATGCAATCAAGTGCAAACAAGTGCTCGTAAATGTTGAAAAGTGTACCCAACCACTCACCATTTGGAATACGTGTATTTATATTCCTTGGGGTTAGATATTTTAAATTGTGCCTTAACAGATCTACTAATAAATAAAGGAGTACTCTGGTCTATATTAATGAAAATATAAAATTATGAGTCAATGATTTTGAATAGACCCTACTTACTATGCAAATAAAGGTGATGCACGCAAATAATTTGTAAATAAGCCAAATTTAGAGGCAGCTAGCTAGACATTCACAACCACACGTCATAGATGAATCAATTAATATGTTGAGATAAAAGTTTCAAAGTCAGATTGTTTATTATTTTAATACGCATGGCGTAATTATTTTAAGGGTAATTATTTTTGGGCAGGGGAAGCTGCTGGTGGAAGGAGTAAATAAATGAATTGGTTGATTGATTGATTGAAAAAAGGAGAAATAATAAAGAAAATGTAAAACAGTAAATACAACTCAAAAGAACGGTTGAAATATGCACCTATTGCCATAAATTTGCTGTTGGTCTATGTTTAATTTGTTGATTAAGTATGCGAATCCCCATTTTTTATTTTTATAACATTCATTTGCATTAATTAAAAATAAGAAACTTTAATTTGATTCAACATTGTAATTTACTTTGTACTCTGGCTTTTCATGCGCAGAGTAGCATATGGCGGCAAAACAATTAGGCGCGAATTTTTTCGATCGGTGTAACCAAATTTAGCCTAATATTACAAATTTGATTTTTTTTAGCAAAACCCCGATTTGCACATTCACTCCTTTCCGTATTTCCATTCCGGCAAATCGTAACTCCGAATTAAAAGAAACAAGGGAGGGGAGAGGGGTTGCAAAATTAGGCGGGGAGGGGGAGTGGATGCGGGTTTGTTTTTTTGCAAATAAAACCCGCTAAGATGAGCCATGCGTTTAAGAAAAAAAGTATGGAATCTAATCTTTTTTTGTAAACACTCAAGACGGGCCGGGCCCATGTTGACATGAGTCACAAATTTAGTTTTTGTCTGAGAAGCGATGAATAAGAAGAAAAAAGAGATAAAAGGTGGACTTTTGCATGTGCGCGCTTTTTTTTCTTTCTTTCGTCAAACCCTTGTTACTTTCTCTTTGCTTGTCATCTTTCCTTTTCTTTTTTACGATCTTAAACAAAATAATACTTTTGTCTTTATATTTTTTAGTTTTATAAATAGCAATAGCAATAACAATAATAAAGCCCATGCTTCGCGTGCTTCAATCAAGTGCCGTCAAGGCGGCAGCAGCCAAGCGCATCGTTAACAGTGCATCATCCACACCAACCGCAAGCCGTCAGCTATTCTCCACAAGCACGATCAGCCGCGAGCAGGATGGGCAAAAGGGGCAGCTCAACCGATACAGCGCAACCATCACGCAGCCCAAGTCGCAGGGCCCGTCGCAGGCAATGCTGTACGGCACCGGAATGAAGGAGATGGACATGAGCAAGGGCCAGGTGGGAATCTCCAGCGTTTGGTACGAGGGCAACCCCTGCAACATGCATCTTCTGGATCTCGCCGGTAAGGTCAAAGAGGGCGTGCAGGCAGCAGGACTTGTCGGCATGCGGTTCAACACCGTCGGTGTCAGTGACGGTATCAGTATGGGCACCCGCGGGATGTGCTTCTCACTGCAGTCCCGCGATCTCATCGCGGACTCGATCGAGACCACGATGAGTGGGCTGTGGTATGATGCAAATATCTCGATCCCCGGGTGCGACAAGAATATGCCCGGTGTGCTGATGGCCATGGCACGGCTCAACCGCCCGTCGATCATGGTGTATGGCGGTACCATTCGTTCTGGAAAGGGCTGCAAGGGCCAGCGGTACGATATCGTGTCGACCTTTGAGTCCTATGGCTCATACGTGGCCGGAAAGATCTCCGAGGAGGAGCGCTTTGACACTGTGCGCCACGCGTGTCCGGGTCCCGGTGCCTGCGGCGGCATGTACACGGCCAACACAATGGCCGCGGCCGCTGAGGCTATGGGCATGGCCCTGCCCTACTCGTCGACGTCCCCGGCGAATTCGCAGGAGAAACTCGATGAATGCTTCAACTCCGGCGCTGCTATCCGCAACCTGCTTGAGCTCAACATTTGCCCGAAGGATATTATGACGCGCGCGGCCTTTGAGAACGCCATCACCTTGGCAATTGCCATGGGTGGATCGACCAACGTTGTGCTGCATCTGATTGCGATTTCCCGCGCGATCGGCATCAACCTGACGCTGGCTGATTTCCAGGCTATCTCCGATCGCACGCCGTTCCTGGCTGACATGAAGCCCAGCGGCAAGTACGTTATGGAGGACCTGCAGCCAATTGGTGGTACTCCGGCTATTCTCAAGTACCTCATGGAGGAGGGCCTCATTGATGGCTCGACCATGACGGTTACCGGTAAGACAATGGCCGAGAACTTGCGCGCACTTCCAAGCCTCCCCAAGGGCCAGGACATTATCCGCCCGGTGGACCAGCCCATCAAGGCCACCGGCCATCTGCAGACGCTCTTTGGTAATGTTGCCCCCGAGGGATCTGTGGCCAAGATCACAGGCAAGGAGGGCTTGCACTTTACTGGCACAGCCAAGGTGTTTGACTCGGAGGACGAGATGCTGCACGCCCTGGAGCGCGGCGAGATTGTCAAGGGACACGTTGTCATTATCCGCTATGTCGGGCCCAAGGGCGGCCCTGGTATGCCCGAGATGCTCACCCCGACGAGCGCCATTATGGGCGCTGGTCTCGGCAAGGACGTCGCTATGCTGACCGATGGTCGTTTCTCTGGAGGAAGCCACGGTTTCATTATTGGCCACATTACTCCGGAGGCTCAGGAGGGTGGCCCCCTTGGACTGATCGAGGATGGCGACCACATCACTATTGATGCTGAGACCCGTGTTATTAACGTTGACCAGCCGGAGGCTGAGATGGCTCGCCGTCGCGCCTCTTGGGTCGCACCTCCGCTGAAGGCTGATCGTGGAACACTGTTCAAGTACATCAAGACCGTTAAGTCTGCGTCCTACGGCTGTGTGACTGACGAGTAAGCGGTTAAGAAATATTGATTATAATCCTAATAAATGAAGTTAATTAATTAATTGTATACACTTGAGTTATATATAGATGGACCTTGCCTGTGCATATTGCTTTTTCTACATATCTTTGGTGTATTTTTTTTTAAATGGATATGTTGTTTGTGGTCCACTTTTTGAACCTTTTGAAATAATAGAAAAATATCACCAGTCCATTAATTTTTTATTTATTTAAAAATAATGTTATGATTGGTGCCAAAAGAGAGGTCGTGTCCTTTTTATTCATTGCTTTATTCTCTTTGAAAAAAAGAAATATAAAAAAGGGTGATGCATTTTCTTTTTTCTTTTTATTATTTTCTTTTAATTTCTATTTTTTGCTTTTTATAATAAGGTAGCCAACCAGCCAAAAATAAAAAATAGAGAGTGGATGAAAAAATGGGTTTGAGAAAGAGAGAGAGAAAAAAGTATATGGTAGTGTGAGACTCCAAAACTCTTATTTTTTGCTCTCTTTTCTCTTTCTCCTGTTTAAAATACTAGTCCATATATATACTTTATTTTTATTTAGCCAAACTATTTATTTTCTTGTATTTATTTGAAAATAAAAAGTGTAAGGTTTTTTCCTCCTCAATATATAACATAGAATATATGTAGCAAAAACTAGCATATATTGTTTTGTCTATTTTATTTGCGTATATATATATTATTTCCCTTTTTTTCTTATCTATTTTTTATTTCATATTCCTTATTCATGTATTTAACTCGCACCTTGGTCATAACCCTCTTCATCCTATTTACACTCTCATGGCAATCCAACGCAGAACTATTCTTGCGTAAAAAGAAAAATGAAGGTGGTGACAATAGCGGTGGTGGAGGCGAAGACTGTGAAAATGACGAAAACCATCATGGAAAAGGGGGTTCCAGCGGCAGTCACAAGCACAATGGAACCAAAAGCAGCAACAACAGCAAACACACTAAACCATTCTCTGTCGATAAGACTAACATTGCTATGAGCAGTGTGAGCGGCGCAAGTGATGTGCAACTTCCACGGACTCCACGGGATACCAATAGTACTGCATTGGAAACCTGCGAATCCGGGTTCACCAGCTGCCCCATCTTCGGCTGCATCAGTGATTTGCAGTGCCCGGATACCTGTGCGCAACGCACTACCCCCGAAACCTGCATTTTCAGCCTCAACGGTAATGGATGTCGGTGGTCAATGGGCAGTTGTGTACGGGATATACAATGCCCCGTAAACTCCCAAGGTATATGTCCGGAGGGGTGTCAGGGATGCGGGCCCTTTCAGTGTATTGTAGAGGGTCTGGTGTGTCCTGTGGCTTGTGAGGATAGGGCAATGTCGGAGTGTGTTGTGGGAGGGGCGGTGTTTAACGGAATAGGATGTGCATGGAATGGGAATTCTTGTGTTATGTGGGATGTGATTAATGCTGTGCCGGTGGATGCAAGGCAGGTGAGGGCGGCGGATTATAATTTGGGCGATGATGGATCACCCTCGGCTTCGGGCTTGGATTCAGTGTTGGGGGATAGTAATGGAGGGGCTACAGATACAGTTACGGATGTGGTTTTGAAAACCACCTATGTGGATTCGTCCGAACCAACAAAGTCCAAGTCCAAGACCAAGACCAAGACCAAGACCAAGACAAAAACCAGCGAGAAGACAAAATCGTGTACCAGCACAACACTGGCGGAATCGCCGTTACCTTCCGAAGTGTTGCTGTCGTCAGATGAGAAGCACTCAAAAACAACAACGAAACCCCCCAAATCTTCACCATCCCCAGAACCATCACCAGAGTCTTCAGAGTCTAAAAATAATGACAAAACAAGCTCATCTTCAAGTTCCAAAAAGACCGATCCACCCTTGGAGTTCCTTAACATATCGACAGTGAGCAGTCTGCACAACCCATTCTCACTCGAGTCATCATCCACCCCAAGCAAGACCAAGTCCATATCAACGATTACCGGCACAGGCAAACACACACAGTCTTCCACTGGCATATCACCATCACCCTCATCAACAGGCTCGTCAACTTCAAATCAAGCTTTAGATAATGATGAGAGAGCCAAGGGCCTGGGCCTTGGCTCTCTCATTGGGATCCTGGTGGTAGTCCTTGGTGTTGTTGGGCTGGTGTCCTGGGGCGGTCTGTATTTGGTGACTCGGCGCAAAGCCAGATTTAATTCGTTGCCTGGAAATTACCAGCCGCAACCGTCGAGAACTCTGCCGACGTATTCGCCATCGAATTTCAGTAACCCGAGTACGGTTAACTTGCCGTATTCTGGGAATGGAGCGAGTGGCAATAATAGTCAGTAAAAGGAAATGCATTTGAAAAAATGAAATTCTTGTATTTGTTATTTTTGGTTTGGTTTGGTTTGGTTTGGTTTGGGCGCTGGCCGCCTGATTCGAGAATCGGCGAGGTTGGTGGTATTTGCAAGGCAATTAGATAAAGTTATTTATATATAAAAATACATGTATTATTATTACTATTATTGGTTAATTGTCTATATGTGGACGAGGTTGATCTGGTAATATGCCAAAACACCCTTACGGGGTGTCTGTGGGGTGGGCAAGGGCCTCGGAGCTGGCAAATTCGGAAAACTCGTCCTCATCGTCCTTGTCCTTGTCCTTGTCCTTGTCCTTGTCCTCGACCTCGGCCCCGTCTTCAGCCTTGTCCTTGTCCTTGTAGTCGGCTTCATCCCCCACCTTCGCCCCATCACCCTCACCCTCACCCCTGCCTTCACCCCCACCCTCTTCAGCTTGCCCACCCTCATCGTGTGCGTACGGCGGAACCACCCACTCGGAGATAAACGAATCGTCCATGTCCAGCATGTCCACAGGCTCCGCCGCAGCATTCCCCCCGCCCATCGGCACGCCCACAGCCCCGCCCCTCCGCCCAGCGCCCGCAACCGATCCAGGGCTCAGCCCGGACATCTTTTGAAAAGCCGCATACCTCAGCGCCATCACCACGGCAACATCCGACTTCTCCAGGGCAATATCCAGCGGCAACATCCCATAAGCATCCGGGGTATCCCACTGCGCACCCCTGCGCACAAGATACCAGACAACGCGCACATTGCCCAGCCTTGCCGCCCAATGCAGCGGCGTCCCGCCCATACTCCGGCCGGGCGAGCCATCGTAGGACGTGGCGGTCATGCGTGCGCGTTGGTTGGGATCCGCGCCCCACAGCAGAAGCAGCTCCAACATGCCAAAGTCCCCCGCGCCCACAGCCTCGACCAACGGCGTCGCGCCCGTCGCCGAATCAAACGCATTCGCATTGGCGCCTTGCGCCAGTGCTCGCAAGGCGCGTGGCAGGTCGCCAGAGCGCGCAGCCTCCAGCAGCTCCGGCTCCGGCTCCGCGCCGGCCTGCAAGGCACTGCCGACGAACAGGCGGTTGGCGTACTTTTGCATGATAAACGGCTGCCTGTCGCCACGGGCGCTGGCAGCCCTGGGCCTCCGGGGCTCGTCCAAGGAGGGCCTGCGCGCCTCGTAGATGAGGTTGACTCGGCGGTTGCCCAGGCGCCGCATAATGTGCAGCAGCTCAGGCTCCCAGTTGTCCAGCTTGACCGAGCGCACCTTCGACACGTGCACGCCCAGACTGCGGTGGATGCCGGAGCACTCGATGCACAGCAGAGCCCCGACGGTTGTCGCTGCCCACTCGGGGCTCGGGCCGCCGCAGTCCACGCATTGGTCGTTGCCGTCGACGCCGGCGAGCTCAGCCATGCGCTGTCTCTGCTGCGCATCGCGGCTGTCTGGTGCTGCGCCCGACGCGCCCTCGGATGCGGGCGGGAGCGAGCCGCGCGGGATCGGCGGACTGCCCCTGCCGCCGCCGCCGCCCCCACTGCCGATTGGCTGCGACGCCGTGCGCGTCACGGCCAGGTGCGCCGGCGCATGCGCATACAGCGAGGCCTCGATGGCCTGGCGCAAGCAGCTGTGCCACGCAAGCAAGTCGTGGGCGGACTCTGCCTGCAGAATGTACGTGCGGTTGGGTGCCACCAGCTCGAACACATGGCGGCGGTCCAGTGCCGCAGCGGCGCCCGAGCCTGTGCGCGCCAGGCATAGGTGCAGGGGGATTGACTCGCGGTCGCGCGGCGTGTCGCGCTGGAAGTGCGTCAGCTGCCCGCTGGATACGCAGAACCACCGGCGCTGCCATGAGGACAGCAGGGAGTATTGGCTGCGCAGGAACAGGTAGCCGGCCATCTGCTCGTTGGGTGCAAGCGCCAGTGACGGTACCAGGGGCCGGTGGGGCGCAACTACTGTCGGCTGCCCGCCCCCTGTGTCCCCTTGGCCCTGGCCCTGGCCCTGGCCCTGGCCCTGGTCTTGGCCTTGGCCTTGGCTGTAGCCCTGACCTTGGCCCTGGCCCTCACCCTGGCCCTCGCCCTCGCCCTCTTCCTCTTCGTTCTGGCCCACGCGCACATATCCGCTGCCGCTGCCGCTGCTGCGGCCAGTACTAGACGAGCAGCTGGCTGCGTACATCTGCTGCGTAGCGGCTGCCACCGCCTGCGCCTCCTCCATCTCCGCCGCCGCCGCCTTGCGCTCCCTCGCCAGCGCCGCCCCCAGCGCCTGCATAGTCGGCTCAGCACCCCTCAAGGCAGCAAAGGCCTGATGATGGCCGGCGTATTGCGCATAAACAGTGGACAGAAACCCCTCCATAAGGTCGATCCGCGCCACCGATGCCAGGCGGCTCAAGTCCATGGCCAGCCTCTGCACCTGTGCAATGTACGCCCCCTTGGCGGATTCTACAGCGGCCTCGGCGGCGTCGATTTGCGGCTGCGGATCGCTGGGCTTGCGCGCCATTAAACGCCCGAGCTGCGACTCGTACTCGGCCTGCAGCACGTCTACGCGCTTCCGCCCCTGTCGCACCCGCCCAAGCCCCCCGCCGCTATCCGATAGCTCCTCCTCCAGAGGCCGCACAGCTACCATGTGTAGTTGCTCCACGTGCATCGCGCGTCCACGCTCAATCTCTGCCAAAATCTCGTTAAGCGTCTGCAGACTCTGCGAGCTCTTCTGCGGAGCACTGCCTGTGGGCGACAATTGCGCGATTCCGTTGATGCGCGCGAGCACTTCTGTCCACTTACTGCTGTAGTCTTGCGACACCTGCTGGAGGGCTTTGCATGCTTTGCCGAGCCCCTGGATGTGCGACTCTAGTGTGCTGCTGTAGTCTTCAAAACTGCGCAGGGTAGTGCGGAACTGTGGTGAGTCGCTGATGCTGTCGGATAAATTGAGTAGTCCGTTGATACCGCTGCCGCTGCTGCTGCCCTGCGCGTCGTGAGAATGCCGCATTTTAGTGCCCAGTTATGCGAATTGTTTTCTTTTAATAAATGAAAAAGGTGGTGTTGAATTCGACAAGATGAAAAAGCGAAATGCCAACAAAAAAACGATTAAAACCATATAAAATAAACGCTACTCTTTTTAACTTTTCTTTGCATCCTTTGCATCACACCTTCTTTCCTGGCAATCCAATAACACGGACCGGTCCTCCTTTTTTTTCTTTTTGTGATGACATGTACGCTCAACCCAAATAATCACTATTAATCTGCTGATCTCGATTCTAAAAAAAATGTAATGTTTTTTTTCCTCTTCAAAACTTTTATAATAAAATTAATTACACCCCTTTTTATTTCCCTTTTCTTGTTTTTATCTTGCTCATTTGACCTGCATAAATTATTTTTTTATACGTTGATACTATGCCGCCCAAACAAAAGAAACAGTCCCTCCATTCAGCTGACTCCCTTGAGGACGACTTCGCAATCGACACCGAGTACGTTTCGGATCAAGCCGAGTCCCACCACAAACCCCAGGAGGAGGACGACAACGACGACGGTAGCTCCCCTACATTGCCCACCACCGCATCCAACAAACGCAAAACAACCACAACCACAACCACCACCTCCAACAAAAAGCAAAACCTCACCACTTCCACAGCACCAAAGGAGAAGAAACCCAAGCCAGGTAAAATCGCCAACTTTACCGTTCCCGAACTCCCCTTGACCAAGTATCGCTCTGGAACCAATACATGAAAAAGGCCTATCCTGGCATCACCCAGTTGGAGCTCGAAGACCATCTAATGCACCCCAAGCACACCTACACCATCCCCTCACCCCACAAGGAACCCACCTACGGCAGCCCTGATTATTTGGAGGAGCTGACAAAAACCGCTATTTCCACGGGTAAGAGCAAAAACAAAGTCATGAATGGCGCCCCACAAGTCCTCATCATCAGCAGCTCTGCCCTTCGCGTCGTCGACCTCGTGCGTAGATTACGCCCAGTTTCGACTAAGCGTCCAGTGATGAAATTGTTCAGTCGTCATCTCAAAATTCAGGATCAGAAAAAGGCCCTGGCGGATGCTGCTGTGGATGTAGCTGTGGGAACTCCTAATCGCATTTTGAAATTGTTGGAGGAGAAGGATTTGAAGGTCAATCGATTGAGATTGGTTGTTATTGATTGCTGGCAGGATGATAAAATGCGTGTCGTGGTGGATATGGATGATACTAGAAAGGATTTATTCGCTATTTGGCGCGATCACTTATTGCCCATGTCGAAGAATCCGGATTTTGGTTTCAAGTTCCGCCTGGCATAAATCCATTCCCTTTTTTTAAAAATAAATAAACAAAATAATGGTATTTGAATTAAACATTAAAACTTATTAAAGAATTAATTGATTGAAAACGCAAACCTTTATCTTATGCAAATGAATGATGCGGATACTTGGCGCCCAACCTTTTCCACATATCTTCAAATACCCGATTGCACATTGATGTTAAAGCCAAATGAGCAACCAAAGGCAAAGGTAAAATAAGCCCCAGAATAACATCTGCCAGCAGATATCTAACATTGTCATCGAATAAACCGCGCTCAATACCTATTCTCTTGACGGAAGTAGACAGTGGATCCACAATCGGCACATCATCTAGCTCTATGCCCCTCACCCAGGACTGCCATGCCAGAATTGTACGGATCCTCGTTTCCAATAAGATATTTTGCAGGTAGATCTGTGAAAGCAGGGAGGCAAAAAAGAAGCGCCGCGATTATTCTAATGTCAATGGGTTTATCGAATCTCGGTAAAGCGAGGCTGGTCCGGTTGATTTTGCTTGTATTCAGATTCAGCTCCCGAATTATTAGAACCAGCTCCGCCTGTCCGTCAATAGTTTTGCAGTCAAACACTTTATTAGTCGGCCTATAGAACCTCGGGGTATCTGCAATCTCAAAGGTATTGTAAATGTAGGTTTTTCAGCTTCCAAACCGCTTGAACTTGTGCCATTAGAAAGACTGAATCCCATGGAATGATCCTGAAATATTGACATTGGGAATATACGCAGGTAACAAGGCATTGTTGAGAATGCCTGGGCACCAGCTGATTGAAAGGCAAGGTTTAGATACTCTAAAGCAGGGAACACAAGCTGAAACTCGGGGTTGTGCACATGGCTGATATTACCCACCACTAAATTCTTGTCTTCACCATAGTGTACTCACATTAAAAAATAAATGCAGAGTTTTTTCAGTCGAGAAAACTTAATTTATCCAGAGGTGATACCATTGGGCAGAACTCGTCAACGAAAAGCCAGAAGTCAATTTGTCCAACTTCAAGCTCTTTCGGGCTTTTGAGTTGACCTTTGGCAGACTGTCCACATTTAAATACTCCGCATATTAAGACTGAGATGAGTGAGTTGGTCCGAAAACGTCAGCACCGAAAATAAGTCACTTAGTGGCTTGAAATGTGTGTTGGGCACCACACATTCTATCTTCCCTTTTTAAGAATCAAGATCGCCCTCATGGCCACTATACACATTTCTGTTATTGCTGGCTGACATCAAGGAACACCATGATATTTACAGCGCTGCCTACACAGTGCTGCCCCCTTTTTTAGTTTAGTAAGGGATTTTTAAGACTTGAATATATCGATTTAGACCCACATTTTTATAAAGCACGATAGAATGTACCTGGGGCTTTTTAGCCTGGTTGTATACTGGTCAATGAGAATATTGGCAATCGTACACGATGGTTTGAATCTGCCCTGGCTATTAATAGCAACTTGTACCACGTTTATAAATATTCTGGTCAGGCTCACGGCATGCTCCACAAAAGCTTGACATCTACACTACACTGGTCTGCAACACTAGTGTCCTCCATATATGCTTCTTCATCAGAAAACTCGAACTGCAATAATCTGACACCTGTCTACACACTGCCCACATGGTCCAACTCCAGAGACAATGCATCTAGCAGCAACAAACCATTGGAGTAGCTGCCAAGGTGCATGTCAACATATTTGACGTGGTTCTGCCCTCTGAACGCCAAGATGTCACTGATGTTTGTGTCTAGTTTACAATCCCATTGTGCTAGCTTATCAGTAGCATTAAAGTCATGAGAGCCCTCAATTTACACTCACGACCAGACAATCGGCAATGCAATCCTTCTCCACTGGTGACACACTTTCAACAGGGTCATTAATTGATGGCATAGCATGTTTTTAACTACTCCAGGCTTGCTTGTTTTGTACATATGGTCAACTGCAAACTCTAAGATGTTTAGAACATTATTTGGCAACTCGATGCTGGACATGAAGTAAAAAAGCTGAAAGTATAAATGAAATTAGAAAAATTGAGTATTACGCTAGAATTTCGGTTTTAAGAAAAGAAAAGATATGGTGCCAAGTGTGGGTGTACTAGATGAATTGAACTAATTAATAAAGTCTGAAAAATGTCTGGTGTGGAACTGAAAGAGGCAGCACCATGTGGGCGGTGCTGTGAAGGTCTTGTTGACATTTGATGTGAGCCAGCAATATCCAGAATAGACATTGTGGCAGTAACGACATTATTTAGAATGCTGGTGCTTGAAAATGGGAACCATGGCCTAGAATGTGACTTGAGCACGACAGAAGGATTTATTACAAAAGAGTAAAAGTATATTTATTTCTTCCAAAAAGGACAATTCCTGGCTGCCCGACAGCCACTCCTTTTATATGCTCTCCCTGAGATATAAATAAACTATAATAAAACCCCATCATTGCTCTGATTGCCACGCGTGTAATCCATTAATCTCAGTAAGGCTGGATTTTTGTTTACGCGACATGATGTGCCCCAACTGTGGCATATTCTATTAATGATGAAACAGGATGTTGGTTTAGATACATTGGAGATGGAAACAGAATCTTACAGAAAAATCAACCGCTAAGCAGTAACGTTGATCATTGCTGATTTTATTGTGAGTTTGCCTAATTCCTATTAAGGGGTTTATAGGCGTGAGACCCAGCCTCACCGCCCCAAGAATAATTTTTGTAGGGGCATGTATCCAGGTGTGCAATAGAGCCCACAATGTACAAGGTGACATGGCAGACATTCGGTCTTATTCATCAACTTCAGTTTATGATTTTTATTTGTTTTATATTTTGCTCAATGTATCTAATTTTTTTGACGCACCTGAACGCATTATCCAAATTTATTTAAACATTAATTTATAAATAAAACAGGTAGCTTTGAAAGGCAATTTTTAAGTAATTTATCAATACATGATCAACCAAAATAAGGATTTACTCATGATTTATTTTTGGAACGGATAGTTTGTATAGGTTCTTATTTATGACAACTGGGAAACAGCCATGAGAAAAATCAAGGGGATTTAATTAAACATCTACATGAGTCGACAACAATTCTAAACATGCTTGCCAAGATGAACAACCAAAATAAAACATCTATGCCTGCTAGGCCTTTTTGTATTGGGGGTAATGTGTGCTAACGGTGTTCTACTCTAGTGGCCATTGCCAATAAAAAAGTATGGAGTAAAGTGTTTTTTTATTGAGTTAAAACATAGAAGGTACGCTTACTTTTTGTGCAGATTATATCTTTTGCTTGCATCCGTATACATTTAAATAAAATAAAATACCCCATTTTTACCTGTTCATTAAAGCTACTTTATATTATATTGTAGAAAGAAGGCACGGTAATATTGATTGCAATGTAAACGTATTTTTTATTTCCTATCCCCCATTTTCAACAAGAAATATGACCAAAATAAATATCTGGAGCAGTGCCATTATACCCAATCTGGAGTATTTATTTCACAAAATAGTCAGCTATTTTATGTATTTGAAAATGTAAGAACATAAATAATTATGTTAGCTGATTTCTATAAAAGGCCAAGCATTTTCTGCGATACGTTTTCAGTTTCCCTATACCCACGCTTCAATTAGTAAATATACTGCTTCCAACTTGAACATCATCAATCACCAGATTAAATATTATAATTCCAATTAATTATTTCAAATGTTTTTATTAGAAGCTCCAATTAAATGCCCAGATTGTAAAATGTGTTTTCCGGATGAAGATGAAATGGCAAGACATTATGAAAATGAACATGTACCAAGAGAATCATAGGAATTATAGGAATAATTAATGATTAATGATTAATGAATATCGATATAACAATAACTTAATTGAATAAAAATATCAACGAGCGCCCAAACAAACACTCCAATGTGTGGGAAAACAATTTATGGAAATATGAGTCTGTTATAATAAGAGGGTGTGTGTGGAGCATTACAATGGTAGTGTTAAAGGTTAGATATAAATTTATAAAGGCTGTTATTATCAATGGAATCAAAAGTAGAACCAAGGATGGCCTCGCCTTATATATGTATCTCGTTGCCTTTGTTGTGGACATTGTCAAGTATGCACTCTGTTGGCAAGAACTGGTTTTTCTACAGACAGACTGGTGTCTTGGCATATCAATGCTATTATCTTTGCATGTGCGCATCCGTATGTGTACAGTATGAAACGGGGAGCATATCAGGGTATCATTATTATGTCCCCTGATTCAATCCTACATAGTACCAGCTATGCCCTGTCAATCGCTGTGGTGGCCAACACACATTTCAGGCCACTACCCTTTTCAAGAATCAAGATCGCCCTCATGGGCACTATATACATTTATGTTATTAATGGCTGACACCAAGGAATACCATGATGTTTATAGCGCTGCCCACACAGCGTTGCCCCCTTTTTAAGTTCTTTAAGTAATTTCTAAAACTTGAATATATTAATTTAGACCCACATTTTTATAGAGCACGACACTTTTCACACTTTGTACTTTTGCACTTTGCACTTTGGGTTCTTGAATCGCATTATAAAAATTGGCTGGGGGCAGAAAAGACGACATAAATATCAATTAACTGATTTAATTTTGGCCATGGCCCATAGCAATTTCAAAAGACCAGTAAACAATTGTATATAGGGAGTAACTATATGTTTTTAGGGGGAAAAACAAGGAATCGCAATAAAATCGTTGTGATTGCACTACAAAAGGGCTGATTGTCGTTGTCTCACTCAGTCAACAACACGTGATTCAAAGCATTCTGAACAAATATTTAACTTTTAGTAGTTACAAACAAAACAATTGCTTTGCTAAGTAGGTATATAAAGTTGTGTAGAGTTTTTTTTGTAGTTGGCTAGTAGGTTTTATCAATATAAAATTTTCAAAACCTGCACTGTAATTAATCCCCAACCATAGAAAAGACCTTTGAGATTGTGTTTACACACTTATTTTTGCATTTCGTTAAAAGCTAAAGTGTGTTAACAGCACGTTAACACCTTTCATCAGAGGTAGGAAATTAAGTGCAATCATTTGGCAAGATATTCAAAAGCAGGTAGCCGAGAGCAAAGCCAAGGAGAGCACTCTCTGATGCGGTTACTCACCCTCGCAGGCATGGCACAGATTGATTTATCCAAATATCATGGCGGTTATAGTCGTCAGAGTTGTTTAGTACAGAACAGGACTTTATCAAAGAAGCAAGTGGATTTATGAATCTATTTTCTCTGGGCAAAGTGTGGACGTTTTTTGTCTAGCGCATCAAATTCTAGCCGCTCGCTTATCAGGCGTCTTTTTTGTACTCCTATTGCTGTAACTATGTATGTGTGCCCCATTTTTCTCTATTTCTATTTCATTATGAATAATTCACGTGATAAAATATCTTTGATTTAATTAAGCTGTGATTAACGCATTTTCCACATTTCTCATCTGTCCCTTTGCTATCTGTACTTTTCCTAACAAAAAATTCGCGACCATAAAAAAAGATGTTAAGCCAGATCGATCTGGTACAAAAGAGTTATTAAAATTATGTTTCCCGCTCAACGAGATTCAAACGCTTTCTGTTTTTTTCTTATTTTTCTCAATTTTGTTGCAAATTTAAAACTAAAATCTAAATTACACACCCTTACTATTATAATATAACAAAAATATGTTTGCATTTGTATCGCAGAAGCTGCGCACTTCGGTTCTCCTCAACACCCTAGTTCGGCCTACCGCCGGCGCGCGGTTCCTTAACACGTTGGAGCGCTCACAGGCGCCAAAAACGCAAACGACTTATAAAAAGCCATTTACTCAGCGCAAACAATACCTCTTCAGCGCCTACGAGCACCAATTCACGACCCCCACCTTGCTAATTGTCCAGCACTACAATCTCAGTGGTCCGGAGCTTATGGAGCACCGCCGGGAGCTCAAAGTATCCGCGCACGGCGCCCGTCTTATGGTTGTTCGGCCCAAGATGGTCAAGGCTGTAGTGAGGCATACGAAGTTTGAAAACATGGGGGATTTGTTTTCGGGACCTATGGCGTTGATTTATTGGGATAAGGATATGGGGTTGGAGGCTGTGAAGGAGGCTATGGAGGTGGTGAGGAAGCAGAAGAAGATGGTTTTGTTGGGCGCAAAGTATGGTGATAGTGTTTTGAATGTACCGATGGTTGAGGGGTTGGTAGATTTGCCCGAGATTGATGTGTTGAGGGCTCAGGTTTTGGGTGTTTTGCAGCAGCCTGCCCAGCAGCTGGCCGCTGTGCTTAATAGGATTCCGCAGAGATTGGTTGGCGTGCTCCAGCAAAAGGTCGATGCTGAATCGACGACCGTTGACCAGTAAACAAACAAAATTAAAACAAAACAAAACATTTTCTATTATCCCGTGGGTAATCAATACATATACATTTTTACATTAAAAAACCACACCACACCATGCCTACTATTCTGTTTTTTTATAATCTACTTGTTGGTATCAGTTATCATCTTGTCGATATGATGGACCAATTTGGCGGCCTCCTGCGAGCAAAGACCGTGAGCAGCCCCATGGTAAACCTCAAAGATAACATGTTCCCTGCCGATCGTATCAGCCAAATATACCGAATTACTCGTCCTCACCATATGATCCTCATCACCAGTCACAATAAGAATCTGTTTATCTGGTAGCAGCCTCCCAAGCAACCTCAGCCTCGCAGGCGATACGTAATGTCTAAACACCGTCCCGACCTGGCCCAAAAACGACCAAAACGACATTGGCCTAGAGTTCCGAGACTTTCTTACCGCATTCTGTGCACAATACTCCAGCATATTCTTGCAACCAGATCCCTCAGGCGCCGGCGATTCTAAATATTCTTTGGAGTACAAGGAGCCGCAAATAGCCTTGAAGCGCGCAATGGGGTCGCGGACGAAATTCGCCCCCACCGTGTCCACTATCCCCTTCAGCGGCGGCAGGGAGAGTCCGGCGTTGGTCACCACCAGCGAGAGCGTCTTGACTCTATGCGCATATCCGGTGGCAAACTCCAAAGCCACCATTCCGCCCATACTCGCCCCGACCACATTGACCCTTGTGTTCCAGCCCAGTACATCCATCAGGCACTTTAGGTCCCTGGCCATCACCGAACTAGTAAAGGACAGCGGTCCGGAGGGACCAATGTCCGAGAATCCGGTGCCGCGGTGGTCGTAGACTAGGCATTGGTAGTTGGAGAGTTTGAGAAACTCGGCTACGTTGGGTTCCCACATTTGCCGGTCCGCGCCCATCCCGTTGATGAAGACGATTTTTTCCTGGCCAGTGCCGTAGATCTCATAGTAGAGGTTAAGCGCGGGCTGGTCGCTGGGGCTTATGTTGATGTGGCCGCGTTTCGAGAGGTGCTCGGAGATGGGACTGTTGGGCGTTTGCACCGGCATCGTGGTATCGATTGAAGTCAAGGAATCCATTATGCGAAATAATAAACAGATAATAATAATAAAAGTTGAGTGTAAGGGTGTTTTTGAGCAGGGCCAGAGCTTTATATATAGATATTATGAGGTAGGGGGTTTTGATAAATGAGCGAAAAAGAAAGGAAGAGAGGGAAGAGGGGGAAGGGAGGATATGAAATGAAATGAAATGTTAAACATCTCACTCCCACGCCCAGGTCACTTTAAAGCTGCTGCTGACATATTTTGCCTCCTGTTGTTTATAGTGGAAGTACTACATGTGAAACATGGAATATTAATCTAATTGCTGCAAGAATCAAATATAATCAACACTTTAACAGCCTTTATAAAAGAAAAAGAAAAATGAAACAAAAAGTGTGACGCGTTTTTTGTGGTTTGCATTTCCTGATATTTTTTAATCGTTTTCTTAAATTATTAAATAACCAATTCAAAAAATATAACAATGAGCGGACAGCAGCAGCAGCAGCCTCAGCTACCACAACAGCAGCAGCAGCAGTCAGCAATTCGGTATGCGCCGAACCAACAGTTTGTCGCGAGACCTGGGCAATTAGGCATGGCAGCAGCCCCCCACCAGCTCCAGCTCCAGCAACAACAGCTTCAGCAGCAGCACCATCATCATCAGCAGCAGCAGCGGCCGCCAATGATGCAGTTCCGGCCGGGGATGCCTCAACAACAACCGCTACCGCAAACGTACATGGGCGCAGCTAATCCACGCTCAGGCAACGGCAACGTGACAGCAGCCTACAATCCCATTCAGCAGCAGCAGCATATGCGTCCCTCGTCTGGCCGGTCATCTGCCCCGACAGCCACATACCAGAACACCAACATTAACATAGCCGGTGTAGTAGTGGGGCAAGCTCCGCAGCCGCATCCAGCACTAATCCAGCCACAGATTCCTACGGCCCGCAAGCGCAAAACTAACAAACTGATGGCCACAACCCCCACGGCAGCATCTGCTTCGGCCTCGGCAGCCACAACAGTGGCGGGAGGCGCAGCGGATTCCGCAATGGACGACTCTGTATCTGGAGATGAAATCGACGTCCAGCCGTATGCGGTTGCAGTGGGCAGATACCAGAACAACCACAATTTGATGTCTGAGATCTTCGTGGCTCTGCCTAATAGCGCTGTGGAGCTGCCTAGGCATTATTATGAGGAGCTAGACCGGGTCGTGGTGGAGCGGGATTTGGGCCGGTTGGAGGTTGAGGCGAAGGAGTGCGAGAAGGCGCATGCAGAGAAGGTTGAGGCAGCGGAGAGGGGCAGGGGCGAGTTTAGAGGCGTGATGGAGCAGCTGGCGAGGTCTGGCGCTGGGGACGTGGATATGGTGAGGGCTAAGCTGGCGGACGTGCTGGGGATGGAGTTTGTTGATAACCCGTTTCGCACCATGGAGCGCGTGCCTGTGGACAGGATCGATGCTGTTGAGGGCGCCGTATATAAGCAGCTGTGAGGTACAGATCTGGGTTCTGGAGAATTAAATCGACCGCGAGATTGAATACCTTTATGATTTTTTGCTGCAGATCAACGGGTCTTCCCCGCCATGTGTTCTTGTTCTGTTGAATGGAGATTATTGATTCAAACATGCTATGCGGCACTGCGCATTTAAACTACGAAATTAAGCACATAGCATTGCCTCCGGCTATGCCCCCTGGCACAGTCAGGAAATGTTCTGCTCCGTTCTGTTGGGAGTAGGCTTGCTTTTCTTTTTCCCATCCATCCATCCATTCATTTCCTTATTCTTTTCTCTTTCTTTTTGGTTTTGGTTTTGGTTTTGGTTTTTCTTGTTTACATTTAAATTCTATTTTCTTATTCTGGTCATGTCAAACACGTCAATTTCGCCCACAGTCATGCTCGGCGTGCTGCGGCAGCTGCCCCATATGTCAGGGAAAATCGTCGATGACACGCGGCACGAAAAAGTGCTCTCCTACATGCAGCTCTTTCTTTCCACCTCACCGAATGCAGCTGCGCACCTTCTCAGCTGGGACTTTCTCACGACTCTCGGCCAATGCCTAAACAGCGCCTCGGACCCGCGCATATCCTCTGTGTCCATCCGCTTTCTCGCCGACGCGCTCGCCCTGTGCCCACAGGACCTCTGGTCCTCCGTGCAGGGGCATCCTGTGGTGGTTCCGTGGGTGGTGGACAATCTCGATAGCCAGCATGCGCTGGTGCGGCTGAGCTGCCTGTACTTTATGCGCAAAACCGTACCTGCGTTGTGGAGGATGAGGGGTCAGCAGGAGCGAGAGTGTGCGCGGAAGCTGATGGAGAGCGCTGATCTGGGCCGCTTGTTGGTGCGCAGACTCTTGGACACAAGTTTCTTTGTTGTCGCCGAAGCCTGCCAGCTGCTCTGCGCTGTCAGCTGGCGCGACCCAGGGGAACAGAGTGCGGGCGGAGTGCAGGGGGAGTGGGTAGCTGTGGTCGAGCGGATGCTGCGCAAGCAGTACGCCTTGCAGCGGGCCGCACATAAAACCGCCGTTCTATCTGCGCTGACCGCTCTGTACGCACATACGCGGCCGGAAGTGCGGCTACGCGCGCTGGAAGTGGCAGGGCTTGTGGCACTGAGGCCGTATTTGTTTGACCCCGATCGGCTTGTGCGCGACCGCGCCCTGGACGTGTTTGAGGCGGCTGTGCGCGAGCTGCCTCACGACGGTGGCAGCAGTGTTGAGCAGAGTATGCGGGTGCTGGAGGAAGGCACACTTGCAGAGGGAGGTAGTGGTGTTGCGCTGCTTGTGCGGCTGCGTGCGCTAGCTGCGCTTGTGCGTGCTGTCCCCCTGAATCCACAATTGCGCGAGCGGGAATCCGAAGCATGCTTGCATGTTTCCCAATGGGCGCTCTCGCTCCTCTGCCAATTGCACGTTCCGGCATCGAGCTTGCCTGCATGCGACAGCAGCAGCAGTGAGATTCCGGATGATGCAGCCGCCGGGTATTTGCAAGCCCTGGGCGCCGAGGCACTGCGCAAGGGCAGTCGTTCTGTGTCCTGCGATTTAGCGCGCATCGTGCGCGAGCACAGCCGGTACTCTGCAGACACGGCGATTCTGGCACAGCTTGAGTCGCTGCTTTCGCTGCCGACAGTCAACAAATGGCCGCAGCTGCTGCATCTGACGCTCGAGTGCCTCGTCTGCTCCTTGCGCCACGCAGCCACCCAAGAGAACATCCACTGGGCGGATGCCCAGCACCTGGATACTCTGCCGCGGCTGATTTCCACATTTGCCATTCGCGCGCCCGGCCTCCAAATGCTGCTCGCCCTGGCCACTCAGGTGCTCCTTTTAGGCGAGCCCTCTGTGGACTTTTCCCGGCTGCTTGTTCGCGCTTTGGGCGCGAGAATGGCGGATGTCGAGTGGGAGCCGCGCGACACTGTGCTGGAGTTTCTCGCTGGGATTACCCGCCAGATGCAATGGTCTAGGTGCGCCCCTGTTTGGGCTGCGCTGCTGGAGGATGTCGTGGGTGCAATGGGGGATGCTGAGGAGTATGTGCGCGCGGCGGCGGCCCATGCACTGGTTGCTGCGTTGGAACACGCGGATCAGAAGACAAGACGCATGATCGTGAGGCATCCTGGAATGGCTGCCGAGGCGTTAGCATCTTTGTTGGATGACTCTGAAGCATTTGTCAAGCGCGCCGGCCTGGATCTTGTCACTGCGCTGGGAAAGACCGCTGCATCTGCTGCTGCTGATTCTGATTCGGACTCTGATTCTGATCCTGATCGTGGTGAGATCGAGGGTAATGCGTCGTGGCTGTGCTGCTTGACCCATCGCAAACTCTACTTGCTCTCAGATCATCCTGATTTTGAAGTGCGCTTGCGGTGTGCGAGCCTTTTAGCATTGTTGTTGTTGATTGTGCCACAGTATGGGTGTAATATGGCCGCCCTGGTTGATGATGAACTGCAGTGTGGTTCGCTGTTGCTGGATTTGTGTCGTGATCCGTCAAGATATGTCAGGAGAGTATGTCTGGACAGCTTGAAAGAAATGCTACAGCAGCAAAGGAATGCGGACATTTCTGGTGGTTTTCCGTACATAGGGAAAGAGGACAAGAAGGAGAATGGCGATGCTGGTGGTGACGGCGAGAGGAAAAAGAGGGCCGGTGGGGGTAAGACCAAAGAGGACGGAAGGAGCGAGAAGAGCGGGTTTTGGAAGAAACTGGCGGATATTGACTTTGCTAGGCTGGAGGAAGGACTTTCGGCAGAGCATTTGTATCAGGAGGCCCTGGATACACAGGTCGAAAAGGAGCTGATGCGGGAGGAAGGTGATGTTAACCATGGGAATAATATTTTAGACTGCTATTAAAAATATTGTACGTTTTAATATCCTGTTTATCTTGGTTTGTGCACAGCCTCCAATTCCGTTAATATGCAGGTACTTGACCTAATGAATTTCTACTTCAAATAATAAAAGTAGTTGGGCAATCCTTAATCGAATATTTTTGTTGTAATAATACCAATGAAGTCACTAATCTTTATATTTGCAATTGTAACAATGTATTAAATTAACAACTAGTGGTTTTTGATATATCCCAAATTAATGTCCTTGTTCTTGTGAGTATACCGCTTATGCCAGATAAAATTATCATCCTCCTGAATATAATACACGTTTTGCTCACCACACCCAGAATTGACCATGCCGCCAAATACAAAGTCCTCGTTTCTCGGACCATGGTACTTGAATTCTGTATCCAAGCACTTGACGAGATTTCGGTTGAACATGTAGAATTTGCCATTCCCGTATAACACGCGATTTAGTGTATCTGGATTACCCCTGTCGCCCAATCTGGTGTGGTGGCTAATGTATACAGGGTGGTCGGATCCTGTGTTGTTTCTCATCAAATCGAGTACGTACCCCTTGTCGACAAACGAGTCATCGTCAAGCTTGATAAAAAATTCTATACTATCATACGACTTGATGGCCCTTGAAAAACAAAGCGTCTTTTCATCCAGCGTGCGGTATGTTGAGGTCTTGTTGCACACTATCTTGCACCCTGGCTCCTCCCAGTCGCACACTGGGTACAGGTAGTCACCGAACCAAGTGTTACGGTAGAACTGCAAGTCTGTGTTGTTGTTAATTGGAAATATGATTGCCAGGCGATCAAGCAGCATTTGGTCTTCGATTGGCTGGCGGTGTGGGTGGTGTGGGCTATGATGAGGTTTTTCTGGGGGTGACCATCCTTCGAGTGCGCCCCAGTAATTGTGGTGGTACGATGTGACAATTAAACTGGTTGCAATAATTCCCAGAGCTATGAGCAGCACCAGGATACGCGGACGATTGAACAGGATCGGTGACATTGATTAGAATGGTATTCTTATTCTTTAGGAAATATGGAAATACGATTTGGTCAAAATTAATGAAATGAACGCAGAAAAGGTATGTTTACAAAAATTTAAGAAGAAAAGATGGGTAGAAGGAATAAATCAACTATTTGAACCTGACAGCTTCAGCCTCTCTCCAAATCTGCAATGTCCGGAATGTATTTGTAAAATGAATACGAAAATGAAAATGATGTAATACTGATAGATAAATATGATTTCATTGCAACATGCTAAAAAAAACCCCGGACAATTTTATTTTTGGAAGAAAGAAAATGGAAAGGCCTTGGGAAACGATTAATGAGTTCCAATAATAGAAACGAGAACACATGGTTAGGACAACATGATTGTGTCTAATTTTTTTGCGCATTGCTGATTCTATTTTTATTTTTTTATTGATTAGGGCAGGTTCCATGAATTTTTTATTTTTTGGTAATAACCTGTCTTTTCTTTGCTAGTATGAGAGGCTCGGATTCAATTATAAAAACTATAAAAATGTTTCTACTTTTGGAAAGTATAGCGCTGTTGGGTACACATTCCATTTTTTGTAATAAAAAAGTTGTTCTTAGACATTAAATTAAATTGGTTTTTATCACATGTTTTAAATTGTGATTTATTATACAAGTGTCATAACAGCATACGTGTTTTGCGCATAGCAATATTAAAAATAATTTAGGTAACCAGTGAAAAGTTATTTTTCCACATGTTACAAAGCCGCTTTATTGTTTTCAATTCTGAACCCATTTAAAGCACACTCAAAATATATAAACAAATAAATAAGATGTATGAAGATAAACTACCATCTGCCAATTTCACTTGGCTCCCAACTTCATTTGTTTTTTGAGAATGTTACAACAGTTGACAACTGAAAGAGTGTGCAAAAGTCTTTATAAAATTGTTGATGCTTAATTGTTAATTAGTCCAAAATAAATATTCTAAAATAAAAGCAATATATAGTGATTCTCACAAGCGTAACACCTTTAAACTGTGCCATCACTGGCTTGTGTCCCTGGTGCCAAGATTTAGTCAATTTCAGGTCTTGACTTTAACCATATATCCTCACAGTATGATTTATTTACTAGCTCTCATTTGGCTGGACTCTGACCAACGTCAGTCCTAAACAGGTTTGTGTATGCATCCTTGCTCAAGTCTAAGTTAATGCCACCGCGATCCACCACAAGCACATACACAGATTTTGCTTTGTCGATGGTGTTACTCACGTTGAGACACGAAAAACATTCTTCCGGCTTCAGTGATTGGACGACCGTGATTAGACTAATGTTAAAATAAGTATAGTCCAGTTCACACAATGGTGGAAACTGTACCATTTCTTGTTGTGTTATAAGCAATTAATTATAGTATGTGACGTTCCCAGAACCCGTCAACTTGGCAGCCATTATGCCGGAGACGCCAAGAAGGATTGCGAGAAAACCAGACCAAAATAAAAAGATCATGAGTAAGATCATAAATAAGAATGAGTTATAATATAAAGCAAAACAGTAGTTTAAACATAATACATAAATGTGGCAGCGTTGAAAGAAAATACGATGCTTGGGTATTTTTTTGTGAGATTATTTTGGTCTGTAAATGCTCTTCAGTTTATTACAGTTTCTGCTTCAGTGGGCAAACTATTATACTGCAATATATCACAATAAATTGACAATACATTTATAAACCTGTGTGCAAAGTATTGTTTGTTTGTTTGTTTATATACCCTCCCCTATTAGCAGCTATTCATCTATCTGAATCCTTTGAAACGTGTGTGGCGCACACTCATTGCTAATATGTAAATTTAAATATGTAGCCAATATCCAGATTTGCTGCTTTATTTTTTGTTTTGCTTAATTTTGCAACAAGCAAAATAAAACTATGCCAACACCATACACAATGTTGTCTTGATTAAATATATTTAATATATCTAATTATTGATTGTCGCGTGCTTTACATGGCGTTATGTGTTTGAAAAATGTAAAACACTGTTCAATGCAATCCACAGTGTGCAATTGCAAATTCTGTTTTGATATTAATTAGTTTTATAACAATGAAGTATAAGTAAACTGGGGCCATTAAATAAAAAACATTATTGTTAGCGTCTATATTCCATTGTTTTATTAATTTAATTAAAATTTTGTTGTAAACGCGGCCAAAGGGAAAACCATTGATTGATGACGATCAACTGATTAACCAGTTTTGGCTGTTTAGCAACACAAACAATAAGTCACACAATGACCAGAGCAATATGCTCTCTACTCTTTACCTTTCACAGTGCATAGCACTTTAGTTATTAAATATACTTTATATCGTTATACTTTATCTACACGTTCATAGAACTGTTGCGCAGACTGAAGATATGGAAGTGGATGTTGAGGTCGAGAATCGCGAAACAGGTTTCCACCTGTGTGCCGATTGATAGGACGCTAATTGGATAATGCAGTCGTAAATTAGGGAGGCATTACATTGATGCCCAAACATGCTCTTCATTTTGCAATGCACACGCATAAGCGCACACACACACACGCAAAAACCACAACACTGACTCCCTAAGATACCGGTCTGCCCACAGAAAATCCGGTTCTCACCAACGGAGTGCACAATTGACAATGTGCACAACAAAGGCGTCAAGGCACATATATAAGATAAGGCCGGCCCTAGTTGTGACATCAGAAATGGGGGCCAAGTCACGTGACAGCGCAGACGCGTGAAATATGTTTGATATTTCACGCGTATAGCGAATTCTGAATAGTGAGCTTTTTAGTTCTTCTCCTAGTCTCATTCAGATTAATATTTATTATAACCAGCAAGATTCCTTATTACACTAGTAGTACTTTAGAAACATCAGTAATAAAACCTTTTATAAAATCACCCCTAACTTTTAACACTAGACAACTAGTGCTCCTCACACCCCCCTCTTACTATAACAGTAGTAATAAGTTCTATTACATTTATTATGCACTCCACCAATTGTGCATGTAATGAGAATTGGACTAGCTATAATATATATTAATCTGAATGAGACTACGGAAAGAGCTGAAGAGCTCACTATTCAGAATTCGCTATACGCGTGAAATATCAAACATATTTCACGCGTCTGCGCTGTCACGTGACTTGGCCCCCATTTCTGATGTCACAACTAGGGCCGGCCTTATCTTATATATGTGCCTTGACGCCTTTGTTGTGCACATTGTCAATTGTGCACTCCGTTGGTGAGAACCGGATTTTCTGTGGGCAGACCGGTATCTTAGGGAGTCAGTGTTGTGGTTTTTGCGTGTGTGTGTGTGCGCTTATGCGTGTGCATTGCAAAATGAAGAGCATGTTTGGGCATCAATGTAATGCCTCCCTAATTTACGACTGCATTATCCAATTAGCGTCCTATCAATCGGCACGCAGGTGGAAACCTGTTTCGCGATTCTCGACCTCAACATCCACTTCCATATCTTCAGTCTGTGCAACACTACTAAATATATTTATGTCAAAAATACACTATAAGGAAGCTTGAAAGCCCCATTTTTCAATTCAAAACAATCAATAATAAAATAGGAATCGCGATCGTAAACAATCACAATTTCAAATGCTCACAATTGTTTTAAATTGGAATTATTGCGTGACATTGGAATAACTGATGTCACAAAGGCAACAAGATACATATATAAGATCAGGCTTACAGCTTTTAAGTGCACTATTGAATTCACTTGTTAACATCCTTGGCAATAGCTGGTGCCATGTGTTACGTTAAAAATATATATATTGAACAAAAATGAACTAAAAGAAAGCTAAGGGATGAACAGACCACTGTTCATATTCATTAGTATTTATGCGTGCGTATGAATTCCTGCATATCCAAGTAGGGAATTAACTAGCGATTGATTCATTAATCAATCGCCGGAGACAAGCCGCAATTTCTTGTATCACACCATGTCAGTGCACACTTCAAACGGATCAATCATTGGAGTGTTTACAGCATCTTGCCATTGAACCGACAGTGCAAATATGGATAATAAAGAAAATTAACTAGGCATAAATTTCAAGGCAGATTGGTTCAAAGTTGCTATGATTAAAAAAGTATTTCATATTTGTGCCTGCTCTGTCATCATTGTTATGCAGCAAGATAAATCACCGTGTCAATATTAATTATCAAACGCTGTTTGCAATAAAAGTGTTTTTTATTGTATATCTCCTTTTTACGTTATTTTCCACAACTAAAAATATGACAGTACTCACTTTTCTTGGAATGGTATAAATAGCAAGCTGGCAGACCAAGATTTAAAAAGTAAAGGAATTTAGTTTGTTTTAATTATCTTACTAATAAATATTAAATAATATTATGTGTTGCCCAAACATCTGACCAATAGTCAAAAGGATTGTGTTGCTGTAAACATTTGCCCAGTTGATTCCAGCAAAACAGTGTTGATACTGCTGCTGCTGTTTGTGCCGCATATAAGACCACTAGGTACCATTATCTCCCAGCAGCTAAGATTCTTCAAATACCTTACTGAGGAATCATATCTGAGCTGATCCTCATTGCAGAAAGACCAGTTGACAATCAACATGATGAATGCACCACGGTCTGGCTCTGTGTGCACATTTATTTCCAGAGAGGTTTTCATGAAAATTGGGCTGAAAAGATGGGCTTGCACAAAACTGCCACAAAAAATAGGCCTGCACAAAACTGCCACGAATTGTCAGCCCCCAAGCAAAACGACGATTGTGCTGGGTGCGAAAAAGGTTGCGGGTGTAGCGGAATAATTGCTGTACAGCATCAACCTTGTCGCCTTTCGTGCTTCCCTGCTTCACTTCGATAACTAAGAATAGTTTTGAGTACCATATTACTATGGCCTCATCGAGAGTGGCAACCTTTTCCTTCTGCCAACTGAAGGTGCGGCCAACAGATGCACTGCCTATGCTCTTCGTCTCCAAGCCAATGTCGATCCTTTCGTCCGACTGTGAATCCTCGCACATTTTGTCTGTCGAGTAACAAGGCAAAATCTTTCTGAGTGGTACTGGCCGTGCCTTCTCCCCAAGAGAGCAGGTATCCAGTGCGTGGCTGACCAACCCGACAAACACAAAAAAGGCAATAACTGGTAGATAGAATTGTCTTTCGGTGGACAACCTATCTGCTGAGTTGTGTGTGCTGGTCCACAATGAGAACTCGTTGCTAGCCAAGTGTTGTGTTAAAAATATATATTTGAACTAAAAGAAAGCTGAAAGATGAACAGCCTCCACTGTTCATATTCATTAGTATTTATATGTGCATATGAATTCCTGCATGTCAAAGTAGGGAATTAACTGGCGATTGATTCATTAATCAATTGCCGGAGACAAGCCGCATTTTCTTGTATCACAATGAGCATATAACCCAATAATAACGTATATGTAAATTAGAATGCAGGGAAATAAAATGGCAATAATGATACAAAACGTGAGAGTAAAAAATAATTTGCGCCTACGAGATAAGTCATTCTTCTCTACCTTCCCCATTCATTTTACATTTTACATTTTAAAATTTAAATATCTATACTCTTATTTAACATTGCTTAGTATTATTAGCAGTTTCATGCAATGTATGCATTTGAAACTTTATCATATTATAGGCAAAATTAGTATTGTACTTGTTAGTCATTCCTGCTGGTTCATTGCCATCATTCTGGCTCTGGCTGTCCCTTGCACTCACTGCTGTTTCTACGTCTTGCATACTGCTTTGCGCTTCTGTTATTTTACCACGTATTTTGTCTTGTGCTTGTCTTCCAGTTCGCCGCTGCCACTTTAGCCTGAGCTCTATCTACACCAAGGATGCCACCACAGAACAAGTTCTGCATTTTTTAAGATTTTATTAGCATTTTATTTACTGATTTTATTATAATTTAATCCAATAAATGCAAATGATTCCCAAAAAAATATTTTCAAAAATATTTTCAAAACTAAAATCAAAAATATAATTACATCGTTAAGCGTCACGCTTAAGTCATACCCAAAGCACGAGTCAGACGCAGACTAAATACCTCCCTGCATCTTCAAAAATCTCGACTTTCTGATATTTTAGGCCAAAAAACTAGAAAAATGGGTTTTGAAAATTTTCCGCTTAATAATCTGCAATTTCGCTATAAATGTCTGGAAATTCCAAAATACATCTTTACTAATGTAGTGCATATGAGTCAGGGTTAAAATTTAGAGGGAGGGGAAGGCGCTCTCATCCTGGAGGTTGACGTTGACACGGGCCTGACGGGGCTGACGGGGGGCGTTGCCACCGCGGGCACCAGCCGGACGCTCACCACGACGCTCACCACCGCGGGCACCGCCGCGGGCGCCGCCACGGGCGCCACCGCGGGCACCGTCGCGGGAGTCATCAGAGCGACGGGGCTGGTTCTCGACAAAGCGCTGCTCAATGGCAACAAGGGTCTTCTGCTTGCGCTCCTGGTTCTTCCGGCCCTTCGAGGCGTGAACAAACTGCTCGGCCTCCTCACGCACAAGCGCAACAGCGCCGTTCTGCAGCTGGCTCTGGTCAACACCACCCTCGTTGGCCTTGCGCAGAGTGCGACCGGCATCGATGCCACTGGCCTCACGCTCCTGGAGGTACTCCTCGAGGGTCTTAATAACCTCCTCGGGCTCCTGCTCAACAACGGGAGTAGCAACGCCATCCTGATCTTTCTTAGCCTCCTCGGCAGCCTTGGCATCATCCTCGACAAGAGCCTGGTCCTTACCAAGCCAGCCCTGAGTCACCTTCTTCTCAGAGTCGTCCTTACCAGTGGCACTGTGACGGTCAAACTCACGGCCGCGACCACGGTAGGCGCCGGCACCACGACCGCGCTGGCCATGGTGAGCGGGGCGGGGGGTCTTATTGAACTCCGAGGGGGCATCAGCGGCATCAAAGCCGGCGGTCTGACGCTGGGTGTGGCGAGGGGGGTAGCCGGTGTTGGCTCTGCGCGGGCGGTCGGCGGCGGGGGTTGCGGCGGCGGCAACGGGAGCGGCAACCTTGACGGGGGCCTTGGTCTGCTTGGGGGCAACCTGGATGGGGACGTTAGTGTCCTCGGCGTTGTCGTTCAGCACGCTAAACGGGTTAGTGTTAACGACGGACATCTTTTATTGTGCTATCTGCCGTTGAATTCGGAAATAATAAATCCGTTATTTATGAATTCCAAGTTAATCGGGAACGTGCGCGGCCGGGTTTTTGTTGTGAATAAAAATAATAAAAGTAAGAAAATAAGAAGAGCAGTAAAAGAGTCAAAAATTAGTCGGCGTACGGTATAATATAACGAAAAGAAGGAAGACAAAAGGTTTGGTCGGCCAACTTTACTAATGGCGAGTGATAGGGTTATTCTGTAAAGAAAAAGTCAGACAACACGGCCCAGTCTAAATTTTTGACAATATGAGCAACAGACACCCCACACCTGATAAGAAGAGGTCTGTTTGGCGGTCTGTTTCAGATTGATCCCCAAGGGCCACGCATTGCTCTGCCAACAAAAAACTAAGCCAGACACCAGCGCAGACGCAGACAGGTAAGGACACGCTCATGCCCTACTCCGCCCTGCTACGCTGCCAAGTGGCATTAGATATTTTCAAATTGACTCAATAAGCATTTGGAATGTCCAAATTCGCTTGAATTCAAATTTTCCATTTCGCCTGACTTCCATCTGTCAAAAATTTCTGTGATCCGTAAAAGGTCCCAAGCCGGTGCGGATGCGTTCCGCTCTGACCGTTCCCGTAGATTGCACTGTAAAATAGCGATGGATCCATCCAGCATTTCACACTTACATGATGTGTTGGATACGGGTTAAAAAAAAGTTTTTTGGAAAGTGGAAACACGAGCCAAAAATTGATCCCCACTTTTGGTGGAAAAATTCAACGCCCATTCGCGCAACAATCACTCACCATAAACTCTCCCCCCCCTCCCAATCCTTTTCAGTTTTATTTTGGCAACTTCTGGTTTTGGATTCAGTCCAAAATAGGATAGTCTGAAATTTGCGTTAAAATCAGGTTCTGCATGTCGATCCCCTTTTTCGATTGATTTTAGAGGAGTTGACACTTGATAATTGTGCAAGGACCATTTTAAATTGTGTTTTTGTATTTTGATGGGCATGACTCGCCCGAATCGGCCGTCGAATTGTACTAATACACTTTTATTCAGACAATCTGGCACATTCAAATGGTAGTTTTTAAGCAACTGATTAAATAATTATCAACCAAAACATAGGATTTGGTCATGATGTATTTTTGGAACAAATACTATGTAGATTCTTATTTATGACAACTTGGAAAAAGCTATGAGAAAAATCAAGGGGATTTAATTAAACATCTACATGAGTCGACAACAATTCTAAACATGCTTGCCAAGATGAACAACCAAAATAAAACATCTATGCCTGCTAGGCCTTTTTGTATTGGGGTAATGTGTGCTAACGGTGTTCTACTCCAGTGGCCATTGCCAATAAGAAAGTATGGAGTAAAGTGGTTTTTATTGAGTTAAAACATAGAAGGTATGCTTTTTTTGTGCAAACTGTCTTTTGCTTGCATCCGCATACATCTAAATAAAATAAAATACCCCATTTTTACCTGTTCATTAAAGCTACTTTATCTTTTATTGTAAAAAGAAGGCACGGTAATATTAACTCCAATATAAACGTATTTTTTATTTCCTATCCCCATTTTCAACAAGAAATATGACCAAAGTAAATATCGAGAACAGTGCCATTATATCAAACCTGGAGTATTTGTTTTACAAAATGGGCAACTATTTTGTGTATTTTGAAGATATAAAAACATAATTATTTATGTTTGTTGATTTCTATAAAAGGCCAAGCATTTTCTGCCATACGTTTTCAGTTTCTCTATATCCACGCTTCAATTAGTAAATACACTGCTTCCAACTTGAACACTATTACCCACCAGCTTAAATTATATAATTCCAACTGGCTTCACCAGACGGTCCAAAAAATATCCATGCGAGATCAGCCCATATGAGAGCCGCGCATCTATCTCATCAATAAAAAATTATCAAGTGTTTGTATAATATTAGTTATTATAAAGTGTAGGGTGTAGTGTTTCCAGTTTAAGCGTTCGCTTTTTATGCAATCATTCAATGGCTTTTAAATTTTAGGTATTTAAATTTTTTTACAATACTTGTTGCGCAAAAGCCATTTTTATGGTAATAACATTATAATCCTGATTTCTATTATTGTTTATCGACCACAAATTATACTTTTTGATTTTTAATTATGAATAAATTTATGCCAAAGTTTTATTTTGCAGACTAATAAAAAAGTTATTTGTATGTGTTGCGTAGCCCAAGAACATAAAGGTGAATGATAAGTCTGAGATATATAAAACAGGTTTTAGTCCACATGTCAATTGATTGTACACGGGCTAGACCATAGAAGAGTAAATTGGGGTACTAATGATGATTCCCATATACAGTCCCTGTTTTTCAACGCACGCGTACGAGCGGGCATACGTAAGGATCACAATATTGACATCTCAAATCCCTGGGCTATTTGCAGAAAACCCAGTTTTTGCCAACAGAGTGTACAACTGGCAATGTGCGCAACAAAGTCAATTGAGACATATATATACAAATCTGTTATAATAAAAGGGTATGTGAAGACCATTAGTTGTCTAATGTTAAAGTTGTGTTTGGGTTTTGTTATAGTTTTTATTATCAAGGCAATTAAAAGTAGAACTAGGGCCGGCCTCATCTTATATATGTACCTTGTCGCCTTTGTTGTGCATATTGTCAATTATGCGCTCCGTTGGTGAGAACCGGATCTTCTGCGGCAGACCGGTATCTTAGAGAGTCAGGGTTGTGGTTTTTGCGTGTGTGTGTGTGTGTGTGTGTGTGTGTGTGTGTGTGCGCTTATGCGTGTGCATTGCAAGATAGGGAGCATGTTTGGGCATCAATGTAATGCCTTCCTAATTTATGCGTGCATGATTAAATTAAATTCCCTATCAATCGGCACGCAGGTGGAAACCTGTTTCGCGATTCTCAACCTCAACATCCACTTCCATATCTTCAGTCTGTGTAACAAGTCAAAGCCCAACTCTTGTTTTACTTTCAATTTATTTAATATTAAAAACTATAGCATGACTCATACACAAATTTTTTTACACTAGTCACGTAGTGTTCAAAATAATTATAACACTATAAACAGGCATATATATTAGCACTCTTTTGCACCAGCAAAATGGAGAATTGGAGATTTTAATCTCTAGTGCCTTTATATGAGTATAAACATTTTGGTATTGCTTTACAATATTACACATGCTGCTTTTAATCTCTGGTGGGATGTATACTGATTTTAACCCACTAATTTGCACAAGTAGTATATTTAACTCTCTTGCCACATACTTTCTTTTAAAATGCCTGTAATTATTTATAGTCAGCGATTTAAGCCTAGTGCAAATAGACAAAATCGGTTTATCTAGAGATTTTTATATAGCAAATTTCTCTGGTTTTTTTCAATGATTGCATTTAAAGCATTTTATCTCCAGCTCTGTGAGATTTGACAAACTCTCTATAAGCACAGTTGTGACATCAAAAATAAAAGCTAAGTCACGTGACACCGCAGGCGCGTGAAATATGTTTATGATATTTTACGCGTACGGCGAATTCCGAATAGTGAGCTCTTTAGCTCTTCTCTTAGCCTAATTTTTATTAATATTTATTATAACTAGCACAACTTTTCATTACAACAGCCATCTTACTGACATTGATAATAACAGCTAAGCGAAGCCAGCATAGGCTTGAAAATCCCATTTTGTTAGGTTGGATTGTAAATATATTGCCAAAATATTGTATTGTATTTTTGTCCTGTGCCAACTTTCTATCAAACAAATAATCTTGATAAAAACATGACTGAATTTTTATTATTTTAATGAAACTCTTTGGTTCATATATTTTATTAATAGAAAATTATCTATTTCGAATTTCTGTTTAATCAATTTGTTGTGTTTTGTAATGACCACGTGTATCCAGTCGTTGGTAATAAATATGGATGGTTATCTTCATCTTGCCCAGAGTCACAATTATATTTTCTATGGCCATGCTTTCAAGTTCTGGAAATTCCACATGCTGACCCTTATCTCTAAACACATTCTGACCATTTGTGCTTTTATAATTATTAGCATTGACAGCAAATTATCTATCATAATTTTTTTGTCAAATTGAATTTCCAAGATTGTCAGATTTGGAAATTCTCTAATTTGATGCATATTTTGGCTCTCAATGCATATCCATGGCAGTTTTTGTGGGACATTGGTTAAGCATAGTTTTTTCACTGTTTTGGAATTAACTCTAGATATTATTTTTGGTGATACTTGATATAGCTTGATATCTAACATTTTTAGTCTATCGAAAAGTCCGTATTTAGACACATCAGCTAGTGTGTTGCATTTAACGGTCAAGAGCTAACCAGAATATTTATCAATTAATATTTTATGAAAAGTGGAGTAGCCAGCGTATGCGTCGAGCGGAACCACATTTAAATTCACAATATTAGATAAGTACTCCGCAATCTGCTTTATTGCATATTTAATTGGCTTGGGCGTAATGTATGAATAGCATTGCAATATGTCTGTCGTGCCCTATAAAAATGTGGGTCTAAATCGATATATTCAAGTCTTAAAAATTACTTAACTAAAAAAGGGGGCAGCGCTGTGTGGGCAGCGCTGTAAACATCATGGTGTTCCTTGATGTCAGCCAGCAATAACAGAAATGTGTATAATGGCCATGAGGGCGATCTTGATTCTTGAAAAGGGAAGATAATGGCTTGAAATGTGTGTTGGGGGCACCACAATATCTCTATAATTCAATGTCGTAACTTTGGACTAGTCGAGCTTTTGCACCTGTGGCACTTGCCAACTGTTTGCAACAAAGCAGCTGACTGCCCTACTTCTAGTCAAACTAATGTAAAAACTTCTCATATATTGAAAGTTTCCAGCCATGGAAGCTAATTCAATGTTGCTAAGCCAACCATCTACAACGCATAACTTATTTGGCTCACTGCTACTGTATGGATGGTATTTATTGCCCTCGACGTATGCAGTGCGGTATACGATTGGTCAAGTAGCCTCTTTTCAACTGCAGCAAACAGCTAATACTGGCAAATACATTGGCCAGTTGGTAATATCCGACGAGCAGTCTGCAATGTAACTTATCACTATACAAAGTACTTATTCCATCATATAGATGGCCCTGAAGGTAATGGCATTGGCGTCTGTCATGGCAATAATATTAGCTTAAAATGAGTTAGTGTCAGCAAAAAAAGTATTGAGTAGAGTAAGAGTGTAAGAAGAATATAAAATGTGCATTTATTGGTTGATGGCGATCAACTGATTAACCAGTCTTGGCTGTTTAGCCACACAAACAATAAGTCACATAGTGACCAGAGCAATATGCTCTCTTCTCTTTACCTCACACAGTGCATAGCACTTGTTATTAAATAAACTTCATAGCATTATACTTTATCTACACGTTCATAGAACGTTCCCTATATTCCAACAGCATTTGAATTCGATCATTAATTTTTGAGAATGAAGTTTTTTTCGCATACGTTAGAATAGTTGCTTTGTAAAAAAACCGCAGTATTTTGTGTAAAAGTATGCCAAGGCTTTTTTTTACATAATTGGCTCATTAACAGCAGACACACATGCGTATACTATTAGTAAGCTTAAACATTTTAAATTAAATTATTTAAATCAATGGAGCCATTTGTAAAAAAATTACAATACATCTGGTTTTTATTTATAATTTAAGCTTCAAATGGTTTTTTTTAATTCAATTGCTTTTGCCAAAAAAATCAATTGATGCACTGAGCAAAGGTTTTTTAGTGTTGGTTGAAAAACTGTATGTATCCACAAAAAAACAAAAAAAGCTGATATTGTATTGAAAACATAATGTTTAACTTTTGCTTAAAAAAAACCTTTTTGCTAGTGCGCAGCCCATAAAGTGTCTGATATTTTGCGCACCAATCTACGTCTAGACAAAAGATCCAACAACACAACATACATGCCCATGCCAACACCGCGCAGCTCGCCTCCCTCCAGCCTTCTGCTCTCCTCCATGACTAAATCATCCAAGGTCCAGATTCTCTGTTCCTGCGACCGCATCAGCTCATACAGCTCTCGCAACTGCTTTGACGCTGGAGCGCATCGAAACGCCGGCGGAAAAGCTTCCAGATCAAGCACAGTTCCCAGCGGCATCTCTGTCTCCTCAGTCTCCTCCAAATCCTCGACATCTCCAAATCCCAACATCCCAGTTCTCAAATCCCTCATACCATCATCAGAAAGCGCCGCCGAGCTTTCAGCAACCTGAGCTGCACGCTGCAGCATTTCACGGGTGGGCAGAATCGATGTAGTGCCGTCCATCGACGCCAACGTAAATCCAGCATCAATCGTCAGACTGCTGTCGTTGAGTTGCGCCCCGCTAGTATGGTCGTATGTGGCGGTGCCGTCAGATGCGCTGGCTGCCGGTTAGCCCAGGAGCGCGTCGATGCCGGGTACTCGTCCTCGACTGCCGTGGCCGCAAGGACGGCAAGGACAAGGGAACTGGTGGCCGGATGCCTGGCGCAGGGCGCGCTGGTGTTGGCCCAAAGGGATCGTCGGCATCGGCGGAGCCGCTGAGCGCGTGGAAGTGCGGGGATGTTGGGGCGACGGGTGCCGTGGGGGCGACGGGTGGCCGCATGCGACTGCGCAGCGCCAGGGGTGAGAGCTGCCCGATGGTCATGTCCGCCAGGTCTGCTTCCTCCATGCGCACGGTCACTCGCGCTGCATTATGCATGCGTCGCGCCGGCGATGGCGCCGGCTGTGGGATGTCTGGGATGACTACGCGCGAGCCTTCGAGACTCGAGACAATCTGCGGCGGCGACGGAATGTCTTCGTCAAAGTCGTCGGCGCCAAAATGGTCGGCCTCCTCTTTAATCACGCTGAGGCCATCCTCAGCCTCAATAACCACCGGGGTTCCCCAGGCTGCTCTGCCGTGGCATCGACTTCGTCCAGCATCTCCTCCATGTCAGCCACCAGCCCCTGGACGCGCGAAGCCTCAGCCACCATCGCCGGACTGGCATACTTCTCTGCCAACGCGCGCATCTCCTCGCCATTACTCGATGCAGCGTCACTCCTAGCCACAGACTCAGGAGCTGCCCGGGGCCTGATCCCAGATACCCTAGACGAAGCCACGGAGGCGGCTCTTGGGCTGTCATAGCGGCGGATCAGCGAGTTGATTTCGCCGAGAATCTCATCTTCATCTTCCTCTGGCAGCATAGGCGTGGGCTCACGCATCGGGGCGATCCGGCGGTGACGCGACTTTGGCAGCGTAAACGTGGTTGTGTGGGGCGGGCTGGAGTCCGGCATGAGATCGGCGGTATCCATTGAGGATGAATTTCCCGAGACTGCGCTGCCGGGTAGTTGGTGCGCATGCACTAGGGCGCGCATAAGCGATACGGGGTCTTAACTGCGCCCACAGGCTTCTTTGGGGTGTTCGGCCGCTGCCGCTTTGCTGAACCCGGGAGTTGGTCCGCCATGCGCTTGAGTGCATTGGCGCGCGGTGTTGGTTGGTGGGGGCGGGGGAGCGGCAGAGCTCCTGCGTCATGAACCGCGATGTAGCTGCGGCGTGGCAATGTCTGCATCGATATCTGCCGGATCATCGTCATCCCATAAGGCCAGCTCACCAGCTGTGGCCGTATTTTCCGGGAACCGCGCGGTGATCTCGCCCACATGCGCAACCTCCTCGATGGCCACGCGCTGCGCCAACCCAATCTCCTCCTCGCCCCCGTCCAGCTCTCCCTCCTCCTCCACCATGCGGCCCCCAAAACCAGCCCACCGCTGCTGCTGTCCTGGTCGTCGGCCGCCGCCACAGCCATGAAAAACTGCAGCCATGGTTGCGACGCCTCCAGCAGCTCGCCGGATAGCCTGGCGAGCTTCTCCACCTTGGGCATAACATCCCTCGCCATTGTCCGCTGGCAGTGGTCAAAGTTGGCGTCAATGGCCTGCAAAGACAAGGTTATTTTCTGCTCAATCTCCTCTAGCTGCTCCTCTGGAGAATACGCTGCTGTCCTGAGCCGTGCTCGCGCTTGACTGCTGCGCTGAGTGCTTGCGTGAACCGACCGGGGTTGTCTCCGTAGCCGGAGGCTTGGCTGTCGGGCCGTGTGAGATTAGAATACCGCACGGTTTGCGACATTGATTGGATTAGACAATAAATTTAAAAAAATAGAAAAATGTTTGTTTTTGAATTGGAATCAATGCGAAAACGAAAACGAAAATAAAAAATCGCCTAAAAATGCAAGCCCCGTTCGAAATCGAGTGGAGGTTTGTCCCTGGTTGGATTTGGATTTGGATTTGGATTGATTCGTGCTGTGATTGGTTGGTTGTTTGGTTGCGTGGAAAATTCAATACTAGGTCCTCATAGGAGGGGGTTAATAAAGCAACTTAAAAAAGAGATATTTTTCGTGCTCCTGCGTCTGCCGTCTTTTATTATTTTTATTTATACTTATTACTAAATTTACACCAATCTCTTTCTCTCTCCAATTTCAATTTCAAAGCAATGATTCACCTGGAAGAATATCTCGACAGTAAGCAGCAGCAAGACCGACGAACAATGAGGAATAATGAGCCACTGGTATACTAGCCAACCTTTATCACTCTTACAAATTTACTTACAAGTAATAACAAACCAACAAACCTACTTTTTTGTTATTTGAATGAATGTTTTTAGCACTCGAGGCGCTTCCAATGGAACTCCAACGCCAATTCACACTATGCGCGAACTCGACGCACTCTCACAAGACATTCAAACACAAATGAAACAAGCAACCAAAACCTTCATCCACTCACCACCGACAAAATCCGACCCGCGCCATGCAGAATACCTGGAAAATTTTGCCCAACTTTTCGCCACCGTATTAAAGCATGGTGAGGAGAAAGTAGCTTTGGCCACGCAGACTTATGATTTGGTGGATAAGCATATTCGTAAATTGGATGATGATTTGGCTAAATTTGAGGAAAGACAGTTGGCGTTGCCGCCGAGGATTCCTCACGCTTGGGGGCCTGTACAGCAGCAGCAGCAGCAACATCAACATCAGCAGCAACATCAACAGCAGCAGCAACAGCAGCAGCAACAGCAAACCATGCAGCAGATGCAGCAGATGCAGCAGCAGCAGGGGGAGGAGGATGTAGGAGGTGGTGCGAGGAAGAGACGCAGTGGTCAGAGAGATTCCAGCCCCTTGGCTGTAGCCGGTACCAGCGGAAACAACGGTGGTGGCGCACCAAAGGCTGCGACACCCAGTGGAAGAAGAGCCAATGGCCGTGGCAACGGCTCACAGTCTGGATCCACCAGCACCACTGGTGCAGCTGCAGCGGCAGCCGCGGCAGCAGCTGGTGTTTTGCCGCCAATTCCTGCGTCGAAGAGCGCGGATGGGTCGCGGGCACGTGGCGGGAGCAAAGTGCCCGTACAGGATTTCTCTGAAATGCCCATTGATCCCAACGAGCCCCGCTACTGCTACTGCCGCCAGGTGTCTTATGGCGAAATGGTTGCCTGCGATGACGATAACTGCGAGATCGAGTGGTTCCATCTGGGCTGTGTGGATCTGAAGGCCCCGCCCAAGGGACAGTGGTTCTGCAGGGAATGCTCGCACAAACACAAGAAGCGCCGCGACCACCACTAATATTTTTCTTTTATTTTTTATATTTTTGGTTATAAAATATGGTATTAGTTACAAGTATGAGAATGAGAACGGAAGCCATGGCGATAATAGCACATGTTCAATTGTTTAAAACGGCGTTGGTTGGAGTGTAACTATGCTGAGCTGATCCAACACTGGGCTGAACATGTTGTCGACTCGGTGCACAGCGCCTGGCTTTGACTGCTGCTTTGGTGAGCACGCAAAAATGTCACTCATCGAGATGCTAATACTTGCGCACTCAGCTTCAGTCTCCTGCGACAGCGGCAGAGGCAGCGGCAGAGGCAGCGGCAGCGACAACGACAGTGGCTTTATTGCCAAATCTGTCGCCTCTATTATCTGCAATTCCGGCAGCAGCGGCACCTGGGTCATCTGTGAATCAACCGGCATTATGGCTATTCCGCCGCAGCTGCCATACAAGCCAGCCTGGCTGCCCTCTTTCAAGCCAGGTAAAGTCTGCAATATCGGAATACCGCGCTCTCCACAGTCTCCGTCCGATGACTGCGCCGGGAATGCCGGAATGCTCGCATCCGATGGAGAGCCAGGCTGCTCATCCGGGCATTGCCACCTTTGGCTTGGGTGGCGGCGGTCACCTGAGCCACATCTTGCCCATTGCCCAGTGGCGCACTCGGTGGCCAATCCAGGAGATGCACGCGCCTTAGGCGCTGCCTGTTGTACTCGTGCTCGTGGTCGAGCTCGTCCCCGTCTTTGCTCCACACAAAGGTAGTATCGGCATTGGCAGCTAAATCTGGCGATGGTACTAAATATTTTTGGCTGCTGCAAATTGGCATCAGCTGTTGCTGCCGCGCGCACTATCAGCACGGGCTGCTGCACGCACTCAGGCACGAGAACTGTGACGTCACAATCAATATACCTCACAGCGGCCCGTCCAGCACAGCCAGAAATGCCAGCAGAGCCAAGACACTCGGGTGCACTGGCCACTTTGAGAACAACCCGCTGCGGGATTCCGTCGTTTAGACAGCGGCGAAGTACCTTACAAAAGAACACGCTGTCCTCGGGGCTCAACATCCCAATAAACGACCGATCAAGCAGATCGGCCTCCCGCCATCCCAGCAGCCGCCTGGGAAACACGGCGTCAACGGCGCCAAACCCTGTCAAATGAAGCACAGCAAAAAGGCCCGAGTCCACGGCCGACTGCAGCAGCCCAGCCATCTCGTCGCGCATGCCCCGCTGGGGCTCCAGCAGCGGCGAATACGGAAACCCGTCCTCCTCCAGCGACAACGTATATTCATCCTTCGTGCTGCCCGGGACGTTTCCAGGCACCGGGAGGGGCCCGAGATGTCGCGCACGCTCCATATGTACAGGGGCTGACCGTCTGTGGAGGGCGCATAATGGACGCATACTTGCATCCAGCATAACTGCGAGTCCTCTGTGCGCTGAATTACCAAGTAATGTGTTTGTCCGTGTTGCTGCCCACGCTCAGCCACTCTATTAATTCCCAGTACTTGCTGATTGCCCCACTGTAACTTTCGTCGCGCTGTTCCACCAGCTGGTCGTCTCCCAGCGCTTTCGCGGCCCGCGCAGTGCCTCAATGGCCTCGGCATCAGCAAACTTAATGTTGTTCGTTTCATCGACGAGTATCATGCCATATGAGCGCAATGACAGTTTGCTGCCTGCCGCTCCGTGCATGTGCATTTTGATCGCAGCTCCAACTACATGATGCATTGTGGTGTTTTTTGTATGTTTTAAATAAGAATTGCATTTGATGATTAAGTCATTGATTAGTGGGAGAAGGGGGGATGAGAATGCTCCGACATGGTATATCAGGACATTAAATAATAGACAATGGAAAAGTAACTTGCCTGTTGTTTATTCTGCGTGTACAAAATAGCCATTGGATATGTGTTTATTTGTATGCAAGAATGGTAGTTGAACGGTAATTAAAATACATGCTATGTATCCAAGTTGCCACCCAATGTATCTGTTTTCTCTTCAGCGCGTTGAGGTTTGGAAATAATAAAGCAAAAATGGGTTGCTTGAATTCAACGAAAAAAATAGTCCGACAAGCAAAAGTATAAAAAAGCTGGGAAAATATATAAAGCAAAATGAAGAAAGAAAGAAAAAGCGAAACAAAGCGCAACGAAACGGCTGCTTACGACACCAACAAAAAAAGGTTTATATGCGCATTGAACAAAATAAAAGAGGAAAACCCACGGCACCCTTTGAAGGAAAAAAGGGGGATGGGAAATAAAATTACAACAAAAAAAACAGGCTCGACAGAGAGCAAAAAAAAGCGATTTCATTATTCGTCGTTTTTCTTTCGCTTTTCTCGGAAGCATTTTTATGCCCTATGTTTTTTTGCTTCCGAAAAAGAAAAAAAGACTGTTTACACCCAAGCCCATTATTGCCTATCACCCATGTTCTATAAACGTTTTTTACTGGAAACATAGTTAAATTCCCCAAACGATCTCATTTCATTATATTTTCCCTGCTTTGCCTTGCTATAGAGCGACAGGTGTAATTAAAAAAGCCCTCTTGTTTCCATCATCCGGGCTTATACTTTCTGAGAAAAAGATAAGCCAAATAGAGACGGACACGGAGTGATCTGCAAATCTCCGCAATTTCTTATTTTTTGTGCACGGTGCAGTTTCTACATAATTGGAGCTCAGCATGTCTTTTTGTTGGTCACTTTCTCATTCTCTTAAAAAAATTCTTAAATTTGTTTAGTACAGCATTATGCAGGCGATACTTTCAGCCTTGGGTTCGGTCATTACATATATATGCCTTTATACAAATAACAATCAGTCCCGCTTTATCCCGCAAACACAACTATAAAAAGCAAAGGAAAAATGGCAAAGAAAGAAAAAAGAAAAAAAACAGTGTGGCCTATCGATCTTTATCGATGGAGGAGATTGGTGTGCAGTTGCTTAATATTCCTGGGCCACTAGAATTTTTCAACTCAGGGATCTCGGCCACACCATCGCCGCTTTTCATTGTATTGTTCAAATAATTTAGTGATTTTAATTTAACAGGAGATTTCCCATGCCACCACAAATGAAAATCGAATAAAACGGCACTGGCAACAAGCTCGCCCCTTTTCCACTTCAAGTCACCAATTACCAATAAAATAATGTAAAGTATTAATTAATTAATCGTTGGATTTAAAATATAAAAACAGCCGAGATCAAGTAAATTTGCCAGAAAAGCTAGAAACAACGTGCATATATGCAACAATGGGCTGATTGCTTTTTGGGAATATATTGCAACATGGTATGAGCCACCTTTACAAGCCTAATTCAGAGATTTCACTTTTTCCACCTCCATTTTCCTGGCCTTTCCTGCCCCACAAATAGAATGCTAAATTAGATAATTTGGGATCCCACCAAAGTTGAACAATCGAGCCACAAGCCACTTAAAGCATGCATGTTTTTTGTTTGTTTTTTGTTTCGCCAATGCTTTCTTTTTGTCTCTTGCTGCCATTTCGGCTGTACAAAATAGGAAAATGAGATAAATTGCCGCTGCGAAAAATAGAATTGTTCATAATCACGCACGAGCTTGAATGCATTACTCTCCATAATGTCTCCGTTTTGTTGTTTGCTGGCAAGTAAATCAAGACAATTTAATATTTGCTTTTGTTGTGTGCTCCCCATTTTAGACGTTACTCGTTACGTAAATAAAAAGTACGTGTATGTATAGAGAGTGTATGCCATGCTTTATTTTTATTTCTGATATCTTTTATTTTTCCAGGAAAAAATTGAAGTCAGAAACGTATTCATCCACTCGGGATAGGGTGAGAAACGTAGTGAACCATCGTTGTTTTCTATTTGGGTTGGTGCAGATGTCATATGGCCAGCCATGCATTTTATCACATTATTTTTGTGGCGCGCGTCTGAGAAACGGTTTGATGTGCCTATTTCCTTTTTTTCCTGCAATAGTTGTGGCAATATAAAACCCAATAAATTGCAAACACCGAGTTATCAAGGTTTCTTCATATTATTTCACCCTCCCCCACCTTTTGTGTTTTCAATATACTCGATATTTTCCATATTGCAATTTTCGTGCTTCATCTATTATCATTTATTTTTATATAACCTATTCAGTACTCGTTCTTACTTTCTACCAGCCGCAAACTAATAAACTAAAAAAGTATCTTTCTTTTTATTTTACTATAAGTTTCCACGTAACCATGTCTCCGGCAATCATGAAAGGCTCAACGTCAAGCTGAAAAATGTAAGTAGTATTTATTTCCGTACACACAAACAGGAAAACCAGAAAATAACGGACCGAATTTTTTATATTTTGCTAAATTGCATTTGGCTTGTCCTATTCTTTTCTTCCCGAAACAAAACATTACAACAATAATAGGCGTTTTCCAAATACAAACATTCAGCAGGTATTCGATTATTGGCACTGCACAAAAGACCGCACCACGCCACCGAGTTCCCACCGACGCATGTGCCGGGCCTGCACGAGCACTCAATAAGCTGCAAGCACCTGGGTCAGGCAAAACCGGCTACTTGATGATTTGGGACAAGCAGCATAGGGAGTCGGGTGGATTATGGAGTTCTGCTCAATCACCAGCTCGGGCGAATTCGTGTGTCTTTCCAAAGAAACCTCCCAGCCATTGATGGTTTTTGACTTGCGCAATACTGTGCTGCGCATGGTTGGTAGCAGCGCCTGGGGCCGTCAAGCTATTGAGGTTGTGGACGTGGCCTCGGGCAACCCGCTCATTTACCTGCGTGCGTCATCAAGGTCTGAGACCACCGCGTGGTTATCCGAAATGCAGTGCTGGCAAAGCCCTGAGTCGCCAAAACCCGCCTTGTCACCCCCTGTGCCCACCCCAGATGCTGCTGCTGTTGCCGATAATACTGATTCCAATGAGACCGCACCTGACGCCTTTAGTACGGGCAAAAACCCTGAGACCACTACAGACATGCGTGCAGAAACGTGCAGCCAGCCAGGCAACAAATACAAAAACAAGAGCGAGCTTGAACCGACACATCAGCGACCGAAAACAGTGCCACTCTGCTTCTCCCAACACAATCACGCAAGCCACCGCAACTTGTCCAAGCGCTTGTCCACACGATGGCGCCAGCAGCGCAAAAGTTCAGCGCACTCCTAGAAGCCTACAGCCATGGACCGGAGAAAGATGAGGACCGCGATCCTTTTTCTTTTTTTACATATCCACGGTCCTCTATTTTCACAGATACAATGCAGCCGTGTGTGCCTCCTGAATCTGATGTACGCATTTTACTAGCTGGAATGCTTCATCTGCGAATGCATAGCTCTGGGGATATTTTCAATCCTATTTCGCATGTTTTGGCGCGAGACGGTGAGTGGCACCCGTATATTGCCGTCTTGGCTCAGTGCGAGCAACTGTTAGCTTGCTGTTTTATGAGGTTGGTGAGTCCCTGGTTGTTGAAGTCGCGGATATTGACGTACATGCCTTGTTTGTTCACGATATACAGGCTGAGGATGACTCGCTTTTTGAGGGCGGTTCGTTTGGATTCCATATCAACTTGGGCTGCGAGTCTGAGATTATGCCTACCGGATACAACATGGCAAATGTGCTGGCAGACTCAGCCCCCTGCGACGGCAGCTCTGGTGGTGGAGGCGGCGATGGCGATGGCGGCGATGGCGATGGGAACAATCACAATGTCAGCTGGGCCAGCCCGCAGAGCACACCCAATCCCGCCACGCTTTACGAGCACGAGGAGGACGAAAATTCGGCCAAAGCAGTCAAACTAGATGGCGACGATCAGAGCGAGCGTGCACGCCGGCGTCGCAGCAAGAGCCTCGGCCACTTGATTGGGCTCGAAAACCTGTCGATCAGCGGAAACAGCGTAAACAGCGGACAAGGAAACAAGCGCAGCAAGCACAGTCGGTTTGGATGGCACAGAGACAGCAAGTCCAAGCCCAGCAAGGAAAGCATAGACAACAATAATAGCAGCAGCCGCGCGTCACTTACCAGTGCTTCAGGGCATCATTCGATAGCTGCAAATCCACCTGTTCTCTATCTGGCAGCTATGCGCGCGGGAGAGCGCAATAGCTGGATTGCGCAGCTGCGCCATCATGCGCAGACGCTGTTTTCAGGCACGGTGCCTAGGCCGCCAAGTAGTCCGACATTGGCGCCGCTGGTATTTCGTGTCGAGCGCTGCATGTGGATTAAAATCCACGAAGTCCAGGGTTTGCCAAAGGCCAACGACTCGGCTATCGCCCTGGTCGTCATCGATGGCCACGTAGTCACCCAATCCGAGGTGTCGACACCACAAGCAAAGTGCGGAGAGAAGCCATTCCGCATTTCTTTGGTAGCCTGCCGATAATTCAGCGTGGCGTCCACGTGCTTGTGCGGCACAAGGAGAAGCAGGCACAGGGCGGCGGCTTGCTGGGGTACTGCCAAATCCCTATACCGATGCTGCAGCGTGGGTGCACGTATGATGGCTGGTACCCGATATCGCACGGCGATGTGTCTGCGATTGACCAGACTATTGGCTCGTACCTGCCTCTGGCCACAAACACAAAGCCAGCATGGCGGCGCTGGACTAGCAAGCATATTACGCACAGCGACCATCACCATAGCCACAGCCATCATCACCATCCGCCGTCGGCTTCCCGCCCATCAACGCCCTTCCGGTCAGGAGACGTACATGTGCAGGTGCGCTACGACGAAATTATTGTTTTCCCATCTGCGTTTTATGCCGATGTTGTCGCGTTGCTGCTCGACTCACGGCTGACGCTGATCCTTGACCTGGCGGCGATTCTGCCAAGGTCCGCCGATTGGTTGGTAGAGACCACGGCCAAGATTGCACTCTGCGATAACCGCATTGTGCCTTGGGTTGATGCCATTGTCCGGCATGAGCTGGGCTCCCATGCGCCGCCGGATCCAGCACTGATATTCCGCGGCTCCTCCATAGCCACACGCTCCATGGACACCCTCATGAAGGTCGTCGGCTTGCCTTCCTCGACCAAATGATCGGCAACGTAGTGCGCGACGTAGCTGCAGGCAACTACAACTGTGAGGTAGATCCCTCCCGTCTGCACTCGCACGACAATGTCAAAGCAAACTGGCGCCAGCTTCTTCATCTCTTGCATGCTGTCTGGCTTGGCATCGAAGAGTCCATGCATAGTTGTCCGCCGACTATGCGCCGTGTGTTTGCTGGTATTCGGCAGTCCATCTCCTATTTCTACTCGGACCATGGCGCCTACACCCAAGTGCGCTACTCCTGCATCAGTGGATTCCTGTTCCTGCGTTTTGTGTGCCAGCGATGCTTTCGCCAAAACATTTGGTCTTGTTGGTACCAGCCTAGTGCTCCGGCTTTGCGCACGCTTACTCTTTTGGCAAAGGGCGTTCAGTGTGCGGCCAATTTGACCGACTTTGCATTAAAGGAGCCGTATATGCAGCCGATGAATGCATTTGTGCAACAGAGTGTGCCAAAGCTCAAGATGTTTATCGACTGTATATCCGCGGACAATCCGGAAGATAAGCGCATGGTGAAATGAAAGAAGGACAGGAACAACATTATAGTCAACATGAGTTGCGCACGCTGTTGCTGATGAGGAGGCAATGGCTGTGATGACGGTTGATCGGGAACGCGAGCTGGCTGCGTTTAGCGACTTTGTATGGGCATCTAGAGACGATATCCGCGAAATCATGGAGCTCAGCAGTCCCGGAGGCCATTCAGTGTCGCAAATGTATCCGATGGCAGCGGGTGATGGCAGCTCGGCAAAATGCACATCGCCGATGACCGTGACAACAGCAGACTCGTTCAATAAGAGTCCGGATCCTACAGTGGTGGACTATGACGGGTTTAGCGGCGGGTCGGTTAAATCGCCGGTTCCTGACCATGCCCGGCGCACGCGAGAGATGAACGCCCCTAGGTCGTTGGCCGTAACGCACAGGCTTATTGAAAACCTTGTTCAGGCATGCGAGCCGTGCAGGACTGCGTTGATGCTGTATGAAGAGTCCTTATGCGTCGGCTGTCCAGAATCCCGAAAATAATAGCGGTGCTAATCTCTAAGCGCATGTTTCTCTCATCTACTTTTCATAATTTTATTCGCAATGACTCCTTTAAACTAATCAAACATATTTTACGAGTAACCCTTACTTTTTTAATGATAATGACAATGGTAACTTTTTTGAACACAAGTATGTTTAGTGTTGTACGCCGCATGTACAGGTGGTGCAGTGGATGATCTCGTCGAAAACCGTGTTGTGATTCGACGAACGATCGGCCCTATAGCTAGCAACAGTACACCCATGGCCACAGGGCACAATGGTGGTCGGGCTCATTAGCCTCCAGAAAAGGTCTCTGAAAAATAAGTGACTTGACGACCATAAAGTAATAAGATGCAGACGGAGTATCGCGCCAAATATCATGCTCTGTAGCAACCGGGTGCCAAACCAAATACTGGTCCGAGCTCCAAAACACATTCAAATGTGCCCTCCCATCCGTATTCCCCCTATGCCACAGCGCTGCGGCCAAACATCGCGAAACCAAAGCCCACTGCAAAGCCCACACAGGCTCATAATGGAAATTTCCTGTAGCAGCCATAGCAATAACCACAGCACTAAGCAATGTGTTTAAAAGCCACGCTGAAAAGAAAAGGCCAAGTCCCTTGTAGATCATCATGACGAATGAAATTTCTCTCGATGAGCGAAACCGCGACCTCGCGCATATCCCGAAACTGCCGTTGATGAAGGAAACGGCGAGAGAAAACTCATTAGAAAGTGCAACAGCCCCGTGTACATGGGTAGTTTGCCAAGCCACCCCGTGGGCTGCACAATATCCACGAGGCAGATGCCATTTTGCAAAGTGCCTATGGCCGAGCCGTGGCTAATTTCCAACCCCAAAATGATGAAATGAGCCATTACGCCCACAGCAACGATAAAGAATATTTTTATGCACTGTTTGTTTGCTAAATGGGTCTGCACCGCTGATGCCATGAATAACAGGCTAAGCCCTGCGTGGAATCCAACCAAAGTTACGTACACCAGTGGATGGCATTGGTCAAACCCAGCTGTGTGCCAAATGAAAGTGCTCATGGTTACGCCCATACCAGGAGGGCCTGAACGAGAAGAAGCCAGGTGCTGAGGTAGGGAATGGTGAGCCTGTATATGCTGTTGCTTATTCCGCCAATGGTATTGTTGCTTTGGCCACTGTAGCAGGTGGCGGTTAGACAGAGCTTGTTGCTCAGTGGGCGGGTACCAGGTGTGTGGTGGCAATGGGGATGGATTGCCTTGGATATGGCCGCTTGGGTTTCCATGTGAGTGTTGACTGGGCTGGATGCGGGCGGCGGCAGCGGTGAAATTTCCGGTGCAATGGGCGGGTGTAGCGCTTGGCGGCGAATACACTGGACTAAAGCAATCCGCAGGGTTTGGCAAAAGAGTATCATGGAAATGGTGTTGAAAAATATTGTCGTTACAGCAGCGTTCATTATAAATGGTATAGATAAATATATTGATTGCGTAACAACTAATGAAAATGTTTAGTATAAGTCGTCGATAAAGGACGCAATAAAGTAGAAAAAGGAAAAGATTTTTTTCGAAATTTATCCAACAGACCTTTTATTAATTCATTTTTTCAAATGAATAAAAATTATCCGCATATCTCAAAACAAGGATTTCATTGGAAAACAAAAAAACAAGCAGTATTTTTATTTTCCAAAGCCACATTTTTTAATAAGACCTTTATTGATCGAATTTCAAGATAATCAAATGAACGCAATCATTGTGCTTACAAAATAAAATGCTAAACATAGATTGAATCAATCTTTGTGCACAATAATTTTTTTTGAGGGTTTGGAATATTGGTCACCAATGTATACCGGAGCAAATCATTCTCATTTAAAAATTGGCGATAATGTCAATTGATCATTTAAAATATTGTTTTGAAATTTGTTAACCTTTATTTGCACATATTGCGGGATAAGAACTTGTTGCTATAGCGTCCTTATCTCACATGTTTAGTATATTAATAATTTTTAATTAAATTATACAACATTCTGTTTGCTCATAGTGTTGAGACACCTGAATCTTGCTGATGCGGTTGCAGGATAAAGCATAACATTTGCTAACACAGTTGAATTAGACAGCAGGCGTGTTTAAGTTGTGTGTATTTGTAAAGTGATACTGTTGTGATTTGGGGAGAGTACTAGTTGTCTAGTGTTAAAGGTGTTGTGATTTGAGTGAAGCACTAGTCACTTAGTGTTAAAAGTATGTTTGGGGTTTGTTATAGTTTTTATTATCAAGGGAAGCAAAAATAGAACTAGGGCCGGTCTCGTCATATATATGTATCTCGTTGCCTTTGTCGTGCACATTGCCAGTTGTGCACTCCGTTGGCGAGAACTGGTTCTTTTTCAAACAGACCGGTATCTTGTCATGTCAATGTTGTGATATTCACATAAACGCGTTAACGCATGTGCATTGTAAAAGGGGGAGCACATCCAGGTGTCATCATTATGTCCCCTGACTTGTTCCCACATGATCCCATCTGCACCCTATCAATCGGCATACAGATGGAGGTTCATTTCACGATTCTCGACCTCGACATCCACTTTCATATCCCTGGGGTGCGCAACAATTGAAGAGCAAAAATAAACAATACAAAAAAATTAATAAAAAATAATAGCTAGCAAAAAAATTGTATAATAGGGCTTTAGGAAGTCAAGCAAAAATATGTATTGGGTTTGTTCACAATCAAGTCTGCAAAGGAAAAAAATGCAAGGTCAGCTTTTGAACTTTAAGTGCTGCGGTTTGGCAATCCTTAGTCAAACTTGTTTTCAATTCAAAGGTCATATATATTATTATTACCTTATTATATTGGTTTACTTACAGCTGATAAAAAAAACCAACTGTACAAATATTTGCGTTTTTCAAAGTGCGGCAAATAAAAAGTTTCAAGTGACCTAATTCCTTTTTAGATTCCGTATTTTTTTCTTTTTTCTTTTGAATTGTTGTTCAAACCAATTCTTTTCGCCTTTCTCTTCTCTGCATTTATTATTTCATTGTTATTTTTCCCCGCTTATTTTCATAGCTTTTTTTAACATTCATTTTAAATAGTCATTGGCACAATCAAACATGAATGATGAAGCGACTCTCGAAGCTCGTATTCGCAAAAACAACCCTTACGGGATATTTTTTGTAGGTTCCATTAGGAAACTCAACACCAAGTGCGAGCGCCGTCTCCGCAAGATGAGCGGGATTATCCGCAGTAAGCCCGACTGGATTAAAAACATTTCTGATCCAAATACCCGCACCAACTGGGTCACTGAAGCCCGCTCACAGGGTCTCACAGATATTGAAACTGGGTACGTACTCGAGGAGCTCGCATATTACGCTACTCTGCATATTCCTGATAGTAGTGTCATATTAAGTGCTGTCGAACAAGTATGGCTGAGCGATACGCTGGTTGAGGGGAATACTTTGGAGCAATTAAAGAGGTGGTCGATGAGGTTGGAAAGTGAGTCCAAGGGATGGTGTTTGGAGAGTAATTGCGTGGTGCGTAATATTGTGGATCCGTCGATGTATCCGCTGTCGTACAGGAGTTCTAGCTTTGTGGGTACGAGAATCGAGTCTCCCGAGGCGGCGCTAAAAATGCAATCATTTGGACAGTTTCCAGGCAACATTGACGACTGGGACAGAGAAATTAAGAGTGCGTTCCCGTGGTCACCTATCAGCAAAAGGTATCCATTTTCGGTTGCGTCAAATACAAGAACAGCATCACAAGAGTTTTGCTGGTTACCGTCCGAGTTCCTCATTTCTGCGGATGGACAGGTGGAGATAAAGTCGTACATCAACAACCTCAATCCATTAAAGTATGCTTTGCTTTATCCTGTCATTGCCGAGGTATTTTCAAAGTGCGTACCGTTGCTGGAAAACGTTGTCACGGATGTTGTTTACCCTCGCAAGTCTCGTGTGATGCCGAATTGCTCCAACTGGCTGGTGGCCGATGAGCCAGAGCCCAGAGACTATCGTGCGCCGGATTATGACGAGCGCTTTGATGCGTGGCAAGCGAGACACCAATTTATCGAGCCCCAGCCAGAACCGTTTGAATTACCCGAACGACCTCAAATACCCTTCAGTTTAAGGGGCCGACAGCTGCAGGCTGTGGTTAGAATGACAAACATTGACTTGACGCCGGAAACACCCGTGTATAATGATGACCGCTGGCGCCTTGAGGCAATATCGCAAGAAAGAATTGTTGCTATAGGGGTGTGTTGCTATGACGTGGATAACATCACTGACATGCATTTGGAGTTCCGCGAGTTAGTTGACGATGATATCGAGCACGAGCAATGTGATGAGCGCGGGCTTGACCTGGCCTACGGCATTTTTGACAATGTGCGCAACGGTCGCAACAGACGCAGAGCCCATGCGGATAACAATGGTAGTGATAATAAAGAAGACGAGGACGAGGAAATGCATTTCAACTCTGATAGTATCGATATTTCGCAAGAAATCGGCCAAGTTAAGCTCCAGAATGGACGTTGCATAGTGTTCCCCAACACATACCAACGCCGCCTTTCGCAGTTACATCTGGTCAACAAGAATATCCCAGGACACTGCAAGATGCTAATATTATACTTTGTTATTCCAACAGATCCTATTGTGTCGACAGAGATTGTGCTGCCGCAGCAGCAGGACTGGTGGACCAAGGATGTTTTTCAAGTTGAGCCGTTGGTTAAAATCCCGACTCTGGTGCTGGACACATTATAGAACATGTGGATTTTCCAATGTCTCTGTCGGCCGCAAAGGAAATTAGAGCAGAGTTTGAGAAGGAACGCAGAGAAAATAGTGATAGCAGTGGGTTGGTGTTTTTCACGCCGACTTTTTATTATAAGAGCACTTGATTTTAATTTTGTAAAAAAAATACACTACGTAAATAAATTATCTTTAATCTTGGATTTGTTATGAAACTGCTACAAGCTTTGCATTAATTGCAGGCAGTACAGTTATTCCACAAGATTGCAATATTATAGCAAATTTTGAGCTGCTTTTTTTTATAAATGCATATGTATATTTATTTGATATTGAAAATGATAGACACGAAATTTACCAAATGGTAGAATTCATTTAAACAAAAAAAAAGCCACTTAAAAAGTTTTTTTTAGTGAAGGAGGTGTAAGAAAAGACATTCAGTATTAGGCGAAATATTCAGCTCGTCCAGGGACTTCTCGTCAGAGCCATCGAGCAGCGTAATGACTTCCGCATCAGAAAACTCGTCATCTCCATGAACGAAGAAGAGGCGTTGGTTGGGAGACTCAACGGGAAGCTGTGTGCTGATTTCATTCTTGAGCTCAGACAGCAAGGTAGTAGAGGATACCTTGAAAATGGCTTCGGCCTGGTTGTTGTAGGTGGCAAAGTAGTCTACGCGGAGGTCGAATTCAGTAGTCATGGCAGTAAAAAAAAGTATGTATGTATGTGTATAATGTACAAGAATAAGTTGAACTTTAAAAAAATATTCAAAATGTGGATGAGAATAGAGAAGAGGTTGGACGGATGATATGTGATGAGGCGGAGTGGGGATAGGTGTATTTAAATAGTGTGTGGAGGAATTGTGGACTACTTTTGACAATTATAAAATAAAGACGTGAGCTTTTTTTTGGACCAGTTGTCTTAGTACAAATGGATTTTGTCAAAGAACAATCAAATAGATTATACAAAAAGCGTAATAAAAAGGGGGGAAAAAGGAAAAGCCAACTACTATTTTATTATAAATATATATATATTCTCATTTATCTCTTATTAAAAACTTGGCAACGATAAAAAAGAAAGACAATATGTTTATATTATAATGCAGCCTTTAATAAAAAATTAGTACTGACAATGCTCGTGTCCATGTCCATGTGCATGTGCATGTCCATATTTGTGTCCATGAAAATTGAAAAAAAGGTTTTGAAAACAGCAAACACCCATGAAATATGTGTGGCACAGCATCAAGTTTTGCATACTGAGAGAAAAAATAAACACCCAAAACCATGGTGAAAAAATAATATTATACAGGAATAATTCAACAAACGTAAAAAAAAACTAGGGATCATCAAACAATAAAAGTTTAAAAAAACCCTTCCTTCCAGGGATCCACATACATTTTACTCAGTAACCGTTAGATTAGACGCTGACGAATGCCCAAAAGATTTCCTTACTTTCCGTCTCCACCCGCCCTTTTTACCAACATTAGCATCATCCGCAAATGTGTGCTGATAACTACTTGTAGGTGATCCCTCGGTTGTCCCTGCTCTGGATTTTCCCGCCTCTTGGTATGGAAACCCTTCAGCAACAATGATATATTGCTCAGCAATTGCCATTGCCAAATGCATATTTGTCTCCTCTGTTGGTATATCACGGTGCTTTATGCTATGGAAACCAAACAGTCGTTTGATTGTGTAAATTAGTTTGTTGTCCTGGCGGCGGTGGTAGGTTTGCTGCTGCCGGCTGTTGTCGTCATCAATAGTGGTCATTATGTGTTGCTTTTTGTGTTGTGCTAGTATGTAATAATAAAAAATGAATGAAAAGGAGTGATTGTATATGCGAATGAAATAATAAAGTTAGTAGAGAACAGGAAAAGAAAAGGAATGAAATGGTTTTCCGCATGGTTGGAATCGGTTTTTACTTTCTTTTCTTCTCTGGAGAAAAAAGGGGGGAAAAGGATGGACCAACCCGAGAGATAATTTTTTATTTTTCCCCAGCCCAATGTGATCCAGCCACTCAAAATAAGCGGAACAACGCACGATAAAAAAAGGTGGGGGTAGGAGAAAGTAAAAGGCAGTAAGGATTTTGTTGTTGTTGTTCCTTATATTAAAATAAACAAGCACGCACACCACGTATGCAAGCACGCTGTTCCAAAACACCAACGCCACCTTGTATTTCCCACAATAATCAATTTGACCCCAATATTATACGTATAATTTACCTTTAATCAATCAACCGCAGTAAATCGTTCATATGAAATGGAAAATTGCTGAAAAAGTGTTGAGAATAATAAATTGAAACACAAGAAGAAGCAAACAACAAAAGAAAAAACATCCTTGATTTTTCCTCAGGCAGGATGACCTCGGAACATGGTTGTTGTTTTGACATGTTGCACTTGTTCGTGTGTTCTGAAACCGCCATCGAAGAATGGACACTAGTCATGGGATGTAAGGATGTAAGTTGGCGGAGGGGGGCCGAGTTAGGAAAATGTATTATTTATTAGTGATATTGCTGACTATTTCGACGATGGATCTCAAGATATTTATGTCATTGTGATAGGACACCACACCTAAATTAGAAAAAAAAGTAGCACATCTTTTCTCACACACTCGTACTCACATATAAGCACAAGCAACAAAGGGGGACACAATAGAATGCACGAGAAAGCAGCATTTTTGCTCAATTCAGATGAAAAAACAACACATTGTGCTTTTACTGCCAAATACAAAATAAAACGGTATTTTTGGGAGAAATACAAGACGAGATTTTTTTTATACATTGAGAAAAGATTAGTTTGTTTATAAAAAAAAGCAGAAATTCAGCCGTGGACAGCCTGCCATCCACCCAGGGCCAGGAACAAGCCCAGAAGCGGCAGTGACAGGAGGGTCATTAGCGCATTGTACTTGCGCCAAGTACGCACAACATCTGAATTAGGCGTGCGCGGAAACACAGCTCCAATCCACCAAAGCGGCAGGAGAACAAAGCCGAGCAAGAACAGAATTGCGCCCAAGGGTACGGACGAATCAGCGCTGTACGAGTATTTAGGAGGTGGGTATCTCTGGCGAGCAGACACAAAGAGGCGTGCCTCATTGGCGTCATCCTCGACTTCTTCGTCGCGCAGCCTCTCGCTTAGTGCCCGGGGCCCATTGCCAATGTTGCCGCCGTTGGACTCGTAGTCCTCGTCGTAGCCTGTGGTGACTGACCCGCTTCTGCCTTGGTCAGCCCGGTTGTTGCGGCCTAGTGGTGAGCCGACTGCGTGCTTCTCGTCTGTGCATGCGTATGCCTCCGCAGGCATTGGCATGGGCATGACTACGTGGCTGCCTGCATTAGCGTGCTGCTGCTGCTGCTGGTCGACCATATGCTTGAGCAGCGGCAGTTGCGGTGGGAAATCCTCCTCCGACGCGTCAATGCTATGGAGGGTGGCCATACGGCTAGCATCCGTGTTCTGCCTTGACCTATGCGACGGCGATGCTGATCCGGCAGCCTCAGCGTCCAAAACATACTGTCTCGCCATAGCGTTGACCAGCTCCTCGTCCTCATTGTACTCCGCGCGTCCCAGCTCCTTCCTGCTATCTCCAAATGTGTTCTGGGTCATTTCTATTAGGTGCTGGTGGCTCGGGCCAACTTCAAACTCGTCGGCTGTGTGGTAAGAGGTGGTGTATGTTACGGGGTGGCTGTGCGCGGTGTAAAATGCGGTGTGTTTGGAAGTGGCTGTGCTGTTGGTGGAATTTGAATTGTAAGATGCAAGGCGGAGGAGTGGATTTGAACGTGTTGAAATTCGTGCTGATTGGAAGGAAGAACGAGGTGAGGTGGGAGAAAAAGGCTCTGTGTCGGTTTGTCCTCCTCCCTCGGAAGATTGTTGGAAATCAGATGTTGGTTCTGCTACTGGTTTGCTGGTCAAAGAGACTAACCGGCTCGATGTGGTTTTATTTCTGCTGTTGCTGCGATGCGACGACATTGTTTTTGCGAAACAAAATTCTCTCTTTTGGCTCGAGGACAATCCAGATTGTTTTTCTTCTCTTTCTGGATTGTATTTATTTTTTCCACCCTTTAGATTTTTTTACTGATCAAGTGCGAGATTTATTCTGTGTGCCCGCGGATTGTATGCCCAAAAGCGAGAAAGCTGCAGGGTGATAAAAACAGAAAACACGTGTAACAAGCTGTGTCAGCAAAAATAAAAATAAAAATAAAAATAAAAAGACGAAAAAAGTGTCGAAAAAAATAAAGTATTTTTAAAAACAAGTTGAAAAGAAAACGAAACAAAACACTAAGAAAAGCTGTGTGTCCCAGGGTTTATAATTTCATCTTATTTTTATAGTTGAGGCAAGTAAAGTGATAGAAAAAGGGTTTCGGGCACTCTCAATTGAGGCACGCATACGCACGCACAAACAGGTCATCTGGCCGGAATACAAGAAGTAAAAAATAAAATAAAAACGCCTTTTTTCCCTCTTCTCTCCCGCAGCAGAAGCCTCATGGGCATTAAAAGTGGAAATGATTGGGCAGAAGCTCGCGATAAATGCTGAACACTGGATGCCTGCGAGTTTTATGCACAATACACTTGGGTCGAGCAATGGGGTTGGATTGGGTTGGATTGGGTTGGATTGGATTGGATGGACACAAAGGGGATAGACAAAAAACCCAGATTACCAACTTTTTGTTCTCGGATCCTTATTTTTTTGAAGTGTATTTTCAATCTAATTTTATTTTCCAGCTCTTTTTGGTGCTGCAATCGAGCTCCACCTTATATTCAATCTTCTGTCGCTTGTTTGGGCTCGTTCGAACAAACACAAGGTAGTTTCCAACTTCAACTAAACTGCTCCAACTGCCGTATTTTTGTTAAATTTAGTTCTAGCTATTGGTGCAGGGCAGGGGGGAGATTGGAAGAAAAAAACGGAAGACGAATAAAAAAGTTTGCTATAACGAAAGCCCGAAAATCAACCCTTTGTTTCTTTTTAACGCTTTGTATTTTTTAAACCAGCAAAAAGAAACAAAGGAAAAGGTTTTCTTTTATTCTTCTTTTCAGCTTCTTTAAAAATGCGCAGTCTAACTGACTGAAGAAAGCATATCCAAAAGTAACAGAATTGGGTTAACGGACAAACCAAGTGAAAAAGGGGAGCAAATATCCTCAGGTCTTACAATACCCTGGTTTGTACGTGGGGGGGGGCTTATTTTCGCCTTGTTTTTTGGAGTAAAAAAAGAAATTCAAGCAGGGTGGGAAAAAAAGTATTTTACGCATGCCACACTGTAAAAATAATTTTCTATATATACTTTTTTTGCCAGTCTTTTTTTTCCTTTCTTTCTTTCCTGCTATTAATTTAGAATTTTTACCTTTTCATTATTTTTTCTTTTCAATCCACATAAATCTACCCTTTGCTTTATTTTTATAAAGGTGGTAGAGTACGGCTCCCCTTCAAAACATATTTATATAGACGTCTTCACGCTTGCACAACCCAACCCCCCCTCCCCACACCCACACCCACACCCATATACATATACATATACATATACATATTATATACATACACACAAACACACAGCTCTCAGTAATGTCGATATCACACAGCATGGTCGGCGGGCCTGACGAAGACGAGCACTATGAGGTCAGGGAGCTCGGCCACCCCAATAAGGCACACCGCAAGATGCCCTCGACCGCAGACATTGAGGCGGCCGAAGCAGAGGCGCTCTTTGATACCCAAAATGAGGACGAGGACACGTACACAGACACAGACACGAACGAAATGGCAGTAGACGCAAAGTGCCCAGCAACATCACCGGAGCCAGAGCCAGTGCCAGAGCCACTGCAGTAACAATACAAAAGACGGCCGGGGACGAGGACGGCACACGCAGGAACAAATACAGAAACATCGGGCACCCCGAGCACAACGACAGCATCCGCGCGACGCTCAATGAGCGACTGCTTGCGCAAAGTACCCCACTCAAGACCGAGGGCAAAACAATGATCGAGCAAGTGCAGCAGTCCAAGGCCAGGGCCGTGGAGATCCTGCAGGCGATGGATGACGAAGCCCTTCTGGAGCTGCCCATTGAGGAGTACATTGTCGACGTCAATTCGTCGTACAACGAGGCCGACCCCAAGCTGCTTTTCCCCAAGCTGCGCGCCGCGTGGACCACCGAAGAGGACCGCCTTTTGCGGGTCGGCGTGCGCGTCTATGGGCCCAATACTGAATCGTGGCCACGCATTGCCATGCTGGTTCCTGGTCGCACAAATAAGAGCTGCCGTAAGAGATGGTTCCACTCACTCGACCCCACGCTGCACAAGGGCCCATGGACGACGGCTGAGGATGACCTGCTGCGGACCCGCGTTGACCAGTTCCCGTCGCAGTGGTCGCGCGTCGCAGAGGGCATCCCCGGGCGCACCGATGATCAGTGCGCCAAGCGATGGCGCGAGTCCCTTGACCCCGAGATCGACCGCGGCAAGTGGCGGCCCGAAGAGGACCTGCTTCTACTGGCAAAGTTCGAAGAGTTCGGCACGCAGTGGCAGAAGATGCGACATTTTTCAGCGGCCGGCCGGGTCTGCACTGCCGCAACCGGTGGAGGAAGATCCAGCGCATCATCACGCAGAAGGAGAAGAAGTCCGGACCCATTGCCGCCGACGAGCTGACCACGACGCTGGCGTCTGTGACCGAGTCTGTCAACCGTCGCAAGACCGCCCAGAGATCGCGCCCGCCGCTGCAGCCAAAAACCGCGAAGGGTGCGATTTCTGAGCCGGCGCCCTCTGACATTGCTGATATTGCCGATAGCCCTGCGGAGCCGTCTATTGTCGACAGCGCGAGCCCCTTGGTGCTGATTAAGCCCAGGCAAAGGGCGACGGTGGGGGCGGCGACGAAGCAGTCGCGCTTGTCTCTCAAGGCGCAGCGCAACAGTCAGATTTTTGCCGACACTGTCCCCATTCTGCCCGCTGAACCGAGCAGCTCTGGCATGGCTGACTCTGCGACCCTCCGTCCATGATTGAGTCTGCTGCAGCCATGACACCGGCCTTTGGTACCATGGAAACCCCCAGTCTTCTCAGCCAGCATATGCACGGGTTTGTCACGCCGCCCGCACTGTCTTCATCGGCAACAGCGCCGGCATCAATTGGAGGCAGCGGCAGACTGTCTGGAACCATGGGTGCCCTGTATATGCCATCGTCAGAGTCGACAACGACGAGTGCGGCGGACGCACCATCTGAAAGTAAGTAAAAAACATTTTTGCCCAGCCTTTATTTTTGTGATTTGTGCTTGTCTTTATTTTTCTTCTGTCTGCTTATCTCAATGCTGTACTGCACTCTGCACTTTTGAGTCCACTGCATTTGTATTTTTTCCCTTACCCCACGTGGCTTTCATTTACGTTGTCTCTGGACATCTTAGCTCATGTGCGACAGATTGCTGTCCTTTGCATAAATCGTTCATTGTCACATTGGATATTGACAAATTCTGTTCGCGCGATGATGGTATTATACAAATGCCCCCCCCCTGAGCACACAAAAAAAGGCTGAATGACTAAATATGAATAACGTACACCCCTTATCCTCTTCAAATCTCTTTTTGTATAGGCCCGCTGCGCACAGTAGCATCGCTCAGACAGCACCAGCACCAGCCAGGCGTTTCGTCTGGAGCCAAGCGGACCAGCTCGGTTCTGTTCTCGCCGTCCGAAGAGCAACGCCAGCGCCTGCGCAGCATGGGGCTCAAGCTCTACGGCTGCGCGGCAACGCCCAAGTCGTGCACGGCAGCTTTCACCGACTCACTGAGCCTCAACTCGCACCTGAAGCTCGCCCACCCAACAGTCGCCTCGCTAATACCCTCGCTAAACAGCCTGTAAACCTGCCAACAAGCGCGGCGGCGTCAACGAGAGACGCGCTGACTAAGACTGGGATCAAACCCTTCCGGTGCGGAATGGACAAGTGCAATCACGCGTACAAGAACGTCAACGGACTAGAGTACCATATTTTTCATTCACGCAAGTCCAAAGGACACCTGATGCTGGACGACGACAGTATTTCGGGGAAGCAAACTTCAGATAAGCAGCAAAAACAGCAACGAGAGTCGGATGCGAGTATCGAGTCGCAGGACGTCTCAATGTATGGGGACCGAATGGATTTTCTCGAGTCGACTGTCGCGTTGCAGTGCTCTGAGGTCGAGTGCTTGGCTAGTTTTGATAGCGAACAGGAGTTGAGGCAGCATATGGCTGTGCAACATCCGAGACCTATTCGCCGCGCAACTAAGCCGTCTAATCGCGCGTACAGGGGTGGTCAACCGGCGGTGCACAGAATGGATGCGAGTTCGATGTCACCGCAGATACCCGCGTCGCTGGGGTTCTGGTCGTCAGCGATCAATGCCGCTATGGACGGTAATTTGCATGCACAGCAACAACAGCAGCAGCAACAGCAACAGCAACAGCAGGACCAGGCCTTGGTACCATGACGACCATCCCCGAAAATCAAATGTCTGGCTCAGCGCCTTCCTCCAACTCTTCATCATCCTCGGACTCAGCACAAGCGGCCACGGTGGCGGCCATTGCGGCGGCCATGGGGTATGCTGCGTCAGACCACGGCATGGTGCAGGGCCGCGCCGCTCGCGCTCATATGCATATGCCTCAATCCATGATGTTTTCATCGACAGCAACACCCGACAGCGCGCACTTGTTTGCTAATTCTGAGCCGTCCTTTATCTCAGCGCCAGCACTCATGTCATCTGCGGGTGGCGAGCCTACCCATATCAACTCGTATTTTGCGCTCAATATGCCCGACACTAGTTCGCGGAATCAGCAGCAGCAGCATGCGTTTACGCCTTCCTTAATTAATGGCGGATCATCTGCCAATCATTCAATGGGTACGGCCTCGGCTTCAGATGCGCAAGCAGCCGCCTCGATGATGTTTGAGGCTATCAGCCAGGCTGCCGCCGCTGCGCAAGTAGGATCTATCAATTCGCATACGCCAGGAATCCTGCACCAACAGACCTTGCAGTCAATGCAGCCGCTGCCACCACTAATGTCTGCGGGTTCGCGCCGCAATAGCGCTTCGGCTTTGGAGCCGGCAGCGGTGGCGGCAGCTATGATGAATCAAAAGTATGTCAATGATATGGGCGCTGCTGCGGCAGCGGCGATGGATATGCCCTTGGATATGCAGATGGTGCATATGTTCAGCCCATTTTACCAGAACTCACCGTCCTCAAAAGAGTTTTTCCACTTGGGCGATGTGCAAATGGGCGAGCAGCAGTCTCAGCAACAGCAGCAGCAGGGCAATAACGCGCAGTCGAGACTCAGTGAGGGCCCAAGTAAAGAGCGAAGGAAGAATAATAGTTCGACTGATATGCCTATGGTGTCTTTGGGTTCCACTTCAGCGGCAGTGGCCACGCAAATGGGTGGATTCAGCTCCAGTGATATCACTGGTGATCCCTCTCAGTCAAACCTGATGACTGCCAACAACAACAGCAATGACTCGATGGCGATGGATATTGGACTAGGGGGGGGAGGTCTGGTGGCGTGCAGCATTTGGTTAACGCTTTTAACAAACACCGGCACGCGGGAGGCACCAGTCAGCTGCCGATACTCAATCACCAGCAGCAGCAGCAGCAGCAGCAGAATGTGTGGTCTCAAGAACTCACGGCTCTTGGTGGGATGCTGCCGCCTCATACTATCTCGCATGATGGCGGCACGCATGGATTGAACCAGGGGTATGGGAACTTACAACGTCTTTACACTCCTCAGCCGACGGATTTGGCGCAGTTCCAGTTATTCCAGAGCCACTCTCCACATATATTATCTGCACCCACGTCTTCTGTTAATCTTAACGGCAACGGCAACGGAAACAACAACAACGATGATGGTAGTCCTCGGTACCAGCGGCAGTTTTTCTCTTTGCAACAGCAACAGCAGCAACAGCAGAGGCGCGGGAATAACAGCATTATGCAGTGCCCTATTCGTACGTGCAGCCAGGGGTTCAGCGACGCCAATGCGATGAAGCATCATTTGAATTTCGACCATACGCGGGAAGAGGCTGTTTTGGCATCAGGCAATAGAGGAGGTAGTGGTGGTGGGGGCATCAGTAGTAGTCCTGGAAGTCCCATGGAGCCTGGGTTCCTATCCACATTGGCAGCCAACAACTCTGCTGCTGCAGCTACTGCCGCTGCTGTGTTCAACCAGCTTCCACACTCCACCAACTCCAGCAGTAATGGCAACAGCAGTGCCATACCGCAGCCATTCCAGCACCCCATGATTCATATAGGGTCGGATACATCTTCAGCAGGAGCGGGAGCTTCTTCAGCGGTGAATGACCGTCAAAAGGCGCCTCACTGGGTAGATCCCAATCTGTGGAGTATGTGGATTGCAGCGGCGAATGGGCAAACAGACAGTATTACAGCGGCGGCGGCGGCTACTGCCATGGGTGTTACTCCGGGTGTAGTTGGTCCTTCAGGATTTTTTACACAAATGCCTTCCTCTGCTAGTTCCAATGCTACCAGTCAGATGGGTGCTGCGCAGACAACCGGGTTCTCGCATTATCAGCATCCCACAGATAATGAGCTTCTGCGTATGTTTGATTCGGTCACTAGGAATACCACGACCACTGCGGCGGGATCAGCGACAACATCAATGTCGAGAGGAAAATAAGCCCACATATCTGTTTTTAATATATCAATTCAAATACATTAGTAATATTTTATTTTATTTGCTTAAACATATATTAAAAGACATCAAAAAAAAACATTTGGTTATAAGAAAATTAATAAAATTTTGTTTTGGTCAATTGCGGGGGCTCTTTGGCTGCTTTGTCCAGACTTAGTGTTCACAGCCACAGGATCAACCACAACAATGCTATCCTGAGACGAAGCCGACCCTCCACCAGTACCAGAAGCACCATCAGCATCCAGCTCATCATTGTCACAATAAGCCTTGGGCTTGGATTTCCAAATTTCCAATGAGCTGTCGCTCGAACCACTTACAGATGCATCATTATTATCTGCCACCGCCATACCGCTGGTAACATCGCCAGGCTGTGTGCAAGCAGAAGCAGAAGCAGTAACACAGAACATCGGATACATTCATGTCCTCTTCTGTTCCAATGAAGCCTGCCAGTGCTATCAGCAACAGCGGAAGCAATGGAAGGCTCTTCTGCTCCAGACACATCCGATGACAACGAAGACATGCTCTGGTTACGAGAATCCACCTCCTCTCCATAATAAACCGTCTCCGTCGCAACCACCTCCGTCGGTTCGCCAGCGGCTCCACAACCATACTACCGTCATCCTCCTCCTCATAATGTTGCTGCTGCTGTGGCTGCTGATCCTGATCCTGATGTTGCTGCTGATCTCCCTGAACCACTCCTCTAATCCACCTCCCAGCCCAGACTCACTCGCCCTCTGTACCTTTATGGCACTCTGCACCGAATGACACATTTCCGCCGTCATAATCATAATATCATCCAGCTCATTAGCCGACAACGCACTAGCTGATCTCTTGTGCAATCTACGATACCTCGACTGCAGCAACAACGCTGCCGCCCCCGACGCTGCTCCAGAAACTGAACTTGAGTGTGTATGTGGGGTAGAAGTTGGCACAGAGTGATGTGAATTTTCCGATGTCGTTCCCTCTACCAATGTCAATGCCTGCTCCAAAGACATGGAAGCTACGCTGTTGCGGTACACCAAATCATAAGGCGATTCGTTATGCAGGGGCATAAGACGCTGAAGATGATGCGGGGACTTGGACTGCTGAAACAACAGAGTATCAAGTAACGGACGCTGCTGCTGCTGGTAATGATGTTGGCGCTGTTGCTGCTGTGAATGCTGCAGATTCTGTCGAGAACGAGACATGTTGCTGTCAATACTGAGATTGTCGCTCGGTCGACGATTGATCGGAAACATAGACGTGGGGCGTGGAGGAGAAGAAGTCATTCCGTGCAAGGACGGTCTCCGGGTATACTCGCTACCATCATGGCTACTCTCCGAGTTGCGCATTCCTCCACAACTCCATGATGGGCATCCGACCCTCCAGTAAACGCGAAAACATCCAGTGTAGTGGTTCCAAAGACAGGAGGCAGCATTCCAGCGGACAGTAAATCTCCCGAAAGTTGCTGCTGCTGTTTACGCGTCAAACGCATAAGCTTGTTTTGCTTGATCTCTGCCAGATGAGCAGGAGAGCCGGAAGGAAGAGGAGGAGTAACAAAGCAATCGATGGAATCGCTAATGCTGGCAGATCCAAATGGCAAGCGTGGGGATTTGGGCAACACGCTGCTACTATTACTACCACGATGCTGCTGTTGGTACTGATGTTCGCGTGTGTCCGCCGTACCATTGACGCAAGGGACCCGCCACTACCCCAAAACCATCCACTACTACCACCACAGTAGTATCTGTGTTCTTGCGGGCCAACCGACTAGCAATCCTGCTTTCGCTGCGCTGAGGTGGTGGTGACGACGAAGACTCCATGGACCCCATGGATTCGGTCAGCTCCTTCTGGTACCCCTCCAACTGATCAAACTGGAAACTAGCCAGGTTCAATGATCCGTCCTGGTTGATCAATGAGTAGCGACTGTGACTAAAGGAGAACCCACTCGGCAATGATCCCATATTATCGCCGATGGGTGATATCCCCGCCGCCACCGCCACCGCCGACGTGGATAGCGACGAATGGCTGCCGCTCAAAATAGATGTTGTCATGTCCGCATCACTCACATATTTTGGCCGCACGCAATGCTGCTGCCGGCGTTGATAATGTTGATGCACGCTGCCAACACTGCTGGTGCTGCTGCTAGTTCTGCCACTGATATTGTCACTGCGCGCTGCTACAACCATTCCACTCAGCCCATGCCGGCTCCCATTAACCTGAATACCGCTATCATTGACTGTCACCATCTCCTGATCCGCTGAGCCAAGCGCATCATCCACGCGGCCACGACTCCTCTCACGATCAGCACCACTATTACCGGTGGCATTGCCCTTTGAATGCTCCTCCCTGTCTTTCATTGCCTGAATCACAATGTTGAGCTCCCGCGCCTGCTCCACATCAGATACTTGCTTCAAGTACTTCTGCAGCTTATCCGTATTCATCATTATGCTTAGGTACTGTGAGTCAACAAGGATGTCCGGAGTCCTAAATGCTGGCGAATCAAACTTGACTGGCGGCGTGGTCCCCAAGGACACGTCAGCCAAGGCATTGGCATTGGCATTGACTGTGGTGGCGATGGCGGGAGACGGCAAGGATACATCTGGTATAACGGGTCTGTGCGACGCAGATATTTCGGCCATGGACATGTTATGAATGGCCTCCTTGTGAATACGTTCTCCAGCGTTTTGAGTCTCTTCAAAGTCAATCTGCATTGGCGAAAACAGTGGTGATTCGGAAATCGGCAGTATAAGCTTTGGCCGGCCTCAGGACAAGAAGGCACAAATTGCTCAGTTGACCCAGTTACTGGAGACACTGGAAGGTCAGAGTGGCTGCGCATCCGCGGCACCGCTGGTAGAGATGACAGCGGCGCTGGATTGTTCGGCAGATGCTTTTCCTGCTGCTGCTGGGGCCGCGACTGATGTGAATGTAAATTCTGAGCCGGGCCCTCTGAATCAGTGGGTAGAGTCATTGATCGGTCACGCCTAAAGAACTTGAATGATGACTCGTCTTTTGGAGCTGTTGCTGTTGCTGTTGCTGTGCAGCCACCATCGAGCTGAAAACAGCATCTGAACTGTGCGCCGACTGGGCAACTGAAACCGGCACCGTCGCTAGACTAGTGCCCTTACGCGCGCCAATATACCCTAACTCATACGACCGGTGCATAAGCCCCGCCGACTTTTGGTGCCCAATACTGCCTGAACTGTGACCACTAGAAATACTGGCATTGCTCATAGCCGGTGACTTGCGCCTCAGTCGAGAAGCCAGACTAGACGCGCTACCCATGGGCTGTTGCTCGTACACAACAGCCAGTGGACTGTTGCTCGGCCGCCGGTTATATGACGAGCTGGAATCAATCGAGTTTGCAAACAACACAGGTGTGCGCCCTCCGCCGCCGCCGCTAGAAACGCCCCCACCACTGATTGTGCTGGGCTGCTGGTCCCTGGGCAAGTCGATGCTGCGCGATACTTGGCCAGTGATATCTGAAAAAGCACGCGATAACGGGCCTGGTGCATCGTGCTGCTGCGTCAAGGATCTCTGACGTGGTCCCAACTGTGCAATTGGTACTGGGCGCCCATGGTCATCCGCAGTAAGCACTGACAAGTTCTGTCTAAAGCCAGTGGGATTGGCATTGCCCATGTTCTGGCCCATCCACTCGCCGACGCCTCCTAAGTTGGCATGGGGATTGATGATATGGGGGTTGCTGATTTGGGGGTTGCTGATTTGGGGATATTGCGCGATATTAGCGCTGGTCTCCCGCCTCGGTCGCATCGGGGACTGTGGTAAGAACTGACCCTGATCAATGCTCTCCCTGCGCCCACCATCTACCCACGATGTCGACGCCGCAGCAGTCTTCACGGCATTAGCCACCTTTCTGAACCCATTAAATAGATTCCGCCGCATGCCCTTCGACGACATATCTTGTATGGCCCTGAGATTCGGGGGCTCTGTGGTATAGAATCAAGCGGCGGCGCTGTGCTGGGTGGTTGGCTGTGCTGGTTCCATGCAAATACGTCGTTACCCGTCAGTCCGAGCATGTTGCTCGCTGGTGTGCTGATGAGTTATCCTTCGGGTGTGAGTACATGGACTCCGCATGTACGCGCCCTGCTGTGACTGTATAGGCTGCGTTGTGGACATGTCTCCTATAATTCCATCGTGCGACAAGCGGCCCCCCAATTGCTCTTGCTGCTGCTGCTGGAATGGGTCTGAAAGCGATTGAACAATGGGCACTGTCTGCTCGGACACCACTCTGCGGCGAGAATCGGCGTGTTGCAATGAGGTTTGATCCTACAAAGCGAGCATGCAAACAAAGGGCACGGAATTGATATGGTATAGTATATTATGCGATTATAAGTTATTAGTTGTTCCCCAATTGTTACTATTGCTCAGTGCACACATTATTGAATAGGTTGGGTAATGTCTGTATGAGGATTGGGCATTTAAAATGAGTTAAGAGCAAGCGCCCAAAAACCCTATACCAAAACATAAATAAGAGGTAAGCAAGGGAGGGGAGGGGAGGGGAGGGAAGCTCAGGCAACCGCAAATAGAGGCTTGTTTGGGTTACGGTCCCTAGAGAGGAATCCAAAAAAAAACTTCATCCGAAACACAGAAAACACACGTCATTGTTGGCCCCTGAGTCGATTGCATGCCACACAACGAGAGCTGTCTTTGGTATTGGTCGACGGAATTCCTTCGAACTCGCTATGTATTGAATTGAAGCGTGCGAGGAAGTAAGCGGGTGTTTATTTGTCTGGTCTTCTGTCTGGTGTACTTACTCTGTTGTCGTAGCCTTCGGGTTGAACAATGCCGCGCGCATTGCCATCTCTGTCTGCCTATTGTTTGCCATTTCTGCCTCACGTAAAATGTGAATTTGACGTTCCGAAACAGTGTGAAATTGAAAGGGCGGGCGGGGGGCGAAGGCCTAATAAAGTGAATGTAAATATAAATTAAGCCGAGTTGTAAAATTCTCAAAAAGAAAAGAAAAAGAAGTATAAATAGACCGTAATTAAAAACAAAAGCCAAGCGAAAACGACTGGCGCAAGTTTTAATTTTTTGTTTCTCAGAGCTGCCACTTAATAGAATATAAGAAAGTGGAAAATCAGGGAACAAAGGACAAAATAAGAAACAAGTACAAAGCAAGATAAAAATGCTAGTCAATTGTAATTCCCTCTCTTTGCGAGAGACAGAAAAAAGTGGGAGGCGGGTTGTGGTGGATGCAAGGGGCTGGATAAAAAAAGAGTATTATTTTAGTTGCCCAAAGAATGATTCGAAATAAGAAATGGTGGTAATAATACAAACCAACCAGATTCATCAATTGTTTCCATCATCAATGACAGTAACAATATGTGTTTATTAGTGTTTTATCATATTTGAATATTGCCATTGTTCGCGCTGCGCTTTATTTGTTTGGAATGGCATTGAAATGCCGTTTTCGCCGAATGATTTGGTGTTAGGAGGACAGAGAGGGGAGCTGTGCATGGAAAAAGGGCAGTTCTCCACACACACATACAAAACTTTATGTATTTAGAAAATGCAACCCAGAACCACGTGTGTTCCATAGATTACAATTCCATTCTGCAGTATTTGAACAAAAGAGAAGAAAGTGCGGAGAACAAAACTTTTCTAAATATCCTTGTTTCTCCGCATTCTTGAAGGCCCAATTTCGGATTTTTGTTACTTTGTTCGTGACCATGCCCCCTCTCATCATTCTTTGGCATTGCGTTGTACACGCTTATATTTTATGTTATTACTTTGAAGAATAAAAAAGGTTGGCGGCATTGTATGGCGTCTAAGCTTGCTTATATTGACACATTGTGGCCGCATTGGCAATAAATAATTGATATCTGCCCAAAATATTCTCAGGGATAATAATAGATACATTAAGCGAGATAATCAAACAAGTAAAATAAACACAAACTATAGTCAGTGTGCTCAATAGATGTTTGAAACTTTGAGTTTCAGAAATGATAATAACGACAAATACAGAAGTGCTTGCTTCTTGCGAATAACAAGTCAAAAAAATATAAAAGCCATAGTCTGGTCTAATGAATATGAAAAACTGGGGCATCCGTTCTGCAAACAATAACATTGGATTTATTCCGCAACCTTGGGCGTGTCGCTGCATTGTGGCCATCAAATCTCAGATAAAAGTAGAAACTTCCAAATAATGAAAGCACACATGATAAAATTATTATACAATGAATCCCATTTTTAAAAAGCCATTTATGCACCTCTATCATAAATTCTAGTCTTTGCTACTTTGTTTTAAACTACCATGCAAATAATGGAGGCACGGGATAAGAAAATATGTACGTACAAATTGCTTTTTTTTAAATATCCATGTCAAATTTTTTCTCTGTATGTACAAATTGTTTTGAAGATTTGTCAAGGGCTCAAATCCACATTATAAATGCATATTTACCTCAGCAAAAACAAAGAGCTGAACGTAATACACTTGGCATGCTGAACAACAACAAATAAAAAACTTTCCGCAGCTGCATGGCACTTCAAATCTGCTATCAGCGTGATTTTTTCTTTTTCTTTTAGTATGCAAGTCTTGATACATTTGTGTTTTGCAATCATTAAATGTCATGCACACATTGCATGGTACATATCGCCAAGTCCAATATTTTAGAAAGAATAAATTCTCACCCTTGCAATTACATGCTTTTCACGCCTCTGCCCTTTTCCCATGTGTGCCAAAAGCTCAGTCATCTTTTATTTTGTGTTCGTTCCGGGCTGTTATAAAACCTGTTTATTTATAAAAATGAGTCTCCATGCAAATGTTGAGCATTTGTTGACCATAAATAAAAAATAAACAAACACTTGTGTCCAATGAGTGCTTATTATGAGTGGATAAAAGTATTTTATAGGCTATTTAATGTTAATCGGAAATGAGCATCTTATTTGATGTAGTTGTAATAATTTGCACAAATATTTACAATCCCCCAAATAATATTTTTTATTTTTTGCCACACTAAATAAAATAAAGCCAACAATTTTTTAAAAGGCAGTATGGCAGCAATTTCGGATATATCCATTAAGTAAACGGATTCGGTATAGTGAAGTTGTAGAAATGATCTGTTTTTTTTTACCCCAGACGCTAATCACTCGAGACAAAGCGACACTGTGCATTGTCCATTTTTCCTTGTTGTTCTTTGTATAGGTTTTGCATGAAATCTTGTGCTTCTGGTCAACGCACAAGCCAAAATAAAATGTACTGGCTCTTACCCGCCCGCCAACTGCAGTCAGCAGGTCTCACACTTTACGCCCATGACATGGTGTCTTTTTTTATTAATTCGCATATTTCTGATACCCTGACAAGCATAAATACTGGTTCAGGGATGTTTTATTTATGATTAATTGAGCGAAGTCGGGTTGGGTTGGGATGAGTTGGAATGGGATGGGATGACCAGGGAAGATGCCAAATTGGGAACCAAAATTGTAAAATCGAAAAATATTGCGCGAAAAATAAAGCTCAACGCGTCGATATTTTTTTTATATTTTTGGGAGCCTCCGATCTCAGTCTACACTCAATAAAAAATTTTCAATCTTGAAAATTTCATATATAAAGCGAACACGATTCGACGCTCCAAAATACAATCTCGTTTTCCTTTTTCATTCCATCTTTCTTTCGTTTTCTTTACACACACTATATATTTTGAGCCTGAAAACTTATTTTTTTTTAATCAGTTGATAGTGCACAAAGTAGCACAAAATCTTTATTTTTTGTTACCCGCTTGTTAGCAAGGATGTCCATTGCACATATATATATATACGAATAGTCCTTGCATCAATCCCCACTCATCAATTCCATTGTTTACCAGCGTGTTATCTTCAGCCTACACACAATATTTTTCATACACGCCACCAGCACCTCTCCACATTCTTAGTTATAACATTTTTAGTTTAAAGTTGGCCTAGCTTTTTTACTATAAATAAGTTTTTGCTCTTTTAATTTCTGGGCCCTCCCAACTACTACCGTTTAGTAACCTTTTATGAATATTTCCAACCTGACCATCCTTACTTGCCATGGTGACTCCTTCTACTCGTTATCCCAAGCAGCAGCCACCGATACCCGATGGGCCAGTGCTCAACTTTCGCGATGCGCGCATTAGTCGCAACACACTGCCTCTGGCTGCAGAGTTCCGGACGCTCAGCATTCAGATTAGTGAGAACGAGAACCGGCGGTCACAGCGCCTGCGCGGGCTTCAGAGCTTTCTCAGGTCTCCGCGCTGGCAGGAGCTTCTAAGCGAGCTCGTGCCCATGGGATCGGCGCACCGGCAGCAGGAGAAACATGAGCAGCAGCGCAACATGGCCATGGCCAAGATTGCGCAGCAGCTGCGCGACTACCAATTCCACAGGGACACAGTCAACGAGGTGTTTACGCGCATGGGCACGTCACCAGTGCGCGGGCTCGAACCCGAAGCTATTGAGCGGAGGCGCAGCCAGAACGGCCGGAACGTAGTCGGCGTGCAGTCACGGATGTATCTGCTGCGCATCTTTAGTTGGTTTTTTGGCGGGTTCAATCGGTTCCTGTGGCTTTCGGTCATTGTATTTTGGCTCTGCTGGAAGCCCATTGGAAATCCGCCGCAGACAGGCAATCTAGCGCTGGGTATCGTTATCATTGTCATTATCTTTATGCAGGCGCTGTTCAGCGCGTGGCAAGAGTGGATCACGTCGCGCGCCCTGAACTCCATCACAAGCATGGTGCCCGAGGCCACCGTGGTGCTGCGCGAAGGCCGCCAGATGGCTGTGGCCCCGGCCGATCTTGTCCCGGGTGACATCGTGGTGCTGCGCGCCGGCGACTGCGTCCCCGCGGATGTCCGCCTGGTCGAGGCGTCGCCGGATCTGATGCTTGATCGCTCAGTGCTGACGGGCGCACCCGACCCGACCATCGGCACTGTCGAGTTCACGAATGCCAACTACCTCGAGACACGCAACATGGCAATGATGGGCGGCGCCGTGACGCAGGGCGTCTGCACCGGCATTGTGGTGGCCATCGGCGACCGCACAGTGTTCGGGCGGCTGAGCCGCCTGACACAGCGGCAGCACATCAAGCCGAAGCGCACGATCCTGCAGCTCGAGGTGCGCCGGCTGGTCAACGGCCTGACGACGCTGTCGCTGGTCGTCGCCGCGTTCTTCATTATCCTGTGGGCCGCCTGGCTGCGCACGTCCTACCCTGGCTTCATGTCGGTGTCCGACGCGCTGGCCAACGGCGTCGGTGTCCTGGTGACCTTTGTACCCGGTTCCCTGCCGATTAGTCTGACGCTGGCGCTGACCGCCATTGCCAAGCGCATGCAGCGGCACAACGTGCTGATTAAGAACCTGACCACTGTTGAAACGCTGGGGTCTGTCAATGCGATCTGCTGCGAGAAGACCGGAACGCTGACCCAGCGCAAGATGGCTGTGACGTGCGTGGCTTTTGCCGACATCGAGATGCATGCCGCACAGCTGCACAGGGAAACCGGGATTGCCGCACGCCGCCTGTACGAGACCGCGGCCTGGTGCAACGGCGCGACGCTTAACCCGGATGCCGCCGACCTGCCCGAATCCGAGCGCGAGGTCTTTGGCGACGCCACTGACAGCGCGTTCCTGCGGCTGGCCACGCAGATAAAGGGTTTTGTGCCGGCCGCTGCGCATAAAACGCTGCTGACAATTCCGTTCCACCTGCGCAACCGCTGGATGCTTACCGTCTGCTCGACCTCTGAGCCCGAGGCCGCCTCTGAGCCGTTTATCCTGATTAAGGGTGCCCCCGAGACGCTGCTGCCGCACTGCTCGGAGATCCAGTCTGCCACTGGTGAGATCTTGCCGATGGACGTTGCAATGAAGGAGCGCATCAAAAGCACGCAGCAACGCTGGGCCACCGAGGGGTGTCGTGTGCTGCTGCTCTGCCGCCGCGAGTTCTCCAGCATCGATTCGAATCCGTTTGTCGGCATCGAGAACAGCCCAGCACACCTGTACTCCGTGGCTAGTGACAGCATCACGCAGCTGTGCGTTGTCGGGCTCGTTGGAATGGTGGATCCGCCGCGCGCTGAGATCCCTGGCGTCGTCGACACGTTTCGCCGCGCCGGCATCCGCGTCTTCATGGTCACCGGTGACTACTCCCACACCGCCGCGCATGTCGCGCGCCAGTGCCGGATCATCACCGGGATCCAGGTCGACGGCATCGACGACGTGCTGGACATCACTGCCCGTGCCAGCGCCAAAGAAAAGGCCGACGAAAAGCCAAACAAGAAGGTCTCGGGCATCGCCCTGGCGCTGGACATGCTTTCGGACAACTCACTAAGCCGCCAGGAGTCGCTCGTTGACAGCCAGTATACACTATCCACGAAGCGGTCTCTTGTTGTCTCCGGTCCCGAGCTGGTCGGCCTGCGCCCCGAGTGCTGGGACACCATTGCGACCTACGAGGAGATTGTCTTTGCGCGCATCACGCCAGAGCAGAAACTGCAGATCGTCGAGGAGCTGCGCGAGCGCGACAACTATGTGGCGGTTACCGGTGACGACGTCAATGATCTGCCGGCGATGCGCGCTGCGCATGTGGGCGTCGCCATGGGGAATGGCTCAGAGGTGGCCAAGGCCGCGGCCGACATTGTACTGCTGGACAACAACTTTTCGTCGATCGTCGTGGCCATCGAGTGCGGCCGCCTGGTGTTCGTCAATCTGAAGAAGGTCATCATTTACCTGCTGCCCATGACCAACCTGAGCGAGATCGTGCCGTCGTTCCTCAACGTCGTCCTCGGCCTGCCTATCCCGCTGTCGACCTTCCTCATGCTCGTTATCAATACAATCACTGACATGTGGGCGTCCATTGTGCTGATCAACGAGGAGCCCGAAACCGACATTATGCTCAACCCGCCGCGCAACCCCAAGAAGGAGGGTCTTGTCAACGTGCGCTTTTTCCTGCAGGCGTACGGCTTCATCGGCATAATCCAGACGCTGTCTGGGCACATTATCTTCTTCCTCTGCATCTACATGCGCGGCAACATCACGCCGAACAACGTCTTCCTGGCCTTTAGCAAGTGGACCGACGGCTACCTGGGCCGCAGCAAGGAGGAGCTAGCACACATTGTCAGCATCGCCGGCAGCTCGCATTTCATGGCCATGGTTGTCATGCAATGGGGCAATATGTTTGTTGCTCGTACGCGCACACTGAGTGTTTTCCAGCAGAATCCGTTTTGGGGGCCGAAGAGTAATCCGCTTCTGCTCGTCGCTATTCCGATTTCCATCCTTGTCGCGCTGTTCTTCAACGAGGTGTCTTGGTTTAACGAGGTGTTTTTGACAGGCAAAATTCCGGTCGAGTTTTACTTTATTCCGATTCCCTTTGCATTTGCACTGATTTCATTGGAAGAGGTGCGCAAGCTTATTGTTCGCAACTACCCAAAGAGCCTGATTGCGCGCTTGGCGTGGTAAGCCCTTTTTCAATAGAATTATCACATACAATATTTTTTACCAAGTACATTAATTGGCATATAACATTTTTATCATCGACTAGCGATTGAAATTAGCCACCATCAGCTCCAACAAATGATGCTTTTCATATTGCACTTTTTATAAAAAATACTATTCACACATGTGAAATTTTTAGATGCAGGCTGCATGAATAAAATAATGAGCGCTATGACATTTCACAAGTCACAATGCCACCCGATTCAACAATGCGCCATGCTTTTTTTATCAGAAAGAAAGGTCCAAAAGAAGGAATCAGATACTTTTTTATTTTGCAGAAATTCGGACGAGGGTGCTTGTTAACACTGCAGTATTGTAGTGTTGGGATTAGCGGCCAGCGTTACATTGCAACTGCATCTCAAAAAGACTTACACTGTGAGCACGCATGCAAAGATGCAAGGAAAAACCAACCCCAATCGGTTATAGAGGCAATCGCTAGCTAAAGCGATGGTAAAATAATATAAGAAAATTCTAATTAGAGCTGAGGAAAGGCAATCAATCTGCTCGATCAACAGGCCAATAGAATGCGGGGCTCTATCTCGTGCAACATTGACTACCTTTTACTTTTTTTGTTAAGACTGAAAATCGAGAAAAGCCCACACTCACTTTCAAAAATAAGCTAAAGTGCATTTAAATATTTTTGTGAGGCGTGCGTGATTTGCCGTTGCCACAATGATAAATGGCCCAACAGCAAGACATGGAAGAATCCTCATAATTCAGTCCAAGCGGATATCAAATTGCACATCTCGCTTGGATTCCGAAACTGTGAATGGCTATATATATAATTTTTTTTTGGGGGGGGGGGGGAGGGAGGCGATGTATGCATATGCGCATATGCAAGCATGATGAACAGAAGCTGCTGCTTGCTGCTGCTGCGTGAGGCGCTGAGGCAGACTGACTGAGAAAAAGTAAGAGCCTGATGACCTCAAAGTCACCCCTCACACAAGAGCTCATCAAGTAGCCGCTTTATATCCATGGATAGATATTCTCACACTTTACAATATGTGGTGACTTGTACAAGTCCATTGTTCTCTTTTGTGTGTGTAGTCCACGACATCCCCCCCACTCCCGTGTATATTTTGCTGACCATTTCCAGCACTTACAATTGAATTTTTCCTTAGAAAAGAATAGCACCCTCTAGGGATTTGTTCGGATTGACAAAACATAACAATCTTGCCAAATAGAGAAAGAGAGAGAGGGGATATGCAGCAGCAGAATCTTTTTATGGCTACATATCGCCACTGAGAGCAAATTGGATATGAATGGCTTGTTCATACACACGATACATGTCAGAGCGCGGGTACTTTTATTCGCTGTGTAAACATACATTTCTAGAATCAATTGAAATAAAGCACAATTCCCCCCTCTTCCATCCACCAACAAACAACATTGCTCGTATATAAACTCGTAAAAAAATTTTTATCGTCCGACTCTTTTCTTTTACATACTTTTTTATTTATCCAACTTTTTTATCCATCATACAATTTTGTTTGTTTTGGTTTTTTATTTTTCGCGTAAACATTTTCCAGATACAGAACCGATTGCGTAGAAACCATTGCGCCATTGGTTGGAAATCCTTCTTCATTTCTTTTGCGGACCGAAAAAACCCACTTTTGCCGATCGCAAATTAGGCAGGGCAATTGACTGGACCGCCGACAGTTCATTATTCAGCCAATTTCCCAACAGTTTTTTCTATTGCACAGTCCAGCCAATATATTTACTCACTCCACTTACTTTTACTGACCATTCTGTCAACAATTCAAAAGTCTCGACGACAAATAAAAGGGAAGCCGCCCCAAAGTCACAAAGAATAAACTTGGTTTCCCCCCTTTCTCTCTCCCTTACTGGCCTTCTTTTTTATTTGCTTCACTTTTTTATTTTGTGGCCTTTACCCTCTGTTTATATAATAGCTCTCCCCCTTTCATCTCTCTTTTTCATACACACAATAGCCGCTGTGCAGGTTTAATTATTTTCTTTTTTGCAGTTCTATTGTATACCACCGTCTCACAATGGTCCGTTTGTCATCCACATGCTCCCTATCGTCGCTTCTCGTAATCGCTGCGACCACAGCCAGCTTTGCAGCAGCCTCTCTCTCAGGTACAGGCACCATCACATACCATGACTACCAGGCGATAGCTCTGGAGTTGCTCAAATACAACCCGCCCTCATGCGGCATGCCCTACGCTGAGCTCGACCTCACGCGCATCACGGCCGTCCAGACAATGAACACATCGACCGATTGTGGCCAGTGCATCAAGGTCACAAACTCCAACGACCCGTCCAAGTTTGTCTACGTCTTGGCTGTTGACACGGGAGGTCGGGGTTTGGACTTGAGCAAGCCGTCGTTTGGCAAGCTTTTTGACATCGACGATGGTATCGGACCGGCTAGCTGGACGCCTGTTGATAACTCAAATTGCGTCGGGATTTGGAGCAAAATGGGGTCAGCTCCCTTTGATGGATCGCAGGTTCCGGCTCCGGCAGCCGATGACGCTGATGTCCAGGCAGCTCCGGCAGCTGCACCTCCGGTTGAGCAGTCGGTACGTGTGGTTGTGTCGTCTGCTCCAGCCCCAGTTGCTGCGACAACGCCGGCACCGATTGTTTTGACATCCCAGGCCCCGGTTGTGCAGAATCCGGTTCAGGTTACATCGATCCCCACTCCCGCAGCTGTTGCCGTCCACACATCTGCTTCTGTATCCAGATTCACCATTACTATCCACACGGCTACTGCTGCTGTGGCCTCAGCAGTAGTTTCCGCTCCGGTCTCGATATCTCCTGCCACTAAGCCTGAGATAATCACCACTGCACCCAGCAGTAGCAATATCGGCGACAACAAAGTGGCTACGCCGCTGCAGGCTGCCGAAAACTCGGAATTATCTGCCGAGGTGGCGTCTGACACCAACTACAGCTCCAAGTCCTGGCAGTTGAGCGGCGTCGGACATAATGCTGAAGAGTCCAGCTCTAGTGTTGATTTGGAAAGTGGCGAGGAGGCTGATAGCTCCGAGTTTTCGTCGAGCTCTGCCGCCAGCATTCAGTCTGTGCTTTCGGCTACCAGCATTCTGATTGCCGCTAGTACTCTTTTGTCTCTAATCTAAAGACCCAGAGTACAAGCGAATACTATTTTGTTTGTTTTTCGATAGCCGCAAGCTTTTTTCTCACTCTTTACTATTTTGTTTCCGGGTCTGTATATAATGTGCCCTTTTACGTGTTTACCTAATATACCATCATGGTTAAGCGTATTTGCTTGATCTCAATATCTCTGATGTTTCCGTCTCATTGATCTGTGATCTGTGATCTGATGGCTTTTTTTTTTTTGCGTTATACTTTTTCATAGTGGAGAGGACTGTGGTCAATAAAAAGCCCAAAATGGGTGAAAAAGTACTTCGACGATCCTTCGTCCTTTGTCTATTGGCTGCAATGGCCTCATTTCCAAATATGTTTTTGAGGAGCGCTCATTTTTTAAACACAATTTGGTCTGAGGACTGTTGTTGCAATTAGAACCTGGATTTTTTTTATCCAAAACCTTTTTTTTTAAAGAATACGTGCCGCCAAAAAGTACACATATTTTGTGGCACAAGAAGTGTAAAAGGATGAGGCACAAAATAAAGTAAACAATGTAGCAAGCTCTGGCCGAAAAGCTTAAAACTGAATATACGCGTAAAATGAAAACAACGCGTGAAAAAATAAACAAATAAAAAAGCAGGGCACTCATTGACTGACTGACTGACTCTTTTCCGCTCTTTTTTTTTATTGTTTCGCACCCTCCCCCGCAACTTTCAAAAAATTAGCAGTGTAATTCCCCCCTACCCCATCCACCTACTTTTCGCACCTACGTGTTCCATTCCAGGGGCCTGGCGAGCAAATGGAAATAAAAGTGCACAAGACGAAATAGAAACATACACAAAGAAACTTTTTTAAAAGTAATTTAAAGACAGGTCGGAGCGACCCTCTCCGTCTTTTTATTTGTTTGTTTGTTTTTCACATCATTCCCCTGTCTTCAAATATATATATTTCCAAAAACTTTTTTATTTTGCTCATTTGCTGTATTTTCTTGTCATCTTGCATCATTCAGCGCTGCAATTTCACAACAAGAACAATAAATAAAAAATATACAAAGGAGGGAGAATTCACCACTTTTCCCACGCAAACTAGCCTCGTCCTAACCAGCTAACAATGGCATTCACAAAGCCCGTCCGGAAGAAGCGCAATTTCAAAAGCCTCAGCTTGGCAGTTTCCGAGGATCCCGTGCCTGGAGTGGGCGCGCTGCCAGCAGGAGCGGCAACTGCAGAGGCCGCAGTATTGGCATCGGGAGGAGGTAGCCGGCCGCCGCCGCTCATGGGAAACATCAGTGCACCTCTGGGATTCAATCTGGCCAACGGAACCGTCCACGAGTCAGTCTGCCCCTTGGAGCTCGGCGTGGAGCTGCGGCTGGATCTGCGCGAGGAGGACCTGCTTATCGGCAAGCCCATGGGCGAGGGCTCCGGCGGCACAGTGGTCAAGGCGACGCACAGGCCGACGCAGACCCCCATGGCACTGAAATTCATCAGGGCCGACTTTAATATCCGCCAACAGATCCTCAAGGAACTGCAGATTCTTCACGAGTGCAACTCGCCGTACATCGTTGCCTTCTACGGCGCATACCCAAAGGACAACGGAGTGCAGGTGTGCCTGGAGTACATGGATCTGAAATCATTTGACTGGATTTACCGCAAGAATGGACCGATCCCCGTCCCTGTTATTGGCCGGGTGACATTCTCGGTCCTGCAGGGCCTCAAGTACCTGTACGAGGACCTCCGCGTCATGCACCGGGACATCAAGCCGTCGAACATCCTTTTCAACTCTTTGGGATTCATCAAGCTCTGCGACTTTGGAATTTCCAAAGAGATGGTCAGTTCGATCGCCAACACGTTTGTCGGCACAGCCTCTTACATGTCGCCCGAGCGGATGAATGGCGGCAGCTACACTGTCAAGTCAGACATCTGGTCCCTTGGCCTGACTCTTATGGAGCTCGCCCTGGGCAGGTATCCACTCAAGGGCGAGGGCGAGTCCATGTCAATTTTTGAGATGCTTAGCTACATTACCACTGAGACTTTGCCCGCGCTGTCGCAGGACGACTTCCCCCCGGGCCTGTGCGATCTAGTCTCCAAGTGCTTGATCAAGGACCCGGCTCTCCGCCCGACCCTCAAAGACCTGCTTGCTCACCCTTACACGCACGAATGCTCGATGGCCCAGGTCAACATTGAGCAGTGGGCCCAGTCCCTCGAGACGAGTGAGTTTTAGAAAATAATTTGTTTTTTTCGCTTATTTTTTGTTTGCCATCATTTTCTTTTACATGTCTCGTTTCAATTCTCCTCGAGTCGGATACAATTAAAACATTTCCATTAAATTAGCAGTAATATTGTGCAGAACAGGCCTTTGAAAAGGCACTGTCGCGTCTTATTTGCAGTTGCTCAACTACGAATAGATCCGAAAGAACGCACGCACGAACTCGTGTGAAAATTATACAGTGCTTGCAATCGTCAAGCTATATTTTATTCCTACGTCAACGAGAATTGCGAGCAGCTTAGCTCAAAAATCGCCGACAACGCTATTGTTAAAAGCCTGTAAAGGGGATATTTGGGGGGCGCTCGATACTCTTGAACCGCGTGGTCTACCTCCCGACTTTTCGTGGACCTGTTTTAGAAGTGGTCGCACCACTAGTAGCATTGGTATTTTACGACTGAAAAAGCTGCGCATTGAGTTTGCTGGATTTAAAGATTCAGGACACGGCCCTAGAAACATTGGCAATAAGCGCAATCACAATTACCAGATAAACTTTTTCATCCCTAAGCACCTTCCGGACACACTGGGTTTTGGCACGGCTGTTTCCCCCCGCACATATGCCAAAGTTTGAGCTCAGAACGACTTTTGAGGTGTTTCAGTCGTTTTGCTGGCATAATTTCGAGGGATCTGGCAATTGCATTGTCAACATCAACTACAATTATGGTAAAGAAAAAGTCTTGAAGCCAGAGGGCATGCCGAGGTTCTACAAGCTGGCCAACAAGTTGTTTGGTTGCACACGCATTGACCGCCGAGCAGAGCCGGACCTCGATTTTATCAAGCTAAAGCTTGACGCAAACATAAGCAACTGGGTCAACCCTACTTTTTAAAATTTACAAATACAATTGACATTGGCACCACATTAGTGTTCCTTCATCGCCTACCCGCTTTTACATATTTACCAGTGCGTCAGATTACAGAAAACAAGGACTCATACGACTTCAACATGCTTGATCTGGACGAGCACTTTAAACCCGATGTGCCGAGAAAGGCACCCCTGTCCACTTCCCTGAGATCAATTTGTTTTGCTTTTTATGAGCCCATTATACAAACATGCCGACATCTATATACCACCAAAGAAAGCTATTTCGGGTCTTATACTGCGTGTACCATTGCTGGTTAAATTGGAAACACAGGCAAAGCATGCTTTGGGTATTTTGGATATGGTTGAAAGTTGTGTCAAGTATCCACATTTGGCACGTGTGTATTATTGCTGAATAGTCAGTTCTAGAGTTAAATTATATGCGAGATATATAGAATCCATCTTACCACAAATAATATTTGATTATTTTATCCAAATGCAATACAATATAATATAATTTACAAAGTTGTACTCTATATTCAAAATAAATTCAAATGTATATTCTAGTGCTCGCAATAGTTAAACTTGGGCATAAACATTTCTCCGGCCAATTCATTATGTGATGTTCTCTCCTCCATCAACTCGAGTCTCTGTTTCTTTGCCTCATCCAATGAGATGGGAAAATCCACATTTTTCAGTATTTCGTCCTTAACCAGCAAGGGCAACCCGTGCAAAGGGCCAATGCTCATGACCTCCTCTTTCCACCACTCTTGCTGCTGCGGCGGGACAATCTCGGTTGAAGGAATTCTTGTGGTCGGATCAATAAAGAAAAAAGCAAATATCTTGCGACACCCACTTCTCTTGGGATCCTTGAGCTGGAATCCCTCGACGCGATGCTGGTACATGTTGGGAAACACCACGCATCTGCCCCTCTTTGCCTCCACGCAACCGATTTCCTGAATCAAGGAGACATGGATATCGTTGGTATCATCAACGTTTTCATATATGCCATAGGCCAGGTTAAGTCCTCGCTCGTCGCCTTGTTCATAATCAAGCTCCTCGTCAACCATTTCGCGGAACGCCAAATTGCTCTCGGTAATGTTGTCCACGTCGTAGTAGTACAGACCCGTAGCGATAATGCGCTCGTTAGCCAGTGCCTCGACATGCCACGCGCCGCCCTCGTAGACGGGGTTCTCAGGAGTCAGAATGATGTTGGACATCTTGACGATAGCCTGAAGCCGCCTGCCTTTCAGACTATAAGGCACAGCAGGACGATCAGGCCACTGGAATGGCTCGGGCTGCGGCTCAATAAAAGGCCTGGTCTCCTGCCACAAATCGTATTTCTCATCATAATCCTCTGCATCGTAGTCCTTGGGCTCATCGGAATCATCAAACCAGGCGTATGGAGCCGGAACAACGCGCTGCTCGCGGCGGTGTGCCAAGTCGGTAACAACTTGTTCGAGAACAGGAACAAACTTTGAGAAAATGTTGCCAATAACAGGGTAGAACTCAGCGTACTTTAGCGGATGCAGGTTGTTGATGTAGGATTCCACGGTGACATGGCCGTCCTGGTGGACCTGGAACTCGGACGGCAGCCAGCAAAACCTTTTCGACGAAGCAAATATTGAAAGAGGAGGCAGATAAAAAGTGTCTTCACCGCTATCTACATCCGACGCATTTTCCTTATACGTGCGATTGACCTCCACTTCCCATTCCTTGATATCCTTTGGATATCTGCCAAATGATTTTACATGCAGCGCTGCCACAGGCGACTCAATCTTCTTATCCACAAAGCTTGATCGCCCGTATATCAGCGGAAATAGCGACGGATGAATGAGGTTGCGCACCACGCCCTCACTCCCGGGATGCCAGTCCTCGGGCCCGCTCTCCAGAACTGCAACCCACTTTCTGAGCCCCTGCTCTGTCTCATCGTCAATCAAGGTGTCCGAAATCCACACTTGCTCAACAGCGCTCAGGAATATTCCAGAGTCGGGCACGTGGAGGGAGGCGTAGTATGCCAGTTCGGCAAAAACGTAGTCGACTTCCTTTTCGGTGAGTCCCTGGGCATACGCCTCAGCAGCCCAGCGGCTGCGGATGGTTGCGTCAGTCATCTTGGTGATCCAGCCAGGCTTGGAGCGGAGGGCACCGCTGGTGTGGCGGATGCGCTGCTCGGACTTGGTGTTGAGCTTCTCAGAATGCGTATTGTAGATTGGACCGGGCGGGTAGACCTTGCGAATGATCTGGTCAAAAGTGAGGCCCTTTAAAGAAGAGGAATTGCCCTCAGCACCAAACATGCTCTAAAATGGCTTGGATGTAAGCAGAAAATGAGATGGAAATAATAAGCAGATAACTAAAGTGAAAAGGATAAAGAGAAAATGGACAAAAGACAGCGGGTAATTTATATATAATTGAAGCAGACAATTTTCTTCCAAGCTCTGGCTGCGGAAATAAAATTCGAGCCCGTGTGAGGACAAACAAAAATGTAATCATGTGGGAATCAATTTTCCACTTCTCCTTTTTTAACGGCAATCCAAAATATTGTTTTGTTGTCGCAATTGTTGAGATTGTCGGCAAACAGTTATTTTTTCTCGGCTTAAAATTTTTAACGTTACAATTTGAGCATTTCATTTTGAACAGACTCCAACATAATAATTAGTTAATGGATTTAGTAAACTAAAGGTGCTGGCACAGACAATAAAAATTAATGATTTTCCGCTGGCTACCAAAAAATAATATCGCTATGCGCAAAACAAGTATGCTGTTATGATACTTGCATAGTAAAACACAAATTAATTTTTTACCACATGATTTGAATTAAGTTAGTGTTAGGACCAATAAATTTGTTTATTTAAAATCAATAGAATAATTAAATATAGTCGCTTTAAGTACCGGTTGGTATAAATATCATTGTTTAGACTAACAGCCAAGTCTGTTATTTTTTTAAGTAAAATTTAAATATACGTGTATCATAAAATTATGTACGGGACGTGGGCTGTGTTAAATGGAAATTAAGTGCTTTTCCTTAGCTCTATCTAAATTAAAACAAGTGCCGGCTCTGCTTTATGTAGAAATCTATTTGCTTTTACCTTTACCTGTGCATATGTCACATTGATTTTTGCTTAAATAAATTATATTTTTGTTAATATACTGTAATTTAATCCTTCAGCAGCAATATCAGCACGTAGTAATCTGTGTGGTAATTGTGAAAAGTGGTATTTTCATTGCAGTTTATTTAATCTAGCATTCACCTATTGTTTGTAGCAGTCAATAGTTATTTAGCAAATAATATTTTTGTTCACGCCATTTTGCTTTCAATTTTCAACCCTATTTCAGTTGTAATAAAACAATCGATTAGTATTCCAAAGTAAATATTTGGCCTTTTCGCGCTTTACAGAGCTTATCTATCAATGAAAAAACACCTTAAAGATAAACATGCGATAAAAGCCGGTATTTTTCCTGCTCCAGTTATAAAAATCACGATTCCACAGGGAATTTTATTCTCTTTTGGATCCAAAACACCCTATCAAATTATAATTTTTTAAAAAAATATACTACCAGAAAGAAAAACACTGAATTTTTTGCACTTTGTTTTAACACAGTAGCAGCAGGTTCATTTACTGAAATTAAGTGGGGTTAACTGAGAATATTTGGTGTTTTGTTTGTTTTTTTTCCGATGTAATTTTAGAGAAAAGTGGCAAGCTCAACAGCACTATACTTTCCAAAAGGAAAAACCTTTCTATAATTTTTTAATCGAATCCAAGCCTCTCATACCAGCAAAAAAATGAGTTAGCAAAAAAGAACACGGCACCTGTCCAATCAATAAAAATAAAAATAGAATCAGCAGCGGGCACGACCAATAAGCACACACATACTGTCCGGCTGTATGCTTGCTTCTATTATTGGAACTTACTAATTGTTTCTCAAGACTTCCATTTTTGCCTCTCCCCAAAAATGAAATCGTCAGCGTTTTTTACAGGTTGGAGTGAAATCATGCTAATCTATCAGTATTACCTCACGCACTTTTTATTTTCCAAATACATTCTGAACATTGAACTTCTGGAGAGACTGAATCTCTCAGGTTCAAATAAATTCATTTATATTTCCTATCCATATTTTATTCTTAAATTTTTGTAAACAACATACCTTTTCTGCGTTCATTTCATTAATTTTGACCAAATTGTATTTCCATATTTCCTAAAGAATAAGAATACCATTCTAATCAATGTCACCGATCCTGTTCAATCGTCCGCGTATCCTGGTGCTGCTCATAGCTCTGGGAATTATTGCAACCAGTTTAATTGTCACATCGGACCACCACAATTACTGGGGCGCACTCGAAGGATGGTCACCCTCAGAGAAACCTCATCATAGCCCACACCACCCACACCGCCAGCCAATCGAAGACCAAATGCTGCTTGACCGCCTGGCAATCATATTGCCAATTAACAACAACACGGACTTGCAATTCTACCACAACACTTGGTTCGGTGACCACCTGTACCCAGTGTGCGACTGGGAGGAGCCAGGGTGCAAAATAGTGTGCAACAAGACCTCAACATACCGCACGCTGGATGAAAAGACGCTTTGTTTTTCAAGGGCCATCAAGTCGTATGATAGTATAGAGTTTTTTATCAAGCTTGACGATGATTCGTTTGTCGACAAGGGGTACGTACTCGATTTGATGAGAAACAACACAGGATCCGACCACCCTGTATACATTAGCCATCACACCAGATTGGGCGACAAGGGTAATCCAGATACACTAAATCGCGTGTTATACGGGAATGGGAAATTCTACATGTTCAACCGAAATCTCGTCAAGTGCTTGGATACAGAATTCAAGTACCATGGTCCGAGAAACGAGGACTTTGTATTCGGCGGCATGGTCAATTCTGGGTGTGGTGAGCAAAACGTGTATTATATTCAAGAGGATGATAATTTTATCTGGCATAAGCGGTATACTCACAAGAACAAGGATATTAATTTGGGATATATCAAAAACCATTAATCGCTTTGTGCTAGTTTGATATTGCATAAAATGAATATATATTTTGCAATTGTTAATAGTTTATCTAATTCAATTTTGTTATTTTAACAATACGTCAATCCTTGCACTATATTTATGTTGAAGAATTAATATTTTTATAATAAAATTATCAGCAGGATTAACTGGGTCAATCTCAATTGCCTGGCGTTTTTCACGCCAACTGACATTGAAACAATTGTCACGCTTCTCCCTCAGCTGTCGTCGTTTAAGGTTTTGGCGGTCATGTCTCTCAAGGGAAAAAACAGCGTACGATCTTGGTCTGCCCGATCTGCACGAGGACCTTCAACCATATGTGCCGACTGTAGCCCCGCTATCCACTTCAGTAGTATTATTGCAGCTTGAGTGTGGCGAGGGGTATCATAGTTGCGGGTCGCTTCAGGGTGCGGTTTTGGGCCTTATACTGCATATACCCTCACTGTCCGCTCTGAAAATGCCGTTTGGGTTGGAGTAGCGGGCCAAGATGTTAAAGGAACCATATGGTGCCAAGTACCCACATCTGGACAGCATAATGTTAATGTATTCCAGTATAATCTACAAGTATTTTGTTGATTAAATGAACGACATAAAATATATGGACATGTATTTCTATCTACTTGTTTTTTTTACAATTTTTGAATTGAAATATTATTATCAAAAATGCCCACTATTTATTTAATTTTCGTTGGCCATTGCTTTCACGCTACCCAAATATATGCATTTGTTTTGCGCGCCGTGCGCCGTGCGCCGTATGCCGTCATTTTCATTTTTTGTGTCGTAAAAAAATTGATTGTGCGAGTTTTCCGCAGTAAACCTTAAACACCTATTATGCCAGGCATGAAAAATGCATTGCCATCAAAATGGGTATTAGTAAAATTAATTGTGATTGCAGCTGAAAAATAACAATACATTTTTATTATTGTTATTACTTATTCAATGATTGGTCACATTGCAATTAACATTTTAAAAAAACACGTAATTGCAATTACAATCAATGTGTTATTCGCGTGCAAATAACACGTTTATCAGTGCGTTTACTTTATTGACCCAATATTATAATTTTATTTTGCTATTACATATTTTTATATAAAAGGCAATGTATTCTAATTTGACAAGCGCAGACACTCTTCTCCATCTATACATTTCTATTTTTAATTTCCAACACAGCCAACACAACCCATCCACAAACATCTATTTTTTGCTATAAAGCTATTTTCCATCATTGTTTTTGCCGTGACTGCTGTCACTGCTGCGATGTCCATTTTAACAGAAAGAGAAATAAATGAATTCAATTATTTCAGCCCCCCTTATGCATCCAGCAACAAGCAGTTTAAAGATATAGTTCCTCTTCTTTTTGTATTTGCGTATGATGTGAGATTGGGCCCTTTTTGGGACTACTTATCGCGAGATGTAGCTTTGAAAAGAGTTGAACGTATAGAGGAATATATTAGCAGAAAAATAACACACCCGAATTTAAGCAGGGCGGGGCCTATTATCTCCCGTTCGAATATCTAAAGGAGGCGGTCAGTATTTTCAGACAGACGTTACAAAAGAATGAGATTAAAAAGTCTGACCCGGAATTTTTCTTCCAGCGATCCCTATTAAAGTAGTAAGATAGTCGTTTTCCGAGCTGTGCCTATTCTAACAGCTATTTTATTGTTTTTTTTGATTCAGCATGTAGCTTCTCCATATAGCCAATAAATAAACAATATTAAACTCAAGCTGGTAATAATACACAGGCTGTAGGCCGAATCCCACTCGAAATATTTTCTTTTAATACGTTTCTTACCAAATTCTTTGAATAAACGCTTCGACAGTTGCCTTTCTAGCTGTTTGTTGTATTTTGTAGTTGTCTGTGCATATTCAGGCTATATACAATAGTGGTCACGGTTTTCTCTTTTTTTTGGGTTTCAAACGTTTTCTCATTTAATTGGCAAAAACACTGGCAGAGCCACCAGAAGTGGCACAAGAAGTGGCACCGACGCCAGACACAGAACCTGCAGTGACAACGGCAATGGTACCACCACTGCCTCTGGCCCTCAAACAGCTGCCAATGACCTAGTCCACGACAGTCACCACCATTCTCCAGGCGGTAAATGTGGCAGTGGATAGGAAAGACAGTCGACATTATAAGAATGGCTGGCGCATCACCAATACAAGTGACTCCATCCGTTGTTCCTTTGCATTAAAGATGCTCCTCCACTTACTGCCTGTAGAGAAAAACAGCGGAAATGGTACCCCAACGCATACCCTAAACCAGAGATGGGCCTATTCGGGCCATTGAGATACAGGGCCGCATGTTCATGTGTCCATGATGAGAGCGCGAAATTCTGACACAGGATGACTTTTACTGGGATCTTTGGAACCCAGCCGCAGATCTCGCAGCTGAGATGGTCAACAGACTCCAGTTGTATCCAGGACTGAGGGTTTACATATTGAAAGAACTCAAAAAATGTGTGAATGCCCACTACCAGGATAAGAAGCTGGACCTGGATATGAGACGCGGCTGGAAGGAGTTAACAGAGAACAAGTACACAATGCTGGTCAAGAAACTCCAAGGGCAGTATGCAAAACAAGCAACGGTGTTTGTAAATGAAATCATATATAAACAGAACAACTGGTACAAGAGGTGGTGCAGCCTACAGATCGAACAGGAAATGAAGAGATCTTTGACTCCTGAGGAACACCGATTGTTGATGAGAACTTTAATCTCAACAAACATCCTAGCTACCAAATCTGTGACAAGAAAAAGATGACAGCAAGCCAAAGTGGCCGCGGACGACAGCAATGAGGACGGCAGATATGCACACTAACTATCTTGGCCACGATTGATGCTTTAGTTGGCAGATCGGGTGCTCGGGTTTAATTTTACTAATACCCTGGCAGACCGTTGAAATGTGAACCGTTCTATGAACAAAAAATAAATAATACAATACTATGTATTTAATAAGATGTATACTATGAGTGCTATTCACTGGAAATGTAAGAGAGAGCAACTATGATATATGTATCACCATATGACTAAAAGAATAAGCAATGTGGTGTGTGGTGCCCAACACACATTTCAAGCCACTATCTTCCCTTTTCAAGAATCAAGATCGCCCTCATGGCCACTATACACATTTCTGTTATTGCTGGCTGACATCAAGGAACACCATGATGTTTACAGCGCTGCCCCCTTTTTCAGTTAAGTAAGTAATTTTTAAGACTTGAATATATCGATTTAGACCCACATTTTTATAGAGCACGACATAAAGTGTGTATTAAATTATTTTAGGTTGGAATGAAAATAATTAAAAAAAACAAGGATTAAAATGTGGGGGTGGGAGGATGCATTTTATATACCAATTTAAACTTTGTTTTCAAACCAAACCATTATTTTGGTGTAGATTGCATCCCTTTCCGCAAAGCTTTTTTTACTTTTTTATTTGCATTTTTACAATGTCTGTCACGTTTTCCTTTATATTATTTTTAGAATACCCACTAAATTTTTTATTTTAATGATGTTGTTATAGTAAGAGGGGGGTGTGAGGAGCACTAGTTGTCTAGTGTTAAAGGTTAGGGGTGATTTTATAAAAGGTTTTATTACTGATGTTTCTAAAGTACTACTAGGGGCCAGCCTCATCTTATATGTGCCCTATCGCCTTTGTTGTGCACATTATCAATTGTGCGCTCCGTTGGTGAGAACTGGATCTTCTGTGAGCAGACCGGTATTTTGGCAAGTCAATGTTGTGGTTTTCGTGCGTGTGCATTGCAGAATGGGAAGCATGTTTGGGCATCAGTGTAATGCCTCCCTAATTTAAGCCTGCGTTATCCAATTAGCGTCCTATCGATCAGCACCCAGGTGGAAACCTGTTTCGCGATTCTTGACCTCAACATCCACTTCCATATCTTCAGTCTGCGCAACAACCCACTAAATTTTTATTTTAATGATGTCTTGTATAAAGCAAATTCCATTGTTTCCAAACAGAAAAAAGAATTAATTAGAATTTTCGATGCTACGACTATGATATTGTTGCCTTGATACAGATTTAAATAATTAATTAAATTCCTGATCATGACCTAGCTTTTTATGTTTTCTTATTCACAAACAGGTTTTCTTTTTTTAAAGGTTTTCATTCTTCTGTGGCAATAAAGTTACAAAATAAGAGGTTACAGTAAATTTTGTTGCACAGCCCGAGGATATGGAAGTGGATGTCGAGGTTGAGAATCGTAAAACAGGTTTCCATCTGCATGCCAATTGATAGAGTACTAATTGGATTATGTAGGTGTAAATTAGGGAGGCATCATAATGATACCCAGACATACTCCCCATTCTGCAATGCACACGCATGAGTGCACACATACAAAAACCACAAAATTTACATCCCAAGATACCGGTCTGCTTGCAGAAGAACCAGTTCTCGCCAACGGAGTGCACAACTGGCAATGTGCACAACAAAGGTGATGAGGCACATATATAAGACGAGGCTGGCCCTAGTTCTACTTTTGATTCCCTTGATAATAAAAACTATAACAAAAACCAAACATAGCTTTAACAGTAAAAAAACTAGTGCTCCCCTCAAATCACAACAATTTTATTTACACATTGCGTGATAAATAACGCCATTATTAGTTGAAATAACTTAGTTAAATATATATAACCAATTTGTTTCAATGCACCTGTAATATATCCAATCCGCCTTGAAAATAGTTTTTAAAATAAAAAAATGTAAACTATACATATATAACATTTTCAATGATAAATATAAAAAGTAATACTTAATTACAAATTTTGAAACGTTTCTCTTTATTTTTCATTCTTATATGCTCTAAAACAGGGTTTAAAGAACACTTTTTTTAGTAAATGAAACCGATTATTTTCGCACTTTTATTTTCACCCATCCAAGCGCTCAGCTGCATCGACCACCGTGCACTACGCACAAGTTTCCCAGGGTCCTCCAAGGAATTCCCCAAGCTCCAATCCCTCCTAGTGAAATTCACAGAAGCACAACTCGACCGTGCGTATTATTTCTTTCCAAAATTCTCGTCGAGGAATGGACTTGAGGGCATTGGAGGAAATTAAGATTTATATGGTGGGTGTGCAGAGAGATACGGAGGTGAAAAGCGGGAATGAATTCTACTTGCATTTTATGGATTTGAAGGAAGCTATGGCTTTGTATGTGGAGATGAGGCCGTGGGGAATTGGCGAGTTTTTTGGGTGGTCTTGAGCATACATTTATTTTTTTAGTATAGTGTTTTATAGTGTTTTTAAATATAGATAGTTTATTTACTTAAGCGAAGGGATCAAATCACCGAGATCGGATGATTTGCCGCCAGCATGTTTCTGTTGCTGCTGAAGCAGTTGCTTTTGGTTCTGGCTCTGGTTCTGGCTCTGGTATGTCTGGCCAAACGACAGTGCTGATAGTGGAGCCATCAAAGTAGATGGTGCAGGACTGACCGAGTTCACCAGAGGCTTATTATTGGAGGACAATGATGAAGGTGGTGGTGGTGGCGGGAGTTTGAGTAAATTTGTCGTTGTTGATGATGCCGTTTGAGGTGATATTTTCATCGCACCGAGTTTCCCGCTGGGTTTGTGCACAGACACCATTGTGTGGCGTGTTGACTGCAAGACCATCGGCTTCAAAGGCTGCGACTGCAAAGGCTGCAACTTCAAAGGCTGCGGCAACGGTTGTGCCGATGATTGCGGTGAGCCAACAGCAGATGTTGCAGCAAACCCCATCGGCCATTTAATTTCATCGTCCTCCTCCTCATTATGGTCCCAATCAACCGACATTCTCTGCAACGGGTTCGCCAATCCACCACCCCCTTTCACTCCACTCCTTCCAGCACTACCCGCCCGAACCTCCTTTCGGATTCTCTCCTCCAACAATCCGGCCACCTCACACAGCACCTTTACCTGGCCTTCATCCATTTCCGTCTCCACAGCCAACGCCCACACCTCACCCAACACCGATCTAGCCACCGCCCTCGTGTCCAAATACTCCGTGTTTAATCCCAATGTGCGGTACATTTCAACCAGGGCCATGACTACATCTGGCTCCCTGGTCTTGGTCTTGAGCAGCATTGGGAGCACCCTTTCCTTGATCAGGGCGCGGGGGAGATGCGGGAGGAGCAGGTGGATGCATTGTAGGGCCTGGGTTTTTTGCGCAAGCATGGTAGCGCGAGTATACGTCAGCTGCAGTGGAGGGAGAAGGGCGAGTAGGTGGGCGGGCGGCAAAGAGGGGGCGAGTTGGGGGATGGTGCGGAGAAGCGCGGTGCGTACGGGGTCGGCTTGGTTGGCGAGTGAGGCGCGCAAAAGTGGGTGCATTTCAGAACCACCTTGCTGCTTCTGGTTTTTGTGCTGCTTGGAGGAGGTTTGGGTGAGCTGGATGATCAGCGGTAGATTCTCCACCAGCACTGCTTGGGCTTCGGGCGGAATCCCTGGCAGCACATACAGTGGCTCCAGGGCTTTGTCCAGGGCGGCGGCCATTTCTTCCGAGTCAGCATCCTGCGGCTTCTGGTTTTCTGGGAAAACAAGGCCCTGGGCCGTGGCAACACCGCAGGCAGCGTGTATGGCAGCAGCGGGTGGTCGTTCAGATGGGCGAGCAACAGCGGCAGGATTCTGCGCCTAGTCCTCGGCGAAAACCCCGGCAAAGCCCTAGGAAAGGCGCGCAAAAAGGTGAGTTTCTGGTCGACTGGCTGCGTCGCCAAGGCGTCCAAGTACTGCAGCGTGGCGACAGCCGTTGAGGTGAAGTACGCGGTGTGCCGGAATTCCTCGAGGCAGATGCGGGTGGCCGGGGTGGGCGACAGCAGCGACTGGGTGGCTGGCTGGAGGGCGGGCGGAAGGAGGGCGGGCAGCCGCTGGGTCAGTTTCGCGAGCATCGTGGGTATGATTCGGGCGAAAGCGCGGTGGCAGTGGGGCGGAGGGGAGAGACGCCCTGCGCGTGCAGTGCGTAGATGAGGCAGCCGAGCGAGAAGAGGTCTGCGGAGGGCGTTATTGGGTGGGTGTCAGGGGCCAGGATGTATTCGGGGGCGGTGAACTCCAATTCCCGCTGGGTGTGCTCCGGCCAGTGCTGGTGCCAGACGAGCCGCTGGTCCTGGCTCTGGTCCTGGCTCTGGTGCTGGTTCTGGTGCTGCTGCTGCTGCTGGGCGGCTGTGGCCGCGCGGTGGGCAAGCCGAGCCCGGCCAGCTTCCAGTCGCCCTGCGAGCCGACCAGGACGCATTCGGGCGTCAGGTTGCCGTGCACCAGGCCGGCCTCATGCAGAAAGCCCAGCGCGCGGCACACCTGCAGCAGGCCGCGCGGCAGCTCAACGTCATCCAGGTTGTCCTGCAGCAAAAGCGCGTGCAGTGTGGATACGCGCTCGGTGACAAACATCAGGTGCGACCGCGTCTCCTCTAGCGGCTCCATCACCTGAACAATGCCTGGGTGTCGCAGCCGCGCGAGCTGCGATACTTCCTGCCGCAGCCTGGCTAGGATACCTGTGTGTGCTTGGGCGCTGAGCGTGTGGCGGTTGATTGGTTGTGTGAAAAAGTCCTTGGAGAATATCCAGAGCGTCGCCGGCTGGTTGGTCTGCTTGCGCGTGGCTGCTTGGAGCGTCCAGAGCCCCGCTTGGCTTTGCGGCGTTGTGGTGCTGTGCTGTATGCCTGGCTGAGCTTGCTGACCTGCAGCGTGGACGACGCGAGGTCGCGCAATTTGCTGAGGTACGTGTCCATTCTGGTAGTAAATGCAAAGAGGAATTAGGCTGAATTTTCGACAAATAAAATAAAATAATGTGAGGAGAGATTACATTTGCTCAGGTCAACGTCGAGGTCGAGGTCGAGGTCATCGTCGCCCCAACCGTGCTCCTCCTCGCTTTCTTCATGCCAACGGTCTGCCTCCTTTTTATGGTGATGGCCCGTCTGCGGTGATCCTGGGCGATCAGGATCATCCAAGTCAAGTCAAAGTCCAAGTCAACCTCATCGCCCCATCCTGCGTCAACAATGTCAACGGCGTCAACAGTGTCACGGCGTCAACAGTGTCAACAGCGTCAATAGCCTTGTCCTTCAGGCCGCTGCTGCCGCCGCCGCCGCTGCCGCCGCCGCCAATAACCTCGTCCATCTGGCGGACCCACAAATCCAGCTCCTCGACGAACCAAAACCCACGCGGCACGCGCAAAAAGCCAGCACACCACTCCATGGCCACTTCATCCAACCCAACATTTCTCAAGTCCCGGACAACCTTCCGCACAACAACCGGTACGCCTCCCATCGCATTCAGCACCGTCTCACAGCCGCCACCACCACTGACAGAGCCATTTCCCGCATCCTTAAAGCCAAAAACCGTGTGGCGGAGAGAATCAAGCAGCTGGGCGGAGGCGAGACAAGCTGGGACGAGGTTTCCACGGATAATGGCCAAGTGCAGCAGCCGATCCGAGAACACCGCCTCGGGAAGCACGTGGAGTACGGGCGCGGCCGTGGGTTCGGCCCAGTCAGGGACAGGGAAGAGCAAGCCAAGGGTGGCCAGAGCCGGATCAGCCACAACCTCGTCCTGCTCGTCCCCCTCATTCCCTTCATTGCAAAGCAATGGTGGGAAGACGAGCTCGCCAACCGCACGCGTAAACACACCAGGATTCAGCACAATAACCGCCGCCAGCGAGTCAATGCGTCCCAGGGCAATTCCGCGACAAAGCAGCCGCGCCCACAGCCGGTCACGCTCCGGCCACTGCGGCGCCACAAGCAGCATTTGGGCTAGCGCCGCCATCTGCTCTTCGCCAGATGCGGCCGCCAGCAGATCCTCCGCCCACACTTTGGCGGACACTTCGGGGATTGGTTTGGCCCAGAGCTTTTCGGCCACCAGGCGCATCTCCAGCTGGTCCAGGCCATCACTGGAGGCGGAGCCGTTGAAGAACCGGCGGTACACTGCGAGGAGCGCTAGTTGGTCGGCCTTCGAACCGGGGGCTGGGCTGCGGATATGCAGTGCGTGGAGCAGGACAGGTTGGATTCCGCTGCGCAGCTCAGCCAACGCGCGGCCCAGCGGCGTATCCGGGCCGAAGCCGCAGTCAGCCAACGCCAGCGCACGCTCCACCGCCCCTGCACACCCCAGGGCGTCCTTGTACAAGGCACTAAGCCCATCTACCCTTGTGCCGTCCCATCGCTGCACAAGACCGGCGGCCATCACATACGCTGTGCAGACGAAATACGCCATTGCCTCGTCACTCTCATCGTCGCCCTCATCCGTGATCATCCGCAGGAGCCTCGGCCGCAGGTGAGCCGCCCATAGGTCGTTTCCAGAGCTCTTCGAGCCAACGTCGGCCGGCAGCCGGTCGAACGCGTCGAGCGCCGTGGCCGGCATACTGCCGAACGCGAATGGGTCGCGCACCTGCGCCAGTTCGGCGAGGAACTCAACGAACAAGTAAGCATGGCTTTCTGGCGCCACTACCCGCGCAACCGCCGACATCCGCGCCTCCAGCGGAAGCACCATGGGGTCTGGCAGTGCAAAGGCCAGAATGTCGCCGAGCACTTGTGCGTCCGCGCCGGTCAACTGCGTGGATGGCTGGGCCAATAGATTGAGGAAATCGCCGGTGCGCCTTGGGTCCAGCAGAAGCCGACGCAGGGCGCGCAGAAACAGGGCGCTGGAGAGCGACTCGGGCGACCAGCTGCAGGGCGCCCGGTCGGCTGCTTCCGGGTCGATTGGCGCCGGCATCTGGCGCAGACGCGCGAGCGACGCTATTGCGCTCTCGTCGGCGGCTATTTCGCTCAGCGCCTCGGGCGTCCGCGCAACATCGTCCCAGCCACCGAAAAGCACGGCGGCGACAATGGCGTCGAGCCCAGCTGCGCGCAGGCACGCGATATTGCGCAGATCATGGGCAGCCAGCTGTGCGCGGAGCTCCGCCTGCTCCGCCACTTGGTCGACCTGCTCCGTTTGCTCGGCAGGCATGTGGCGGAGCGCGCGTGCGTAGAACGCGTAGAAGGCAGCGCTCGCCGCGCGGTTCGTCTGGTCGATCTGCGGCCAGACGCGGGACTCCAGCATGCCGAGTGCCTGCGGTGCGTGCGCGGTGATGATTTCGTTCTCGAGTGCTTGGCAGAAGGCCGAGTCTGCGGCTGTGCGCGGCTCCTTGGCGGTGGTCAGGGCAAAGTCCAGCCATTCCAGCAGAAGAAGCGTCCGTTGGCGTTTGTTGTGGGGCTTTTGCACGTGCAGGTAGCGGCGCAGGATGGCAGAGTCAAACGTGCGTATGCATTCGAGGTCCTCCCCCTCCCCCTCGTTCACAGTGGTGCCGTCTGCTGCGGAATCCGGCGTGGTGCTGATGGGGCCGAGCAGCGCCAGACGGACAGCGTCCAGTGCAGCTGAGGGTTCAAGCAGCGGTGTGGGTGGGGGGCGGTCAGCCTTAAGAGCTCAGCGATCCTGTCGCTGTCGCACACAGCCAGTGCCAGCGCTAGGCACTCCTCCCTCTGCTGCACCTGCTGCGGCTGCTGCATCCGCAGGCCCACTTTTACGGCGATGTCGCAGACCAGCGCGACCAGCCGACTGGCTAGTCCATCTGCGTCTGCCTCTTCCTTCTCTTCCCTGTGCGTCTGCCGTGCCGCAACCATAACCGCACGGGCCGCGGCCAATGACCGCACAAACTCATACGCAGCATCCGTGTCAGCAGCATTCAAGGCTGCATCGGCCATCTGCGCGCACAGCACAGCCTGGCCGAGGGACACAATGCGCGAATCACCACCGGTGGTGCTGGTGTTTTGGGGCTCCATTATCAGCGCATTGTGGATTTGCCGCAGGATCCGTGGCCGCCGGTACGCTGCCGGGTACTGCCGAAGTACCAGCGCAGTGGCCGCGTATGCGTCGCCCTGGAGCTCCGATGCGCACACGCCCGGGCCGCTGCCATCCGAGGCTGCTGCGGGGAGCGTCGCGACCAGCTGTGCGGCGGTCAGCCAGCCGAGCAGTCGCCGGACATCAGGGTAGTCGCGGTACTGCATGGGCAGCTCCGTATTGAGAACCGCCCGGGCGCGCTGCAGCATAGACTGCGCCGAATCGCCATTGCCAACGGTGCTGCTTAGCGGTGGAGCCTGGCAGATCAAGTCGTGGGCGGCTTGGACATATGCATCGCGCTCGTACTCGGGGCCTTCGAACCGCGGCTGCGCGTCCAAGAGATCTCGTGCCTCGTGCATGGCACCCTGGTACAAGAGCTCGCGGAGGTACTGCTGCTTGATCCGATCCACAGAGATGTCGAAGACGCCGAGGGAGCGGAGACGCTGGAGCATGCGCCAGAGCGATATTTGCAGATTGTCTTGAGCCAATGCTGCTTGGATTATGGTGCTGAGCACAATGGGTTGTTGCGAGGGGCTGAGCTGGAGCGAAATGAGGTCGGGGGTGGTCAGCTGGTGGTTGACCTGCTGCGTGAGATGCTCGGCTGTGCGCAGTGCCGAGGCCGCCATTTGCAGCGCATGGAGGTCCGCTGAGGAAAGCGCAAGGAGCGTCTGGACGAGCGACGCTGGTGAGCCGGGGTGTGCGCAAGCGGACAGGATCTCAGCCGGCAGCCGCACTGAGCCCCCAAACTGCCCCTCCTCCCCCTCCCCCTTCTCATCCCGATACTGCAGAGCTTCTGTGGGTGAGTCCTTGGCAGTGATTCCGTAGATCAGCTGCGCGGCCAGTCTTACCGGGTCGCCGAGGCTCTGGGGCCACCGGTCGACCACCATCCGCAAGCACTCTGCGTATCTACCCAGGTGCACGTGAGTTTCCCACCACTCATTCCACCGCCCACCACCGAGCCAATACTTGTTCTCGACCAGTGCCTGCACACACATGCTATTTCTGCTTTCAATAGTCCAGCGGATAAACTCCGCGTCGGTCATTTCGCGCGCCTCCCTAAGCGACAACCCACCGGCGGCAGCGGACTGCTCCAAGACACGCGCCCGGCCCAGCATCTGCTCAACCTGAACCCGAAGCTCCTCCGGCAGCAGACTCATAAGATCATCTGCGGCTTCAAGACATTCCACGGCCCAGTCCAGCCGCCCGGTGTATTCATCGATATGCTGCGCGCGCGTAATGCACGCCAATGCCCATTGCTCCTGGGTGACCTTGTGCTGCTGGTGCTGAGAGGTATTGTGTTGTTGTAATAGTGCTTTGAGCAGGGCTTTGCTCGATAGACATTCGGCGGCATTCAGAAAAACACTCACTGTGTCGAGGTTACCGAGAAGGTCGGCTTGGTGATGCAGTAAGGCGCTGAGGGCTGCCACGGTTGTGCAGGACGACACACGTAGTAGCTGAGCAGCGGCCGGGTCCATCTCTTTCAAAAACGAAAAAATTAAAGTAAAAATGAATGAATGAATGAATGAAAAAAAGAGTAGTTTTAATTAATTTTTATTTGGAAACGAATAAATTAAACTTTAAGAAAGTGACGAATTGAAAACAAGAAACAAGAAACAAGGAAAATGAGAAAAAGAATACATCGGATACAACTAGGGAAAATGTTCATACTGCGTTTATAAAAAAAATTGGGTTTCTTTTCAACCGCCTATTTTTTCTTTCATTTTTTTACGATAGGAAAAATGGGTGCCGACCAGCGACAATATCAGCCATCTCCTGCCTGCTGCCGCCGCCCTTAGCGGCACCAGCACCAGCACCAGCACCAGCACTAGAAACAGTCTTGGCATCCAGCAGCTGTTGTGCGTCACCCTCACACTCCATCGGACTCGCATTTTCCGACCCTGACATTGACGACAAAGACTCTGGGCTAGTGCACAGCTCGGGCACCCTCTCCGTCTTGCGGCCATACTCTGTCAACTGCGCAATCAACGATAGATTCGGGCTAATGCAGGGCGCCCTCAGTCTGACATACTCGTAGGCCTGCGGAAACCCCAGTGCCATTGTGCGCATAACATAGGCGATAACCAAGGATGCCGACCTCGATACGCCCAGCTGGCAATGTACCAAGACTCCGCGGTGGGCGTTTCTCGCCTCATCGATAAACGCGAAACACTCGTCAAAGTACCGCTCCAATACTGCTTCGTTATGGTCCCAGGCAAAATGCCGGCATTCCATATTGCAGTCCTGTGCTTGCGCTACTTCGCGAGCCACATTCAGAATATGCGTGACCCCGAGGGCCTGCAAAGTCGAGGGGATGGCGTTGTCTTCGCCGCCCAAGTACAGGTACGGCATGATGAGCTGTGGCCCGTTGCGGTAGGTTTTGGCCGCACGCCGTGCCAGGCCAATGTCATCTGCCTTGGGCTGCAGGCTGAGCGGCCGGGTCATCGATAACCCGCCCATGGTTACCTGGAGCGGCGTCTGTGGTATGCGCTCCAGGCTTGTGCTGAGCGGCCGCAAGTTGCTCATGTTTAGGTTCAGCCCCCCAACGCTGCTGGTGCTGGTGCTTCTGGCGCTGGCGCTGTTGTTGCCGGTCCCCGTTGCTGCTGCCATGGGTGCCAGAAGACCCATGGCCGGAACCACTCTGCGCTTACTCAGCTGCCGTAGCGGCAATGCCAATGGCTGTATGGATGTCTTGCTTGTGCTCATGTTGGGCGCCGTCGAAGACCTCTGTAGCTGCTGTCTGTTCGGCGTAGCAGCTGTTGTAATTGTAGAGCCCAGCATCCCAAAAAAGAAGACGACGAAAAAGACAAGCGATATGTGTAGAGAGAGCGAGAGAGAGAGAGAGAAAAAACAAGGCGAAATATAGTGTGCAAAAAAGTATTATAGTACAAGAAAACAAAAAAAGAAAAAAGAGAATGATAATGATAATGAAAATAGAAAATAGAAGAAAACCCCCGACAGACGACAGAAGAATATTAAATGTGAAAAAGAAAGAAAAAATACTTTTTTTGTGGAAAGAAGAAACAAAAATAGATGAAAATGTAAAATAAGGTATTTTTTTACATTTTTCTCTCACAGAAAAACACGCGCGCTTTCGCTCAATCACCTTTTGCTTTATAGACAAAAAAAGATATAAATAGGATTTATTTTTGAAAAATAAACCACCCAACCAGCAAAGAAGCCCGCATTATTTTTTACCTTTTAGCATGTTCTACTCTTGTGTTCCTCTTCCTTCCTCCCCCTGGGTTTGCTTCTCAGCCAGCTGGGAATGCAACACCACATAGTGGGCTGCTGCATTATCGCTACCCACCCTCCTCTGGCTCTGTTCTTATTTGCTCTTGGTCAATTGAATCGCATGCTCGATGTGTAATATAATTGTAATATAATATAAGCCGATTTCTTAGCAAGAAAGGCCGAATGTAATGTGAATCCAGCCCATGCAGGAGATGCACTCCACGTCCACGTTGATTCAGCTTGAAAAGGAGAGAAGAAAAACTTTAAACTTGGGGCATCCGTTTTATTTAATTCATCCCAAAAATGCACAAACAAAAATCCAACGCATCGGTTTTTATTTTTAGCAAAAGAGACGGCGAGAGAGCTTGGCGCTATCTGGAATTCTAAAAATAGCCAGGTTGAACTATTCCGCTCGTAGGCAGGCGACCAGTCTGCAGTGCGAGAGCATCGCAAAACCTATTTTAAGAGGCAAATGGCAGCAGGCATGCGTTCTCAGCCGCATCGCTGCCATTCGCTGCGCAGCTGCAAACCGCGCACAAGCCCAGGGAGGGGCCTGCGCAGTTCACCGATGGCCAGCACCTATTTCTGGCGCCAAAGCAGTAGTTAGTAGCAGAGGGCCGCCTCACGGGCTTGTATTCGTATTCCTGTTTTAAATTGGCTAAACTAGACCTAGACCTAGACCGAGACCCGGACCCGGACCCGGGCGAGACCGGCCCCCTTTAATTGCACTGCGCGCTTTGACCCGGTAGACGTACGTGTATTTGTATCGGGCAGATCCAGAAATAAAAAGCATGGCCCCGCCTCAGCGCGAGGGCCCTAAACATGGCCGGGGCGGCCTTACTCCTCCCCCGGGTTGGGCGCCTTGATCGACGCGCGCCCAGCCCGCATCACCTCGTCGACATGCAGCAGGTTCGTGGCAATGACCGCGCACGAGTGCAGCTGCTGGCGCAGCACGCGGTAGTTGTCCCAGATGCCCTCCTGCGCCGGATCCAGGACATCGCCGGTGTTCAGGTCGATGCCGGCAACATGGCCGTCGGCGACCTCCTCCTCCAGCGCCACCAGCACATCCATCGGGTCGTAGCCGCCGTTCGTGGCGATGGTCTTGGGGATCACCAGCAGCGCCTTGGCGAACGCCTTGACGCCCATCTGCGCCTTGCCGCGCACGGTGCGCAGGAACTGCGGCCGCAGCAGGTGCTGGCTGCAGGCGACCTGGAAGGCGCCGGCGCCAGGCACCAGTGCGCCGTCCTCAATGGCGTTCTTGACGGCACGCAGCCCGTCGCGTACGGCGTCCTGGATCTGCTGCAGCACGTGGCTGCTGGGGCCCTTGATCAGCAGCGTCACCGAGCGCGGGTCGCGGCAGGCCTCAATGAACGTGTACTTGTTCTCGCCCAGCACGTGCTCGTAGACCAGCCCGGCGCGGCCCAGCACGGCCGGCGACAGGTCGTCGACCGAGTTCTGCGCCGTGCCGCCGCAGCAGAGCTGCAGCCGCTCCATGTTGCGCCGCTTCGCGCGCCGGAGCGCGAAGATGCCGTTCTTCGCGAGGATGTCGAGCGACAGCGGGTCGATGCCCTTCTGGTTGATGACGGCGAAGCCGCAGTCCTTGTTGGCGCCCGTGCACACCGTGTTCTTGAGGTCGACGATCTTGCGCAGCTTGTCGTCGACGAACCGCCGCTCGGACTCGATCAGCTTGTCGCGCTGGTCGGCCGAGCTGTAGAAGAAGCTCGAGTTGACCTCGGTTTTCTCGTACTCCAGCGACGCGTTGAGCGTCAGCACGAACGCGTCCTTCAGGCGCTTGGGCATGTCGGGGTGCCTGGCGCCGTGGTCCATGACGAGCCCGCGCACGAGCCGGCTGTCGGTTGCCGTGCGGTGCTGCATCTTCATGATCTCAACCATGAAGAGGTCGATGGGCCCGCCGTCGGCTGGCCGGATCGCCAGCACGGCGTCGACAATGGCCTCGGTCATCTGGTCGGCCAGCTCGGCCTGCAGCTTCGTGCGCAGCGCCGTGCGCGCCACCGAGCAGAGCACCTCGCGGTCCATCTCCATCTTCACGCGGAACGTGTCAAGGAACCGCAGCGCCTCGGCCTTGGCCGCGTCGAATCCGTCGGTGATTACCCGTGGGTGCACGCCCTCCTCGACATACACGGCCGCCTGCTTGAGCAGCTCGCCGACCAGCAGCACCAGCCCGGTGGTGCCGTCGCCCGTGATGTCGTCCTGCGCCGTCGCCGCCCTGGCGATCATCACGGCGACCGGGTTGGTGATCTGCATCTGGCTCAGCAGCACCTTGCCGTCCTTCGTCAGCGTCAGCTGGTTGGCCCCGTCGACCAGCAGCTTGAGCGTGCCGCGTGGCGACAGGTTCGACCGCAGGACGTTCTGCAGCCCGCGCGCCGACTGGATGTTCATCGCCAGTGCGTCGCCGCGGCGGAGCACCTCGGCGTTGGGGTTTGCCATTTTGATTGCTGAGCTGGCCATCTTGTGAATTTGGTATAGAGTCCTTTTTCAATGACAAAAATATATAAAGGAGGGGGGATGGGGTGTGGATTATATGACAAGAGACAAAAGGATTATCTCGAAATTATGTGCTTAAAAAGTGGGAAGCGCGCGCGAAATTGCTTGCAGATTTGGTTGACCGCTGCTGTTGAGCGTGTTCAAAGCAAAAAAATATATAAAAAAAATAAAAACAGAACAAATAATAATAATAATAATAAAGTGCTCAGCGTAGAAGAAAAAAAAACTAAAAAGGTTCTATCATGGTCTTTGTTGCTGGTAACATTGATCCGCAGATCTGTTGATTGGATTCAGGCTTTCAAGAAAAAAAGTCGAGCGGGTAAAAAAAAATATATAAAAAACAAAAAACAAAAAACGGTTATACGCTTGATGGGCTGTGGCTTCTTGGCAGCTGCATCTGTCTCCAAGCACACTACTACCCATCTCTCTCCCCTTTTCCAAACATAAAAACAGCCCCCCCCGCCTCTCTATCTCTCCACCCCACATCTCTTAATCACATACAATGAGCTCAAGGAACCAATACGCCGACCCCGACGCCGACGAGGCCAACCACACCTTTGACGATGACATCGAGGAGACCTATGTCGAGGAGGACGATGTTGCCGATGTCGTTGGCGACGGCGAGTACAACGACGACGACGACGCCGCCATGGACTACGAGACGGCGACGACAATGAAGAGCACAGCGACGACGACGGCGAGATGAACCAAGAGGAGGGCAGCAGCCAGCAGCGCGGCGAGGTTCTCCTGGAGGACGACTCTATCCAAGGCTTTTTCCTGCACAAGGAGCCAGTCTTCTCGGTGACATCAACCAGAAGAACGAGAACCTGGCTGTGTCGGGCGGTGGCGACGACCGCGCGTACCTGTGGCGGCTCGACACCGGCGATACCGTCGCTGAGCTGGACAAGCACGACGACTCGGTGAGCTCGGTCAAGTTCAGCAATGACGGCACGCTGGTTGCCTCGGGCGGCATGGACGGTAAGGTCAACGTCTACACAGTTGACAATGCCAAGCGGTGCGTGACCCTGAGGGCCCTGACGAGATCCAGTGGATCAACTGGCACCCTAAGGGCAACGTCCTGCTGGCCGGCTCCAACGACGCCTCGCTGTGGATGTGGTCTCTGCCGACAGGCGACTTTATGAACGTCTTCAACGGCCACGCGGCGCCCATCACCTGTGGCCAGTTCACCAACAGCGGCCGCAACATTGTGTCGGGTTCCGAGGACGGCTCCCTTATCATCTGGGACCCCAAGACGGCGGCCATCGTGACGCAGTTCACGTCCGACAACGAGCGCTTCCATCAGGAGGCTATCACGTCGCTGGCCATCGCCAAGGACGACCAGACTATCCTCACCGGCTCCACTGACAGCACTGCCAAGCTGGTACACATCAATGGCACCGTGCTGGGCTCCCTGGAGAACGCCACCGATCCATTGAGGCTGTCGGCCTGTGCTCGATTCTGCCGCTGGCGGCCACCGGCTCCGTTGACGGCAGCCTGAGCATCTGGGACATCAACTCGATGCGCCTGCGCACGACACTGAAGCACGATGACTCGGTTAACCGGATTATGTGGCACGAGGATTCGCCCCTGCTGACATCAGTGTCGATGGACTGCACTGTGCGCACCTGGGACACGCGTACCGGCGAGTGCGTGCGCACGTCCAGGGGCCACCAGGAGGGCATCATGGAGTTTGCCATGACCAAGGACGGCAAGATTGCCGTCACCGCCTCGGACGATGGCTGCTGCCTGGTGTTTTCGCAGCAGAAATAAATCACCCCGCTTGATTTGATTTGATTTCTTTGCTGCTGTTCGACGTGCACAGTGAAAGAGACATACCACAACCACACCACACTCGCACTGGAATGGACCGGATAGGGGGTGTGGAAAAATAAAATAAAATGTATGCGCGTGTTGAGTGGGCAATTGTAATTTATTGTACTCAGTCAACTAATGTTGCGTAGAAGAGGCCTTTTTATTTTTATTTTTCTAATTTAGAAATTTTTATACTCAACCTCCCCTCTCCACCCCCCTTTTTTGTTTTTGTAGTCCACATTCCTTAATATACACTTATATTTATTCGGCCAATTACAATACAAAACAAAAACAAAATTGGAAATCAGCCGCAATCTTTTTTATTTTTCTTTCATTGTTTATTTAAAATTTCCCTTTTCACACCTATTCTATACTTTTCTTTCTAATATTTATACAAAATGGCCGAGCAAATGTCAGTGACAGCGCTCCCCCCTCGGGCATCGCCGGCAACGCCAACAATGCCATCGGCTCGCATTACGATTTCCAGGATGCACAAACGGGAGATCTCGGCGTGCTTGCGGCCATCGCCGATGCAATGAAGTCGGACTCGCTGGCCGACCGCCTCGAGAGCCTCAAGCGTTTGAGCGTCCTCGCCTTGGCAATGGGCGAAGAGCGCACGCGCGAGGAGCTTGTTCCGTTTTTGGACGAGTCCATTGATGACGAGGACGAGCTGCTCCTGTCGCTGGCCGAGGTTCTGGGCGACTTTGTGCAGTATGTCGGCGGGCCCAAGTTGCCTACGTGCTGCTGCGGCCCCTGGAGAACCTCGCGGCGGCCGAGGAGACTGTCGTGCGGGAAAAGGTAATTTGATAATTGAAAACAACGCTGTTGAATTGCTTGCCTTATTTTTTTTACCTTGGCCAGCATCAGCTGCTTAAAAAATAGTTATTTTTCCTTCTCTCACTATTTAATTCGCTAGGCTGTCGAGTCTATCAACAAGCTCGTCGAGGTCATGGACCAGCCCCAGGTCGAGGAGTACCTCATCCCTTGCATCGCGCGGCTGTCAGCTGGCGAGTGGTTCACCAGCCGCTCGAGCGCCGCTGGCCTGTACTCGGCGGCCTACGGCAAGGTCACCGACGCCATCCAGGCCAAGCTGCGCACCGGCTTCGAGGCCCTGTGCAAGGACGAGACGCCGATGATCCGGCGCGCAGCCGCATCGAACCTCGAGAAGCTCGTCGCATGCATGAGAAGGACCACGTCATCTCGTTCGCCATCCCCAACTTCCGCCGGCTGGCCGACGACGACCAGGACTCTGTGCGCCTGCTGACGGTTGAGCCACTGGTGGCCATCACCAAGCGGCTGGACACCGAGGAGTGCAAGCAGTACCTGGGCGAGAGCGTGCACAACCTGTGCACTGACAAGTCGTGGCGCGTGCGGTACATGGTCGCTGACCACTTTGTGGCTGTCGCCAAGAACATCAAGGACCGCGGCCTGCAGGAGGGTATGGTTGAGGTGGCACTGAAGCTGATGCGCGACAACGAGGCCGAGGTGCGCGGAGCCATCTGCACGCAGCTGGACGGCCTGGCCGACCTGGCCCAGCCCGAGTCCATCGTCCAGCGGCTGACCGAGCTTCTGCAGGAGCTGGTCGAGGACCCATCGCAGCACGTGCGCGCCACGCTCGGCAAGCACATCGGGTCGCTGTGCCCCGTCTTTGGCAAGGAGGGCACCATCCAGAGCCTACTGCCCCTGCTGCTGCGGCTGCTCAAGGACTCGTTCCCCGAAGTGCGCCTCAACATTATCTCCAAGCTGGACGTCGTTGACAGCGTCGTGGGCATGACAGCCTGTCGCGGTCCCTGCTGCCGGCCATCGTCGAGCTGGCCGAGGACAAGCAGTGGCGTGTTCGCCTGGCGATCATCGAGTACGTGCCGCTGATTGCATCGCAGCTCGGGTACAGTTCTTTGACGAGCAGCTGTCGAACCTGTGCATGTCGTGGCTCGGCGACCCGGTCTACTCGATCAGAGAGGCGGCGACGGTCAACCTGAAGAAGCTGACTGAGGTGTTTGGCGTCGACTGGGCGCGCGCCACGATCATCCCCAAGATCCTGGCCATGGCCACGCACCCGAACTACCTGTACCGCATGACGACCATCTTTGCCATCACGACGATCGCGCCCTCGGTGACCGCTGAGATTGTGCGCGACCTGATCCTGCCTGCCCTCGAGGGCCTGGTCAACGACCCCATCCCCAACATCCGCTTCAATGTTGCCAAGAGCCTGGAACCCTGACGGCTGCGCTGCGCAAGAACCCGACACCGCGCCGCTGGAGGGCTTGGTCATCAGGCCGACTCTGGCTCGCCTGGAGAGGACCCCGACCCAGATGTCCGCTACTTTGCCCACCGCTCGCTGCTGGCCATCAACTCTGCCGCTGCCGTCTAAACCTTTTTTTCTTTCTTTCTTTCTTTCCATTTTTCTTTTACACCATTATCTTTTTCCAGGTGCTTTAAACAAAAACAAGCACTTTATTCAAAACAAGTATCCATTATCTAAATAAAAAATTAAAAATAAAAAGGTCAATTAAACATTTACTGCCTGTTTGCCATAGTTGGAGAAGGCATGATCATATTTAGTGAGAGTGGAGCAGGAAAATAAAATTAAAAAAATTAACCGCAAGTATATTTGAATATTTCTCTGTACCAGCATTAATATTAATATTGCCAATATCAACATCATCTTATCCTTAAATAAAAAATAAAATAAATATGGATACTAGAAACGTCGACCCGCTGCCCACACACCTGTCCGGCGACTTTGCGCACCTGTCCTCCTGCCGCGACATTGACCAGTGCTACGAGCGGCTGAACAAAATCGAAGAAGGCACCTACGGCATAGTCTACCGCGCGCGCGACCTTCACACAAACGAAATTGTCGCCCTAAAGCATCTCAAACTCACACAAGAGCGCAATGGGTTCCCAATAACCTCTCTCCGCGAAATCCACACCCTCCTTTTGGCCAAGCACCCAACATCATCAATGTGCGGGAGATCTCCGTCGGCCGCTCACTCAACAGCATCTACATTGTGATGGACTAATGGAACATGACCTGCGCACACTGATGGAATCAATGGGGCCGGCGGCCAGGTTTCAGCCATCCGAGGTCAAGTCGCTGATGCTTCAGCTGTGTAGTGCGGTGGCGCATTTGCACGCTAATTGGATTGTGCACAGAGACTGAAGACGTCCAACCTGCTGATGGCTAATGGCGGCGCCCTGCGGGTGGCTGACTTTGGGCTTGCGCGCAAATACAGCAGTCCCCTGGGCCATATGACCGGTCTCGTCGTCACCCTGTGGTACCGCGCACCTGAACTTTTGCTTGGCGCAAAGGGGTACTCGACCGCAGTTGACATGTGGTCCCTGGGCTGCATTTTTGCCGAGCTCTTTGTGCACAAGCCGTTTTGGCAGGGCCGAGGCGAAATCGACCAGATCGGCAAGATCTTTGCCGCCATCGGTGTGCCCACGCAGGAGTCATGGCCGGGGTTCGATTCGTTGCCAAACGCCAAGATGTTTAGGTTTTCGCAGCGCCCGGATTCGGACTCCCAGTATGGCTTGACTAGTCGGCTACGTGGATGTGCTGGTGTCACTGGGAGTGCCCTTGATTTGATGCGCCGCATGCTGACGCTTGACCCTCGGCAGCGCATTACGGCCGAGGAGGCAATCAACCATCCGTATTTTGCAGAGGTGCCGCCACCCAAGCACCCGAGCATGTTTCCCACTTGGCCGTCCAAGGCGTCGTCCTGATAAAAGCAAACCAAAAGTAAATTAAATAATAATGTTTGATTGCGTGTACTCGTCACGTGTGGAATACACTGTGGAAATCCCCCATATCTGGGTTTCAATGCCCGTCGATCGGCCGCCAAGTACAAATTGAAAGCGCCGTGAGCGCGCCGCACCCACTTTTTTTGAGGGGGTTTTGGCCCCTTGTAGACGACAGCGCCTGCGCGTGGGCTAAACTTCAATTTCAATTTGAACTAATTAGCTCGGGGTAAAGTCCGGGAAAAGTCCTTGAGTCCCTTGCTGGGGGCCCTGCGAACAGCGGGGCGGGAGTGACCAGAAACTTGGCCGCTTTTAAGCACCAGGAAAGACGGCAGAGTGGGGGTTTCGGCCCTGTCTTTTTGTCTTTCTCGGCAGTCGAAGCCTTTTCTTTCTCTTGTAGGAAGGAATAAAGCTGATGCTGAAGCTGGGCAAAAAAAAGAGGGTTGCGAAGTGGATTTGCAGGGTGGGGTTGGGTTTTTAACACTCCCTTTTCCTTCTGTCTTTCTTTTCTCCCTTTTGATTTTGTTGGGAAGGTGCTTTTCTGCGACATGGAATTATCGCTCCCTGACGGTCGACTTTAGATGCAGTGCAATGCGCAGGGTATCGGTGCGCCACAGGGCTCGCTTATTCGTCCTACGGGATGGAGAAGTGGGCTTTTTGGTGATGCCGGTATTTACTCAATCCGGATTACGCTGAACAGAGTGTCGGAGAGGAGAGAATCCCTCAGTGGGTTTTCTCCTATTCCGGCATGCGTCTACCACCCACCCACCCAAACAATAATAAAACACAACAAACTAAAGAAAAAACTACAGGCCACATGCTGTCAAGTATGTGCCGAAAACCGTAGCGTTTTCGTTCAAAGCTGCCACCGCGAAAAATATATGACTATTCAAATGTCGAATAAACGGATTGACGACGGCGACAGGCAACCACTAGTTTTTTATAAATGTTTTTTATTTCCTTTATTTGCTATGCTTAATTGGAATAAATAAATAAAAAATTATTTTTCACTTGTACTTTTTGCGCAGCTCCTCCATGTCCTTCCACACTGGCTCGACATCCACCGGCAAACTCTTCATCCTCTCCAGGGCAGCCTTAACCTCGGGCGCCAGTACGCCATACTCCTCCTTAAACAGCACGGCCCTTTCCTTGCTGCCGTCGCCCTGAATAAGCATTATTTCTTTAGTCAGTGCCTCGACAGCGCCCACCATCCGACCAACATCAACCTCGAACCTGCCAGCACTATGCACAAAGGCGCCCTTCGCCATCAGGTACCCCATCTGCATGGCCTGGCCCAATCCGTGCGCCTCAGCCAGCCCGAAGCGGATAGATCTGAATGACGAGGCTAGATACGTCGTGTAGAACTGCTTCAGCGTGATATCATCGATAATACCCCGGTCAATGAGCAGCTTGGCAGCAAAAAGGCCCGTGATATCAGCCTTGGCCTCCTCGAACGCCGAGTGCAGGTCTTGTAAATGACTGCGCACTGTGTCCCAGGGGAGCCCAGCACTGTGTGCGGGCCCGCGCTATGGCACACCTCGTGGTAAAGAACGTGGCCGAAAAATGCATCGAATGTCACGTCAATAAGGTCTGCTTGCGGCAGGATCAGCTGCGCGATCGGCTGCAACACACTGTGGAATTTGGCCTGCTGAACGTTCTTGATCATCGTCAGCTTCGACCCAGCTCTCGCAATGGCGTCCTCGTCATTGGGCAGGTTGAACGCGGCCACCAGGGGCGCCGACGTGTCGCCACCGTTGTACACCTGGTTGATAACCACAATGGGTGGCGGCACCAGTGATGGGTTGCGGTACTGCGCGGGAATAGGCAGGTTGTCCTCGACTAGCTGCAGGCTGGCAGTGAATTTCTCCAAGAGGCTGGTCGCAGCAAAATCGCGTACGCCCAGGATGGACTCGTAGAACGCCTTGTACGAGAAAAGCTCATCCTCATAGGTCTCGTAGGGCCCGATGGCGGCCTCCAGCGGGCTCGAGTGGTTGATCTTGAGCCAGGCGACTTCAGAATCCAAGTACTTGTTGCTGACGAATGACTGGCTGCGCAAGCGCAGGAACTGCGCAAAGCTCTTGTCGCTCACAAGATCCGCCGCCTCGCGCATCAGCGCGGAGGCCGGTACAAGGTACTTGGCGTAGGCATCGGCGTACGTGACCAGCGCCAATTGCCCGTCCTCCTGGCGCACAATAATTCGTAGAATCCCTTGGCGCGCTTGCGCTCATCGGAGCTCAGTGTGGTGATCCACTGGGTGAACTCCTCGGCAGTCATGTCCTCCGGATACACGTTGGCGCCCTTGGGCTTGCTGCCAACCGTGGCAATAAAGGGCTCGTTGTCGCGGCTGCGGTCCCACGGCCCGCGCAGCAGTTCAAAGAGCCGGAGCTCCTGGAGGGCTGTCTGGTTCTTTGGCGCGTCCGACTGCAGCTGCTTGCGCAGTGCGGGCGCGTTGGCCCAGATCTGCTGGTAGTACACGTTGGTGAGCAAATCCGAAGTGTCAGCCAGCTTGACTAACGCGCGCTTGTCGCCGTCTGTCAGATGCGAGAGGTCGGCGCGAAGCTCCGTGGTCTTGTAGTCAGCCAGGCGCTGGCTGATGCTCGGGCCCAAAGTGCTGGCGGTGGCGGCGCCGGCCGTGGTTGAAGACATGGTGCGGGAGAGCAACAGTGAAGTGGCCAGAGAGAGGGTTGTGATGAGTTGTTTTCCGCCAGTGAGAATTGGCGAGTATGTAGCAAGATTGTAAAACAGCATTTAAATTCGAGGGGGGGGGGAAAGGAAAAAGGAAAAAGGTCGTCAACGGAGGGGAAAAAAGAAAAACAATGGCAAGGATAAAAAGTTACCAGCTATTGATTGTGTGATGACGCAACAAGCAAGAAAGTAACCAGCCACCTCGCACTACAATTTTTTATTGGTCAATTATAGCAACCATTTACTCGGAACCAAAGAGCAGCGACTCGTCAGACATGGGCGTAGAGATATTGCTGCTAGCAGTCAAAGTGGCAGCGGCCACAGCGGCAGACCCAGGTGCAGACGCAGATCCTGTCAGCGGCGATGACTGTGCGGAAAAAGTATTCGGGCCAACGTACATCGAGCGGCGATAGCCGCCAGCTGCTGCTGCAATCCGCGGGGACGCAGCCTCAAGTGTGTTCAGACTCAGTGACGACGGCGGGCTGTCCAGCCCGTCCATCACGGACCCTTGCATCTGGTCTTGCTGCTGCTGGTCGTTATAGTTGCCGTTTCCAGCGGAGCAAATGGCAAGCCCAAAGCAGTCATCTGCAGGGCTGAAACAGTGGCGCGGTGGCAGTGGCGGGCGCTGGAACACAGCCAGCGGCAGGTAGTCCGACTCCGTCCCTGACTCCAACTCCAACTCCAGTCCCAGCTCTGGCTCTGGCTCTGGCTCGGGTTCCGATTCTGGCTCTGAGCTGGTGACTTCGGCACGGGGCGTGAGCCGCGGACTGAATCGCACACGTGATGCCAGGCTGCTGGACACCACACTGTCGTTGTCGTTGTCGTCGCTGCAGCTGAAATCATCGGTTGTCGGGAAGGGGCGCTGTCCCAGATAATGCTGTCCATGCTGCTGCTGGTCCAGGCCGCGAGTCGGCTCCGAGATAGCACGTGTCTTGATGGACTTTGCTTTGCTGGGATCGATTACGCGGATGGTCTCCAGAAGCCTGCGCTCCTCGGGGAACCGCACGCTCTTCTTTGAAATCAGCCCTGTCGCTGTCGCGGCACCTGCGGCCGATACAGTCATCCGACGAGGCGGCTGCCACGACGACGCAGGCATAGCGGCAGCATCGCCCTCGGCAAATCGCATGTCGCTGTTGTTGGTGCTGCCGGAAATCGCTGCAGCCGCCAGTGTTACCGAGGATTCAGGCAGCATTTGCATGCGCGTCGGCGCCTCGCGCTTTGTCCGGCCAGCCTTGAGAATACCGCCGCGGCGACTGGCCTGCGGCGTCAGCAGCTGCGATGCCCGCGACTGCTCAGCAGCAGGCAATACTGCCCTGCGCGCCGCGAGGGCGCTTGCCCGGGATGGACCAGCTAGGCTGGGCCTTAGAGTCGCCACCGCAGCAGCAGCAGAGGCGGGGCAGCGGCATAGGTGGGTGTGTGGCAAGACTGTCGCGGCGTATACCAGCAGGACGCGCCATGCGCGCCGGCGACTGGCCCAGCGACGACGTCGACGAGGCGTTGGACAGGCGCCGCGGCATCGGAAGCCACTCCTGGCCGGACGCCCGCTCGGCCCTGCGACGCGTTGGACAGGCGCCGCGCCAGGCTTTCCAGCGACATGCCAGCGTCCATTGGGGCTCATGCAGCGGCATCAGCAGCAAGTCAATGGAGGTCTGGCTTCCCCCATGCGGAAAGCCTGGCAGCATAGGCACAGGCGGCACCTCTGGCTCAACGCGGCCCGCTGCTGCCGCTGCTGCCGCCGGCGCCGGCAGGCCGGCGCGCACCATGGCGCGGCGCATCTCCGACGCATCCATGCTGACCGAGCGGCGCCCTGTTCAGCGCGCGCAGTCTCGTCAGCATTCGACAGCCGCGGCATCGGCATCGGAATGGGCATCATCGGCCGCTGCTGGTGGTGTTGGCCAGCGCAGCGCGGCAGCACCAGGCTCGCAGGCGCGCGCCTCCTCGAGTCGCCTGCGGCGGCCCTCCATGACCATGTTCATCTCGGAGCTGACGCGGCGCAGGTTCCGGCGCGAGTACCCGTCGCGCGAGTTCTCGGCCGTGTTCTGGATCAGCGTCGCCGCCTCGATGGTCTCCAGCAGCATGGATTTCTTCTGCAGCAGCGCCTGCACATCTGTGTTGCGCCGCACCTGCTGCGCCTGCTGCGTGCGCGCGTCAACCTCGGCCTGCTCGCGCTCAATGTCCGCCGCGCCGTCAAACGCAAACCCGTCGTCATGTCGTCGGTCGTCGACGCGCGCACGCCGGCACTGGCGGCAGGGCTCCGCCGGCGGCGGCAGCGGGGCGGACGGCCGCCGGGGCAGCGGCTGCAGGTACGAGAACGGCCGGCGGCGCGGCGCAACCACCGTCGACCCGTTCTCGGTGACGCCGACAGCCAGCGTCAACGACATGGTCGACGTCGCTGGGCAGTCGGGAAGTTCGGCGACATGGACTTGTCCAGAAACGTCCAGTCGTCGAACGCGTCGTTGTCGTCAAGCTGCGGGCTGCTGGCAACAGCCACGGCCAGCTGGCGCGCGCGCCTGGCCTGCTTGGAAGCCTTGGTGTCGGCGTTGCGCATCCAGCCGCTCAGCCGCCGCAGAACGCTGCCGCTGCCGCTTCCAGTGCTTGCGCTGTCGCCCAGCGACATCTGTGACGCGTTTTTGTCGGCGAGATAAGCAGCGGATGCGACGGCGAACTGTGCGCGCGCAGGTTCAGCGGGAACGGGATCGTCGGCGCCTTGCGCAGCTTGGTCATCAGCGACATTGTGCGCTGGCCGTTTGCCGCAGACAACCCGGGCTCTTCTGGGCAAGCGTCGGCACTAGCGTCGGCACTAGCGCGGCCAGCGCGCTAGCGTCGGTCGGCATCCGCAGTGTCGGCATCAGCAGCAGCATCAGCCACGCTCTCGCTCTGCTGCCGGGGCAGCATTGCGGCCTCTGCTGCGCCGGCGACAGCAGCGCGTCGGCCTGCGCCATCGAGAACAGGTGCAGCGCGTCGTTAGTCTCTGCCTCGGGCACATCGCTGTGAGCCACGGGCAGCGGCAACAAGCCGCGCCCATCATCGCGGCCGAGCTTGGCGACAGCGACCCCGACGCGCCCACCGCAGCGACCTCGGCCACCGCTGCCGCAGCCGTTGTAAAGTGCGCGTCGCTGCGGCGTGGAGGCGCGCGCGGCGATGTTGCCCAGCCGCGGCCTTCGCTGCGCCTGCGCCGGCCAGCAGGCCGCAGCGACCCGGTCAGGGCCGAGACGTCTCCCAGATTATCCTCGCTCTCACGGCCGCTGGCGCTGGCGTCGTCTTTCGATGTGCCGCGCTTGGCTTTGCTCAGCTGCGCCTCGAGCGCGCGGATGCGCTGTGCCTGCGCCTGCGCCAGCAGCCGGAAGGACTCGGCACGCACCGTCACCCACACTACCACGCTGCCCGTGTCGGCCAGCGCCCCCGATGCGCCCAGCCTGTCGATCACGCACAGCTCAAAGTCGTGCGACGCGCCCTTCGCCCACTCCATCGCGTGGTGCTGCCTGTACAGGCCGCCGCCGCCGGGCTGCGGAGAGGCACTGGCACTGGCACTGGCACTGGCTGGCGCCAGATGCACGCTGACCATATGTGGCATGCCAGTGTCGGACCCTCGACGCAGCTGAGCGACGCGTAGAGCGCGGACTGGCCATCCCGGTTGCGCGCGCGCTTTGCTTCAATCTGCCACACAAGGCCGTGGGCGGAGAAGGGCTCGCCGGCCACGCGCAGATGCCCGCGCTTGCGGCCAAGTCCATAACCCTGGGCACAACCAGCGCCGCCTCGCTGCTCGGCGGCTGTACGTGGTCCAGCATCGTCCGGGCCTTGGGCAGCGGCTGGTCCCAGTTGTCCGGCCGCGCCTCGGTGGCGGCCGCCAGAAGGTCGACAAAGCGGCCGCGCTCGGCGACGGCCTGGGCCTGCGGAAACTCCTCAATCATCTTCTGCACGAGCTCCACAGCCTCGTCAATGTGCTCGCGCCACAGCGTGCAGGCCTTGATCCCGCTGAGCAGGGCAATCTCAGCCACGTTGAACTGCATGCCGATGTGGTCTCCGTCCGTCTTCGCCTGCTCCTCGATCAGCTCTTGCGCCATCTCGTATGTGTCGTTGAGCAGCGTGCGCTCAGAGTCCAGCAGCGTGTGTCTTTGGCGGGTCTCCGCCAGCCGGTCCATGAGCTCCAGCTGCATTTCCTCGATGGCCTCAAATGTGTCGTCGTAGGCTGCCGAGAGCTTGACGACGATGTGGCCCTGGTGGTGTGTGCCGCTTGTTGTGCAGTGGTCGCAGATCGCCGCCGAGCAGTCCTCGCACCACATGTCGTTACGCAGGCCTGGGTGCATGCTGCAGCGCTCCGAGTACGCGTTGGCGTTGTACATGTCTGCTGCTTCCAGCTGAGGGCTGCTCGGCGCAATGCTCCGCGCGGGGACAACCGAGTACAGGCTCGCTGTGCGTGACGCCGGGTGCAGGACCAGCATGTCCTCGCTCTCCTGCTGGCCGTCGTTGGCTGTGATAATGCTGATGTCCTCTGCAATGCTGTTGTTAGTGTTGCTGCTGCTGCTGGATGGATTGTTGCCATCGCCTTCGGGTGCGCCCACCGTCATCAGCGCCACGGTCAGTGGCTCGACATTCGCCTGCATGGCGTGCACATCGATGCCGCCAACCTTGGCTCCGCCATCCTCGTGACTCTGCAAGTCAGCCAATGTGTTTGAGGACGACGAGCCCTCGGTTGACTTTGCACTGCTGTTGCCGCGCTTTCTCCTCCTCTGCTTCCTGCTACGCTTGCGCCTCACTGCGGCGCTGGCAATTGAGCTGGCAACGTCACCGTCTGCGTAGGTTCCGCTTGATTGTGCGCTAGCTGATGCTCCTGCCGATGTGCCCATAGATATGCTCGACTGACTGCTAAAGTGCACCGCTTCTGCTGCTTCTGCTGCTGCTACTGTTGAGCTGGATAATTCTTCTAAAGATGTCTGCCCGGGCGAGGTGCGCCTGCTGTTGTGTGGGGGTTGGGTGTTGAGAAAGTTAAAATCGGGGGGTGGGAATGAGAGACGGTGCCTATGTTTTGGGTTGGCTTTTGGTTTTGATTTTGGTGGTGGTAAAAATGGGGTTGCTGTTGCTTTTGGTGCTGGTAAAGACGTGTGATCGGAATGGATTTTCAGTGGCGGTGACGAAAGCAGCAACGGCCCTGCGCCGCAAACCCTCGGGCGATCGTTTGCCAGGGAGTGCGACCGGATCCGCATTACGGAATATGGGTAATGCCCACCACTGCCTCTGCCCGTGTCTCCGCTGTTGCTGTTGCTGTTGCTGTTGCTGTTGCTGTTGCTGTTGCTGTTGCTGTTGCCACCTTTGCCGAGTCCGCCACTATTATTGGTACCAATGCTGTTGATGATGCTGACCTTGGGAATTGTCCAGTCAATTTTAGACACATTGCCACCGCCCCTTATTTTCTCCTCCTCACCATAGCACTCCGTCGCGGTTGTTTGTTTGGCCGTGTCGGCGGCGCCAGTAACTGTTGCAGTCGATGTTTGCTTGACTGTGCGCCGCCTCAGGAGCTGTACGACACGGTTTGGTGTGTTTTTGCCTTGCATTGGAGGTAAACTGCTTTGTGAGGGCGGTTGTTGCGGTAATGATGTTGCATGACATGGATGGAGTTCCTGATCAGCCTGCGTCGGGCGCCCCTGCTACTGCTGCTGCTGTTGCTGCTGCTGCTGCGGTGGACATCATGCTGCAGTGGGCACAATTGCTGTTGCTGCTGCTGCATTTGTGTCGATCGCTAGCACATTCACTGCCGTCGGTACTATTGGTTGTGGTGCTGGTATTGTCGCTGGATAAGCGACCAGTAGTGCATAGGGATGCTAATGCCCTAATAAATGCAGGCGCCATGTCTGTTGCTCTATTTTATTTTTTGGGAGAAAAAAATGATTGGAACAAACAAGCAACTGGGACACCGCAATTATGTATATATAAAATTAAAAAGAGCGAGCGAAAAAATAAAATAAATAACCAACAGTGCGACAAGGCAAACTAAAAGAGAGAGGAAGGACAACTATTAAAGAGAAAAATTAGAAATGGTTTTAAAGTGAGGACACGGAAATTGTATCTAAAGATATCTTGACTAGCCCAAGTATAAACAAATTATTCGGCCTTTTGCCTCAATATTAAATGCAAAATAACAAAAGAAATAACAAGAGAACAATGATTTATAAAACAACAAGAAAACGAAATGGAAGCAAAAAAAACAATAGATGACAATAGAAAAGATCCGATGAACGATAAATGAAGAACTGAAATATATATAAAAATGAGGGATAGAGGGAAGAGGGAGAGGGGTGAGCAGAGCGCGTATGTGCGTGCGTTTCGAGATTATAAAATTGAGACCGATAAAGTGTAAAACTGACTGTTGGGTATTGTGTCCAAATGCTGGGAAAACGGGCCTCCTAGGGCGGTTGAATTAATGGCACTGCAAAACCAATTATTTGGCAACTCAATTATTTGACAACTGAATTCTTGGTATTAGTTTTCTTAAAAGGACCAGGTCCATTGAATCACAGGTGTCATTCAATTTTTCACTTTTGCATTTTTATCTTCATTGCTCTGGTTTTTTTTCTGTAGCCGGACATATATTTAGTTTTATTTATATTTCTAAAACGATCTAATGTGTTGGAAATGGAATGATAATATTGGACACCCGATACAAAACAAAATAATTTGAAATTATAAGTAAAAAAGGTGTCTGACACAATAAGCCATGCACTTTTGGATAGGATAAAATATAATAAAAGCGCGTCATTGATTTTATTTCGCCATTTGGCAAACAACGAATTAAGGCGAACAAATGAGAAATGCACTAACGCCAAAAATGAAACAAAAAAATGCAAACCCGGAAATAGAACAATGCAAGGCAGATACAAAACAACGACAACGACAACGACAATGACAACGACAACGACAACGACAATGACATCAAATGGGGGATGTGGTGGCGCCGAATAACACACAATCCCTCCTTCTTGCCGAGTAAAATAACAAAAAAAGATAGAACTAACACGTTCAAAATCTTTTGCTCAACAATTGGATGGGTCACGAGCTGGGACAATGGGTGTGCGCATCCGGGACATCGCATTGTCTGGCTGCGTTTCTTAGGAATCCGCACGCGTTCAAAGCACAAGAGGCAGCACAGTTCCACTGGCGCCAGCGCATACTGTGTCTGCTGCGTCTGCTGCATCGCTTGTGCCGGTTGGTCTGGGTTGCTGCCCGGCAGCGGCCTAAGGGATTGCTTGCAGGCATTCGGCTCCATTGAACCACGCAGACTGGGCAGGGCAGAGTGGCGCGTAACAATGCTGCGCAGTTCGTCCAGGGAAGGCATCCGGTCGTTGATATTTCCAATATCATCGTCCTCGTTGTCGCTGTCGATGCAGATAGCCGACGGAACGACGCCTGCAATAAAGTCCTCTTTGAATTCAGCCACGGGCGGCAGCGCCGGGGTGCTTCGCTTAAAGTCAGCTGTCGAGACCAGCTCGGGATCAGCAAAGCGCGGCGACCCGTGCGGGTCGCTGAGCGACACCGGCGATCGCTGTACTTCATCAGGACTCATCAACGAGCGGCCACCGTCTGCAACTGAATGGTCCAAGCTGACCTTTTCCAGGATCTCCTCGAGCGGCAGGTTGTTGGCGCCCTTGCTGACTGCCGTGTTCTGCAACATGATGGTGTTGTTCAAGCTGCTTTTTTTCTTGATGCTGCTGTTCAGCCGCAGCTGCCGCCGGGACAAGATGGTTACCGAGTAGCTTGATGGCCTAGTTGGGGAGAGTGCAGCGCCGGGCCGCGGTGTTGATGGGAGACGCGGCTGCGAGAGTCTGCGGCGGCGCGGCTGGAGTGTTACCAGGGCGTCGGCTGGGTTGAGGGTCACGCCGAGGCCGATTATTGGTCGCGCGCGCGGGCCTCCCAGACCGCTGTTGTTCCCTGTGGTGCTGCCATTACTGACTATCGAGTTTCTCTGCGGGGGCAGTATGGAGCTGATGCCTATGGCCATGCTGCGCCGCTTGGGCTTGATAGCGGCCAATCCGTTTGCCTGCTTGGCAACAGCACTGCTGCTTCTGATGCTGCTGTTGCTCCCGTTTTCTTGGTGCACAAAGTTCTTTGGCCGCGGCGCCACTACTGCCCCAACGGCTGCACGCGTTTAGTAGGTTTTGTTTCCTCCTCCTTTATCGGCTCTTGCTGGTTGAGAATAGGCATGCTTCCATTGACAGTGACCACGCGCCGCGGCTGGGCCAGTGCGAACCGCGGATGGCCAAATGCCGGATAGTACACACCGCCATTTCCCAAAGTGCGCGTCTCGCCGCCGATGCGAATATTGGGCGGTGAGATTATGTCGTTGGCAATCTGCGAGCGCGGTCTCACTGAATCCCTCGTCGTGGTTCGTTGGAGTTGGAAGGGCGATGAGGCTGATATCGGTACTAGTGTTCGTGACGTGAATGCTGCTGTGGCAAAGGAAGTACGCGTGAGTGCTCGCTGCTCATGCTGGCCCTGGTGCTAAGACTGCTTTCGCGTCTGTGCTTGTAGGAGGCTGTACTCGTGTGTTTGGGCATTGTCGTACCAAAGCCGTGATAGTCGGTCTGCGCTCGTTCCGGGAGGTCTCGCGCTGTAAAAAGGCCGACGTTCATAAATTAAAAAACCCCTCTTAATTTTATTAAAGATAAAATTATTAGTAAAGTGTGTAAAAAGAATAATCAGGGAAAAACAAAAAGTATCTCTATATTTTACACAAATAAAAGGGTAAAAACATAAATACGGTTTGAGTTTGCTTTGGTAAGGAAGGAGAAACCATCCCTTGGCCCGAATTTGGTTAGCAGTTCATGCCCGTTGGCCTTTTGTTTCCAGGTTGCAATATAGTGCTAAGACAATAGCTGTGCGCTTTGAACTTTAACAGCATAAAAATAAGAAATAAAGCACCTTAAATGGGGTTTTCTTAAAAGCAACAAACAATGGTCAAATAATTTGGTGTCATTATCTTTTTCGGATTGATTTCGAATTACCAATTGAAAAACGGCCACCCTTTTCCGTATATCGCAGTAGGTCGACAATTTTCATTTACTGCGCTACTTGTTTGCGGCTGCGTTTTCCTTTTATTTTGTAATAAAGTTGCCGCGCGTTAATTAATCTATTATATTGCAATGCCGCTTGATCAATATAACATATTGAGGTGTTGGTGCGCACTGCAACAGCATTGAATGGCATTAATATTGTCCATTTACAAAAAAGGAAACCTGTTTGCCTATCTCAGTTATCTGGCTGCCACTGTGAAAATAGGCTGATTTGATTAGCGCTTGTCACGTATACGCTATTGCTGTTGATCAGCCACACTTGTGAATTTTTAGTTTTCAATTTGTTTTTGAGGATTGAATAGGCAATTCATCTCCGAGCAAGCATCGTCAAAGCGCACTAATCCTCATTAAATTTGTGATTTGAAAAGAGCAAAGACAAAAAAACGCGTTTTCCTTATGCTTTTTCAGGAACTGTGAGAAAATATCGCACGGTTGGTTAAGAATTACGCAATTCTGAGTTCATACTCTGCCACCAAATATACCGGTTATATCCTCGCTCCTTCATGCATGATAATTGAGTGGTATTTTTTGTAGTTATTCAAGTGGGGGGAGAGAGATAATGCAGGACTATGAAACAAGACATTACATAACATTACGGTGGTCTATACCGTGCCAGTCGCGGTTTTGTTGTTTACACTTCCTAGACGGGCGGCGATACCGATCGAATATAATGCAGCATCTCGGCAGAGTCATGAAAGTCATTAAAGCTCCGAGTAAAACAATGAGAAAAAATACAATCTGGACTGTAAAAATAGAAAACATTCGATTCCGATTTCGAACATGAAATAATAAGCAAGCATTAAAGCAAACTTATTTGTAGATCGCTTACTTTATATTTCGTCATTGCGCATCTCGCATATTGTTTTTAACAACTTATGTGCCGTTAAGATCTTACCGCTCACCACATGGAGATGAAACGATTTGGTGCCTAAATACCCTTGTGTTCTCATGTTCTCGGCACTCAAATTTCAAGTTATTAGGCTACTACGTTAATTTTTGATCAGCTGCATCAAAGAGGAATGCTTATCAAATAAAGACAAAAAGTAAACAATGGGCGCAGCACAGCCAGGCAGGCCACCTATGTCATAGTGCATACTCGCATTTCCTACATGTCAAGTCAAAAAAATGCGCACATTTTAGCATTTATTTACTTTTAATTTATGCAATTATCATACACACACAACATCCATTCATCCAACCATTCATCTGTTTGGTTTTTTGTTTTGTATTGTTTTTGCTGCTACCGCCCCTACCCTCTTGCCTTGTTATCTGGTAGCTATTGCTTTGTTTGTGCGGTGGTGGTGGTGACAAAAGAAATAAAAGACATTAAAGCAGCGGCAATCGTCGTTTCACTTTGTGAGCTTTCGTAATACGGATTGCCCGGGCCAATAGGCCCATCAAAGCGCCGAACGACTCTATTGGCTTGCATAGCCGCAATTGAATCCCCGCTGGCAGTTAGCATAGATATTCATTTGATTTATTTCTCTTTGACTCGGTGAAGTCAGTGATTGGTTCATTTTTTCTTTTCGCGTCTTTTCCCAAATGCACAATTGAGCGATGCCATTGATTTTTGGGGCTTTTTGGCTTTTGGCTTTGCCCTCAGCCTTTTTTGTTTTTTATGCTGTTGATTGATGATGACCGCCTCTACTCACAGTGGAGTGTATAATTACGTCATTTGGCCCAGCTATTTTATTCTTGCTTGAAAAGGCCGATGAGAAAATAATAATAAAAATGTGACCCAAAAAAACAAATTTCCTTGCGAAATGGCTCGACTATGCATAAATATTCTACTTCAACAAAAGCCTGAAGACTTTGCTTATTATTATTGATTCAATTTCTCAATTTCGCAGACTTGTTTGTTTGCTACCGCTGCCAGTCGTATCAATGGCTATATTTTTTCGTATTTTTCTATTTTTGTCTGACTGGCTGCGTGTGGTCCGTTTTGTATAAGAACAAGAAAATCCCGATGATTCCGGTTGGCTCATTTTTTCCTTACTTTTTTTTGCCTTTTTTCCCTCTCCAATTTTTATGCGCAACAAAAGTGGGTAGACATATTTTCATCCTTTATTTTTATCTGCTGCAAAAAAAAGCTAAAAACTACGACCACCATTATTATTGTCATTCCTAATTGCCATTTTGGCTTCTCTCTCTTACTCCTATTTTTCTTATTATTCTTATTTTTTCTTATTTTTTTCTTATTTTTCTTATTTTTTATTCTTTTCTCTTTGCAAAACTTTAAATTAGTCATGGCTACACACAGGCGCAGGGCCTCAAAGCTATCCCTCGAGCCAAATCCCTTCGAGCAGAGCTTTTCGCTGGTCCGCTCAGAGGATGCCTCGGCAGCGACACTCGTATCCGAGGAGGCCTCAGACACCACGACATCAATGAAATTCACATTGCCATCGAGGGTCGTTAGCACAAAGAGCGCCTCTGAGCAAAACAGCGGCAATTGGCAGCATGCAATAATGACAACGAAATAACTAGTTCCAGCAGCAGCAACAACAACAAAGACAGCGGCCTTTTAGCATGCCCGTAAGCGGGAGCAAAGTCAGCAACGTTTTTTTGGCTGCAGAGATGCCACGGCAACAGTACAGAGTCAAGCTGCCGCCGGTGACTGCCCTCAGCGGGCCTCTGCATGCCACAGATATGTCGGGTGTGTGGGGCCCGAATCCCTGCGCAGCGGCCCACTCTCGCCGGCTATGCTCGGTGGGCCGGCGGAGGCTCAGCAGGCAGCAAAGGGCGCGGCGCGCATAACGCCTCGCCTGAGACTGGCCGAGCCGCTGCTGCACACTGGGTTGACACCATATATCTCTGGTGAAGCGCAGCCAACTGTCGCTGCCACTGATGGCATTAAGCTGCCGCTAGCGCTGACCACGCCTGGCATCCAGGCTATGATCAGGGCGACCATCGAGGGCCAGGAGATTACATCAACGCCCGGTGGCTCGCTGAGACTTGGGCCCATTGCAGATAGCACCGGGCAGCAAACGCAGCAGCAAATGCTGCCTGTGGCGTCGATGGCGTTGACTGCCCCGCCGCAGATGACTGCCTCGATGGCCGCTGCCGCTGCGGCTGTCAACGCTCACCTGACACTGTCGCCCTCTCAATGCTTGTGGCCCCAGCAGCAGCGGCAGAAAGCACAGCCACGAGCGGCAAACAGACCAAGCGGCAAAATGATTCCACCGCTACACCGCCAGCCAAGGCCAAGCGCTCCAAAGCCGCTGGCGCAGCGTCGAGGAAGAGCAGCACGCCACTGGCCGAGCCCTCATCCGCCGGAATTCCAGCAGCAGCAGCGAGGCAACTACCGAGGCGCACGGAGGAGGCCATATTGCAGGATGGCGACTCTGACGCGGAAAACAGCGGCAGCAGCAGCAGCAACGAGAAGCGCAAGCAGTTCCTCGAGCGCAACGCATTGCAGCGCTCAAGTGCCGGCAGCGCAAGAAGAAGCAGCTCAAAGAGCTCCAGGACCGCCACGACTATATGAAGATGCAGAACGACAATCTGCGCGCTGAGTACCTCCATATGCGCGAGCTGTCCTTGCAGCTGCGTGCCATGCTGGCTGCGCACCGCGAGTGCCCTGTGGCCCAGAGCAACGGCGTCTTTGGCGTGGACAATTTGCCGCATGGCATGCCGAATGCATCCTGCAGCCGTTGATTTTCGGCAGCCCTGTAGAGAGCGAGAAGGTCAAGGAGATTATTGCAGCCATTCCGCCGTCGTCCAATGGTGTGCCGATGCACAGCATTGATTTGAATACGGGAAAGCCGGTTATGATGGGCATGTCTGCCGCCGGCTAACGCCAACTCCAACGCCAACTCCAACGCCATTGCCAGTGCCAATGCTGTCGACATGATGGTTGCCGCTGCCACCGCCGCGGGCATGGGTGGCCAGCTGAGCGCCTCGCAGATGGGCCTGCCAACGATGGCTTTGCAGTCGGCGTCGGGGGTCAGCCCGAGTGCCCAGCAGATGGCCGCTGCTGCTGCCGCCGCTATGATGCCGTTCTCGCAGGCGGTTGCGGCGGGATCCGCGGCCGCTCAGGGCTTTGGATCATGAGCGAGCATATGTGGCCATATGAACCAATATTATTTTTGATTACAATCGTCGAGTTTTATTTTTATTTTTTTCTTACTTTCATATTGTAAATTTTCATCCGATCACTCCTTTTCCAACTGAACACACACATACCACATATGAATAATAAAAATAAAAAGTAGAACACGGCTTTCACGTAGTCAGGAGCCCGTCGTAGTGCAGTCAAAGTCAGTTTTTGGAATATTTCGGCTTCGGCATTGGTTTTGTTGATTTATTTTCAGCTAGATATTTATTATGTGTATTAATATTTTCTGTACACTCGATTATCAGCATCTTTTCTCCTTTTCCAATTACAATTTCAGTTTATTGGCTCTTCTTCAAGCCACTGCTGTGCATCACAGTGCTCGCTGGAATAACCGATACAAATGCCAAAGTAATGGCAGCCACGGCCACGGCACCAACCATATAGCACGTCGAAGCACCGGCGAGCCAGTACAGCGTGCAGGAGAACATGGGGCCAAGGGCGCGACCAATCTGCCCAGCTGACCTGAAATCGCCTAGCCTCCGCCCCGTCGACCCATCGTCAGCGCCGACCAGGGACACCATCGAGTTGAGGCAGTTGACGACCGTCGCCGAGGCTACGGCAAAGCCCAGCGCGCCAGCCCACAGCCACCACGACGGCCTCAACATGTCCTTTGCATCGGCCTTGATGCAGCACAGGGCGATACTCAGCAGGCCCAAGGTGCATCCAGCCATGCCCTGGGCGACAAGGATTTGTCTCTGTGGGCTGATTTCCCTTGACGCGGCGCACGTAGCCACCCTGCAGCAGCGTCGAGGTGATGCCAATGAAGCCGAGCAGCTTGCCCTGCTGCGCGTTGGAAAAGTTAAACCGGTCGTGCGTGAGGAAAGTCAGCGTGTACTCCATGCCCGAGAAGAAGAAAAGGTAGGCGAAATGCACGTAGTTGAGTTGCCTCAATATGCTCTTGGTCTTTTGCCGCTCCTGCATTAGCCTTGCGCCGGGCTGGGGCTGAAGCTGCGACTGCAGCGGCTCCTCGTTGCCGCTGTCCAGCGCTGCCACCGCCGAGTCTGCCGAAGCACTGGTAATGTTGCGCTGAGAGTTAAAGTTTTTGGTCTCGGGCAGCTTGAAATAGAGGTACAGGCTCTCGGTCAGCAGCAGCGCTAGCGAGAACACGGCTGCCACGGCAAACGGCGCATACCCGAAAGTCGTCGTTGCCTGTGACTCGATGTTCATCCGCGAAAAGAACGCGCCAATGGATGGGCCGATCGTGAAGCCGACGGCAAAAGCAATGCCCACCAGCGCCATGCCGTGCGATCTGGTCTGCGGATCAGTGACATCGGCAATAATAGTCGTTGACAGCTGGACATTGCCCTCGCTCAATCCAGCAATGATGCGCGCAGCCAGAAAGCTCTCGAAGCTGCCCGAGAAAACCCACAGAACAGTCCACACAATGTTCCCTGCCATGCACAGCATCAGTGTGGGCCGCCGGCCAAACCGATCCGAGGCCGGCCGATGATGGGCGCGACGATGCACTGCAGCAGAGAGTAGACGGAGCCCAAAAGGCCGCCAAGCAGGACCAGATCGGCGCGAGCGCCTTGCTGGAGAAAGCGGGAGGCGCGCGCGCCGGCGTTGGCCAGGATGAGCTCACGCAGCTGCGTGACGTGCTGCAGGGTCCAGCCCAGGAGCGTGCTGCTGTCGGCGCCCTCGCGGGCCTTGTATGCCTCGAGCGACCGTGGCAGCAACGGCAGAATAATCGTGAACGAGAGGATGTCGAGCAAAAGTGCAATGAACACGATGCGTGAGATGCGCTTGCCCTCGGAGCGCAGTGCTGATGCTGATGCCGACGCCGATGCCGACGGTAGCGGCTTGGATATCGAAGCTGTAGCCATAATAACTTATACGTGTAAATATAAACAGTCGTGATACCACGCAGTGAAAGTACAACAATAAAGCGTGGGTGTCGGATAATAATAAACGGATGAGAAACAGAAAGAGAAAGCAAGAGAGAAAGGTGCAGCGCAGGGAGAAGCAAATCAAGACAGGGGCATCATATGCATGTTCAGCTCCAAAGACGCCTGTGTTTTTTCTTTCAAAGTTTGTACTCTAAAAATATATATTGAAACGATGTTTAAAACTGGCTGCGCCCAATTATGTGGAAAATTTTATATTTTACATCTTTTGTGCACCTTATCTCCCATTGACAAAACAACAACTACAAAAAATGCATCGGCCCTTTCTGGCTTGTTTTTGTCCCCCCCCCCCCCCGCATAATTATATCAGCGAGCCGTGCGGGCTGACAGAGGCAATGAAACAAGAAGTGCGGAGAACCCGAACAGTTTGACCAGGTTGCCGGATATTATCTCCCCACTGCAGGAATTGTTGGCCCAAGCAAACACTAAATAAAAAAGCTGGTGGTATCTGATGCTGTGCGGAGAATCCGGGGCCTGGCCATGATCTTACTGGTCTTTATCAGATAAAGAGTGATCCTGATCAAGCCTACTTTTTAATTTCTGGCGTTGGACGAGCACAGTGCGCTCGTCCATATGCGGCCAAGCAAGCCAATTGGCTGACTGAATGTTTGGTGGGCCAGACCGCAAAAAACGCAGCTGCTACGGTTGCACTTTACAGAGCCCTGTCTTACCAGCCCCTCAAATAGCGGACCGCTTGTTTTGTTGTTTTGTTGTTTTGTTTGCAGCCAATGAATGCTGCGCAAAACTGCTTTTATGCTTCATTTAAGACTTTGCTTCCCTTTTTACTGCTCACATTAACATCACAAAGAGTAAAAAAGGGAGAGCAGGGAGCCCAGTCACGAAATAAGGGAGCAAAAAAAACAGGAAACAGTGCTCCGACCTCACAAATTTTTTACACTTACAAACCACTCTGCTCAATAATCCTTCGTCCCTTGCAACCATGCAGTTTCTTTGTAATACTACTGCAACTGCACCGAGCGTCACAAAATTTTTTGTTTACGTACGGCAAATCCCAGTTGTCATGCTTTATTCCTTTCTGTTCTTTTTGTTGAAATCTGAGAGCTGTGAGAAGAGGGAGATTAGTAGTGAAATTATTGAGTTGCGAAAGGAAAAGAAAAATTCCACACTTGCCTTTTTATTTCTTCTCTGGTTCAGGTTATCGTTCTTGTTTCCACTTTGTTTTTTCTTTTCAAAAATATTTATTGTTATTCATTCCCCTTTCTCACCCCTAACTCTCCGATTTTTGTTTACCATACGCAGAGCCGCGTTCCCTGATAATTTTACACTCCTTCCCTTCCTCCCTTTTTCCCCTTCCGTCTTTTCATTTTCCTTTTCGAGTCATTTTTTTGATACGCCGTCGTTTTCACGCGCAAAATTTTTTTTCCACTATCTCCGCTCATCATTATTTATAGCTTAAACTTATAGTCTGTGCCATTTGCTTATTGCTTTCATCTTAAACACTTGACTCACAAAAATCAATAAAGGTACGCTGCAAATGCATTGTAGATGCTGGCATATCCAGTCTCTCGGTAGACCCAAAGGCTGTGCATGTTCCGAGAGCGGGTATTAAAAGTATCTGTTGACATGAACTAGAACCAACAATGACGTACTCACTCGCCCAGCCACCCGCTCATTCACTCACTGCCAGCTTTGTTTACCTGCTTTCCTCAAGTCAAAGCTTTCTTGCCATTTTTTTGCTGGTGGAGAGCAATGCATGAAAGAAAAGAGTAAACAAGACTGTTGAGCGAACCGGTGTCAATGTGGTGGCACGGATGTTTGTTTATTTGTTTATTCTTTGTAAGGCTTTTATCGCCAGCTCCGCCGCATTCAAAGCTCTCTTGTATTGTTGCATTGTAACCACACCTTTTTTATTACCTTGTGTATTTATACCATTTATAATCCTAATTGTGCATTGATTTTTCTGCTTTTGTTGGGTTGACCACTGCAAACTAATAATGCATTTTTATTATATACATACGTTTTTGTTTATTTTTCTTAGCAGCTGCAGAACAATAATAAAGCTGACGATTGCCTCTCCAGACCGACCACAAAGGGAACAAAAAGAAAACCGTACAGCCTGGATTCTGTTGCGGACACTGAAAGCAAACATACGAGACAGAGACACACCCAACCCCAAGCTTGCCGCTTTCTTTCTCTTTCTCTTTCATTTCACTTTCGCTTCTCAGAAACGATCTTTTAAAAAACGAAACCACATTTTTCCACATTTTGCTTCAAACCTCGGGTCAACGCTTCCATATAGATATATATATTCTTATCTCATACCAAAAATCTAACACAGGATGGACAGCAGCAGTCGCCCGCGCTCAAACACACTCAGCGTCGACACCAGCTCCGTCCGCATGCCCCATGTTAACAACGCGCCCTTCCGGCGAGCACGCAAGGTCTCTGGCGGCGGCATCATCATGGAGGACATTGACGAGAGCCTCGACTTTATGAACAACCCACCACAGGCCAAGGCAGCGGCCATCTCAAACAGCACCAACAGCAGCTACGAATACTTCGAGCCACCGCGCGCGACTCCCCGCGGGCGCAGCCGCACAAACGCCGATACGCAGCGGCCGATGAGCATGGTTATGCGGGCTGGCGGCAGCTTTATGGACGGTATCTCGCCAATCAGCGGGCGGCCAATGTCGGCACTGCTGGTGGATCCGCCGGACTCGCCCAGCGTTATGGGGATGAAGGGCCGGCACCGGCTGCAGCGCGAGGCATCGCAAATCAATACAACCCGGCGCTGACGCGCAATGGCAACTGGTGCGATGTCGAGCGCAAGAACCTGGCCGCGTACGAGTACCTATGTCACGTCAGTGAGGCCAAGGAGTGGATAGAGGCGTGCATTGACGAGGACCTTCCGGACATTCTTATTATCGAGGACTCACTGCGGGACGGCGTGGCGCTGGCCAAGCTGGCGCGGACGTTCTGCCCCGAGGTCGTTGGTAAAATATACGAGAAGCCGCCATCTTCTGCGGGCGGCAGCGGCAATGTGTCAGCGGTCAGCTCGCAGATTAGCAGCGGCGTGCGGCAGCGGTTTGTGTTTAAATTTACGGACAACATCAACTTCTTCCTCAGCGCCATTCGCCGGGTGCGCCTGCCGCGGCTCTTCCACTTTGAGCTGACCGACCTGTACGACCGCAAGAACATGCCTCGTGTCATATACTGCCTGCACGCGCTCAGCCACTTTTTGCTGAAGATGGGCATTGCGCCCGAGATGCGCGACCTGGTTGGCCACCTTGAGTTCTCCGAGGCGCAGCTGGCGCAGACGCAGGCCGAGCTGGACAACTTGGGCGCCAAGCTGCCGGCATTCCATTTGATTGACTCGAGCATTGGCAACCGCCGCCCGCGCCTGTCCCGCGAGGTGATGCCGATGAAAGTGGACGAGCTGTTTGAAAACGACAACGACCACAACAAAGACGAGTACTCGAGCGACTCTGAGCCTGAATCCGAGGAAGATTGTGCGGATGACCGCAATAACGACCATGGTGACGATAGAGAAAATACAACAGTCACCGAGCGCTCGCTGGGCACAAGGCAAAAGTCCGTCTACTTCAAAGACAATGTCACATTCCTGGACGACCCGAACATTGATCGGATGGAGAAGGCCAAGCTGTACTGGCAGAAGCGCATCGACATTGTGCTGCAGTTCCAGTGCTCTGCGCGTCAGCGCTTGGCCGAGCGTTTGGTGGAGGAGAAGCGCCAAGCGCGGCGGTACCTGCGCATGGTCAACTCGTCGATTGTCATGCAGTCGATGGCGCGCATGGTGCTGGCCGGCGCGAGCTGCAATCGCTGAGCGCCCAGCGTCAGGCCGAGGAGGACCAGGCACGCTTCGTGGTCGAGGCTGAGCAGAGGCGGCAGCGCGAAGTGGTCGAGGCTGAGCAGAGGCGGCAGCGCGAACTGGTTGAGGCTGAGCAGAGGCAGCAGCGCGAACTGGTCGAGGCCGAGCAGCGGCGCGTCCAGAGGAGCTGAGGCTGAGCCGGCGCGTCCAGGAGAAAGCCGAGGCTGAGCAACGGCGCCTCCAAGAAGAAGCCGAGGCTGAGGAGCAGCGCATCGAGCAGGCCATGCGCGAGCGGGCGCGCAAGGAGCGCGAGCGCGTTGACAAGGAGAAGGCCGATCGCGCCAACGCGGCTCGCGAGCACCAGGAGCGGCTCGAGGCCGAGAGGTTTGAGCTGGAGCGGCGGATTGTCGGCCTGCAGGCGTTGGTGCGTGGCCGGCTCGCGCGCAAAGTGTTCGACGAGATGCGCGGGTGGACGGCGGCAATTGTGCGCTTCCAGGCGCTATGCCGCGGCAACATTGTGCGCAACCAGGTCGGCGCGCGGCTGTCGACGTGGGGCCGCGTTGAGCATGGCGTCAAGCAAGTGCAGGCGCTGTGCCGCGGATTCCTCGTGCGGCGCCGCATCAAGGAGCGCCGCACGCACCTTGATCGGAACATCAACGTCATTGTCAAGATGCAGAACATGTACCGCGCCAAGCTGGCCGGCAAGGCTTACCGCACGCTGACCGTCGAGGACACGCCGCCGACGCCCAAACTTGTGCAGAGCTGTGCGCCGCTGCTGGAGGACACTGACCAGGATCTCGAGGAGGAGCTGGAGCTTGAGCGGCTGCGCCAGAAGGCTGTCAGGCAGATCCGTGAAAACCAGCAGACGAGCCGCGTGCTGGACCAGCTGGACATCAAGATTGCGCTGCTTGTGCGCAACCGCATCTCGCTTGATGAGATCGTGCACCAGACCAAGCGCCACTTCCGCTTCCTCGAGGAGCTGCGGCGGCCAGCGTCAATGACCCTGCCCGGTGGCGGCCTGCGCAGCGCCTACACATCGCTCGGCCTGGCTAACGTTGCAGCGGCCGCATCCAACTCGCTGTACTCGCTGAAGAATATGGACAAGGAGTCGCGCAAGCGGCTGGAGGGCTACCAAAACCTGTTTTACCTGCTGCAGACGCAGCCGATCTATCTGGCGCGCCTGCTTTTCTTGATAAACCAAGGCGGGTCCAAGGCCATGCGGCAGTCGCTGGTGTCCAACAACAGCAAGGCTGGCAGCAGCGGCAGTGGCGGCATGGGCAGCAGCCAGCCGGAGTCTGGCGACTCGATCTCGATCTCCAAGCTCATCGAGACCATTGTGCTGACGTTGTATGGCTTTGCACAGAACGCGCGCGAGGAGTACCTGCTGCTCAAGCTATTTTGCGCGGCCATCCAGATTGAGCTGTCGTCCATCGAGTCACTACAAGAGTTTTTGCGTGGTAACCCGATATTCATCAAGCTAGCAGTGCACTACAACCGCGGCGCCAAGGAGCGCAAGTACCTGCGCGACCTGTTGCAGCCGCTGATAAAGAAGGTCATTGAGGACGGCGGGCTGGACCTCGAGTCTGATCCGCTGGTGATCTACCGCACGATCATCCGCGAGGAGGAGTCGCGCACGGGCGAGAAGTCGCGACGCGCCTATGATATCAGCCGCGAGGACGCGCTGAACGACATGGAGACGCGTACGACTTTCATTCGGCACCTGCGGCAGCTGCGCGTGCTGGCCGACGAGTTCATTGCGGCGATCCAGGGCTCGCTGGACCAGATGCCGTACGGTATGCGGTACATTGCACGCGAGCTGCGGCGTGCGCTGTCAGCAAGTTCCCCGACGAGCCCGAGGCGCAGGTGATGAAGATCGTCGGGCACCTGGTGTACTACCGGTACATCAACCCGGCGATCGTCGCGCCCGAGTCATTCGACGTCATCGAGACGACGATTTCGCCACTGCAGCGCAAGAACCTGGCCGAGATCGCCAAGATGCTCAACCAGGTCAGCGTCGGCAAGCACTTTAGCGAGGACAACATGTTCCTGCAGCCGCTTAACAACTACGTCGGGTATACGTCGGCCAAGTTCTTGGCGTACTCGTTCGAGGTGACAGACGTCGTTGATCCCGAAGTGCACTTCCAGGTCGACGAGTTCACGGACCTGGCGACGCTCAACAAGCCGTCGATCTGATGAGTGTCGGCGAGATCCAAACCGTGCACCAGGCGCTGGAGGCCAACCTGGACTACGTGGCGCCGCCGATTCCTGAGCAATCAAGCAGCGCTTCGGGTCGTACGACGCCGTGATCAGCATCATTGAGCGGCGTCGCAAGCACGAGGAGGAGCGCGTCAACCCGGCTCGGCGTCGAGCGCAGCCATGGACATTGACGAGGCCGACGACGAGGCCGACTTGGCGGACGCCATTCCGCAGGGCACAGTGCTGGTCGAGCGGCAGTCAACGGATGGCGCCGGGCGTGTGCTTGTGCTGGACGACCCGTTGCGCGTGGTGCTGCAGGACCTGGGCGCGGCGCCGCGCACACGGCCGGAACCGATGGCGGCGCGGTACGAGATCCAGCTGGACCTAACAGATCGGTTCGCCGACGACTCGATCACTATCATGTCGGGCAGCGCGTCGACGTCGGTTCTGGCGGCGTCGGCGTCGCAGATTCTGAGCGACGCGGCGATCAGCGCGAGCCAGGCGACGTACGGCGGCGGCGGGCTTCTGCGCACCAGCCGACGGCCAAGGAGGCTGTGCACGCCAAGGCTGAGCGCGCAGCCAAGCTGCACCGGCTGTTCCTCGAGACTAAGCGCAAGTGGCTATCGATTCTGCCGTGCAGTCGGGCGCGTCGCTGTTGGAGATCCTCGAGCGGCCGGTGGCACCCGAGGACGAGTCGCGCTGGCGCGCGGCGATCCAGCTTGAGCTGGCAAAGCTCGACGAGCGGCGCCAGCGCCAGCAAGTGCAGTGGCGCCACCAGTGGGACGCGCAGCAGGCGGCGGCTGCGCTGCGCGAGTCGCAGGAGGCTCTGCGGCGGTCGGTCATTGGCCCGCCGTCTCGGCTAGTTCGTCGGGCCGCAGCTCGCCGGCGCCCAGCGGCCGGGCTCGAGGAACGGCGCGGCGACTCCGACAGGGCCGCCACCGCCGCCATCGCTGCCGGGTGAGAAGGTCATCCGCGAGCTGTCGAACCTGACGTTCGGCGAGCTGAAGAAGCAGGTGGCCAAGGCAATGCGCGTGCTGGAGACTGAGCGCTGGGTCGAGCGCACGCGCAAGTCCAACATCGGCACAGGCGCAGCGCCTGGCGAACAGCCGCCCAGCGGGCCGCGGCCGGCTTACGCGGCGGTATTCCGCGTGCGGCGCAGCGACGGGTACCAGGGCATGCTCAACGCCATTGCGCGCGACATCCGCACCAAGGCGCAGCGGCGCGAGCGGCGGCGAGCCGAAATGCGGCGGATCCGTATCACGCTGATGAACCTGCGCGAGAAGAGTGACTATCTCGAATCGCAGCGCGTGTCGTACGAGCAGTACCTCGACACGTGCACAAAGAAGCTGGCAGCGGTGGCGACTCAACGTTCAGTGCGCGTACAGCCGTGCGCGCCGCATGCACTCGGTGCTGCCGTTCACGCGCCAGTACTTCCATTTGCGCGACCTGCAGCGCGCGGGGCGCGTGCCGCGGTTTGGGTCGTTCAAGTACTCGGCCGAGAAACTGTACTACAAGGGCGTCATTGTCAGCGTCGACGGGTACCCGCCGCGCCAGCTGGATAAGATCAGCCTGACGATCTCGTCCGACCAGCCGGGCACGTTTGACGTGCAGGTCAGCCTGATGGGCGTCAAGATGCCTGGGGCGGCTGCGAGATCCACATGCAGGACCTGCTGCAGCTGCAGTACGACAACGTGCAGACCATGACGCTGTACGAGGGCAGCGTCGTCGTCAACACCAACTTGCTGGTGTTCCTGATCAACAAAAAGTTCTATTCGTAACTGGGCTTTATTTGTTTTGTTGTAATTAAATTCCCCATGGGTGTTTGTGATTAAATCAGTGCGAATTATATAATCAAGCATTATGCCATTGCACTGGGAGTACTCTTTCTGCCCTGCTGAAAAGGGCTTATCATATTTCGATCGCGCATGTGAGCTTGTTGCTCGGACTGCATATTTTTGCTGCATCATCGCCGCCGCCGACATATTGTGAGGGCGTGCGAAAAAAAGAGTGGCAATCAAGCGCGATCTCGGTTGTTTTCTATTAAATCCAATGCAAGCGCTGATTGGCTTTCAGGTGTGAGGTTGATGGCGCGCCGATAATGCATGCTGGAATCAAGAATCTGGGATACATATTTTACTTGCGATTCCGGATATGCAAGCTAATGCAAACCTCCAGCGCTGGCAGTTTCTCATATGCATCCCGATGTTAATATTTTTATGTTTGTTTTCGGGCGCTGCCTGATGAATCTTGTGCCTGCTGCTGCAGAGTCGGACGGCCAGCATTGGTGCACAGGATCGGCTGTTTGCTGCTGCTGCTGCTGCACCAGCAGGGCTTTTGCTTGCTGTTTGGCCATTCTGGAACTACGAATGCTTGCAGGAGAGGGGAGAGGGGAGCGTGTGACGAGCGACGTGTTGATGAATGCCATTTTTGGCATTGCCGATTGTGCGAGCAATAAGAGGGAAATGAGGGACGCAGAGCAGGGCATCTCACGCCTCAGCAAAGTAGCAAAACAAGGCAAGGCAAAGCAAGGCAAAAGTGGCCAAACATGGAATTCATACGCTTTGTCTGGATTAATATGCCTGTGACAAGGCAGAAGCAACACCATTCAGTCGTTATGTGCGATTGAGTGCAAAGAAAGCACCGGAGGCGAGTTGAAGGGTTTTTTCTAATCAGCCGAGCGGAAGCGAAACAAGAACGTAAAAAAGGGAAGGGCCACGTGGCGTGTGCTTGCCTGGTTCTTTGAAGGCGGCCAGCGCATTGATGCATTGCCACATTGCCACATTACCGCGTTGATAGCGTTCAATTTTCAGACAATCGATTTGCCGTTTTGAACGGGGTCCGCGTGCCAATTTCGCTCGAGCATTTTCCAGCTCTAATTCCCACTAAATGTTATTTGGCCTGCTCATCGTGTATGCGTGGCACAGGCCTGCTCGCCCCCCTATGTCTTGAATGAATGAATGCGCCGATTCTGTCCTATAAAAGCACGCAATAAATAGTCAGGGCCACCCACTGGATTGCACATTCAGTAGTTTTTTCTTTCCTAAACTTTAATAATTTAAGCATATTTATTTCAAGCTAATAATAGCCAGTCTCACACCACATACTACAGCCACTGCTGCTGCATTTTGACTTCATTTCAAAGCAATCCAAGCTTACAGCAGGTATGAATCACAGCTGACTAACTGGCTAGCTGACCAACCGACTGCCAGCCTTCTTGGCTGGATGGCTGGCTGGTCAAAACTTACATTGCTGATATCATGAGTAACTGCGTCGGAGCAAAGACCCCCCCCCCAGGGAAAACAAGAATAGAGATGACACATGTGTCATTAGGTTGTTGCCTTTAGCGCTGACTGGCTGGCTGGCCGATGCAATTGCAGTGGTGATCAAGAAAAAGAAAAGAGGGGGCGGAGGTGACCGGTCTTTATTCGTCCACTTGGATGATTTTTGAGTGCCTGGGTTTTTGTTTTTTCTCTTATGCAATCTGGCTGTGATTTTGATTTTGCCGCGTGCAAAAAACAAAAAAATGGTCTGTCCAATCTCTATACTTATTTCCCACCCCCCGATCCTGACTGCCGCTGCCGCTTCTGATTCTACTATTTTTGCTATTGGTGTTGGTGTTGTTGCTTGCAACCAGGTAAATAAAACAAGGCCATAGGCACATGCGGTGTTCGTGTTGCCAAAGTATAAATAGACAAGCATTTTCCTCGCTTCCCCCTTTTCTCTTGCTCCTTTCGCAGCTCCTTACACAGACAACGTTGGTTATCTATTCTGCATCTTCCCACCTATCCTTTTTAGCTTGCTTGTTTTTTCTAACCAACAGCTATCAATTATTATTCTATAGTACCCATTTTTTATTTACCTTTTAGCAAGCTATAACAGACAACCAACAATGAGCGCTTACGAACTTCGCAAGGCCGCCCTCGTATCTGCCGTCTCCGGAACCAAGCGTGAGATCCAGTACCCGCTCAAGGCCGACGGCAAGGCCCGGTATCCGTCAGAGATCTACGGCGAGAATGTTTTCACGCTGAAGACCATGGCCAAGGCTCTGCCCAAGCCCATCTTCGCCAGCTTCCTCAAGCAGCGTCGTGGTCGTCAGAACCTCGACAAGAACACCGCTGACTCGATCTCCCACGCTGTGCGCGTCTGGGCCATGGACCGCGGCGCTACCCACTACACCCACTGGTTCCAGCCCCAGACCGGCACGACCGCCGAGAAGCACGACGCGTTCCTGTCCCTGGTGTCCAACTTTACGCCTGGAGGCGAGGAGGTAAGAATATTAAATGCTTTTTTATTGGAGGGGTCATTTCGTTATCTTGCAGGTATGATCGCGCTAATAATAATGTTTGTCTTTAATTATTATTTGGATTGCTTTTCCTTGCCTTGTAGGTCACCCCCATCGACCAGTTCTCGGGCGGCCAGCTACTGCAGTCCGAGCCTGACGCGTCGTCGTTCCCCTCGGGTGGCATGCGCACCACGTTTGAGGCACGCGGCTACACGATCTGGGACACGTCCAGTTCGATGTTCGTGCAGCAGGGCCCTAACGGCACCTCGATTCTGTACATCCCGTCGGTCTTCATTTCGTACAACGGCGACGCCCTCGACGAGAAAACCGTGCTGCTGCGCTCTAATGATGTGCTGTCGCGCGCCGCGACCGACCTGCTGAGCATCCTCGAGCCCGAGTGTAAGTGGTTTATTTTATTTGTGATTGTTGAGGGTTTTTTTGCGCTTTTTGTCTGTGTCGTTTTCTTTGTGTGTGCGTGCTTATCTTTGCGGGTTTGAGAAAGCTAGCAGGAAGTGCCTGGTGCGGATTACCAAGCACCGGCTGTTATTTTCTTTTCTTTGCCCAAAGAAAAGAAAGATCCTGTTTGTGACTGACCAATAATGGTTGCGCATTATCATCCACTTTGGAAGTCACTCTGCCACTGTGCCAACCTTGAATCTAGCAGTCGATGCCACCTGATGCTTGATGCTTGGTTATTATTTGGTTTTTAGATCCTCGCTAATCATCGGCGCCAATATCATCTCCATCCCAATTGCAATGTAGCCCACATCAGCCATGTCTACACCACGCTCGGAACCGAGCAGGAGTTCTTCATGGTCGACCGCAACATGTACTCGCTGCGCCCCGACTTGAAGATCACCGGCCGCACGCTGGTCGGCCAGCTGCCGCCGCGCCACCAGCAGCTCGAGGACCACTACTTCGGGCGCATCCCGAGCCGCGTCATGGCGGCCATGAGCGAGCTCGAGCTCGAGTGCCTGCGTCTGGGCATCCCCATCAAGACGCGCCATAACGAGGTCGCGCCCGGGCAGTTCGAGCTGGCGCCGATCTTCGAAGAGGCTTCGGTGGCCGTCGACCACAACCTGCTGACGATGGACCTGCTGCACAAGGTCGCGCACAAGCACAACCTGCGTGTGCTGTACCACGAGAAGCCGTTCAAGGGCATCAACGGCTCGGGCAAGCACTGTAACTGGGCGCTGTCGACCGACCGCGGCGAGAACCTGCTGGACCCGACTGTGCGTCCCGAGACCAACTTCCGCTTCATCATCTTCTTGCTGGCTGTGCTGCGCGCGCTGCACGAGCACGCTGCGCTGCTGCGTGTCGCTATCTCATCGTCTTCCAACGAGCACCGCCTCGGCGCGCAGGAGGCGCCGCCCGGCATCATCTCGGCATTCCTCGGTGACCAGCTCAACGAGGTTCTCGACGCCATCGAGGAGAACCGTCCACTCAAGAACTTCAGTGTGCCGCAGTTTCAGTCGATCAAGGTCGGCGGCACCGTGCTGGACGTCAAGGTGTCGGCCTGCCGCACATTGCGCGCGATCTGACTGACCGTAACCGCACGTCGCCGTTCGCGTTCACCGGAAACAAGTTTGAGTTCCGCGCTGTCGGCTCCAAGCAGTCGCCGTCGTTCCCTGTCACCGTGCTCAACTGCGCCGTGTCGGCCGCGCTGCACGAGATCACCGCCGATCTGCGCGCGCAGACCGGCAGCAAGCCGCGCCCGTCGGACGAGGACAAGCTGGCCGTCATCCGCAAGTACATCAAGCTGACCAAGCACGTGCGCTTCGAGGGCGACAACTACTCCGAGGCCTGGGTGAAGGAGGCCGAGCGCCGCGGGTTGCCCAACATCGCGTCGGCGCCCGAGGCGTACCCGCACCTGATTGCTGCCAAGCACGTAAAATGCTGACTAAGGAAACCGGTGTCTTCAGCGAGAGTGAGCTCAAGTCGCGCTACCACATCCTCAACGAGCGCTACACCAAGGACATCATCATCGAGGCCGAGACGCTGAGCACCATCATTGGCCAGCAGATCCTGCCCGCTGCCTTCGAGTACCGCAAGTCGCTGGCCGAGACCGCTGTCGCGCTCAAGACCGTCGGCATTGAGGATGGCCCCGAGATCGAGACGCTCGAGGAGCTGACGCCGCTGGTCGCCGCGCTGCAGGCTGAGTTCCGCAAGCTGGTCAAGGCGCTTAAGGGCTGCCTCGAGCATGAGCACGAGACCGAGGACTCGAACAAGCACGCCCTGGCCGCCTACAATGACATCGTGCCCGTCATCGCCAGCGTGCGCGAGGCTGCCGACGCGCTTGAGGTCGTTGTCGCTGACAAGTACTGGCCGCTGCCCAAGTACACCGAGCTGCTGCTGACGATCTGAGTCTGAGGCATGCAGAGGGAGAGAGGGTGTCTTCAAATTTTCTATTTTTCTATTTCTTTCACTATCTTTTTTTGGTATTTTTGATTGGCCGCAAATGTTGCCATCTTTTTTCATATTTATTCAACTTTAGCCCAACGCAAACCGCTTTGAAAACAATTTTTTATTTGAACGGCAAGATGGTTCAAAGAGGTGTTTTTAGAATCTTTTGCTTCTATAACGGCTTTAGCTTTTTCTCATTTTTGATATTTTTAATACCACTTCAAGCAACCAACACACCAACACACCCAACTAACCCAACTATCCAGCTCGCCATGTCAGCACAGTCAGCCCAGACTGCCAGCGCCAAGCTGCTGGCTATCAAGTGGCAGCGCCCACACCTCTCCATCCTCAACCAGCTGCTGCTGCCGCACGCCAGCGAGTACATTGACATCAAAACGAGCGCCGACGGGCACCACGCGATCGTTAGCATGCAGACGCGCGGGGCACCGGCCATCGCCATCGTTGCGGCACTCTCCCTGGCGGCCGAGGTCAGCCAGCAGCAGTTCGACACGGCGCAGCAGGCGTACGACTTTATCATGGGCAAGCTGGACTACCTAGCGACTTCCCGCCCAACGGCAGTCAACCTGTTTGACGCCATCACGAAGCTCAAGCGCGCGATTAAGATCAGCCTTGATTCGCAAGAGGACGTGGCTGTGGCATATGTTGATGCTGCCGAGGCTATGCTGGCGACAGACGTGGCGGATAACCAAAGCATTGGGCGTAATGGCGCGCGGTTCATCGAGGAGTCCAGCGGGCGGTGGATAAGATCAAGGTTCTGACTCACTGCAATACGGGCGCACTGGCTACGGCCGGCCATGGCACGGCGCTGGGCATTATTCGGTCACTGTACCAGAAGCCCGAGAGCATCCTCGAGCACGTGTACTTTGGCGAAACCAGGCCGTATAATCAGGGCGCGCGGCTGACTGCGTACGAGCTTTTGTGCGAGGAAATCCCATCCACTTTGGTGTGCGACTCGGCGGTTTCAGCGCTGCTGCGCAGCGACCCGACTATTGTTGCTATCATTGTTGGCGCCGATCGCGTGGCTGCCAATGGCGACACTGCCAACAAGATGGCACCTACCAGCTGGCTATCACGGCAAAGTTCCACGGCAGAGCCTTTATTGTCGCTGCGCCGACCACCAGCATTGATTTGGCCGTGGCCAGCGGCAAGGGTATTGTCATTGAGGAGAGGGATCCCAATGAGATCACCGCGGCGTCTGGATTTGTGCAGACCTCGCTGGAGGCTGGCAAGCTCGTCAGAGAGACACTGTGCGTTGCGCCCAAGGGCACTGCTGCATGGAACCCGAGCTTCGACGTGACCCCCGCTGAGCTTATCACTGCGATTGTCACTGAGAAGGGCGTGTTTGTCAAGGGCCAGGGTGCCACTGAGTACGACCTGGCTGCGTCCATTTAAGTCCAACTTATTTTTGCTTTAGCGTTTATTACACGTGAGCCGGCCCATACGCAATAATACCAATACATGTGGGCTTATTTTTTAAAACCGTTATAACGCAAAAAATGCGGAAAATATTCTCATTTAATGTATAGTCATTTACTTATTCATCTATTTATTTATTGGTTATTCATTTCACAATGGCGCAAAAGCACGACCGCAATCAAGAGGCGTCCGTATACATTGGAAACCTGGACGACCGGGTGACTGATGCGCTGATCTGGGAGCTCATGGTGCAGGCGGGGCCAGTGCTCAACGTGCACCTGCCCAAGGACCGCGTAACGCAGGGCACGCAGGGCTACGGGTTCTGCGAGTTCCAGAGCTCCGAGGACGCTGACTACGCGGTGAAGATAATGAACATGGTTAAGCTGTTCGGCAAGCCGATGCGAGTCAACAAGGCGTCTGTGGACAAGCGTATGCAGCAAGATGTCGGCGCCAAGCTCTTCATTGGAAACCTGGATCCAGAGGTTGATGAGAAGGCGCTGTATGATACTTTTGCAGCGTTTGGCGATATGGTGCAGGCGCCCAAGGTTGCCAGGGATGGGGTTTCGGGGAATTCGCGCGGCTTTGCGTTTGTGTCTTATACGACGTTTGAGGCTGCGGATATGGCTGTGGAGGCGATGAATGGCCAGTATTTGGCAATAAGCCGGTGTCTGTTGGATACGCCTTTAAGAAGGACGCGAAGGGCGAGCGCCATGGGTCGGCTGCCGAACGGCTGCTGGCCAAGCAGGCGAGGAAGAAGATCCTCAGGGGACGGCGCCGCGCAGGCCATGTACGCACAGCAGGCGCAGTATGCACAGCAGACTCAATATGCGCAGCAGGCTCAATATGCGCAGCAGGCTCAATATGCGCAGCAGGCTCAGTACACACAGCAGCCAGCAGGCTCAGTATGCACAGCAGCAGCAGAGCTATCAGTACCAGCAGCCGCAATACCAGCAATACCGCCAACAAAACCAACAACAACAGCAGCAGTATCAGCAGGGCTGGTAGTCAGCTTTGTGTCAAACATTATCCAAGCGTCCTTTGCTCGACTGTTCATCTTCTCACAGCGAAAATCAGTGGCGGGTGATCACGCTGATAGAGCTGAATGCAAGTCCTGGCCGGTCGCAGTCAGTTGGGCATCCCCTTCCCCTTTTTCTTTTTCTTTTCCTTTCCTTTTTCTTTTCCTTTTCTGTTTTCTATTGCTCCAATTTGTGTTTATTACTTTTCACTCTTTAATTATAATTATATCCATTTATATTCAGTTTCTTTTCGTTTCATTCAGTTGTTCTTCTTTTTAAAGCATCTTGCCAGAAACCCTATATTGATGGACCTCATTCAGCTGCCAAGGGTCGACCGAATGCGGCTGAGGCGCGGCGGTGACGAGTACATTGGCACACTGCATCTGACGACACACCACCTAATATTCTCGGCGACTGCACAAATTGACAGTACCAGCGGCGAGAATATTGCAAGCAGCGACTTGGAGCTCTGGGTAAGCCAAACGAGCAATGAGAATTATCTCTCGCATCTTCAATTTGTACACTCTTGCCTCAAAAAGCATGACAAATACACTGGCTGACTTGTCTGCAGAGAGTCTCTCAGCCCAATCTATCTTGTTTTATTATTGTAGCTTGGATACCCGTTGATACACTCGGCAGAGCTGCAGCGGCCGCCGAAGCTGGGATCGCGGCGGGACGGCTCAGTATACGAGCGCAGCGAGCTGACGGCATGGGCGCTTCAGGGCGCAATCCGGATCCGGTGCCACCACTTTCTGTTTGTGACACTGCGCTGCGCCGACGTGCGCAAGCTCTACGACGCTTTCAGCACGATAAAACAGCTGGCATGCGTCGCGTCACTCGAGAAGTTATACGCGTTCGACTACCGCCCCAGTCGGCAAATAGCAGCAACGGCTGGGGCATCTACAGCGCGCGCGAGGAGTTTGAACGCATGGGTGTTGGCGCTGGCGCCGACAGCGAAGGCATTGGGCGGTTCTGGCGTCTCAGCGCGGCCAACGACAAGTTTCAGCTTTGCGCCACGTACCCGGATGAGCTGGCCGTGCCCCTGCGCATCAGCGACACGACGCTGACGTACGCCGCGCGGTACCGAAGCAAGGGCCGACTGCCTGTACTCAGCTATCTGCATGCTAATGGCGCCAGTATGACGCGCTCGAGCCAGCCGATGGTTGGCCTGAAGCAAGCGCGGTCGGTGCAGGACGAGAAGCTTGTCGAGGCCGTGATTGCGTCGGCTGAGCCGCAGGGCGTAACACCGCGGCTCGGCAGCGGCAGTAGCAGCGAGCGCAGCAATATCATCATTGACGCGCGGCCGACAACCAATGCTGTGGTGAACCGCGCTGTCGGCGCTGGCTCGGAGAATATGGACCACTACAAGCGCTGCCGCAAGGTGTACCTGGGCATCGACAACATCCACGTCATGCGCGACGCGCTGAACAAGCTCACGGACGCCGTGGCTGCAGAGAGCACTTGCGCGGCCGACCGAGGCGTCGTGGCGCGTATCCAGAGCTCGCGGTCCAACTGGCTGCGCCACATCGAAAACATTATGGTCGGCGTGCGGACCATCGTGCAGGCGATCGACGCCTTGCAGCACGTGCTGGTGCACTGCTCGGACGGCTGGGACCGCACAGCGCAGCTCACTAGCCTGGCGCAGCTGTGCTTGGACCCGTACTACCGCACGGCGCGCGGCTTTGCTGTGCTGGTCGAGAAAGAGTGGGTGTCGTTCGGCCACCAGTTCACGCTGCGCTGCGGCCACCTCGGCCATCCGGACCGCTTCAAGATCACCAGAGCGTCGTTTGCACAACGGCCTGCCAAGGCTGGCGCCGAGTCCGAGTCTGGCACGGAGTCTGATGAGACGCCGGAGGAGCCGGTTGCTGACACCACCACCAGCGGCAGTGCCAGCAGCAGCAGCCCAGCCAACGTGGCAGCGGCACCGGTTGACACGTACGAATTTTTGCAGAGCAGCACGTCGATGTTTGGGCGCTTCGCCTCGCGGGCCTTCAAAGGCGTGCAGTCGCGCATCTCGTCGGCGATCCAGGCGGCCAGCGACAACCTCGACGACATCGACGACCCCGATCCATTCTACACTGAGTACCCGCATTTGCAGCCCAACTATGTGCCACCGGCCAGCGACGCGGCGCACCACCGGGCTTCTTCTGGCTTCCGGCTGGGTCGTTCGAAGCACGACCACGAAACCAGTCCAGTGTTCCAACAGTTCCTCGACTGCGTCTTCCAGCTGTGGGTGCAGCACCCGACGATGTTTGAGTTCAACGAGCGCTTCTTGCTTGATCTCTTTTACCACCTGCACTCGGCACAGTTTGGCACCTTTATTGGGAACAATACGCGCGAGCGTCAGACGCTCAAGTTCAAGGAGCGCACGCAGAGTGTGTGGTCGTGGATGTTTCGTCACGAGTGCTGGGAGGACTCGGAATATGCCAATCCGCTGTATATGGCTGATGGCGCTGTGGACTATACGAAGGTCATTGCGCCAGATCCTGCCTTTTTGCAGTACTGGTCAGCCATGTTTTCATGCCACGACCCAGCCTTTAAGCGGGAGGCTGGAGACAATGATGACAGCGATGATGAAAGGGATGAGAAGGATGAAGACATTGAGGCGGCGACAGCACTCAAAGCCGACGACGACGACGACGATAACGACCACAAGGACGAGACTGGCGTTAGTTCGATAAACGGCCAAATGACTTTATCCAGGATATCTGAACCCGGGCTTGCGTCTGCTCTGGAGGAAGAAGAGCAACCTTTGTCGAAGTTGCAGCCAAAGCTAGAGCCAGGGCCAGAGTTGCAGCAAGAATCAATTCCATCAGAACTGGAATCTGAGCACGCGCCGAAGCCGTCCGCACTGCCACACACAAACAAGAGGGTTGACGCCCCCAGAGCTTTGGCTGGCTCGTCGTCGTTTGAAAACGTGTGGGCGTAGACCACTCACAAACATGTTTCTCTTTTTGCAATACCTTTATTCACGTGACAATAGCCATAAACTGTAATATAATCGATTATGATGTCTTCGCAATGTCGCTATTCCAAAATTTTTATTTAGGGCTAATTGATGCGCACATTGCAAAATATTTCTCTTTCATTTTTTGCTTCATATAAATGGATTTCACAGCCAGAAGGTTTGTGCTGCCCGAGTGCCACTCAGTGCCACGCTCAAAGTTTACGCTTGACGAGGATTCCAAACACAAGCCGCACTCAGGCAAGCGCCAGCATCAAAATCAGATTGAAAACCCAGTGTACCAGAACGTCAAGCGGCACGAGCACACAAAGAGCCTTGCAGAACTCACGCACCTCAGCAAGACATTTTCGGAGCCTGAAGTATGGCATGACCGACAATTGCTTCTGCGCATATTCTACCGCAACTGGAACCAGCATCAGAACTCGATCTACTTCCGAAGGCTCTACGAGCTGCGCCGTGCGCTGCGCGTGCTGGAGTCGACAAGGATTCGGGAAATGTGCACACAGCTGCTCACTGCATTTTACGACTCGTCTTCGACAGCGTACTCTAATGCTGCGCAAAGCAATCATCATTATCAGATCAAGGTCGCACGCAAAAAGGTTTATGAGGGAGGTCCTTGGCTGACTCTGCCATGCCAGCACCATATGACTGCTGTAGCTGGTCGTCTGGCGCAGATTGCCCGGCTGGTGAGCAAGCTGCAGACCATCTGCTGCAATGTGTACATTCATTTCACAGCTCAGATGGCCCAGACCTTGTTCATGCCCCTGGCGTTGGTTGTACAGGGCATTTCGGCACGCTTGTACATGCTGTTCGATACTTGGTTCTGCGACTTGAAGGCCATCTATGAGCTATTGCTGGAGTGGCTGCCCTCGCTGCCAGCGTGCCCTGATAGTTTGGTTGGAACTGCTACGAGAGATATGGCGGCGCTGCTGCTGCATCCAGAGGATTTGAGGCTGCCCTCGCCGTTGGCAAAGGAGAAGCCGCAGGTGGTTGTCATGATGGCCAAGAGCGCGGAGGAAAAGAGGCCTTCTGCAGACGGACCCATGGAGTGTGATGACGACAGTATGGCTGTATTGGACGATGATGAATACGAAGGCACAAATAAATTTGGCAAGCAGAAGAAGAAGAATAAGCAGCATCAGCAGCAGCCAAAGAAGAAGCGTGCGAGAGACCTCATGTTGGATCTTTATGAATAATTGTAGTATATCAAAAAATATATGTGGATTTACACCATGAATAAAATAATTATAAACGAGGTTTTGATGAAAGAGAGACACCCAGAGCGCTAAAGATTGGCTTCCAGAACTCCGGGAACGGCGCTGTGACTGACAGCGTGCTCGGATCGCATACTTCACCCTTGACATCGACGCTCTACGAAAAAATAAATTGTATATAGAACGAAAACATAAGTGCAGTGTTTACAGTAAATACAAAATTAGCATCGCATTTATTACGACAAACGCACAAGAACTTTACGCATAATAGCTTTGGCAAAAATAATAATAAAATATTACTTACCGGGACTGTTAGCTTGAACAGATGCAGGTACATGTTCTGGTCCGTTGACCGCTGTGCACCAGCGTATTTTTGGTCACCAAGTACTGGGCATCCCAAAACCTGGGCACAGTGCGCGCGGATCTGGTGTTTACGTCCAGTCAACAGGTCCAGTTCAACTATGGAAACGTTCTCGCCCCTCCATTTTCCTGTCCGCATTACCCTATACCGAGTGATAGCCTCCTTGGCAACAGCAGCAGAAGCAGCAGCAGCCCCATTGTTCGCGGCGCCCTCACCGCCCTCAATGATTGTCATGGTCCCTGTATTGAACAGTGGGTGATCCACAGTTCCTTGCTTGTTGACAGGAATTCCGCTGAGCACCGCGATATACTTCTTGTCCACTGAGCGGTCGCGGAATGCCTTTGTTAGTGCAGCCGCGGCTAATCTGCTCTTGGCGACGACCAGCGCACCAGTGGTCCCACGGTCCAGCCGGTGGACCAGCCGGTACCCAGTTTCAAGACTGCCGTCGATTTCCGCCAGCATCTTGTCCACCGAGTACTTCACGTTGCTGCCGCCCTGGCACGACAAGCCAGGCGGCTTCTGGAACACAGCCATGGCGTCGTTCTCGTGGATCACAGGCAGCTGCTGTCTGATAAAATCTGCGTGTATGGATTTATCATACTCAGTGTGGTTCTTTCCATCACCAAAGGTGTCTGTGGCCGCTGTTACCAGTGTGTTGGGCAATCGGATGACCATCCCTGGCTGGACCTTGTCGAATCCCTGCAGGCGCTTGGATTTGCCCGTGACGTCGTCGATCTGGGCAATGCTGCGTTTGCGCAGCAGCTTGAAAAGCAGACCCTGCGGGATGCTTGCATGCTCGAGGATGAATCGGTCGACGCGCAGCCCGCTGGCGTGCGCAGGCACTCTGATTGTGCGGACGTTGGCGCCGATCGACAGAATCTTTGAAGCAAGCATGGCTTTTGTTGTTCTCGATTTTATTTATAAGAAACTTTAATATTAATATGATCGCGTGCGCATAAGCAATCTTGCAAAACATAAAAAAATTAGCTTACTGACTTGCGCTGCCCAAAAAAACAAGGTTAAAAATTTGTTATGGGGTGATTAGATTTGATTAGTAGGAGGAGCAGTCAGAAAATGGTGAGAATATGGTGTTTTTTGATTTTGTGTGTTGCTTCATGTCTACAAAAAAAGTATTATTTTTTCACTCTCAATTTAGTCTTTGCTCTGTGGCAGTGTGTTGGCCAAGTGCTGGCGAATAGTGGCCAATGGGTCAGCCTTGAATGCGGGGTGGACCAAGATCTGACTGAATCTCTTCTCCTCCTTAATCGCCGCCTTATTCCTCGCCTTCCGCGACTTTGGGTTCAACGCATTAGCCACCGCACCAGCCGCAGACTGCGCACCAGTCTTCTGCGTCTTGCCGCTGTTATTATCCAAATCCAACAGATGCTGGGCAATGATCTCCGCCTTGACTTCGCGCAAGGAGTCGTTCAAGTCACCCATGCCTCTGATCAACACGCTCTTGTTTGTCGAGCGGCCCTTTTGCTTCTGCTGTTGTCTTTGCGCAGCCTGGGCGGCGTTCATCTTGTCCATCCAGTTGCTGTGCCGCTCAATTCGCTTTTCCTTTTTTGACTTTAGCTGTTGCAGCTGGAAATCAGTTTCTTTGGATGCTCCGGAGGAGGATGATAGTGTGGAGATCGGAACCGGGGGCGAGACGGTGCCATTGGTAGCTGCGGCAGCGGCAGCAGCCTTTGGCCGAAGAGGGCCGGTCGGCAGGGTTGTGTGGCTCTTTTGGCGCTCGCGCTTGACCCGGGGCATTGTGAAGGAAAAAGAAATTGAATTTAATAAATACTCGTTGAAGGTGGGAATTGAAGGTGAAATGGAATAAAGAGTGTAAAGGTAAAAACAAACCAAAACGAAAATGGTAAAAAAAAATCCAATCGGCGGATCAAGATCTGTTGATCATAAATAGAAATTAAGATATCACACTCAGTGTCCGCTGAATATTTTATTACACTTGGGAGCCGCGGCCATCAATGTCAGACTGCTTGAGCGCGCGCACCAGTCGCAGCACCTCGTCGGCCGAGCAGCAGTTGGTGTCCTCATCAGCAGCGACAAAGCGCAGCACCTGTTTTGAATCAACCACCGCCAAGGCCCACGCAGCCTGGCCGGTCTCCTCGCATAGAACACCATAGTCTCGCGTCATCCCACGTGTCCGATCCGACAGCATAATCGCGTCAATGGGCCCAATTCCATCACAGTCGCGCTTTATTTTTTGGCGCCAGTTGATGTGCGCATACTCGCTGTCTGTCGAGCAGAATACCAGAGTACAGGTTTGTGCTGAGAATTGCGCGCAAGAGTCGCTAAAATGTGCTATTCTTGTCGCTGCGGTCGGGTTGAAATCACCCGGGTAGAAGATGATGGCGAGGTAGCGGTTGGCAAAGTGGGCCAGGTTTGCTGTGTATATGAGACCGCTTTGGGCTACTGCAGGCACAGAAAAATATGGTGCGGGTCTGTTGATCAGTTTCTCAAAGAGTGTCTGCTGTTGTCGCCGCCTTTGCTGCCGCTGATGAGCCGAGCAGGTGTCAGGTGTGTTGTTATAGAAAATAGGTTCCGGCTTGGTGCGCTTGGACACAGGTTGGTGGCCGACAACGGTCTCGGTTGGCCGTTTGGCCAGGGTGCCGTTGCAGCTGATTTTCAGTGACATTGTGTTATAACAAAATGCTTTTCTAATTAAAGTAAATAAATATCCCAAATAATATTCAAGACGGCAAAAATACCTGTCAAATGAAAAAGAATATTTAATGCTTTTCCTCTACACAGCATTTGTAGGATTTATATATGCATGCACAAATATGGATCCTCGTTTTATTTTGATACTCAAGTGAAAAATACTTGTTAAAGGTAGATCATGAATAAAAAATTATGGCAGTAGCTCAATTCACATATTTCTTAACCATGAAAATGAAGGTGAGACGTCAAAGCGTTACTGTTCCGTTCAAATCGCAGACTGAATATGCGTACACCTTATTGGTATTAACAGAGCAATTGATTTTTTATTGCATTCTTTCGTTTGCCATATAAAGAATGATAGATGCTCAAGTCAACTCCAATACAAACATCTTTCGAACATAAATAGACTTGAGCAGAGCTCTTGGAATATATAGCTTTTGATATTTTACTCATTTCTTCTCGCAATTATAATTTTATCAGCATGGTTTTCGGGGCTCTGCGGTACTTGCAAAGGCGTCTGGTCTGGCGCCACCTGCCTATACTCGTTGCCGGCGTGCTCGCTGGGTATCTCGTCGGATCAAATAAACCCATCATCCGGCACTCACTGATTTCATCCATCGATCACCCGCCGCACGCTCCCGACATAGTTTCAGTTGCAGTCGCAGTCGCGGTTGCCGAAGCATATGGCGCGCATCAAGCAGCGCCGCCCGAAACATTCTCCCGTGCGATGGCAGAAAAAGCACCAATAAATAGCACGCGGCCTGTGCGAGCAGCCATTGTCGCTCTTGTGCGCAACAGCGATCTCTTCGGGCTGCGGCTGGCAATCCGGCAGATTGAGGACCGGTTCAACCGCAAGTTCCAGTACCCGTACATTTTTGTCAACGACGAGCCATTCACCGAGGAGTTTAAGCAGGGGGTGCGCGATCTGACCCGCGCACGCGTGGACTTCGGGCTGCTTGATGAAGAGAGCTGGGCAGTGCCGGAGTGGATTGACAAGGCGCGGTACGCGGAGGTCAAGCGCACGGCAAAGTACCCGCATGGCGAAAAGGACAGTTACCGCAAGATGTGCCGGTTCCAGTCGGGCTTTCTGCACAAGCACCCGCTGCTGGCGGACCTCGAGTACTACTGGCGCATCGAGCCCGATGTCGAGTACTTCTGCGACATTGACTATGACCCGTTCCTATTTATGCGGCAAAACGGGATCAAGTACGGGTGGAACATTGCAATGACCGAGTTTATGGACACTGTGGCGACACTGTGGAACACCACGATGGCGTTTGTGCAGGAGAACCCGCAGATGATAGCCAAGCGCAGCATGCGCAATTGGCTGGTGGACGCAAACGGGGCGTACAACGGGTGCCACTTCTGGTCCAACTTTGAGATAGTCGACCTGTCGTTCTACCGCAGCACAGAGTATCAGGCGTACTTTGACTACCTGGACAGGGCTGGCGGCTTCTTTTACGAGCGCTGGGGGGATGCGCCAGTACACTCGATTGCCGCTGCGCTGCTGCTGGACGCGTCGCAGGTCCACTACTTCAGCGACATAGGGTACTTCCACCCGAGCGTGCTGAGCTGCCCCGCTGACGCCCGGACGCGCGGCTCGTGTGTGTGCGACTCAGACAGCTCGTTCGTGCAGAATGGGCTGTGCACCGTGCGGTTCAAGGAGGAGAGGCACCACGCGTTGTTCCCCGACGCCAAGCACGGGGCTGTGCGCTCCGGGTTAGTGTTTACAGCGCAGGCCCACGTCATCGTCGAATAGAGCAGTGGTTCCAGGCAGCACCAAGTGTCCAAATGCAAGCCAAAACAAAACCAATTGAATTAAACCAAATTAAATCAAAACATTAACATACAACGAGATGCTTCAGTGGCCAATCTGCTCGGAGCCGAAGCCGCCAGTAGCCTCAGCCGAGTCAAGCGACTTGGATGCGGCCCGCGCGCCCTTGTACTCGGTAGCGGTTTTCTTCTGGTTGGCGGACACGGACGAGAAGACGGCCATAGCCTGGGCGACCATGCCGGAGACGTCGTTGGCCGAGGCAGGCACGACAATGGTGTTGCCCTCTTTGGCAATGCGGCCGAAAGCCTCGACGTACTGTTGTGCAACGTGCAGGCCGGCGGCCAGCTCGCCGCCCTCAGAGCCGTGGATGGCCAGCGCAACGCGCTCGATGGCAACAGCCTCAGCCAGCGCGGTCTGACGGATGGCCTCGGCCTCTCCCATGGCGCGGTTGATCTGCTGCATCTTGTCGGCCTCGGACGCCAGGATCTGCGCCTGCTTGGCGCCCTCGGCGACATTGATGGCCGACTGGCGCGAGCCCTCGGACTCGAGGATCTGCGCGCGCTTGCTGCGCTCGGCCGACACCTGCGAGTGCATGGCCTCAACGACTTTGGCTGGCGGGTGGATGTCGCGGATCTCGTAGCGCAGGCACGCAATGCCCCAGGACTCGGAAGCGCTGTTGATGGCCTGGACAATGTTGTGGTTGAGCGCATTGCGCTCGGCCAGCGTCGTATCTAGAGTCATCTGGCCGATCTCCGCGCGCATGGTCGTCTGCGCCAGCTGCATGACCGAGAACTCGGCATTGGCTACACCGTACGACGCCTTGTAGGGGTCAACCACGCGGTAGTACAGGACGCCGTCCAGCTCCAGTGTCACGTTGTCCATTGTAATAGCGCTCTGCGTTGGGATCTCGACCGCCACCTCCTTCAGTGACTGCGTGTACGAGATGCGATCGAGGAATGGGATCAGGATCGCCAGGCCTGGCTCCAGGATCCGCGAGAACCGCCCCATGCGCTCGACCACCCATGCCTCCTGCTGCGGCACAAACTTGACAATTGTATTGGCCGGCAGCCGCCTGCTGCGCTGCATCGCCACAAACGGCGACACGCCTGATGGGCCCGCGCGGTTGCCGTAGTTCTTGCTGTTGAGCGCCGCTTGGCTCACATGCAGTGCGCGGACAAGCAGCGCAGTGTGTGATGCCGCAGCGGCACGCCGTGCCAATAGGCCCGCGCGAGCAGTGCGTGCTGTGGCTGCAGTGAGAAGTGTCATTGGAATGCGAGCAAGGGCAATTAAGCTGATAAAGTATAAAAAGAGAGAAGGACAGGTGTGGCTAGGGAATCCAAGAGCAAGTGATGCGTGACAAGAAATAGTTTGAATTAAACGATTAAATAAAATGAAAAGAGAGACGAGTGGTAATTTGGGGTCCAATTGCAAAGAGTGCCGTGTTAAATATTGCGCGCAAAGCCGAGGCACAGCTGAACTTGCCAGCCAACTATTAGCGTCATCATCGGCATTGGCATTGGCATAAGCACCAGCTTAAAACATATGCATCAGCACAGATCAGCTATCATTGTGATCAGTACGTGATTAAATTAATTATATAATTGGTTAGATCAACGTTGATTATCTTGTGATAATAGACAAAAAATGGGTGCACACATTCAGCTTCGCTCTAATTTAAAATGCACAAAATGAAGAATAATTGCGAGCGCTTGGATTCGCCTTTTGCTTCAGTCTCCATTATTTTACACTCATATTTGTTTACCCCGCTTTATCTAATGCTTTCCACAAAATTTGCCACGATCGCCGCCGCCCGCTCGGGCAAGACATTCAGCACAGCTTCCATTACGGCGCGCAGCCTGTCGACGGCAGCGGCCGAGTATGCAGGCTCAACCAACTACGTGGCAGGCAAGCAGGGCTACGCGCCTGGCTTTCCTCCGCCAAAGAACTGGCGCGATGTGCCCCGCACAAAGCCGCAGCCCAAGCTGGCCAGCGACCTGCCAGCGCCCAAGCCGGTGCAGGTGCCGTCGCAGGCCAGTGCGGCGCGGCAGTACCGGCAGCGGATGCGCGAGCTGCGCTACGGATACCTGCATAGCCATCTGGATAGCGAGCAGGGCAAGCGCGATCAGCGCAAGGAGAGCCTGGCGCACATGCGTGTGGTGCACGCTGAGCGTCGCGAGAAGCTGAAGATGGAGCGGATGGTGTACGAGACGCAGGTGCGCGCCGACCCGCTGTCGGCCGAGAACGTGCTCAACGCCGAGGGCCTGACACTGCTGCCCAACATTCCTGGTGCTACGGCCAAGGGCCAGGGCCAGAACCAGGACTCCAGGCAGCCGCGGCTACACGATATCGAAAGCCCCGGGTACACGCTGGCGCCACCGCGCGTGTCGATCTCGATGCCAGCTGAGGCCAATGCGCAGCGCGATCAGGAGCGCCGCGAGAACAGGCACTTGACCCGTCAGAACCGCCACGAGGACAACGTGCAGGCAATGATGACGCTGTTCCACGACGCCGAGTCGTTTGTGCACTATGACAACATGGACAAGAAGATTTTCGAATTCCTCAATGTGCTCTCTGTGTCGCAGCGCACACTGTCCGAAATGATGGAAGACCTTAACAAGACTGGCGGTGTTGCCACATCAACAGAGATTGCCCACCGCTCAGTCGAGCTGCGCAACATGCTGCAAGGCACCACAGGCAACCAGGGAAAACTTGGCTATGATGGCATGATGCAGTGGCTCAAATCCCACCCTGAGGATGCTGAAGGCATCCAGCATGTCAAGGCTGCAAAGCCCAACAGCAAGCAATGAATGCCAGTGGATATGTGTTGGGCACAGATTTTCTTTAAAGGAAGTGCCCATCAGTTGCTCTTTTCTTTGTGAGCACTAAGACTCACAGTTATAAAAAGAGCGAAACAACATTTATTAGTTCTCACTCTTATCTTTTCGTAGTTATTATAGAATATAAATTTAGTCTACTTGTTAACGAGTGAATTCAATAGTATGATACAAGAAATTGTGGCTTGTCTCCAGCGATTGATTAATGAACCAATCGTTAGTTAATTCCCTACTTGAATATTCAGGAATTCATACGCATGCATAAATACTAATGAATATGAACAGTAGAGGCTGTTCACCCCTTAGCTTTCTTTTAGTTTATTTTGGTCAAATATATGTTTTTAAAATAACAATATGCATTTGCAAAATGTGAACTAGGATTATCCATCTAACTTTTTTATTGAAAGCCCATTGGAAAAACATTCCAAAGCATTGTAAAGGATGCGACTAAACTGGCAAGGGTGGTTAAGAATGCCAAGCTCAAAATGTCATTTGTCTTTTAAAAATAGAAACTACCATGCATCTATTAAAATATTATTTTAACATGTAAATTTTGAACACATTAAGTCTGTTTTAAATGAATTATTTGCAGCGCCATTGTTAAACTAATATTTTAAACCGAGCAGTTCTGCAAACTTGCAATTATATTTTATTAGCTGGTCGCGATCAACTGATTAGTCAGTCTTGGTTGTTTAGCCAGACAAATACTCAATTAATAGTCACACAGTGACACACATCACATAAATGTACTGTCGCACTCCATCAATGAATAGCCCTTTTACAATAAATAATTATATATACATAGTGGTTATCTCTTCACGTTCACCAAACATTCATAGAACTCCCAGATTCCAACAAAAAGACAAAAACTGAAATTGATGAATAAAATTGATTTTCTACTGCGCCACCATACCCATCTTGGACCCTATTTCAGAACCTGGCTACATGCCTCTGGTTACCCAGGCCTGTGTCTAAATTTCTGACGGTGGAAGTTTCTGCCAAGGCGTTAGTAAAATTAAACCCAAACACTCAATCTGCCAACTAAAGCGTCAATCGTGGCCATATAACTAGTGTGCATATCTGCTGCCCTCATTGCTCTCATCTGCAGCCACTTTAGCAGGCCACCATCTTGTCGCATATTTGGTATTTGGGATGTTTGTTGAGATCGGAGGTACCAACAGTCGGCATTTCTCAGGTGTCAAGGATACCCTCATTTCTCGTTCGACGTGCAAGCTCACTGTCTCTTGTACCAGTCGTGCTGATTATGTACAATCTCATTTACAAACACCGTTACTTGTTGTTGCATGATTCCCTTGAATTTTCTTGACCAGCATTGTGTATCTGTGCTCTGTCAGCTCCTGCCAGCTGCACCTCACATCCAGGTTCCAGCTTCTTTATCCTGGTAGTGGGCGTTCACATGTTCCTTGAGTTTCTCTAATATACCATCTATCGGTGCTGGATACACCTGGATTCTGTTGACCGCCTCAGCCGCAAGATCTGCGGCTGGGTATTAAAGGTCCCAGTGAAGTTTTTTTCGCATTCAGAATTTTATGCTCCCGTCGTGGACACATGAAACATGTGGCTCTGTGTTTCAATTGGTCCGACAGCCAGGCAATGGTGCATAAACGCATCTCTGGTTCAGTGTACACGTCAGGGAAGTATATTTTTACAGCAGTGAATGGCAGGGCCACCATGCTCCCAAAAGAAACAATATAAGCTCAAAATCAATGCGCAAGGAAAAAGAACAATGCCGATTGGAAATTAATCCGTAAATATAATTATTTCTTGTTTCCATATTTCAGCCAACCAAATGCAAGCATGAGAAGCTCAAGGTTTTTTGTTTATATTAAAAAATTGTTTTTTGTTTTTGGCGCAATCCATCGTAACAAATTTTCACCTTTGCAACTTTCCACCTTTTACTTTTAATATTTGCTTTTTTTTTCCAATTCGCACCATTTCGTTCAATTTGTTTTATTTTCCTCACTTTTTCATCACTTTTACCATACCTCAGTGCTTATCACACACACACACACACACACACACACACACACTCTCTCTCTCTCTCTCCCCCCTCTCTTTCTATTTCCCTTTCCTTTTCTCTCAATGATGTCTGAGCTAGCTCCTCCAAATAAGACCCCGCCGAATCAAATAGGCGTAAGTACTTCAATATAAACGGATTGTTATGATATTGATGAATTGTTTGTTGTTGTTTATTCTGCGTGCATATAAAACTAATTCGGACACTAATTTAAAACATTTTGTTTTATTTTTTATTAGAACAGCAAGACAGGGGGCACTATCCAAACGCCCTCGAAAAATCAAAAAAAGGAGGAACTGCCACCCGGGGAATCGGAACCCCCCGAAGTACGCGATAGGCGCCGTCAGCGGCTGTTGAAATGCCTCGGCGATAACATTGAGAAGGTTGATCTGTTTGATGACTTTGTCAAATCGCTGGGCGTGAAGCAGCGGTATAATCAGTTCATCGAGGATTGGCCTGATCTCTTCCTCAACATAGCCAAGGGGTCGCCAGTGGTTGATAGCAAGGGTATCGTGGCCAATACAGGTTACCCGATTGAGGAGTTCGGCGATTTCCCCATTGCTGACGTGTTCAAAAGCAACTCGGGGAAATTGATCGGGTTGACTAAGGAAGCTTGCTTGGTCAAATATTTTATTCTTCTCTTCAACGCGATGGTCAATGCGGTTGATGTCGCAAATGGGGTATTCCAGCAGGCAGAACTCCAGTCCCAGAGTGTGGGCTTAATCTGGGTGACCATCAGAGCGATGCTATACTAGGCACACCGCACAAGCCAGACATCGCATTTTACTACAGTGACTACGCAGAGGAGAACGCTCATTCCATCCATGCTATACTCGAGGCCAAGATGGATCCAAACTCCAGTAGAACTCCAGAGGATACTCGTGGCCAGCTCGCAGATTACGGACATTTACTTAATGATCAGCAGGCAACCCGCACGTTTGCGCCTATCTTCTACCTCCATGGGCACATCCTGACGCTTCACACATATTATCGTGACAAACTGTACATCGTCGAGCTCGGCCAGCTATGCTTTAATACGAATAATTGGACGTCTCGCCGAGCTAAAAGAATTCAGTCATGCCTCATGCAGTTCTGGTTCCTGTTGACTCTTGAGTCGAACATCTTCGGACATTTCTGCGATGTCTCGAAGAAATCTAGCTCTTTCATTTTTTCGCAGGAAGTCGATGTGGAGAGCAAGGGCGATTCGAAGATCGAAGTCTTATACTCAGCTTCCAAGCATGTCAAGGATGTCAAGGATGTCAAGGATGGCGCTGCTCTGTTTTGTATCAAGGAGACAATAGCGCGTTATTCATACATGATTGGGCGCCATGTCCATTTATTCAGGGGGAAATTCAATGGGAAGCATGATGCTGTGCTGAAGCTTTCCTGGACCCCAGTCAATCGTTTGCCCGAGGGCGCTGCATACGCCATCCTCAACAAGAGACCAGTCGAATGTATTCCCAAGATCTTTTCGAGTGGCCTGCTCATCAGCGACCTTAATGGATACCGGCTGGAGTTTGTGCTCATGGAGTACTGCGGCCAGTCAATGGCCGAGTATCTGAAAGGCAAGGCCGACGATCAGAAAGACGAGCTGGTTCCTGGCTTTGTCGAGCAGCTGACCCTGTGTCTTGCCCAGGCAAATGACACTGGTGTCCTGCACAGGGACATCTCAGCAGGGAATGTGTGCGTCAAAAACAACAAGGTGTATGTCATTGACTGGGGTTGTGCCAAGGTCATTGGCTGGGGCACTGCTGAGGATGCTGCCAGGGACACTGGGCCAACCCAACTCAAACACATTGATGTTGCCAAGCAGTGGGGGTTCAATGCAACAACAGTGGGACAGGTGGAGGTGGCCAAGGACCCATTTACAGGGACACCGCTTTTCATGGGAATTCCCATGCTCAGAAGCAGCCCCATCCGGGGAATCCTTGACGACATAGAGAGTGTTCTCTATGTCGTTATGGACGCAGTGCGCCCAGCCAGCACTAATAGGGATGACGTTCAGGGGTTCAAATTCCTAGATTCTCCATCCCTTGCCATCACAAGGTGGGGTTTGATCCAAGAGGATGCTGTCTTGCTGGAGGAGTTTGGTGTTAAAAACATCAACCCTAGGCTCAAAGAGCTCATTTGTGTGATGCGCCGGTTTCTGTTTGAACCAGAAAACAAGGTTATGGACCACCGGCTCTGGTCAAACAAGAAATTTGTCCGGCAGGCCAACTGGGATGCTGCTCCTGAGTTTATGCATCCCAAGGCAATTGAGCTCCTCAAAGAGAATAATGGCCAGTTTAAGCGACCAGCTGAGGACGAGATCAATGCTGGGTCATTCAAGAAGCTAGCACTTTAGGTTTTTTTGTTTTT